ATAAGTTATGTAAAAAGTATATTTAAGGTATTAGTTAATAATAATACTAAGGATAGCTATATAAAGAAAAGTTAATTTAATGCAATAGCTAATTAATATAGCTTAAAGTATAATTAATTAATTTAACTTTAATTAAAATAATAAAATCTTTAAGATAAGTTTAGCTATAATATATATTGCATATATTGCGTAACTTAAAGTATAATATATAATTAATTAATTTAACTTAAGTTAAAATAATAAAAAGTTTAAGGTAACTTTAATTAAAGCTATATTGCTATCTTTAAAATTAATATAATTATTAAGGATAGCTAATTTTTAAAAGTTTTTATACCTTATAAGGCATATTATATATTTAAGTATGCGCCTTATAAAATGCAAGGGCTTTTAAAACTTAGCTACCTTTTTATTAAATTTATTAATTATATTTATTATTATTATAATAATTATAAAATTTATTTATTAACTTTAATTATAATTAAAATAATTATAATATTAACTTACTTTAAGGATAATTTTAATAAGTTATAAAAATATTAAGCTTTTAAGGAAAGAAAATAGCAAAGCTTATTATATGTCTTAAAGCTATATTTATGCTTTTAATATTTTTATTTATATAAAATTTAGCTAGCTTAATAAGTATTAATATATACATTAAATAAAGCCTTTAAGCTTTTAGCTATAAGCATTAATTAATATATATTATATACTTTAATATTTATTTATTAAATAAATACTTAGCTTATTATATTTAAAAGCTTTATATTTAGCTTTTTTATAAGAAAGTTTTGCTTAGCAATATTATTATAGATATTCTTATGCTTATTTTTAATTATATTAATAAAAAGTACTATTTATAAGGATTGCTAGGCTTATCTTTATGCTTAATTTAAGGTTTATTATAAAGTTTATTATAAAAAAGCCCTTTTTATAAGGATTGCTAAGCTTATTTTTATACTTAATTTAGGGTTTATTATAAAAAAGCTCTTTTTATAAGGATTATTATGCTTATCTTTATGCTTAAATTAAACTTTATTATAAAAAAACTTTGCTTAAAAGGATTGCTATATTTATTCTTATACTTAATTCCGGCTTTATTATTAAAAAGCCCTTTTTTTAAAGATCATTAGGCCCTTTTTTATGCTTAATTTAAGCTTTATTATAATAAAGCCCTTTTTATAAGGATTGCTAGGCTTATCTTATTATTTCTTAAAGGCATTTTAAGCCAAAGAAAAACTTAAAAAAAAGCCTAGAAATTTAATTTAAGCGGGAAATATACTTATAATCTTTATGGCGTGAAGTTTAAAGATTAAGGCCTTTTATTATAAAAAAGAATGCTCTATGCTAAGAAAAATAATTCCAAACTTCCTTTAAGAATATTAATACTTAAAAAAAATAGGTTTGCTTTTAAAGAATCTTAGGGTATCTTAAGGTATATTATTTTAAGCATGAAAGAAACTAGCATTTTAATAAAGGGGCTCCTTGTACTTATATAATATATTTTAATTATTAAAACTACTGGCTAAACTACGTAATGCACTTGCATTCCTTTTTAAATACAGAAAGGCGCCATTATTAAGCAACGTTACGTAACCTCCCCTCCGCAGCCTGCCTAAATGAATAGCTCCCAGGGCCCCGATAGGGGCTTTCCACCTGGTTTTTCGTACCAAGGGCCACATAGGACTGCACAGCACGGTAAAGAAGAGCTTGGTCGCGATTGGTCGGCACGTGTAGCCGCCAACATCGCGCAGAAATACTGTCATGCGTGTCAAGACTCTGTCCATCGTGTGATCACGTTGGGCAGATCTATGGACTCCTTCACTGGGCTCCTTGAGTCAGCGTCTCCCTTGGCGACATTGTCGTCCGCACTGCGTGGGAACTAGATAGTCGAGAAATGGCCGGACGATGGCGATCAGTGCCATGTGACCACAAAGCCTCGTGATACTACGTATGACTCTGGCGTCTTCAAGTTGTTGGGTTGTGGCTGATTGTGTGCTTGGGCGTGTCGAACTCCTTGGCAAGCAGGATTCATGATCGCATGCAGCCCCGAGATGATCGATCAGTTGCAGCTTTATAGATGTGTGGCAGCCTGTGAGTGGATTAGAAAGGAGAGTAACGAGCGCCTGGCGCCTTTCCTAAACTATCTGTAGGCCTGTACGAGCCCCATCGGCGGTGCGTTGTCCACAAAGAGTAGAAGTACGATGCCGACGTCATTCAGCATATTAGCGGTAAGCTTTCACGGTTCTTTTCCCGGGCTTGATCTACACGATCGCATATGAATCTCCGCGGTAAGGAGGCCTCGGATTCGCACAATTTCTATAAGTTGCACGGCTGGAGACGGTTGACGGGGAGGTGGGGGCCATTTTCCTCCTGGTGGATATCCAAGTGCCACACGGGTTCGCAGGGGCAACGTGATCCTGGCTGTAGCATGATCTACTTCCTTCGGCCCAGGGACATATGATTCAAACGAGCATGTCTGGCTTTTCCAGGAGCAAAAACCTCGAGCCTTGAGGTTTTTTGTGAACTCGTGTCGTGTTGACGTAGCCCCAAGTATCAAAGGATATCACAGCAATTTGGCTCTCCATCTGAATCATATATGTTCATGGAAATCTTCCGACTCTGTGTTGTAGCCGCTCCAAGAGATGCGTTGTTCTCTTTCAGGGTGCTGATCGCATACCACTTTCGTCGATGTCGAGGTGTGGGAACTATATCACGAGGTATTGGGTGGGTTCCTCGAGGAGGCACCTGCAGGGGGTCACACCGTAGGATTTGGAAGATGACTGGAAGATACATACTGTAGTTCACGCGGATGGGCGATGTTCGGTCTGTTCAAGATTGACCCGATACCGAAAACGGGGCCGCCGTTTCCAATCCAGGGTGAATAGCAATCTTGAGAGTCAGTCCTGCGACATGGATATCTTCTCGGCCAGTATTCTCGACTTCGCGAGATTTCCCAGTGTGGAATAATTAGGCAAGCTGTCAGGATGTTCGCCACCCTAATTGCATGCTTTCTTCCCAGAAGATCTTCTGATCGAGGACGGCATAATTCTCGTCGACTGCCGTGAGGTCGTCTTCACTCCATCGGGGCTCGGAGGGCTAGGGGCGCGCTTTGCGTATATTGTATGTTGTCGCCCCATTCGTGTAGGGATGTCCGGGATATGCTGTCGGCTCTACTTCTAGCAACCAGTGTCTGTGCCCCAGGCTTCCCGGAGACTATCAGACGACCCACCTACCCTAGGGTCCCACGTAAATTAGCAGAGCAGATCAGGAGCTCCACCAACCCCATGAAATCTCGCCAGCTGGGTTCTCGATCCGGGCGCATCGAGCATGTCCATCCGGCTGTCGACAGGATTGACTCGTCGCAAACTTTTACGCGCTACGGAGAGCAGCCCACGGAAGTTCCCATGACAGTGCTGGCTCTACCATACAGTAGCAAAGTATGGGCCCGACAGGAGGTTACATCCGCCATCCGTCCCCATCTCTTCGAATTGGGAGCCGCGCGCTTAGCGTCGATGCGGCTCTTGTGGATTGCTACACACAACATACCAGTATGCACATATGCCGGAACAACCCACGGTTGGCGTCGGACTCGGTTCAGTTACCGATTCAAGATGAGTCCCTCCCCGGGGATGACCTCGATTCATCGTCAGCCGACGATGACGGCGAAACTGAGCAGGAAACAAGAGCAGAGCTCCTCCAATATATTGTTTGAATCAGTCAGCACCTGCGTCTCTCCGCTTTCCCCTGGCACTCCCTTCCCTCTTCGTCAGCGCCAAGCAGCCAAGACCTACACGAGTGGACAAGCTCAATCTTGGTAGCTCCCCTTGCCGAGACTAGCCAACCCTGGAGCTCGATCCCTCACCCGCGCCTTGGCGATGTCGCAAGATAAAGCCCTCTTCTAGAAATTCCACCAACAGCCGATGTGGTGTTTGGGCGCAAAACTTCGTATCAATGCCGTTGGGTGGGGTCGGTGATCGCAATCACGGGACAGCTGCTGAGCCTTGCTGTCGTTCTTGGATCGGAAGACCGCTTGTGTGGAGCGTCCAACTGCCGCCCCTTTCTTGGGCCAGGACCCCATAAGCGACTCCAGGCTGGACACGGTCGGTAGGGTCTCGATGGGGGCGGCGGCAAGTTTATGACCGGTGGAGAACAAATGGGCTGCTCCGTCGTGGCCAACATTATTCCGTCATGATATTTTCTATACGTGTGTAGCTAACAGCCGGCAGACCCATCAGGCCTTCAAGCTGTGGATCTTCTTGATGTTGTTTTTGACCTCATGTGATGTCTTGCTGGAAAAAGGATCTCGATCATCAGTGAGGCTCAACCCACGTGCTGCACTCAAGCAAGATGTTTCGAGCATGAATCGTCGTCATACCCAGTGAGATGCGGCTCAATCACCCTATTCTGCTGAAATACCCACTCTGGTCCAGAAGCCTGGCGCAAATCGGCCCGGATTCACGGTTGATCTGCGTCGTTCACCACACAGCACACAGGGGATCGGCTTGCAGGCCGACCCAATGTTTTGCCTCCCTAGCCCCTGCGCATCCTTGCTGTCGTTCTTGAAACAGGCCGTCCTTATTGCGCATCTCTATTGCGCATCTGTTTTCTGTTTATTGAACCGTGGCCTTGGCAGGCCAATGGAGGCCTGGTCAGCCGTTGGCATGGAGCCATCCGAAGAGACTGACCCATGTGGTTGGGTTGACTTCCAAGGATGGAAAGGGTCAGCGTTCACGGAGCGGGACGACAGCGTCAAGGGATGTATGGACGGAGAAGGTGAGAAACTTGGGATATAAAGACGGTCGTCTTCGTTCAGTCAATAACACTTGATCTTGCTTCAATCATCTTCACCTTCACCTCATCATCCAACCACTCCTTTCCCGTGCTTGATACTTTCGTTAGCAGTTGAACTGCCCAGTCCTGTCAAAATCTGCCGGTCACAGCCCTTCAATTGCCCCTACTCGTCAATATCACCTGTTCAGATATCACCCACTACCTTCAAAATGAAGTTCAACGTCTACACTGTTGCCCTTTCGGCCATGGCTCTTGGAGCCACCGCCCTGCCTTCCGAGCTCAAGGCTGACGGCGCTGCTTTCCGCCGCGCTGGCAAGGGCCTCGTCGGCGACGTTTACCGTCGCGCGGCCCAGACCTCTGGCGGCGCTTCCCCCAGCGCCACCGGCAGCGCTGGCGGCTCCCAGACTACCGGCTCTGCCGGCTCCGGTACCTCTTCCGGTGGCTCCCTCCCTGCCTCCTCCGGCACCTCTGCCCTGTCTGCTGCCCAGACCATTGCCGCGGGCGAGTCCTTCGACGGTGGCATGGTCATGTTCGACCGTGGCGTCTCTTGCACCGGCCAGTCTGAGGGTGGCGACTCCGACGCTGTCTTCCAGATCGAGGAGGGTGGCAGCATCTCCAACGTCATCATTGGACCCAACCAGATCGAGGGTATCCACTGCCAGGGTGCTTGCACTCTGACCAACGTCTGGTGGTCTGCCGTCTGTGAGGACGCCTTCTCCATCAAGAACCAGCAGGCTGGCGCGACCACCAAGATCAACGGTGGTGGTGCTTTCAACGCTGATGACAAGGTAAGCTGAACACGCCCGACTGTACTTCGCAGCATCCGCGACACAAAATACTAACGCGTTGCCAAACAGGTCATCCAGCACAACGGAGCCGGCACTGTCGCCATCTCTGACTTCACCGTCGAGAGCTTCGGAAAGCTGTACCGCTCCTGCGGCAACTGCGACACCATGTACGAGCGCCACGTGACCATCGACGGTGTCACCGCCACCGACGGTGACATCCTTGCCGGCGTCAACCAGAACTTCGGCGACACCGCCACCATCACCAACACCGTCACCACCGGCGTCCAGACCATCTGCGAGAAGTTCGAGGGCACCGAGGGCGACGGCGAGCCCACCAGCATCGGCGAGGGCGCCGACGGCAAGACCTGCATCTACGGCTCCGACGTCACCGAGGGTTAAATGGGTACCTAGTTGGAGACGATCCAGTTGAGGATTTATCAGGAACAGCACCGAGTCTTGGACCAGAGCCAATGACTGACCGACAACCACCAAACATCAAGCATAAAACTGGAGCGTGTTGGATTCTATTGTAACTACTTATTATTTCAAACCTGCATGTATATAGCCCAGGACGGCAAAACATGTTCTTAAAAAAAAGACAAATGGCCCACCTGAAGTGACATGAATGCCTTAACAGTGGACAGAAACGATCAGAGTGAACGTGCCAAGATCACCAAGTAGCCACTGACCCCTGCCTACTGAAACCACAACGACCTTAGACAATATTTAGATATAGTCTGCAGTCTAAATCAAAACCTTGAGCCGCCTGGCAGCCGCGGACTTCGATACCGTCGCCTGGGGTGCTGCAGTTGTACTGGTAGGATTCCCATATGTGCTTGAGAATTGTCCTGCCGGGCTGACCACAACAAAGTCCTCGATGACGGCGACATTCTTCTCAAGAGCAGCCTGCTGCGCCTCGTCACAAGTATAATAGGCATCGTACCAGAAGCACATCGGCCCAATAATAGGTTCCGGTATCTCGTTCGTGACGTTCAAGCTGCTGGCCGGGCCCTGGGAGGCGTAGCTCGAGGACCCTCCCGCGTCGGCCTCGCCCGTCGCCACGTCCCTGCCGGATATCGCCCTCTCGAAGATGCGGAGGACGGTCTCGGGCTGGTAGGAATCGGCCATGTGGCCGGCCTCGAAGACGCGGGAGAAGGAGAAGTTCTTGAACTGGCGGACCAGGCCGCCTTGGTAGCTCGAGTTGGTCGTGATGGGCGCGTAGCCCGCGCTCTGGAAGGAGGGCGCGTCTGCGTATGAGGCTGACAGCGATACGTTCTCTGCGCCCATCCCTGGTTGGTTGTCAGTACTGGCTGTGGACCATCCGCGTATGAGGAAGCATGATCATGGGCTTACAGTTACAGCGGTAGTCGAGGTCTCCGTAGACCATTGCGACGCCGACCCCTGAGTCAAGAACAGACTCAAGGTTGCGCTTGGTGACAATCACTGGATCCCCGGTGGCGCCGAAGAAGTTGTTGACCACCGCGTTAGCGCTGAGGGTGAAGTTCACAGGAACGCCGAGTGCTTCCTGAACCCATCGCTGATTGTAATATGCTATGCTGTAACCAGCTGGGAATGCGGCCGGAGTCGGAAGAGATATGTCAAATGCACTCCTCTGAAATGGGATCGTTAGCATGGGTTGATCAGCACAAATGATTGTGGGGATTCTCGTACATTTGACAGTTCCGTGTATGCTCCCTGGATCTCGCCAAATCCAAGCTGCAACGCTGCCATGCACGCTTCATTGACCTGGTTCACAGCGCCTGTTCCTTCAGGGTCGAGCTCGGAAACAGCAGCTCGGCATTGGTCAATGAGACCATATGCTGTCGACAAGTTGCCCATGGCCATGCTGTACGCCTCTTCCGGGATCGCTTTGATGCCGTAGGTGTTGTTCATGGCGAATGTGGGCCAGAACGAGACCTGGCTTTCCGAGTCAATGCAGCCATTGATAATTCCTAGTGTCCCAAGCTGCAGGGCCATGTCGTTTTCGTTGGTGCTACTTCCGTTGGCGACGAGCTCGTTCTGCTGCTGGATATGGGCTACGGTCGCAGGCGCGAAGAAGCCTCCGTACTTTGATGCTGTTAGCTCCTATCACATCGACGTGCAACCGTCTTCGTAGCATTATTCGACTTACAGAAATTGTCCAGAAATTAATCTCTGGGTTCGTGGTCGAGCGTTCCGGGAACCTGTGCCACACACCCATCAGCAACATCGGACAAGACACGCATCCAAAGACCGCCTCTTACTCTTGAAACCACACCTGAGCGATCTGCCACATCTGTTTCGCAACTTGAGCCGTGGTATTGACAGTGCGGCTCGGGGATTGGCTTGACATCGTGGCCAGGAAAGTCGTCTGATTCGTCACAACGGTTTGGTTCGCATTGTCCAAAGGGGTAAACTCCTTGGTGTTCGTATTGAACGTGCCGTTCTGGATCTCCGTATACGAATAACCAGTTTGTACTGGCATGTCAATGTACAGCATGTTGCTATTGAGATTCAACGACAACTTGTTTAGGGTGCTACTGTTCGAGTCCGGGTTGATGACGCAGGGGAAGTTGCTCTCCCCGCCGTCCAAGAAAGATGCACCAGGTCCCCCCGGCATCCATATTGTCGTTGGCGCATTCGCGGGATTGTTTCTTGCCTCTGCATCGTAATTAGCTGTCTATGCCATTATCGCGATCAAAGAATTGGTCGGCCTACCAAAATACCAAAAGAAAATGCTGGCATTATAAGAGTTGTCCGCGACAGGCAAAGTTACATATCCAGAATAGCTGTTCACACCCGGGGTAGTGTCGCAAATGTCCGTCTAGATATCTCAGAAATTAGTTACAATGAAAGACAATACCTTCAGCAACGAGATCTCTTGCTGAACTCAGGTGCGGTACCTTTTTGTACGAAATTGATGAACCTGGGTAGTTGACAGATTGTACAATGGCGACATCATTTGGAAATGGAACGAAGGACTCGACCGCCACGAAGGCCGAACCAAGCAGGGAACCGAGAATCGAAACTCGAGAAGCGAACATTGCAGGAAGCTTTTAAGTTGCTGAGCGCAGAAAAAGTGCAGTGTAGGACAAGTGAATAAATGCAGTTGTTGATGAATGTGCAAGTATGGCTGGAACAGATCATATGGTCTTATGTTCAAGTTGAGCGTCGTCAACTATTATATGAATTCCATTGTGCGTCGTGCTTGGAGTTTTGGCGACCGGACCAGTAGGATAACACGGAAACAGCCACCTATTTCCAGGCTACTTACCAATTTCGGAAGGGTACCAGCTGCGGCGTACACACGGCCGCAGTAGAGGCAGGAGGCTGTGCAACACGTCAGCCCTAGGGTGGGCGTCAGACGGCACATGATTGGCTCGTTCGCCAAAATCATTCCTCCAGCCAGCAGAGGAGGCTAAACTGGAGTGCTGCGGCCAGGCAGTAATAAGAAGCACGAGCTTCCCTGTCGAGGGATTTAGATCACAATGAAATCCTCATTACAAATAGAGGAACACCAAAAGTTTAGTAAACGCGTGGGTCAACTGGTAAACACGGCGAAAGACGTCAAACCCGAGACACAGTACTCTCATTGGATTGAAACTACTTCAACTAATTATGAGCGATGGATTTGAATCCAAGACCCTAATAATCACTTCAAATAATGAGAATTAAAGCTTTCAGTTTACACTGCAGACATTTCTATGTTTGGTATACATGTGGCACATGAAGTTGCATTTAGTTGAGGCAGACGCAGCCAGCTAGTCTCACAACGAGCATGCACCTTATGGGACCTGGCATTTCTTTGAGTTGCTGCTTTCGTCTCAGACCGTTTGTTCTCTAACCTGCATGTTTATATGGATTTCCTAGTCAAAAGTTGTTGTCCCTTCAAAAGTCCAATTGAGGCTTAGCATTCAGGGTTGAATTTGCTTGTCAACCCCGCGTCCTTCAATTTTGGAGATGGAGATGGACTTGTCGTACTGTCCCAGATGAGTTTTTCCAAGGTGAAATCTGCATATATATCAAACTCGAAATCAAGTTGACGACCAACTTAGAGCATTATCCCTTGTGTGCCTGCGACCTAGCTGCAAGTGCAGTGGCATTTTGCAGCCACACTCACTGTGGCAGGAAAGACCGGGTCTGGCAAATATGCGATTGTTTGTATTCGAAGTGGCCGTATGGCTAGGTTCTGAGTGCAGAAGGGGCAGAGGGCACCCTTTTTAAAGACGTACGGACCACCCTATTCACGTGACCAGTGACTGACCCCCCCAGTGACTACTATACTCACACAGATATATTCATCGAAAATTCGGCCGGGCTGTTCAAAGGAAGGGAAATGGTGTGTTTATTCAATCAAGCCTTTCACGATTCTGTGCTGAGAAACTTGGCATGGATTAAGGCCTCTGTGTAAGCTCCTATCACCCGCCCCCGCCCCCCAGCCCTCAGTATGAGTCACAAGACGCAAAGAACATTACAAGACTCTATCCGTCACCAAGAAGAGACGCGGATTGATATCGAGGGAAAAACAAGCTATTTTCGAAAACCCCCATGACGACTCTAAGTCTTGCTAATGATGTTATTGGCTCGTGGCCACACCTCTTAAGCTGCCAGTGAGCTCCAGTTCCAACCTTGGAAGGACGGATCAGGCCAATTTTCAGCCGAAAAGCCCGGTATCTGAAATTATCTTCATACTCAAAGGCTTATTATTATTGGTGCAAGTCGACTGTGCATTCATTGGGCCGCTTGATACTGGCCAATGCGACCAACACCACCATAAACATTGTCTCTGCCCCTGCCGCCCAATCTATCTCCCCTCACACATTAACATAGTATCTATAAGTGAGGGCATTCAAATGTTTCAGCCCGCTGCGCTGCGCGGTTGGGTTCAGCCATTCCATGTCCGAACCACCGCATGTATTGGCTGGACGCTAGTGCTTCCTCCTCCGTTCAGCCCCAGGAACTAGGTGACCCTGAGGCCCTGGAAATAGACCCAGGGTCACTTCGCTCTATGACAGCCCTGAGAAACGGTTCTCGCCAAGATGAAAACACATTGGCCAGAACGCATCTGAGACCCCTGAATTTAGCATCGTGTGAAAGACACTGGTGCTTGGCAAAGGGAGGTCCAGCCCTCTGCCGAGTCAAATCAATACTGAAGTGTGAAAATTGATCGAACATGCTCAACATTGCAAGTAATTATTTCGTAATCACAATATGTTTTCCAATGAAGCCGTCTAGATATAATCAAACAGCCATGAGTGCTGAGCTTCCGAAAACTATACAAGGGGGCAACGATGACCTCCCAAACGATCTCCAGAGACAGCATCAACCTCATACACTTCCGCTCTCTGCTCTACAGCCTTATCATTCTCATACAAAAGTCTAACCGCACTTTATTATTCCAAAATGAAGGCCACGCTCCTCCTGACCATCATCCCTCTCATCGCCTGCGCGGCAGCGAACCCGGTCCCAGATGCTCAGCCCGAGGCCGCGCCCATCGCGGAGCCCATGACTGAGAGCGACTCTGGCCTCTCCAAGCGTGACAACTGGTGCACGCTTTACCCTACCGTCTCCTCTGCTCCCTGCTACTAGGGCTCCGGCACCAATGGCGTCCGCACCACCATCACGCCCACCAGCGGGCGCTTTGGTGTCAGGTGCCTGGTCAACAACAAGTGGGACCATATTCCTGGCTGGGGATGCTACGTTGACCGCAAGTATACCAACACGGGCTGTGAGAGTGCGTTTTTCTCCGTTTTCTTCCCTTGGATGTTTTACTATTTTGTCGTGTCTCTGTTTACTGAAACCCCACCCTCAGATGGCCTTGGGGCCTGTCGTTGAGAGTCTGAGCCTACTCTATTTTCGACATTCTTCTGTGTCCATAGGATTGAATTGAAAGCAGAGAGAGGTGACAAGGGTCAGATTGCCTGAAAATCTCAAATAAAAATCTATATTGAAGTTGGTCCATCACGCAGTCGTTGTGCAATTTGCCGAAGTGACTCTCAGCTCTTTCTTATCACCTCCACATTATGTCAAAGAGCACGTGCCCAGAAATCGGCAGAAGAGTTCATTTGTTTCGTCATGACGTTTGTTCTACAGGAATTTTGAAGGCAAGTGTAGGCCTAGGAGGTGAGAGCCACATGTACAGGTAGAGTACAGACACTTTCGTTGCATTTGCAAATTGTCCAGTCAACTGGTTCACGCCATCGGAACTCACACTGGATATGGCACTTCAGTTTTTCTTGGATGTGTGTGGAAGCCGCCAGGGCACTTACTTGATTTACTTTTGGCCATAAGGTTTCGCATACACCTACCACGAATATCAACGCTGTGCACGCGAGGTTTTAGGAATCTGCGTTCTCTCCCTACTTGTGTCCTATGTCCCCCAATACCTCATACACCCCGCCAACCTGCCTGCACAGGCCACATTATAGAAGCTTGGGGGTTGCCGGCCCAGGGTGTTGTTTCTGACTTTACCCTTCCCAAGATCTTTCGTCCCATCTCTTAGCCGAACTCAACTTTGTAATATGCCCTGTCACGCACAATAAAGGTTCGTAGGAAAAATTTCGGAACGGTCGGCAATTCTATTCAGAGTTGGAGTAAGCCCCAACCGCCAGTCACGACCGCGGAAGATGAACCGAGATGCGAACTTCCCTACCGGGAGTGATGTCCAGGCGGGTGCTTGGAAATGGAGGCAGTCTCCAGATTAAATGCAAATTTCTTCGAAATGTTGATTAGCACTGTACCCAAAAATGGTAGTCAACCCCTTTGCCCTGGAAGCTCACTCTCTCCAATCCCGAGTCCAGAACTAGGGTTGATCACTGCCTAGATACAGTGGGTTCTAACGAAACCCGTGACAGTAATGGCCATGGGAGTCAGCCCGTATTGGTGATTGGAGTAGTGACAGAGACGTCTGGGAGCAGACTCTCAAGGATAAGGCAACAAGCCAACTAGTTTCTGCTATGGGTTCCACAACGCCGAATCGAATTTTCCTATGTGAAGTTGGATTTATGTGTGGCAGGAAGATGTCCCAAGACCTACGCCAGATGATTGACCTATACAAAAATGTACACCAGACGGGTATTACGACAACCCGTGGAGACCCCTCGGTATGAATCTCAGAAGCCCGATGCTGCCTCTGAGATCAACTGATATGTACACACCCATCAGACCCGCGACCTTTTATCCGTCTTCTCTATCAAAGCCTGGTCAGTCCTCCAAGCTTGGTCTAAAGTGTACTTCTTAACAAAGAAGCTGAGCACGACTGTGACTGCGCTAAAGCCAGCCACGTAATACCATAGACTTTGTAGGCTTTCTGAGTATGCTTGGACCAGCTCGTCCCTCATGGCTGAGGTGGCCGGCAGTGACTTCAGAAAGGCGATGAGGCCCTCTATTTGATGGCTGAACTCATCCGCCAGCGGCCCAATGGTCTGCATACCAACGGCGACTGCTCTAAAACGGTTCTGGAGGATCGTGCCGCCGACAGAGACACCGATGGCCTGGCCGAGAGACCGGCAGAAGGAGAAGAAGGAGGCTGCAGGCCCGGCGTCTTCCGGCCGACCGGCAGCCTGGATGGCAACTGGCACGGTCGTGAAAAGCACACCGGTAGATATGCCAATAGGTATGTTGAGTAGAATCCAACCAAAGACCAACGTGTTGTGGTCGAGCAGGCTCAACAGTACGAATCCAAGGACTGTTATAGCCCACCCTAGTCGAATGAAAGTGCGATATTCGCCGGTCTTTGTTGCTAGAAGGCCTGCTATGATGCCCGAAGCTACGAGCCAAGCCAATGTGTTAGGATTCATCCTGTGTTTTACCCAAGGGACACATTGAGGAGCCATAACTTACCAACAATTGTGATGCTCTCCGGCATTGCTGATAGTGCAGTGGAAATAGTTCCATAGAACTTGACAGCCTCATAGTAAATAACCAAAAAGTAAAGTAAACACCACACCACAGCTCCGTGCGCCATGGCCAGCAAGAAGCAGATGACCATGCTTCTGTTGTTAAATATGGTGGGTATAACGATTGGCTCCTTCGCCAACATGAACTCATACACCATAGTGAAGATTATTCCTTCAGCCCCCTGGACCATTGGGAACCATGTGTGCCAGTCGCCCCATGCGTACTGAACGCCACCCCACGACAGGCCGATCAGGAAGCACACAAGTGACCCGGTCAGAGCTGTGGCGCCGATCCAGTCGAATCGTCGCAATTTAGGTATAACGTTACCGGGGACAGGTGTTTGGTTCAGGTAGAAGGTAATGGCGAGAAATCCAAGTACGGCGAAGGGGATCATGACCCAGAAGATCCATCGCCATGTCGCCTTCTCGACTAAAACGGCACCGAGCAATGGCCCTGAGACCATCCCAGCGGCCCACGCTGGAACAAATAGGAATGTTAATCTGGAAGCCATCCATGGTATCCAACACAAAGCAAAGGTTGCACGTACCTGAGCCGAGATATCCAAGATATTTTGCACGATATCTCAAAGGGACCAGGTCCGTGACCGTCGTCTCAGCTAGCGTAATTATACCGCCTCCTGTTTCTCAAGGATCAGTGCCTCGCTCTCTACCGAAGACTGAGTCTCGGAAGACTGACCGCCAATCCCCATAATAGTACGCCCCGCTAGCAGAACGGTGAAGTTTTGAGCCTGGCCGGAGATGATACAACCGGCACCGAAGAAAACGCAGGATATTTGTATCATCTAAGTAGGGCGGATCAGCGACATACTGTAGGGGTTCTGTTTTGTTTCGGGGAACTAAGTGTATCAAATTATCCAGCCAAGATGGCCCAGGAAGAGAACGGGGATTGAACGAGGGAAGAAGGGTGTTTGCGTACCAACTTCCTGCCAAAAAGGATACTGAAGGAGGCGAATATTGGCTGGGAGACCGCAGAGGCTAGAAGAAAGCTGCTTCCAGTCCAGAAGGCCTCAATGGACGAGCCTTTAAGCTCAGAGGCGATGGTGGGAAGGGCCAAGGCGAGGCATGCCGCTTCGAGAGACACGCAGACGCTGACGACGATCAGCGACCCAAATGCAAACATGAAGGCCCTCGAGGGCCGCCACCCCAATTCGACCTCCGTGGCTAGGCTGGGCTTCAGTCGTGTTTCACTTCCAAAAAGGACCAACAAGAATGGCATGTACCTTGGTTTTCTTCTTCAATTGGGGCACTGGTAGGCTGCAAGTAGCCCTGCTGCAGGGCTCGCAACGCTGACTGTCTCGTGCTCACCCTGTCGGTGTAGGGCGGCGGAATGTATGAGTGTCTGCTATTGCGGCCACCGGGCCAGATATTGAGAGGGGGACGAGGAGTCCCAGGGCGGTCTGCGCCATATTCGCCCGTGAGGATTTCGGTGTACTGAGATTCGTGCTGCGGCTTGTATCGAGGATATGTATCGTCTATTACAGAAGGTAATGCCATGTTGCTAACGGATCATTCGTGTTCGTGTAGCGACAGATGCAAACAAAGCACAATGCTGGCCGGACTAGCCACGACAATAGAGATCGTCTTGCTCTTCTTCATTGTTTAAAGCTATATAAGAAAGCTACAGGCCACTCAGAAACCTCCCGTGTTGATCCCTGTCAACAACCAGGTCGTGAGCTGACGGTGTAAGGAAGGCAAGCATATCCTGGAGCCTCCTCGTCCCTACTTTGGGTTGTTAATGGCATGCTTTGGGCCGGTCATACTGCAGCGACACCTGTCATCTGATCGTCTGAACTTCTGGTGCGGCAGTTGGTTCGGCGGGGGATCAAGAATATACATGCAGGTTGGAATCACGCACCCCTCTCGCTCAATTTAGACAAAACGAGCTACAAATTGCCACGGCTCCAAGTCAACATTGTTACTATCGTCGTCGGCGCAAACGCCTCTTCTCGTCGAACCTTGCGTGGAGGGCGGGCACCACGTCGACGTCCAGGAAGCCCCTTTCCTTGTCGTTCAGAAGCTAGGCCACAGTCCCATTCCGAGCCTGGACATGTGAATGGCTGAGGGGCTGGAATTCAATTCGGATTTTCCAGGGATGAGGGCTGTAACAGATGCGGATTATAACACTAGAATCTTCGGGTTTAAAGTTGAGCCTCAGGTCGTCCGGATGCGGAAAGGAGTGGAAGAGACTCTGCGATCTGATAGGGGGTTGCGTTTGCGGGGATCGACTGTGACCCCGGGAGTGGACGTCGCAGCCGTGTGACGCCGAGGCGTTGGCGTGGAAATGTGATATGCCGCGCCCATTATGATTACCAGATCAGGATGCATTGCGACCTACAGGCGCAAGACAACGCATCCTGCAATCACCAAGGCTCCATTAGGGGGAGGCTGGCACCGAGGCCCACATGGGCGGGAGTGTCATCTCGCAACGACATATGATCTTGAGGGGTTACTTTGCGATGCGGGATCACGTCGACTGGCAGGCTGACTGGCCACCCGGAAGTTCCACGGAACGATGGGCCAGGCCGCGACTGCGTACGCCACTCCAACGAGACGTCATCGTGCCAAGGCTAAGGGTCGCTCAGGTGGTATTCGGCTCGATTTAGACTGGATTGCTGCATGTGCTCACGCGACAGCCTCCGAAGTTTCAAAAGATTTGCGGCTGGAAGCTACCTGCTGCAAAAGGTGCGTGAGCACGTGTGCGATTCATGATAGGTGCTGAACAGAGCTCATGCGTGGAGATTCAATGTCATTCATCCCATGGGGGATGTAATGAACTAAATAGACCGGGCTTTCAAAATAAAGGATGAAGTGAACCAGCAGAGTATCGGGGATGACTTCAGGCAATCGGCCATTGGCCTGGACACTCCTTTCGGCTGAACTGCCCGAGCACGGAGTTTGGGTTTGCGCTCGAGCACTAAACAGCAACGTCCCGGTGCCGACGAAACAGGAACCCCGGAGCGAAGGCCAACTCGCTCGGTTGCTACAAGGCATGTGCCAGCTTGGCGCGTAACGGCTTGTCCCGACCACAGGCGTTTATTGCGAGTAGAGGAGACGTCTGGCTTCGCCAAAATCCCCGGCCCAAAGCCGGCAACCCACCCAATGAGATCTCAACAGCAAACGAACTAGGTAGGTTGAGGATATTGATACATGAAGGGAAATTACTTGAAAATCTCACGGCCAATCAAAGTCGCAGGGCAACTGAGTCCTTCTGTGCTTGGGCCTGATCATACTTTGGAAGGAACCGGCGTCTTAGCATTTCAAAGTTTCTATGCATTTGAGCACACTGCCACCGAAGAGCCACTTCCTAGATACATGTATGCGGGCTTTTGCCTTGCTGAGAAACAGTGGCAGTGGCAGTGGTGTTAAGCACCTCAACACACTTTGCTTTCAGCCCGAGCAATAAATACAAATAGAAATACAAATAGCCCCAGATAGCCCTTTTTGAAGAGACACAAATCATGCATTCTCCTTTCTCAAAAAATCAGATCGTGTCCATTTCTCTTCCGTCCTTAGGAGCACCATGTGCCCACAACTTCTAGGGTTGCCATCACGCTGCCAATAGTATAAAGTGAATATAAAAGGTGCCTATGACTGCTAACTCTTCTGACTTGTAACATGTGATTAGGCTTCTGATCGAAAGTGGGTAAAATTACTTATCTCTGATGATCTTGATCGCTGTTGACAAGCAAACGTGACCTTGTCCCCATAATGCGTGAGCGAGGGACGGCATCGCGTGAGCAATGCCGGTTCGCAAAGTCCAAAATAAAATGGATACAGAATGCACTCAAGGTTTAAGCACGTTGCTGCAATCGGTAGGCTGGTCATTCTACCTGGATACCCTGCTCGCCTGGAGTTCGGAGCAACATGAGGGCACCATCTATCAGTTGGCCCATTCAGTGGCGGATAACTTGGACTGAATGGACTGCGAGTCACAAGCCTTATGGAAGATCCTGACAAGCAGCACATTGTGGCTCATTTAACCCTCCTAGCATCAACTACCGAGTGCTCACGGAATCAATAGTCTCGCGGCGTTTGTGCGTAATGCGTTTTCCACAACTTGTGCGAAACGCGCCTCTGGGTCCCGCTGCATAAAATCTCAAAGTTTGTATCGAAATGGTTTTGCGGGTGCTTTTAAAAACGTGTTTTGAAGGCCGCATAGCTACAAGTATGAAGTCAGCGTAGTATCGAAAGAAATACGTGCATCAGATGAGACTATCTGGGTAAGCTGTTCGTGAAATAAACACAGGAATCGAGCCTCTGTGTCATATCAAGCGGCGCATCGCGCTGATTATGCACCAAGAAAACAATTCAACACTGAGAGACGAGGAGCTGAAACAGTAAAGATAGTTTCAAAATGCCGAATACGCGTGCGATAAGGGACAGTCTCAACGGCACCTCGTGCGTCGCCATAGCGCAGCCGCGTGCATCAAATACAACGATAGGCGCTAAGCCGAGTATGGCCGTGTCAGATACGGCAAAATTGATGGAAACAAATAAGAAAATCTGGAGAAGGTTATCACTCTGACTTCCGGTGGCATTATGGCCTGGTCATGCTAAGCACTGAGATGATATGGCCCGTTTAGGCGCGAGCCTGATAACTAACCCAAAATGACCACTAGACTACCATATGGGAGCATAATCTGTGCAGCCCAAAGCTGCAATGATTCATATTAAATCTGCACGTCAGAGTAGTCTTGCATTATGAATGTCATTTATAAGATCTTATGGTGTGATTCAGCCTAATTTTACAGCACGCTGCGGAAGTCCTGGTTGCAGGTCTGTTTGGGATCTATCCAGTCTGAATTAATTGCCATCGAAGCCAGTAACCACACATAGAGTGGCGAGTGATGGTCATCGTTTGCCAACACGATAAACAATGGGAAGCAGGCGTGTGGCTACATGTGCATGCGTTTCAGCACTCCGCCCAATGGCCTCTAGTCTGGTCTTCTCGCTTACAACAATAAGACGAAGTTGCAAAATTTCGCTATTCAATCAAGTGAATGAGAATTTTGAGATGCGGCTCTAGTTGATCTCCGTTCATAGTTGGTTTCGAGTCCTGCACAGACAGTGCAAATGAAGCCTTGGTAGTGTATTTCCATTTCCATTGCTGCTGCGTTGATTATTGTCCGAAGTCAACTAAGGTCAGATCATATCAGACAGAATGATACAATTTGAAGTCCACCTTCTGAGAAGCTTTGATAATTCTGATTGTGCATAACTCAATCGATCCCACGGTCCGGACTTATACGGCCGTACGTTGCAAGGATCTCTATCTGGCGGCGACGGAAGTATGCTGGGTTACCCGTGCAGGCGATCTCGATCCTGGCTACCATGATTGCGACGGCCGCGAATCAGCAGACAGGACGGGAACGCAACGGCCACCGAACCCGGAAGGTATTTGCGCTCGTAAGTGAATGAGAAGCGGGTAGAGCCCAGAGAGCACCGTGAAGCGCGGGACGCGCGGGACCAAAGCCACGGCAAAGTATTCATGTTCGAACTCCGATAACTTCTCGTCTCGCCGTTCAGATTACCGACCTGCATCAGGTTGCTGTGTCTGCCCAACAAGAATATCGGACATCGAAATAGGACGTTTGAGGATTAAAAACTCCTTTCCCAAGGCTCAGGGCTAAGCATTCTCCTACCAAGATCAAGGGGAGAATTGTAGTAATTACAATATCAGCGTTACGCCACTTCACAGCTCATTGAATGTTTTCTGAGTGCCCAATACTAATTTAGTGGCGGTGTATTGCCCCCCGGAACAACTAACAGGAAAACTCTACACATCCATTGCCAAAGTCGTTGATCGACTCGCAACTCGCTTTCAGGGGTTTTCTTCCTCCCACACACTTACTTCACTTAAAGTCTCGAAAACTACCAGGCCATGAGTCAGACTATGTCAACAGGTGGCCTGGGCCTTGCCACCCGAGATAGCTCGCCGCCACGGGCACGCCAAAAATACGGTGCAGCTTGTGAGGAGTGCCGGCGGCGGAAATTACGATGCGACCGGCGCCGCCCTCAATGCGGTGTTTGCCAGGCCTCTGGTATGCAGTGTCACGTTGCAGTATCTCGTGCTCTTCGGGGCCCCAAGCCTGGATACATCAAAGACCTCCAAGCCCGCATTGGTAAGTCTATTCTCTATGATTCTTGAGAAGCATACCGGCGAAATACATGTACCTGCAAATGACGGACATTTAGCTAACTGCATAAGGATCAAAAGCCGCTCTAGAAGGATCCATTACTCAGGCGAACCAGCAACAAAATTTGACCAGCTCTGATGCTTGTGTCGATGATATGACAGTCAACGTTTCCCAGGCGCCGCTCGCCCTGTTTTACGTTGGTGAGCCTCAGGCTCTGAAGCTCGATATTCCCTATTATCGTGGAGACTCGATTCAAGCACAGCCTGTGACTGCATCTCCTTTAACAACTGTCGGACTACCTTGGGAAAACACTCTCGTTGCAAGTCAATTGTCCCCATCAGACATGATGGATGGCTCATCGGTGTCTGCACTGAACTATAGCTTGTCCACTGGTGAATCGCTCATGTCAAACCCAATTAACAACGTTGCTTATACCTCACCGGTTAGTCCGATTATGGGCAGGAAAATGTCGTCGGTTTCAACAGCGCATTCATCAACCTGGTCCGACGCGTATGCAGGCACATCCCGAGATAGCCCTTGCATGCCCAGAAAAATGTCAACTGTTTCCCCAGCTCGTTCGCCTTCCGGCTCGGTCGATTCCGCCGACTTTCAGTCATCAAGTCCCACTCAAATAGATTTGTATATCTCAACTCTTCTCATTATGTCATAGACGAATGGACACACCCCATGCTGACAATTTGGTACTTTAGAGACCAAGTTTACTTGGAAAAAGTCCACCATTTCGCGCCGATCATCCACCAGCGTCGATACCTATCTTGGAGTCGGAGACCAGACAAGTCTGCATCCCAGACCGCTCTACAATATTCCATGTGGGCCTTGGCAGCTTCCGCAGCACCAGAATACTCCCAGATCAACGTGGACCGATTGTACCACTGCGCCACACGAGCTTTGCAAGCAATAGAAAACACCGGTGGTCCCGGAGGTTTGAAGCAATCGAATGATCTCGAGTAGGTACAGGCTCAATTACTGTTGTCCATGTACGAGCTCAGACATATAGAATTCCGTCAGGGATGGATCACGGCGGGATGCGCCTTTCGCTTGATCCAATTTGGCTGGTTCCAGGATCTTGTTTCGGGACTGAACACTTTTCCTGCTTCCATGGACTGGACCGAGCTGGAGGAAGAGAGAAGAACCTTTTGGCTTGCATATTACCTCGACCGCATTATCAGCCTGCGAAGTGACTCATCTTGCACTTTCGGCGAAGAGGTCAGTTTGGAGCCCATCATGGTCTCGAGCAATGTTGACATTAACTATCATCAGGCCTTAATCCCCTTGCCGGTCCCTGACGCCAACTTTCAGAACGGCATACCCGCCGTCACGGTATATCTCACCGACTTTCTTGGCAATGGGGAACATGCAAGCGAGGTGCTGTCTTCGGACTTTACCGAGAGCATCATTCTGGCCACTATCTGTGGCTATGCATTATCGCACTGCCGGCAACTTCTCCTGGAACAAGCCCAGTGTCACGGAATGGATCGTTTCTGGAGTCGCTACCGTCACATCAACGCCAGGCTGACCAGACGAGCCGACCTCTCCGCGACGTGCTACCCCACACAAGCCGAAGAAACAGAGCCGGCGCTGCTCTTCCAGAGCATCATGTGGCGTACAATCATTTTGTACATGTACCAGACCATGAACTTTGCCGTGGCCTTTGTAGACGAAAAGCACCCGGGCCTGGAGTACTTCCAGGAGGCCTCTACTGCGGCGCAGAACCTGGTGATCTTGACCGACCGCTTACTGGAGGTCAATTGTTCAAAGGTGAGCAAGGGGCCTGACAGCCTCGGACAATGCCTAGTCACGTTAGACCGGGCTGACAAAACATCACAGTTACACCCTCTCACTTTAATACCTCTGAACATGTGTAGTAAGCTTTTAGAAGCATGGCCGGACCTTGCGATGTCATTTGGCAACAAATTTCGTAGCATGTCAGAAGCATTGCGAGGTCCGACCGATCTTCCCCTGGTTTCTAACTTCTCATGGGAAGGGAACAGAGCCCCGGAGATTACAGTTAGAGAGTAGGGCATATCAATGAACAATAGACATCTGACCGTTTCAAGAGCATCAAAATGTGTCCCCGTAGATATTCAGAGTTTCAATATTCCTAAGGCTTAATCCTGCATCTTGTCCCACTTAGTAGGTCCATGTCCATATTACTGGTGTACCATTCGCCCGCTGCCACCCAGGCATTGATTCACCAAGCAAAATGACACTACTCATTTCCTCGTCGTTTTGGTCAGTAATGTATTCGCTGAACGATACCATCGTCTGATAGTGTGGAGGCCCTGAACGTGCCTGACATTCTATGTGATGAAGAGCCGCTTTTCGTGAGCCCCTGAACCATACCAATTCTGGCTTTACAAGCCCCTGCAAAAGGTACCTGGCATTGGTGCGCGCGTCATGGACCCGGAGCCGTTTCTTTTTGAGCCTCTTTAGCGCCTTGTCAGTCCTCGATCGCTGGACCCCTAACTTAGGTCTCTTTCCCCCTGAGCACAGACAGCAAAGTCGTGAGCGTCATAACCTGTTAGAAGTTATGGCCGATTGAAGAACCAGGGCGCAAGTAGCAAAGATATTAAAATCGGCAAAAATCATTACATATCAAGACTTTGTATACTCAAGCTACCTCTTGTCGCCTCATGCTATTCGCTGATGCTCGACGCGTCCTTACAGCCAATGCAATTTTAACCAGTGCACTTTTTAAGAGTCATCATGAAATCTGTGCCATTTTACCACGTGCTTGACTTCTTTTACGATGACGAGGACGGCTGCGCTCTCACGATCACTCGGAATTCGGTTAGATTCCATATCATTGCTGACGGCAAGCAACTAAAGCGTGAATCTGACGCGGAAGAGGGCCGGGAATACTTTCGGCTGCTGCAAAGCTTGCGAGATTCTGAGCGAAATGAGGATGAGCAGACCTCAATCGACAGTGGCGTGGGTCTTCACACGACTGACTCCGAGTCCAAGCGAAGTGGAACGACTTGTGAAAATACTGAGGAGCAAATGCGCAAATGGATGTTAGCACCCGTGTCTGCACACCTCAACAACCTCGCCCCTGACCCATCGCCGTCCGATGAACAGACTCAGACCCTGGAGCAGTGGTACTCTTGCAAGACGCACTTTTTCAACCTCGAAATCGTCGACCAGGACCTTCAAGCCGTCGAATTGGCATCATCAGAGGACCTTGAGGAAAGGATGACGAAACTCAGGCCACACCTCGCGCCTGTACCGAAATACATTAGCAACATTGACGTGCCTTGGTACTCTTCCGCCGACCTCGCAGTCCTTGAATGTGCGGACACACCAGACCCGTACCATCCGTGTCTTGTAAAGCACCAACAGAGCGGCGAGCAAATGTTTTTCAAGACAGTCGATAACAACAACATTCAGCCTATAAAACGAGAGATTCACATTTTGGACAAGATAGAAAAGAGAGGACTAAGACAACAGTTCTATTGTCCGAAACTCTTGGGGATTGTAACAAGCGCCACGCCAGCCGAAGCCGAGAAGAACAGCAGGAACTCCATCATGGGCTTCCTACAGACAGCAATTGATCAACCGACGCCGCTGACCACAAAACTGGACTCGGCAATACCGCAAGATAAACGAGACGCCTGGGCTCGGAAGGCTGACGAGGCGAAGAAGACCTTGCACGAAAACGGCATTATCTGGGGAGATGCTAAAGCGGACAATTTCGTGGTGGACGCGGAAGAGAATTTGTGGATTATAGACTTCGGCGGCAGCTATACCGAGGGCTGGGTTGATCCCGAGATCGCCGAAACAAAACAGGGTGACAACATGGGAGTGAAGAAAATAGTCAATGCGTTGAGAGACCCCGACGAAAACGTTGCTGGCAACGAAACCAGCAAAGACGGCGAACATACGAGAGTCACGTCGACAATTGGCCGGACAAGGAAACGGGTGGACGGATCCCATGGTATACGCGATGGGAAAAGGCGCAAGATGGGTTCATCTGAAAAGGTCGAGAAGGCAGAGGAAAATAGATATTGTTATTGTGGGGGGATAAGTTCTGGACAAATGATAGGCTGTGATGGCCGAGGCTGCGAGATGGAATGGTTTCATGTCGAGTGTACTGACATCACGGCGCTGCCTGCGAAGGAGGAGGCTTGGTATTGCGACGCCTGCAAAGCATAGAATTCTACCCAAGAGACGATAGATATCCGCCAACGGCAACCTCGTGACCCTCAATAAAACACCCAAATCATGCTCTTCTGTCAGGCCATGCATTGTATAGGCCCTCAGTGACCGTGACATCGCTGAAGCTCACATTGCCAGCTCCGTCGTGGAAGAAGCTGATGATTCTTGACGTCTCATACCACGATCTATTGAAGTGTTAGTGTGTGTTCGGAGAGTTTTCTCGATTTTGGTCTTGCAGCGGGAGGCCAATCTCTTACCTTATCCAGGTTCCAAGGGCAAACCTTCCATTGGCGTGTATCTCGACAATGGAGTTGTCGACCACAATCGTCAACTCCAGAGTTTCTATCTTTTCGTCCCCGCCTTCCACGACATCAAAGAGTCGCAATTTTCCTGCCTCGTTCCTAACATCGATGCCGGCAGACGACTCCGCAGCGGCACTCGAGTTGCTCCTGTCCACGATGATCGACTCGTTGGAGAATTGGTAGTAAATCGTGGTCGACTCGTATTCTGACGAGAGGATCTTAAATCCGGCTTTGAGATCGGTTTCTCTTGCAGACTGGGGGAAGCTCAGGTTTGCCGTCACGACAAAGAACTTGGTGTCTGGGGATTGGGCAAATGTTGTCGAGCCAGGGCTGCTGATCGTCTGGCCTGGCTCGGTGAACGAGTTGTTTCCAGCCAGCAACGCAGCCAAGGGTTCTCGCGCAATGTTCTGCTGCAGGGTCCTCAGTTCCAAGAGACCACTTGACGTATCGTTGGCAGAAACACTCCAGGAACCAGTCTCTCTTGAGAGATCGTTGTCGACGACGTTGCTGACAGTACCAAGACTGAGCTCGCGAGGCAATAGTAAAGCTCCAGTCCAGTTTTGCGCAGCTGGGAAGCTCTGAGTTCCGTAGAAGTTGCCCGTGAGCCAGACGTACGAGATAAATCGGTCAGGCGCACCACTATTCGTGGATGCTACCGACGTGGCGGGCAGGACTTTGCCGGCTGCGGCGTAGGCTGAATGACCCCAGTCAAGCTTTCCTGCCATAGTTGGAATGAATTTGGCTTGGCTAGTGTCAGACAGGGACAGGTTGCCAGCTGCCCAGAGCATTTCTCTGTAATCAGAGACCTGGGGCACAATTGGCTCGAGAGACCACTCGGCACCAAGAGTGACGAAAGTCTGGCCGTCCTCGTTATATCCCTCGTCATCAAGAGTGAATACATTGCCGGTTTCGAAGTTGAAACCCCACCGGCCTGCGAAGTCGCCGTTACCCCACGTCGAGTTGGCAGTCTCGTGCCACCACGGGCCCATTTCTTCCCAGTACTGGAAATCCACATCGTGCTGACGGTACAAGAACTGGCTTGGGCCGTCACCGTGAACACCTCCCGAGATGACGACGTACCAGGCTTCTTCTGTGCTGTTGAGGAGGGTGTCCAGCTGTGCACTTTGGAACACGTAGGGGTCGCGGAATCCAGTCACGTTTACCGCAAACGGAGGGGAAGGGATGACAGGTCCCTGCTCGAGCTTTGTGAAGTTCTTGCCCCCATCGCTCGACACTGCCAGGCTCTGCGTCTCGCTTCCGCGCGTGTAGGCGATCGTCCACTGAATTGGCAGGTACGAGACGGAGGTGTACAGCAACGTTGGCAGGCCATTGATGCCACTCGGGATGACCGACCCGTCGAACACGGCTATGGGGTCATTGAGACCGCCAGCCACGATGAATGGGTCGCCGTTTGCATTGATGTCCGTATAGGTGACAAGATCGTCTGTAGTCGCTCCGGATCCGCCGTTGAAAAGATAGCCAACATGGAAGAGGCCTGTCGACGGATCCGTGTAATGCATACATGGATCGCCGATCTGGCCGAAGGGCGGTAATACGTGGGCTTTCGGCCTCCACGTCGAGAACAGTGAGGTATCAGTGAGCGTTGACAGGTTAGGAGGCGCAGAGTTGTAGTCGAGCTGCGCAGCTGCCCAGGAGGCCATGCTCAGAACGACTGCCGATCTCATCATGACAACACAGGCAACGTACCAAGCCTCTACTATGCAGCTAAGGTGTCAGGGACAGAAAGGGACGATGCATCGAGGCATCGTGAGATTTTGACTATACCGCTACATTCTCGCTCCGATAATCAGCCGGACGGTGTAGGGATTTGGACTAAAGTGACCCATCCCTACTAGCCAATTCGGGGCAAGGACATATACACCCTCGGCAGTGAGGCGGGAGTGGAGACTGGAATCTCCTCATCCTCGCAAATATTCGCGGGAAGCCCCCAAGCTAGACGAGACGAAGAAAAACACAATTCGATGTCTCCAATTTTGTTTAGTAATTGTAAATGGCAGTCTGTCACTGCCTGCATGGGATTACTAGTAGTTTTGGGGACGGGCACATCTGCCCAAGGCGCTCCTTTTCTATAACTGTACTTGTTCAAGTCTTCCTGACTTGAAAAACACCACGTCAAGCCTTCAGGAGAAGCACATCAACAGCTGAGAAAAGCCAGCGGAGATCCTACGTTCCGAGAAATATCCTATACGACAGTGCACCACGAGCGTTGCCGTCTTCTTAGGCACTCCCCTCGGCGCAGCAATAATCACGCGCTTCCTCATCCGCCAACTTGCCAGCCCGCGGTGGTACGACGGGGTATTCATGCGCTTTCTGTCTCCGTGGTCTCTCATCGGTCTCCTGTACACCATCCTTCCTCCGTTTGCGTCTCAGGGCCGCAAGGGGCCACAGCAGATCGTTTCGGTCGTCCGCGTTGCTGCACCGCTTGTCGCCTACTTCGTCATCTTCTCCCTGACCCTCTGGCTATCGCGCCGCGTCGGCTTCACCTACTCACTCTCGGTGACACAGAGCCTCACAGCCGCTAGTAACAATTTTGAGCTAGCGATTGCCGTTGCGATCGCGGCCTTTGGGCCGGATAGCCCGTGGGACCCTCGACCGAGGTCCGGGTCCAGATCTCGCTTGTGTAGCTGGTTCGTTCGACATCCAAGCCATGACGATTCAAAGCATGAAGTCAGCAGGGCCTCTCAAGTCTCGTTCTGTTCGGCAAGGTGTGATTGAATCTGATCAAACAATGAGACAGATTTATTGAGGCAACTACTTGAAGGGTAAGAAGGGAAGATGAGAAAGGATTTAATGCAGGTATCTCATACATGCTTGACCTATTCAGAACCATGTTGCTTTTCTACGTCAGTCTTAACCTCTTGACTCTAGATCCGTAGATCATTTCGGCGAGTGAATAATTCGTGATGAATATGGAATCCGTGAACCCTTGGCGGCTCTTTCCAGCATCAATGGTAGTATGCTTGTTCATGCCGGTGAAATTGATGAGTTCAAGGTGGTCACCCCGCGAGTGAAAGGGTGGATATATGCATCCAATGACCAGGTTGCATGACCATAAGATGACGCGGATGAATGGCTTTTTCGAAAACCTCCATGCGAGTGCAACCTGGTCGATGCCACGAGCAGCCAGCTGACCCTGTAAAGATGTGATAGAAGCCAACGAGCTGATTCCGGGAATGGGCTGCGCCATTTATAAGCAAAATCGATCACGAGATCTCGTGTGTTTCTTTCTCACAGTGCAGCCGGACTCTTCATGGTTCCCGCGATACCAGAATGGACCGGATACATTGGAAACTTAGACTGCTTCTTGACAGCATGACAAGCGCATTCAATCCAATTTCCGGATTTAGCCCCACCTTAAAGCTTGTTGCCGCGTGCTTCTTGGCAATGGCCGTGAATACGCTGCATGCTATCTAGAAGAAAATGGAATGTTAATTGGAATACTTGATAAATGGCCTACATGGAAAGGAGGAACTTCCACCTCATTGGGCAAAGATGTAGCAATGGATATGAGTTTAGCCATATGTTTATTCTGGAACCCGAGAAGCTGGGTGGGCAATGCAAAGACGTCGATCCCTTTCCCGAGGTGGAGCTGTCAAGGAGTTTAACATTTAAGGTTCCGAGAAGCGTCCCAATATTTGCTGTGGTAAACTTTAACATCGAAAGGGGATGAACACACCATCTTTGTATTGCTCGGAGAATTAAGGAGGGACCGCTCTGAGGGACAGACACCTGTAGAAGTATAAAGAAGCTATGGCCATGACAGGAATATCCAAAAGCGACACTGCAGCAACGCTTACGTTCTGTCTCTCGTATATGGTCTTTTCATCCCCAGTACCGGCATCATGCGTCCATCTGAGCGCCTCATAGCTTCGTGGCTTCTTCCCCTTTGCCGCGGCGACGCAGTACGCGGACAAGTCCCAAATCAAGACTGTAACCACAGATGTACTGCTGGTTGGCGGCGGATCTTCCGGAACCTATGCAGCCATCCAACTACATGATGCGAACAAGACTGTGGCCGTTGTTGAACGTACCGGTAAACTGGGCGGTCATGCAGACTCGTACTATGGCCCGAACGGCAATGTGTACAATGTCGGTGTACAAATCTTTTACGACATCCCGGTCGTTATTGATTACTTCGCCCGCCACGGCGTACCCCTTTTTACAGCACCAACAAATGCCACTTCAAGCACCGTCAACGCGGACTTCTCACTTGGAGTAGCAGCTCCCGCGTCCAACGTGAGCACCACAGAAATCGGCATTGCCATCCAGAGATACGCCCAGTATCTTGCAGCCAATTTCTCCACTGTCTACCCAGGCTACTACCTGCCAGATCCGGTGCCAGAGGACCTCTACATGCCCTGGGGTGACTTCATGTCCAAATACGGTCTCGGCGCCATCGCGAATCTCATCAACACCTACATCCAACCGGCGGAGGCATGGAAAGAGCCCGCCCTGTTTCCACTCAAGCTGCTCAGTCTGGACCCCTTGCAAGGCATCACGTCTGGATTCAAGGTCACGCGCGATGTCAACGACCTCTACCGTTCTGCCGCCTCGATCCTCGGCGACAGCGTCCTGTACAACTCGAGCGTCACCACACTCTGTCGCTCAGATTCCGGGGTCGAGGCCATCGTGCAGACACCCTCAGGCATCAAGCGCATCGTGGCCAAAAAGCTCTTGGTAACGACGCCCCCAGTGTCTGAGAACTTCGGGGGCTGGGACTTGGGCGACGAAGAAACGGAGCTGTTCAACAAGTTTATAAGCCAACAGTACTACGCCGGCGTGATCCGCCACTCGGGCCTGCCACAGGCGACACTCCAGAACGTCGGCTTCACCACCCCGTTCAATATCCCTGTCCTTCCGGCCCTCTTCAACGTCGCCCCGACTGGATTCCAAGACAACACATCTGTGGTGTACTACACCGCCCACGAGCGCATCGAGCCCGAGGCGGTCAAGGCTGACACCGTCGCCACTTTGGAGAGACTGGCTGCTGGTGGTGTCATTGGCGAGTCGGAAACGGAGTTCCTGGAGTTGTTCGATCACCCTCATGTTCGGATGTACGTGTCGGGTGATGATGTTCGTGACGGGTTTTACTCGAAGCTTTACGCACTCCAAGGCCAACGGAATACGTACTGGACTGGCGCTGCGTGGGTGACTCAGGCTTCGTCGCCGATTTGGGACTTCACAAAGAGTGTTGTTTCCGATCTGCTGGCTGGTTTGTGAAAAGTTTGTGGGCTTGATGGCCATCATCGCGGTCACTTTGGATAATCCAACTTGGAAACCATTTGGGGAAAGAGAGTCAGACCAAAAGGCCTAACGATGTGCAGCACGGTAGACTATTCACACCATTCAGTAGCAACACCATTAATAAAAGCGTAATATTTGAACAGCCTCCATGAGACCAAAGGTGCAAGATTTCGTCATGAAGGCTGGACTGATTATGTCTCACCTTGCTTGAGGATTTGGACAAGATGTCGCTCTATGTGGGTACTACTTGAGAATCTCAACTAAGTTGGCTCTTCCTCCTGCAACAAGTCCTTGGCTCTTTCCCTGTTGGGTTGTTGTGACCCTCAAGTCTGTGAGACGGCTCTTTCCTTATTGATAACGGCCATCATGTTCTGTTCTAATCGCCCTTGCATCTCGATTTTCTGGAATATCAACAAATGCTCCCGAGGTCCTCTTCATTTCCCCTCTCTCAGCTCACTTGATGTCTACACAAAGACACCACACGAGTCCCCACCATGTACAGTGCCACTCTGACTACGATTCTCGCCCTCACGGCCATCGTGGCTGCTTTTCCGAACGCATCCAGGCCGTTCGAAATCACAAGTGAACGCGCCACGCGCACCGATGATCTGCCCGACATCGCCTCAATCATTTCCGTTCCGCCGGCCACATTTGTGAGCTACTCAACGGGAAACCTCGTTCGAGACAATCTCCTCAGCAGCCTCACCGGAGCACGCCCGGTGGCCGCAGCCAATGCTGCGAAACGGTGGACCTGCGCTTCGTCACCGACCTTCACTTGGGGCGACGCGGACACTGGTGGCGTTGGCGTGACGATCAGCAATGCAGATTTCGACTGGCGGGCGTTCTACATCTATCAGAACCTCTGCGACTACGTCCCCCTGAAATATCTATGGATTGAGGCCCAGCACACCGTTTTCGTGTCCCTGCCGGCCGACTTCCAGGGACGCATCACACGTGGCACAGACGAGGTACGCACGCGCTCACACCATCTCCCTCTTCAACCTCCTGCTGACCATGTCGCGTAGTGGAACCTCGGCGGCATACCCAGACCCCTCGGAACATGGCTCGAGCTCGCCGTCGATAACCGCAGTTGGATCTGGGGCGACATCTCGCTGATTCGAGGGTGTGACGGCGCTGCGCTGATGTGGGCTCTCGACGGTTCCGGTGCGTGGAAGGGCTTCACCCAGAACATTGTGGACGGTGCCCCTTCCGGCATAACTCCATCTGGTGCATACGACATCAAGCCCTCAGGGCGGTGGGTCATTGCGGCGACAGAGAATTGGGACGGCTCGACCAACATCATCCCGATGACTTGGGATCTCCAAAGGGTCGGTCCGGAGTACGTCTACGTCGATGATGCTCATGGAAGCCCAGTTATCGCATCCCAGAATGGTCGGTTTGGAACTTATTGGCCAGCAGGCATACTTTAGATGATATCCCCGGCCGGCTTCAGATGTTATTCCCAGTCCACCTTGTATTCTCTGCATTTGGATAAAGCAGTCTTTATGCACGTTTTGGATTGTACATATCTTTCTAGGCCGGGCTGCCAGGGTGTTCGTCGGCGTTTAGATACAGATTACCATGCCATAATGGCAATGACTACTTCACCTTTTTCTTTGTTGAACCAGGGTTCAGACTGTGACATGGCTCTCTCTGTAATAAGGCTTGGTTGCGCTAACAAGTCACCGAAACCGTTGCCGTACAAGCAACTGTCGCCGGGCCAAGTCAGAAGCCTTACTCAGTGGGACCGACCATGACTAGTTCTACAGTAACATTCCACGCTGCGAGAACTACCGCAGGTCTCGCCAGGCAACGCGGTGTCTATGATGCAATGAATATTCGGTATCTGCACTAGCCGGCGGGTGCATCCGTTGGATTTATAAGCCGCTTCTTGATAGACGCTCCATGTCACGCAATAGACTCGAAACACTATGTATCGCACATTGAGGGGGGCTTGGCATTTCAAGTAGACCGCAAGTCATCCCAAACGCAATTCCCATCCGCTGCACAACACAACTCGATAACATGGCCTCCAAGTATCAGAAGCTGCTCAACAAGCACGTGCTCATCATCGGCGGGACATCAGGCATCGGGTTTGGCGTCGCAGAGGCGTCACTCGCGTCGGGAGCCCAGGTGACCGTGTCATCTTCCAACCAGTCCCGGGTCGATGCAGCCGTCGAGAAGCTCAAGGCCGATTTCCCAGACCAGAAAGCGGCCGGCTACGCGTGCGACTTGTCCAAGCCCACCGTCGAGCAGGACCTCGAGGCCCTTTTCTCAAAGGTCGGCAAGGTCGACCATATCGTCTACTCTGCCGGGGACAAGCTCGCTGCTGCGCCTATTCAGGAGATTACCTACGACAAGATCATCGCCGCGGGCCAGGTCCGATTCACTGCGGCCTTGCTTGCAGCGAAGGTCGGGAGCAAGTATCTTAATCCCGGCCCTTACTCTTCCATAACACTTACGACTGGCTCTGTAAGCCAGAAGCCAAGACCGACCGTGTGTATAATTACTTCCCTAAACCTTATTGAAAGACTCATCTGACATGACTTCTTGAAGTGGAGCATGGTTGCAGGATTCGCGACAGGTCTGCATGGCCTGACGAGGAACCTGGCGTTGGATCTGAAGCCCATCAGAGTGAATCTCGTGAGCCCCGGTGTGGTGGAGACCGAGCTTTGGGACTCCTCGTTTGACAAGGAGGCCAAGAAGCAGCACTTAGAGGGCATAGCTGAGAAGCTCCCGACGGGCAGGGTAGCTCAGCCTGCGGATGTGGCTGAAGCGTACCTGTTCCTGATGAAGGACCCAAGTGTGACGGGCACGGTGGTGGATAGTAACTCAGGTGCATTCTTGATTTAATGCATGCTCTACGGAAATCTACCGAAAGTACAAATCTTGGTCAAGCTAGAGAAACAGAGTCCTTCATCTTATGCTCTTGTTCCACGCTCTTGGGGCCAGTCTTCTGGGTATCAACCATATCCTTCTGAGTTTGCCACAGCCTGATGAATTCGTCCCTTTCATGCACCAAGTACGTCAAAAGAAACACAATTATAGTCAAGGGGATAGCAGCTACCCAGTACCACCAGAACCGTGGGCCCTCCAAGCCGAACACATCGAATGGAATGCTGAATATCGAAGCCACGCATGCGGGCGGGGCAAACACCATGGCTACGACAGTCAACGATTTAGCCGTCCGAGCTTCGAGAATAGCTATACGGCCGCCGATCATGCCGTTCAGGGCTGCCAGCGACGAGGTCATGCGGGCATAGTCGGCCAGGTGGGCGCGGAACTCGCGGTGGAGGTAAAGGAAGTCTGGAACAGATGAGAGCCAGTCGCCATCGCCCATCGGAGGCTCCTGGGCTCTGTTTGTCGAGACCGCTTCGACTGTTGATGAGGCGTCAAAATTGTCATACGGCTCATGACCCTGGGGGATGCCAAGAGAGTCCAGCACGGCCCCGAGCGCCTCGAGGTACTCCGGGCATTTGAACTGGCTCCATGCCGTCTCGACCTGGTTGCTCTCGTCGATCTCCTCCTGTGTCCTGCGCTGGGCGGCCCATCCGGACGAGCGCATAGAGGCTGTCTGGTGGCTGACAAATCCGAGGAGCTGGCAGTAATGACTGGCTACCAGCTTCCGTGGAAATATCGCTGCTGAAGCAGGGTCTCCTAGGTCTCCGAGGACGTCGACGTGGTTCTTGAAATAGTAGCCTAGGTCGTCCATAAAGGACTTATGCCGTCGCTCTTCAGACTTCCTCAGTCCAAGGATATCGTCGGGGATGAAACCGTGGTAGCCGCCCTCGAAGACCGTCATCTCCAGATCGACCATGGTTTTGTTCAGCAAGACTGTTTTGGGAGCAGGATCGCACAATACCACCGCTGTAAGATGCTGTCAGTCACAGAACATCCTCCGTGTGTCTCCGCCGATTTCAATGTGCACTTACCTGTCCACCCATCGCCGTCCTGCTTCGACCAGAAGGAGCACTTGCGTGGTGCGACCAGCAGCCATCCACGATCGGGTGACTTCATCCACCTGTAGGACTGGATTTGCCTTTTGGTGGAAACACATTCCACAGTGGTGGGGTTGTGACGATCAAAAAGCTCATGACCCGTCTTGTCGAGCTGCCACAACTCGAAATATTCCAAACTGAAGGACCTTCTTGGGCGGGACGTGGTCGGTAACCTTGGGCAGTTGATTGTCTCGTTGAATCGAAATGTCGTCTGGCTCCACTGATGTCTCCTAAAGATGTCCCCCGACATTCCGAGCTTGTCGGTGAGTATCGATTCGAGCTTTTTGAACGTTGTCTTGTTTATGGCAGTCTCTATGATGCACAGGCGGCGTTCTTTTGAGGTCGTCTTGCTCTCACTGGATTCACCGAGAACCCGCTCGAGCTCTGCAAGGCTGTCTGTTTCTATACATCGCTTGAGCTCACAAGAAGTCTCAGCTTCAGCAACTGAGTGGAAATCTAGGATCGAGGCTCTCAGGTCCATAACGGGCATTTGTTTTGTCATATCGCTTGCATTGAAAGGGGTAGCGCTTTTGGAAGAAAAAAAGGTAATGTTTCTCCAAATACCAGATGGGAGCCTGATTGCTTATATGGCTTGCTAAGCCGGTCAGCTGAAGGTACAACACAGCTGCACAGCTGCAATATTTAGCGTAGGATTCTTTCAGCCACCCCGGGCGAAAAATGGCAAAACGCTATTTGCCTACTAAGGAGTCGATCGTATGCAGTGTAACGCCCCGAAACGGTGGTCGTTCATCCCGGTAACGATGAGTCCGCTGTAAGGTTTGACAAGTGGAAAAACTGCGGCGTGCTATGCCTTGAGTGCAATGTCTCGCTACAAGCTGTGGATGTGCGTCGAGCATGCCTAATGATATTCATGCATACATTCACGACATTGAATCGCGTCAACGCACTTAGATATTTTAGGTATTTGTCAATTTGCGTATACCTTGGGGGTCGAAGGTTCAACCATCGCTCTGCATTTTGGGCGCATAAGAGCTATGGAAACCTTCACCACCCTACATGCAGCAGAGCTCTGCCGCATACCACTGGCAGATTTCCTAGAACTCGGACCTACAGAAGCACATACTCCTGGTGACCATAAATTGGGAGTGTTTTCAGACGGTGGGCACATTACTGTTTCGATTTGATCGATTCAAAAAATACATCTCAGTACTACGCAGAAAGTCAAGTCATCCCGATGTGGAGAACCAGGATTTGGAGGGTGCTGGGGAGAAGCTAGATTGTATGCGAGTTGCATACCAAAAGTGATTTTACAAATGTATTTACACGCGGCCTGGTATTTACACCTGGCCTGCAAGATGACAGCACGGGCCACAACAGCAACGTGCGAGTCATTGTGGCCCGTGCTTTAACGTCAAGCCGAGTCCTGAATTCCCGAGACGCCCTTTATTCCCTCCCGTCTTCTTATTTTACGCGTCGGATTCGAACTCTCTCAAGTGGCCTCAGGAAAATAACCGACATTTTAAGCGAGTGGTCAACATGGTTACTGCCCCGACTCCGGCGGTGATCGCGAGCGCCAAGGCAGACCTTGCAGTGCTGCTCACAAAGCAGTTCCAGGACGACATCAACCAGCTCCGCGACGCCCTGGACAGCGCGAACCAGCTGGTGGCGCTGCTCAAGACGGAGAACGCGACCCTCAAGGGCGCGCTCAAGGAGACCAACGAGAGCTACGACTTCGACGCCAACATCCCGCCCGTCACGCGCGCGAGGAACGGCGCGCCGGAGTCGGAGCGGTCGGGCCTGCTGCGGCCGCCGCCCGAGGGCACCATCTTCTCCAACGGCGGCGCGTGCGGGAGGAAGGACGGCGGGAAGGGCAACAGGCAGCTCATGCAGCAGCTCAACCGCTGGACCCAGGCCCACGGCTACAAGGTCAAGATCTTCCGCAGCAAGCCCTCCGGCACCAAGCTGAAGCTCGTCATCAGCTGCATCTACAGCGGGACCGCGAAGGACGTCACGGCCGCGCGCCGCGCCGAGGAGGAATTGGAGAGGGCCAGGGCGTTGGCCGCGTTGGCGCCGCCGGGTTTCCACTCCGGTTTCCACTCCTTTTCCCTCACAGAAGCGCCTGTGCCGCCGCCGCAGGCCCAGGCTCAGCCCCAGCCCGAGGGTGATCCCCAGGTGCCGGCGAAGAAGCCGAGGAAGAAGATGACCCCGCGGCGCAAGGACTGCCCGATGAGGTTCTACCTGCAGGAGCTCGTCGCCGGGAGCGGGACGTTTGTCGTCAGGCACAGCGAGCAGTCGGTGAACCAGCGGTGCAACCACGAGCCCAACGTCGTGTTCGCAGCTGACGCGGAGGCCTCGACTCAGAGTCCGGGGCAGGAGGAGCAGCCGGATGCGGATGCGGACGCGGACGAGGACGAGGATGATGAAATGGAGTAGCTTGTGGCTGAAGCGTGATGACTCGCTTTGGGACGATGCTGGACGATGATCTGCATGAGATCCATGAACTTCAGCCCTGCGCACGTCTACGAAGACATACTAGAGGCCTCCCTTTTACGTCGGATACACCTTCATGCTTGCAAGGACTGGTGAGGGCGTCATACTCCGTCTGAAGCCCCGTTGCAGATGCGCTTGCTGGGGGCAAAGGCCGGCGCCGGGTGAGCCGTGTGCTCTATTTTCTCATCACAAATGAAGCAAAAGCCCGATGGAAAGGCCCCACTGGGGGGGGAGGGGGGCGGCAATCTGGCGTTTATCGGGGCTCGGAATCCGAGCGGCTACCAAGGTTTCGTTCTGCGGGTGCTCCGAAATCTCGTTCGCAATACTGGTCACGGCCTGGGTGCAGGCCTACATTTGTTCGAACTTTGATGATGACAGGGGCCAGGACGTGTGGGAGCGGCAGCTGATACAGAATTCCGCCCGACAATGCGTTTTGGCCTTTGGTAGAGTAGTAAAATTGTTTGGGTCTCGGGGGAGGGGTGGGTTTGGTCTTTGTGGTAATTCCAATACTACATCGCAGTGTATTTTGCAGTGCCAGTGGTAGCCACAATCCAGCTTCTGCCTCGTGGGACGGAATGGTGCCATCTGGGGCAGCATTTATGCCTTTGGACCGCCAACCTCCAACTTCATGGAAATGGTCACGCCTCCTTGCGCCCCTTCGGCACAACCACCTGGATGCCCTCAGCTGTGTCCTCCAGGTAAGTTATTCTCTGCACAACCTCCAGGCCAGCCGCAGAGAACAGATCATCCCATTGCTTCCGTGTCCGCTCCATGGCCGCAAGTGTCGTCATCATGATATAATCCATCTCCGTCGTGCGTGGGTGCGCCCCTTTATCGGGAATAATGATGTCGTCGATGAGGATGAAAGAGTTGGGGCCCATAGCGGCAACTGTATTTTCCAGGATAGCCAGACACTTCTCATCGGGGTAGTCGTGGAGGATGGTCCGGAAATAATAGGCCCTTGCTTCTGAATTTCAACAGGATGGGTCAGCGTCATCTGTTCGGTAAGGCTATTACCCATTCCCAATTATCCATACCCCTGACTGGCTGCTCGCACCAAAAGTTGTGTGCTGTTATTTCTACGCCTTCCGTGGAGAGCGCGTGTTGGAGCACAACAGGGAGGTCCTGAAGGATCACGCGCCCTGGTAGGTCGGGCAATTTGGCCTTAAAAATGGCGCACTGGCTCCCGATACCGCCGCCCACGTCGACAAAGACTGGCGTCTCTGCATCTACGGCGGCGTCGCCTGGCTCGCTGGCCTTTATGAGGGCTTCGAAGTCGAGCACGTCCAACCATGTCGTCTGTCCACGGAGCGCTGTCATCCACAGGCCAAAGTCTGCGATGATGTCGGGTCGGTTCTCGTGCGTCCAGTCAATCGACGGCTGGTCTGTGTTGTTGACGATCTGGAATGGAGTCTTGACTTCGTTGTTCGGATTTTGGAAGCGGGTTTCCTTGAAGAAGTCGGGCGCTTTAATGACGGCAGGAGCGATGATGTGAAATCTGGATCGAGGTTAGTGACACCAGCCAGAAATACTCGCGCAGCAGCCTGAGGAACCTCAAGGTTGACTAGGTACGTGGCCTTACGTTTGATTCATTCCTGCACGGTATCCATTCACGCTCAATGTCTTTGTGAGCCTGTTTGCCTCAAAGGTGTCTTCCCCTACCTCTGATATTAGGCCGTGTGACGCGAGGAATCTGAGAATGCGAGCTATTTATAAGCTTAAGTCAATAACAAAAGCCCCTCTCTTACACTTTTCACCGTGCCTGGAACCCGTGGCATTGATTTTCAAGATCAGCACGCACCGGTGAAAACAACGTCAGCGCGTGTCGGCCTAGCTAGCTCGTCAACCGTACATGGCACCCCTTTCTCGGTCAGCGTACTGAATATTTTCATGTACGTTGCAGTCTGGGCGCTGCTTAGAAGCATTGGCTTGAGAGATCCGCGGTGTCAGCTTCAAACACAGCATGCCATGATATTTTGAGTGAGTGACCTACAGAGTAGATCACCCTATACACCGTATCTAAGGGAGCTTCTACAGCCAATGTAAGCTTCTGCGCTGCATCATAGAGACGCTGCTGCAGTTCCGGGTCCTTCGGTGGTGAGGATGCAACTGACTCGAGCTGTTCGAGTAGCCTCTCGATGTCTTCAGAACTTGAAGTCATGTTTGTTGTTGGTTCCTGTTCTGCCCTGTCCTGGAAGAAACAATAGCAGAGTGGAAGTGTCAGGGAGAAGAAAACTGACGTGTCATCCGGTTTTCACGGTGGAGACAGGACTTCGAGAAGGCAGCGAATGGAGTTGTGGCTGTCGTTACGATGGGCTTGATTGTGAGCAAACTAACGCAACTAATACTCCATTATGGTCTGCCTGCCTCGGCAGCTAGTCTACTTTAACATCGCAGATACCGGACCCACAGAGAAGGCCAGGTCATGAATATTGGGCAGACGCACGGCCGCATCGCTTGCAGGTTCCACGCATATTACGCGCTTGGGAGATCAAAATTCGCATTTAGATCCACATTGATACTAAAGGGGCACCAACAGATACGACAGAATTGTAACGTCCCGGTGATAGGCTCCACAGTCTCCAGATCGCATGCTACAGGTCAGATCCTTTGTTCGTCGATCAACCGAAAATCTCCCGTGCAGGATTGTGTCAATTGTCCACGTGCCCGCACGTTGTCGGCAATCTTGTCTCTAAAGTCTGACCCTTCGCTTTTTTGGGGAAACCAATCGCCACCTGCTTGCCAATAAGCACCAGGATCACTCACACCAGAACAGTAGTCGAAGCTCCACAATCTGACTGTTGGTAGATGGCGGATCTCCGAGGCGCATGCTGGATTTCTGCCCATGTAGTACTACTATTGGATTGTTCGGTGAGGCTTTGTTGTCCTCACAAAATCTGTCACTTCATCGTAAATCAAGTTAAAACTACAAGATGAGCAATCCTAGGAATAAATCTGCAGTTGTACACAGTGTTGGTTTATAGTCAAGCTGGAGAGACACGAGAAGTAAAAGATCATTTACATGTCCATCAGAGGAAGATCTAGCCGACCATACTATATACAATCTATGGCCGTCCACAAAACAAAACTGAAGATCCACCGGAAATCCTGAATGCATTTATAAATGGTCACAGCTTGACCCGACACACTGGACTAGGATTTCTTGAATGATAACCCGTCGGACTAAATGGCGCCAGCAGCCGCCGCATCATCGGGGCTGTTCTGTTGAAGAGCTGCCAGAATGGAAGCCACGTCGTCCTGGCGCTTCTCCGTATCCGGCTCAACCGCAGATTGGGCAGCCGCAGCGTCGTCAGGAGACTCGCTTTGAAGAGCGGCGAGGATGGAAGCGACGTCGTCATCACGCTTCTCTGTATCGGGCTCAACGGCATCCTGAGCCGCGGCGGCGTCCTTCATATCCAAAGTCAGTTGAGATGATCACCGTTGATAAGAATACTACAGTTATCAACACTTACCTCAGGGCTCTCAGTTTGGAGGGCAGCGAGGATGCTGGCAACATCGTCGTCACGGCGTCCAAGACCCTTAGCGGCTTCCGCGTCCTGCAATCTCGAAACGTCAGCATGTATGTGTCTCGGCTTGGAAGAAGCCGTGGACACGTCGTCCTATGGGACACGTACATCTGGGCTGTTCTGGCCCAGGGCGCTCAGGATCTCTCCAACGCCTTGGTCTTGGCGTTGGTCCTCAGAGACCATCTTAACGGCCTCGGCGTCATCTGGGCTAGATTCCTGGAGAGCAGCGAGAGCTTTGTTGCCCTCCTCAACCTGTGGGTTCAGGGGACCGGCGATAGCCAGGGCGGCAAGAGAGATGATGGCGAGAGAACGCATATTATTGAAGTGGAATGCGCACGAGATCGAGAAAGAATTTTTTATATATACAAAGTCAGTTGAAGAAAATTTACAAAGAAGTGACCGGCACAATGTACTAGTAGAGAGGAGAAGAGGTGAAGGACGTGAGGGAGGACATCGGAGGGTTTTGAACAAGACTCAACCCATCATACCACATGCCCATGCACGAGGCTGGGCAAGGATTTCCGATCAAGACCTCGACGTCTCGGCATCGGATATCTGGCGTGAACCTCATCTCGAAATGCGATTTGGAAATCTCTTGGCCACGCACGATTAGTGCGAAACGATGCTGGTCTCGGGTCGCCAAGGCCCGTGATGCACCGCCCCGGATCATCCCAACTTTTTTCAAATGCTTAAGCGGTCTTGACTTTTCTGGGCAGGTCTGGGCATCTAGTGCTCAACCTCAACACCAAGCATGGCCCAGATGTCGCAGAGTTCGGCCGAATTATGGGAGAGCTTAAGATGTTAACCTCCAACCCTAGAGCCTGGGGACATCATATCCATTTCGAACCCATAAACACAATCACGTTTCTTTCACCTTTTTAGGCAAGGCTTTGAATCCAGCGCTCCCCATTATGCGTCTTCAATAGCCTCGACACGTTTAGCTTATGCTAGCACTTGAGACCTGTCATTGTGTGCAAAATGTTTCAGATCTTCGCTAGACGGGAGCAGCCGGATTCGCGCCGGGACTTCGGTCGCCACGCTTGGAGATTGCTGGGTGAGGATCTCATCCGGAAGTTATTCCTAGTATGCGCTGCTGAGATCTGTACCAGCACTCTTGAGATCGTAATTCTCCCATGGTGCCCGCATGCAGAAGGTGTTCATAACTAGACGCACGTATGGTGCAGGGTAATTTGCTAGGTCATGGTATTGCTGTGATGCCGGAATCGGTTGCGGCCTGTTTTCGATATACATCATCTTGCTTGATGATCTCGCGAAGGGATGATGCGGCAAGAAGGCCCTGGAATCTCCTCTTCTAATCACCGTCCCTGTACATAGGCCTTTTCTTTTGGGTTCATTCATCCAGCAGTCCTCAGCCTCAACCATGGCCAGCACTCCAGAGCACAACAAGCGCTTCGCCCCGAAGCAAACTACGTCCCCTCCTTTTGAAGCCCTGGCCCCACTAATAATGAAAAGCAGCCCCGATCGTGATGTCCTCAACTACCTGCACGCCTCCGCTGGCATTGAGCTGGGCAGAATGATTCACGATAACGGATGAGACAGCGGCTCACTCGTTGACATTGTGCTCGACGCCAAACCATTCCGCTCCCCAAGACTGTCATCAAGGTGGCAAACCTCGAGCTCGCCTTCATTGACGGTACCGGGGCCCACGTGGCGTCCCGAGACTGAGCCGTCACAGTACGGCCGGCCGCGCTGACGGAGAAAAAGCTGTTGATTCCGCAGAAACCACTAGCACATTGCTTGACGGACTTTGTCGACCAGCCGGTGAATACTTTCTGAGAGGAAGCTCCTTGGAGGATCTAGACCTCATTATCGGCCCTTACGAGTCCAGTCAGAGCCACGAGCCGACTTTATGTCGTCTTGCACGGCGAGGTCGACCAGCTATTCCATTTTAGACCCCACTGTAACACCGACGATTGCTACCCTAAACTTCAGGGCTTGGAACATCGTTGGTCAAGTGGTTGGTATGCTTGGGGCCGAGTGTAAGGGATCAAGTGGTCGGGCACGAGAATATAGTAAATTCTGAGTATTACTTTGAAGTAAAAGCTATGAAATAAACTCTATAGAATGAGCGTCCGCTTTCAAGGTTATCCTCTGTCCAAGGACAGCGGGAAAAGAAACCCTACCGCATTAACTACTGTTATCAGCACAGCTCCAAACTTTTCCGACGCTGCTGGTCGCCATCGAGTTGCCCGACGATTATAAACCCAGCCCAAACACCACGAGGCCGATTGCAATCTGAGCGGCGTTAACGAACGCGAGAGCGATGTTTCTGCCGCCGATGCCGATCCTAGTGCCCGTAGCGACGAAGCCTCGGCTGTGCAGGTAGGGCGTGTCCCGGAAGAGCCGCAAGAAGATGTATTTTGCCATCACGTGCGCGAAAATAACTCCGGCGATGATGATCTGTGCACACGGGTCAGCACGACAACACCGAGTCTATGAATGCCGGACCACACTGGGCATGAGCTTACTGTTGGAATAGCGATTCCCCACGTGACCTTGGCCACCGTCTTGCTGGTGCTGCCTAGGGCCGGACTTGCTACGTTCTCGCCACCGTAGCGGTATATGACGATAGAGACCACAAGTTACGCGACCATCATGAACGCCTGCTGGACTAGGAGCGCCTTTGAAAACTCCCGGGGGTCACGTAGCTCCAAAATGAAGCTCACCCACGCCAGGTGCCCGGACCACGCGAACACGATGTTGGATATACTGTTGAAGGCGGTCGGGAGCGAGGGGTGCAGGGTGGCCTGCATAGTGTCGTAAGCGGCGCGGGGCGAGACGGCGAGGGCGATGATGGTGATGAGCACAGCGGACATGATAGACATGAACGCTTGGGTTTGTTCAGCTTTGGCCAGGTGACAGGGAGATGCGGTACTCACAAATAATTGCCAGGAACGAGACATTCTTCAACGTCCGCGGGACGGTCAGGAGGGCGAACACCACGATTCCCACCACACCAAACACGATCGTACACGTCCCGTGGTTTGAGAGCGTGTTCAGCGCGATCGTCCAAGTCAGGAGATGGCTAGCCATGACGAAGATGCCGACAATGACAAACGCTGCCCCAAACATCTCCCTGCCAATCCGGCCGAACAACAGTTGGCCAATATCAGTGTAGTTGGCCACCTCGGGATGCCGCATTCGGAACTGCCACAGCACGTATCCTCCGTATGTACAGAACAAGCCTATCCCGATGAGCGCGAGCACGCCGGCGACAAGGCCATTCGTGGCTAAGACGGCTGGCAGCGACAGGATGCCAAGCGAGATATTCTCGCCCACCCTTAGTACCTGTTAGTCGTCCCCGGCGGCTTCCATCCTGTAGCCTTGGGCGATACGTTCAAAGACGGCCGTTATGTCGTGCGGTACAAGCTTGGGCATGGCGGTTTTTCAACAGTGTGGCTTGCCTCAGACGAGCAACACCGGGATTCCGCCGACCGTTATGTGGCCATCAAGATCAAGAGCGGCTCCTCTTCGAAGATGGGTATCGACGCAGACCCAGAAGTCGTCAGGCTGAGGAGGCTGGAGGAATATCATGTCCAAGGACCACAGGACAAGCCTAGGCCATATGCACAGCTCCTGAACTGCTTCAGTGTTGAGGGTCCCAATGGGCGCCACAACTGCCTTGTCACAGAGCTGGTTGGCCCCTCGCTTGGTAGCGTGCACTCCTTGTATGGCCAGCTTGAGCAGGTGTTGCGCCCCGAAACAATCCTACGAGCTTCGAAGCACCTCCTCCAAGGAGTCGACTTCATACATCAGGCTGGTTTGGTTCATGGGGGTAATGTTATCCCTGTCATTTTCTAACCTTCGACAAAGCTGACCAAACTTCTCCAGACACTTCCGCCGGCAACGTCGCCTTCACTTGCAAGTCTTTGCTGAACAGTTATGATGAGCATCTGTTAGATCTACTGAGCGAGGTCTACGTGGCGAACCCCTGGCCCGACAAGCCCCTGCCTTCGCCACGTCTTCCCAAGCAGTTGGTGCAAACTGCGAGGTGGGAAGCGTGGGAAGATGAAACAGAGGAGGAAATTCGCCTTGTCGACTGGGGTTCTGCCTTTCCAGTTGGAGGGACCGTGTCAGTAGAAGTCATGGCACAGCCAATCGACCTTCGATCACCCGAGACATTTTTTATCGGCGAGTTTGACCACCACCACGACATATGGCGAGCCGGGTGTGTGCTGTGTTCATCCTATTCTACCAACGACCTCCGTTTTTCGTTTTCTTGGCCGACAGCCATTTCTACCTTAGGAGCATGATCAGAAAGCTTGGACCTCTGCCTGAACACTGGCTGCCTAAACTCGAGGAACTGCGCAAGGAAACTATATATACCCAAGAAGTTGGTGAGTAAGAACGAAAACACGACATCTCCGTCTCGATATGTCACCGCAAGAGAAATTCTATTCTGACATTTGACTACAGACGAAAATGGTGATGCTCCTGAGGGTGACTGGGAGCTAATTCCAGATACGTTTGAGCTAAGGCGTCAAGTAATCACCGCAGAGTTCACTTCGGGCGACGAAAAATATAACATACCTGATGAACACACGGAATATGACTTCGAGGCTCTGAAGTCGCTCCGGCGCCCAATGCAGGCTTTACTCCAGTATGAGCCCAGTGAACGCGCCACAGTAAAGGATGCCCTGGAAATGATCGAGTGGATTGATCATCGCAGAGAAACCGGGGATGACGAAGAGGAAGGAGAGGATGAGGATGAAGACAAGAACGAGGAAGGGAATGGAGGTGAGGATGATTAGCCGAGGTGAACTGAATACAATTTGGGAGACAGAGGTGCGATATAGGTACCTGTTCGACTTACTGCTAGCCGACCCCTGCTACATACTAGTAGCAACCATACGCTATAGCTATTATTTATGCTAGGTGGGTAGAGATATGATGGGGGTGGGTAAGTGGTACCTAAAAGCTGGGTAGGTATGCTCTGGCTGGGTGAACAAGTACCGGGGGCGAAGTAGGTTATTAAATTGAAATTTCTAAAGTTGACCTCTCTCCTTTCTCCTTTGCCTCTATAATATGCATTATTTTCGTACCAGGTGCGCTGCCCACGCACTGCGCTGGCATGAAGTACATGCCAACGCGAAGGGCTTCATTCTCGAATAGCATTCCAAGCGCGGGCGCATCGGCCCGCAGGCGAAGTGTGGCATTGGTACCTGACACAAGTCCTGTGGCTAGGTACAAAGCTGAATCAATCGCTAGTGTTAATTAGTGGGACCCCCAAGTATGTTCATTAGTGGTAAACATATATGGCCAGAGCCAATGTCTGTTCAGCTAGACTAGTGTTCGTAGCCTGGGAGGTCGAGACTTGCACATGTCAGCGAAGGAAATCGATGGCTATATAAGAAATGTTGCACATAATGGATCGGCACTCGGACAACTCATCCGCACGGAAGTCATCCTCAGTCCTCCTGTCATCTCATCATGTCGAACCCAAAGAGCTCAAACCCCCGACCAAAGCGCATCATCGTATGCTGTGATGGCACATGGCAGTCGGCCACCTCCGGCAAGAAGAACGTCCCTTCCAACGTGACCCGGCTAGCCCGGGAGCTGGACAGGGTAGGCACTGATACCGACGGCAAAGAATGGCAGCAGGTGGTTTGGTACGACTCGGGTGTGGGCACTACGTCCCTTCTGGGCAGGAACAGCGAAGGTGCCACGGGCTCCGGGCTCGAGATCAATGTCATCGAGGCGTACACCTTCGTCGTCCTCAACTGGGTGGCGGGAGACAAGGTCTACTGTTTCGGCTTCTCCCGAGGCGCGTTCACAGCCCGTTCTATTGCGGGTCTGATTTCCGACATTGGCATTTGCGAACCACGGATGCTGCAGCACTTTTCCGAATTGTGGGGATTGTACAAGGCCAACAAGGAAGACAGATTCTATGGCAGCGCAGCGTATTGGGAGTTCATTGACGGAAAGCTTGAGGAGCCATTGCCCGAGACCCCTGGATACAGAGGCTCCAACCTCAAGTGGAAGCATAGACCCAAAGGCGACTGGGCAAGGACGTGCGAATCGCGGGAGATCGAAATGGTCGGTGTGTACGACACCGTCAGAGCTCTGGGGATGCCCTCGCTCCGTGGCGTACAGGTTGGATCCTGGTTTGGTCTCGGCCCTGAGGCATATGAATTCTATAACGCCGGGCTAAACCGGAGTAGGTCCCCCATTATACTTTGAAGCATGGGACCGACTGACTGACCGTATTTCCCAGACATCAAGCGGGCATACCATGCCCTTGCTTTAGACGAGCGCCGTGAAGCTTTTACTCCAACCCTGTTTCATCTTTCTGATGACTATCCCTTCACGGGGATTGACAATGAACACGCTGCATTCGAGGCCGCATTCGACAGGTGGCACTCAGCGTCGACAGATCGCAAGATATCTGTAGAAAAGAAGCGTCAAATCAAACAGGAATATGATGCAGCCCGGCAGACCGTCGAGAAACTAGAGGCCAAAGCGATCGAGGAACAGAAGGATACCGTTCAAAAGTGCAACAATGACTGGCAACGATCCAACCCCAAAATTCCTCTAGGCGATAGGGAGGCTGCCCATCAAAAGTACAACAATGCCCGGACGAAATTAGTCCAGATGGAGGAACATCACAAGCCACCGCCCGAACTCTCACAGGTCTGGTTTCCAGGCGTTCACATCAACGTCGGCGGAGGTTCAAGTGACACTCTTGACTACCAAGGAGATATGGAAGGTATGTTTGAGTCTTCTAGTGCTGCTATTGGTCGATGGGATATTTCACGTTGATTACTGACTCAATTGACCACAGAGCTTGCCAATATTGCCTTTTGTTGGATGCTCGATCAAATTCGACCCCATCTCAACATTAGCTCGACAGTGTACGAGCAATATTGCACAGAAAGGAACATGCATCTTTCTGACCTCAACAAGGAAGCCAAGCAGGAGAAGGATAGGCTACAGAAAGAGAGTGATGAGCGAAAGAACGAGAGCTACTGGAAAACTGGCTATCGCTGGGCTCGTACTTCTGCTCAAAGTGTCGCTCACACTGCCGTCGAAAATTACAACTCCTACGTTCGCCGCATTGAAAGGGGAAAGCCCAAGAACCAAAGGTTTTTCAAATTTGGCTGGGGGACGGGTACTGTCATCGACAGTTACACGTGGACGTATGTTGCCAATGGATACTTGGCCCGATCTCCTCACGCCTATGATCAAAATAAGAAACAGGCGACACGGGGACGTACTCACGAGTCTGTGCACCCCGTGGTCGGCTACCGCATGTACAGCTCACGCAAGAAGTACAAGGATGCGGTGATTGCCGCTCGCAACGCCGAGGACCGAGACGAGAAAAAGAAGCTGGAGGATAAATGCAAAATGCTCAAGGAACTGATCTACAACCCCATTGGCATGAAATCAGGAGATCAACCAGTGGCCATTCGACGTAGGAACGCATCAGGGGAATGGGTGTACGAGTTCCACGGCAACGGGAAGCCGCTGCCTGAGTGGAACTTGCGCCCCAGCCAAATGTCTGATGTTATATCCTACGAGGGAATGACCTCGATTCCAGAAGGCGACGCGGTTTGGTACGCTGTCAAAACGCCATCGTACGAGCGGAGGGCCCTGCACGAGGACTCTGAAGCCGTGGCCTATCTCCAGAAGCTTGACGAAATCAATGGGTACAAGAGTTCTTGGTCTGTCCCAGATGTTGCCAACCCAGACCTCGACGCCTGGTTTACTCGGGGTGAGGTTTCAACGGCATAGATAGAGTCGGGAGTAATCAACTCGCGGTACCCGAGATGGGTGGGATTCAAAGGTGTATCAAGATTAACATGCTTAGCAGTGAGCTACCAAAGTTGAATCGAAATTGCAAGCATGTTTGCTACGCGTTGCATGCTGCAAGATGCAACTGCTGCTCGCAGTTGCCCACACATGACTCGGGTTACGACACGGATCAGAGTTTCGATGGCAATACGGAGTGAGCTCTGCTGGACCTAGATAGGAGGAAAGGAGCGACGCAGCACTTTTCAAACAATTTCCTCGTTCGTCTGACAGACTCCACCACTGGGCTATGAGAAGCACGTACTCAATCTATGCCGTCCAAAGTGACGTGGCCATCAAATCTAGGTTGTGCTGAGGCTCTCGTCAAACTCAAAGTGGCGTCTACACCGTACTATGCTAGGAAAGTTGGCTGGAAAGAACCTGCAACTTGATGATTTCAACAGCCATACCAAGTATCGCTACTCGATGCCTCCTAGTGGTTGGGAAATAGACTAGTCTCCTTGGTGATTAGATGACTGATATGCTTCATCTCAGACTAGGCCATGGAATGGGAGACGGTATTCGATCCTGAAATGTCTGGTGCATGAACGCAGTCTATATCGCTGCTCTTGAATTTATACCAGATGAGCCGCCCTCATCTTCTCTAAGTACCATCTATCTACGCTTTCTATCATACTCGCGCGCATCCTGGCCTCAAAAGGTCCATCTCCACACGCCTCAAACCTTGAACCTAAACCCATGAGCAGCCGCCGCACCAGGTGCAGCATTGATAGCACCCGGCACATACACGCCCCTCTCCAGCTTCTTGTTCAGGCGCACAAGCATGACCCTCAGCACGGTAGCCGCGCAGATGGCCACAAACGACGTCGCACTGTTGACAATGAACGCAACCGTATACGCCGGCGCGGCGCTGTTGGGGTACATGTAACTCGCATAGATGCTGCTCGAGTTGGAGACGGCGTTGATGAACGCCAGCGCGGCGGCGCGCTTGGCGGGCGGGCGGGGGATGGTGTTGCTGATCCAGGCAAGGGCGACGACATAGCCCGAGTAGACGGAGGGGACCATCAGGCACATGCTGACATAGCGGGGCGCGAGGGACGAGGTCGTCGCGGCGAGGACGAAGGAGGCCACCGCGCAGAGGAGCGGTATCGTGATGTGCAGGTAGCGCTCGCCTGTGCGGTCGGCGTGCAGCGCGTTGCAGTAGGTGGCGATGACGGCGATTACGTAGGGCGGGGCGGTGAGTAAGAGCGAGTAGACATTGGAATAACCCAGGGTCTTGACCACGGTGGGGAAGAAGTTGGTGACGGAGCCTGAGGAGACTATGCAGAAGAGGAGGACCATCTGCACCGATTTGACTTGGGTCAGTGTGTGCTCAAGATCAGAGGTAATCCTCACGTGTTCGGGGGAAGTCATACCAGCACGTAAGTTTTGACATCCACGAACGCCAGCTTGGCGCCCTGCCAAAAGCTCTGATGCTCGCTGTCGACCCAATCGTCCTCGCCAATGTCCTCCTCGAGCCTCCAAACGGCCAGCTGCCTCTCCTCTTCGGACAGCCACATTGTCGTCCTGGGGAAGTTTGGAAGGACAAAGAAGGCGCCAAAGGCCACGACAACGGTGACCACGCCCTCGATGATGAACAGCCATTTCCATGCCCGCATGCCCCTGGCGCCATCCATGTTTCCTGTGATACCGGCTGATATCAGCCCCGAGAAGGCGCCAGAGATGAGAGCCCCACTATAGAGGACCGATGTCCTAAAGCCCAGCTCCTTCCGGGTGTACCAGCAGGATAAATAGTAGAGACATCCTGACCATTTCACAAGTATTAGACATTTGGGATAGCGATAACGAATATCGAATAGGGAGGCCAGGAGGTGCGTACCAGGAAAATAAGCAGCCTCCACAAAACCCAAGAAGAACCGCACAGACAGCAGCCCAGCCGCATTGTAGCACGACGCGGTGGCGGCGGAGATGACGCCCCAGACGATCATGCAGGCCGGCAGGTACAGGGCCGGCTTGCCGAGCTTGTTGAGGAACAGGTTCGAGGGGATCTGCATTAGCAGGTAGCCCACAAAGAGGATGGACACGGCCGTCTCATACTCGGTCGACGACAGGCCGAGGTCCTCCTCCAACCCGGCGAGCTTGGCAGCCGCGATGTTGTTTCTGTTCGCGCGTGTGGCGGTCAGTCAGCGGCAAGCTTTCCTGTTTGTGACGTGGTGGTGGGTGAGTGGGTGGGTCCCACCACTCTCGCGATACCCCGCGGGGGAGAAAAAAAGATGGGACTCGAGTCTGGGGATGCGGAGCCTTGTGCGCGGGGGGAGGGGGGGAAACGGGGTTGGACCAACCTGTCGATGTAATTGAGGATGTACATGAGGATAATCGCGGGCATGAGACGAAGGTCGATCTTCCTTTTGAGTTTTGTCTCCAGCTCCAGCCTCTCCTCCATGGACATGTTCAGTAGGAACTCTGGCGGCTGTAGGCCACGGCGGACGCCGCTACCGGCGCCTGTCTGGGGCGAGACATCTGATGGGTGAGCTGCGAGGACCTTGCTGTCGTCGTCAAGAATGTTGGCACTGCCGCTGCCGCTGCCGCTGCCACTCCCATTGCCGGCGCCCTGCTCGTGTCTGAAGTCTTCAACCTCGGTGACCGAGTCGCCTTTGTCGGACATGTTGGGCGCCCAAGATGATCGACGGATGTCTCTGCTGTCTTGATAACGCTGCCCAGAACGATGATCAAGCAGAAGAGTGGCTTGAAAGCAGAGACTGTAAGGAGCGGACCAGTGGCGAAGATGCAAGAAAAGAAATGGCCCTCGCTCACATCTGTATGACAACAGGGCGCGCCGCGGTGAGTTGGGTATTTATCATATTTATCGCGGGACGTCACAACCCACTCGCGGATCAGGGACCAGCTCCAAGGTAGCAGTGGCACAACACCCCCCTAGTCAGTCCCCCGCACAAGGTTCAGGGTCGGACTTCCGCTATAGGACATACCGTCCAACAAGGGCCGCGGGAGCAGGTAGTAGGCTGTAGCAGGCCAGCCACGGCTAAACTTCTTCTACCCAGGGAAGAACAACTGATGGCGCTTGGGCGTGGAGAAGCAGAGAGCCAGCGCCCGATCAACGACATGCTCATGGATTAGATCAAGCAGGTGTCCATTCTCCACTAGGTATGTTCCAAGAGAGACTAATAGCACTGTCACCTTTCCATCTCCCACGACGGATCTTGAAGAGTATCCAGCTCGTACCAAAGTCATCCCGAGGTCCCCTACCCTACCCTGACCTTCCCTATCGTCAACCCAACAATCTTTTTGCCCGGGGCAACCGGCCTCCGCTTCCGGATAAGACCAATAAGCTCCTACTACCACCAGCAACGGCCCGAATGAACGGGCGAACGAGAACCCCTGAGTCAAGTTACACGGCCGACAGCGACCTGTGTCCCGGTCATACAGGACACCACACACGGGGAGAAGGTGGCAGAACCAAGCAGCGAACCAAGCATGCTCAACAAAAAGCTTATTCGTGCGGCTTTGGTCTAGCCGTTGGAGAAACCGCGGCGATCTCCCACCGGCTGGCGGCACGGCACGCGGCAAGCACATGTCCCCCAGGACAAGGTGCCTGCGACCTGGCCCATCCTTGGTGGCACGGCCGATCCGGCTCGGCGAGAAGCTTGTCTGTGTTGTCACTGTCAGGCATGGTCTCACAGCAGGACCTACATGACATTTCACACGCTCGATATCTCTCCCAACACCACCTGCTGAGAGCACTCGGATCATCCTTTTTATAAGACCTGTGATGTTCTAGACGTACCATGCTAAGATTTTTCTATTATTGAAGTACAGTTGATATACATTGTAAATGGCGCCTCCGCCCATCTCAAAATTGAAACGCCTCGTGGCAACACGGGGCTGACCAACAACTGAGGAATGGTCCATGCTCGATCCCAGATCTTCCAGCCCGCTAAAATGCCCGTGGATGCGTGATTAGTGCACTTTGCTATGAATACCATGCCCGACATCCATCATCATACATGACCACAGAATTTAGCCCTCGCTTTCGTTGCCGCCGATAATTCTACTGGCACCCTCTCTCTTGCCGTACGGGCGGCTTCGTCCCCTCCTCGGATGCTTGTCTGCCTTGCGTTTCATGACACCCGCTCCAGGTGGGCTTGGCGTCCTCGTCATTTCATCGTACATGATGTGTGTCATTCGTCCGGCATCAATGTCCGCGACGCTTCTAATTCGATTAATGTGTAATGACCCGCATACCTTGGAGCATAATACCAAACATTAGTCCTCTTGCCACCTCTTCAATCTGGAGGCAGTCAAATATGCGGCCCAACGCCTCGTTAGTGGCATTCTGCCCCATGACTCCAGACAGGGCAGCAGGAACTCCGCTTTGGATGAGCAGGCGACGGGCCTTCTCTCGAAGCTTATCCTTCTCCTCCTGGCTTGACTCCGGCGGCCAGGCCTTCAGTTCCTCTTCTGTGGGTAGCGTGTTTTCTCGCAACTTTCGCAGGTGTGCGGCGATGCCTTCATCCGAAGAATTCGCCTCAATGACCGAGTCCTGAATCATCTTTTGGATCGACACAAGCGACGGGTTGCCCGGACGGAGCAGGAAGGACTTCGCAGCGGCAAGCAAAGTGCGACGGAAATTCCAGGCCGAGGAAAGGGAATAGAGCTCGTTGATAATGGCGAATACGAGCTCCACGGCTACCCTCGTCTCCTGTTCCGAGATCTTGGAGTGTTGCCTTGTCGGCTTAGGCTGCCTGAGTCCTCCATTGGGGGTCCTCTTGCCTTGTGCACTCAAGTCCAGAATATTCTCCTGAGACCGAGACATTCGAGTACTGACGGGTGAACCCCAGTCATCAGGCATCGCGTCCGGAGGTGGAGGAAGGCGGAGTGCGTCGAGACTAAGTGTTGACGGAGATTTCAGAGGCGAGCGAAGCGGTGCGATGCTGGATGCTCGGCTATTGGCCTTGCTGCTTAACGCACTTGGCGAAGCCCTGTCCCAGCGGTCTGATCGTGCTGGTTGAGGGACCTCGCTGTCCTGTTCGCCCTGAGACTGATAGCTCGGACGACGTTCCATAGGAGGCATCTTCCCAGGCTGTGTTGATATGATGGAAGATCGCTGACTGTCCAAGCTGTCTCTTGATTTGCGAGGGCCATTCATCGTACTGACTGTGAGGGTACTGTCGACCCGTGGGGGCGTAGACACAGACAGCCGATTGGCGCTGACAGTAGCTCCTGCTTCGGGCAAAGACTGTGACGTTGGCTTTCTCGACAGTCCAAAATTGCCAAAGACACCCGTGATACCCCCCGTAATCGCCTTGCCACCGTCCGCTACTCCTTTCGGCGCGCTTGCCAAGGCTCCAAACACGTTTTTGCCAAAGCTTTCGACCGCCTGGAGCCCACTCTTCGACTCCGTCCGTGTATGGCCTTGGTCCTTGTCAAGGAACCTCTTCATTCCCTCACTCTCAGCCAGTGCCTTGTACCAGCACGCGTCGCGAAGGTAGCGCTCAAGCTCGCCACGCAGAGACTCGCGGGTATGAACCTTGAACTGTGGTAATTCTTTGTGTTGCTCCGTGAACGCGGTGATGCCCGAGATTGCTGCTATTCTGCGAAGAACCTCATGTAGCTTTTCGAAATCCAAATATTGTCTTACAATCATCCAACCGGAATATTGCGATGATGATGGTTCAATTTGAATCAGGTAGTCCCATGTAGGCTTCGTCCGAATTTTACTCTTGTCGACGGTTCCATCATCGTATATAGTAATCTTGGCGTTGTGTAGGGTGAGCGGTGCGGGTTGCTTCGGTTCTGCGTCGCTCTGGTCGCTGTCATCCTGGCTCGGGGGAACAATCTGGTCGAAGCTGGTAAATGACTGCTGGTGGCCATGTTGAGTGACCGGTTTCGGGCCGCCGGAGTCGATGCTCTTGGGGGTAGGAGGAAGCTCCTTGCTGGGCCGCTCTTCACTCGACATTGAAGCAGCTTTCTCAGAGGCAGCAGGGCCGGAGACACTAGCAGCCGGGGTATTTATTGTATCCGGCAGGGTCTGTGGTACAGCTGTAGGCTTTGACTCAATGTCAAGTTCATTGGCGTTTCTTTGCAGGGCATCCGCCAGCCTCTGGGAAACCTCTTCTTTGGTGGAAGCTTCGGGCTCCTTGCCTTCCTGGAACGCCCGGAAGTCCTTGGACCTGCGGGCATCCTCGTCCAGAAGCATCTGATTCATCCGCTTCATCTCTTCCAACACCTCCATCTCTTCATCTGCCTTGCTAAGCTTCTTCTTGTGGACTTGGGCAGGCTCCCTCCGTCGGGCCTTCTCCAGGTCGAGGGAGTTGCGATTCCCCTTTGTCAGCCCGATGTTTCCGACATTCCCATCCATGTCTGCAAACACCGCATTGTTGGCCTCCGGGCCTGTCTGCATGCCGACATCGATGGCCTGACTGAAATCAGGTTCCCCGGCTTCGAGAAGATAGACGATCCAGCCGTTGATCCACTCGGCCTTGGAACATGTCTGCAATGACATTTCGAGAATAACACTGGCGAGGATCTCACGTAGGAATGTCCTCGCAGGGTCGCAGTCGTGCGTGGGCCTGTCGAGGAACCCGAGCAAGTCTTCAGCCACAGACTTGAATTTAGAGGCCTGGTGTCTTTGACTCAGGAGGTGCGACAGGTTGGAGTCGGGGTTCGAAGCAAGATAGTTGTAGACGGCATCCGGGGCCGTCATGGTGGAGTCAGGGGGCAGGTCGGCAAAGGCTTGCGACAGCTCGGAGAAGAAGACGATGACGATGGAGGAGGTGTTGGTCAGGAAGTCGAGGAAGCTATCGGCCGGTCTTTTCTTGCCCAGGTAGTTCCCGATGGAGACGAGGAACGAGGTCAGGATCCTGCGACAGGACAAGGGGAAAGACCTGTCGGACGGGACGATCGGGTCATACCACCACTTCACATAGTCCCTGATAACAGCATCGACAAGACCATTGAGCGCATCTTGAGTCTCGGGCTGGAAATCTGCAAAGCTTTGAGCCAGAAATATGGCCTCATCTTCTTCAGTGGTCTTGCGATCTGCGTCCACATCTCTCAGGCTATTCTTCTCGCCTAACAATCGTGTGACTATGTCCACGCCCTTCTCACCGCGGACAGCTCTCGCATAGTCGGGGTTGGAAGACTCCCAGTGTATATACAGCGCAACACCCCCGAATGCGCCGATGAGAAGCAGACCGAGTTGGCCGAGGACAAAATAGGTAACGGCAGCCAGGCCGACTGCGATGCCGGCTAGGGTGCCGGGCGTCGCGGTGGAGAGGAACTGGAAGATACGAGTCGTGACATCGTCTTCGGGCTTTGAGGATTTCGTTGTCGTGGAGACAGGAGACGATGGCTTCGCCTGGGGATCGATCGAGTCGGACGCCCCATTGAAGAGGGCTGTCGGAGAATTTGGATCTATCTTATCGTCGAGGGCCATATTGTCGGCAGTTGAGCGAGAGGGTGCATCACCGGCAGTCATGACAAGAAGCTTGTCTTCATTGCAGGGATAGTGGTGGACCTGGAGATTCGCCTCAAGTGGTCCGGAGCATTGCACGTCGGTGAGGATCCGACAGGAATGTGGAGGAGCGTGGGCGGGTGCAGAGTTGTGAAAGGGAAGGACTGGTCGTCAGCAAAGGGAGGGCCACGTGTCGGTGCGTCGGTGTTGATGAACAGAACAGATCAGGTTCAGATTGAGCCAGCGAAAAGAGCAAGCCGGGTACGGGCCAAAGAGAGAAAGATGATGCGCAGCCGGTCAAGGGAACGTTTCGCAGATTCGTGAGCAGCGCAATCAGGATGAACCCCTGGCTGGAGTCGAGGTTTCGACGCTGCAATCCGACTGCCAAAAACGTCTGTGCTATTTCGGGAAAGCGCGACTCCAGTTTTTGCCAAGATTGCCTTGAGCATGCTGTCATTTCTCAACAGCCGTGGTCCACTGACTGCTGAAGATCCTCAAAGTCTCGGCCACGGCCTGCCCAGCTCCTAACCCTGATGACTTCCGATAAGCGATAAGGCAGATTGAGCAAGTGCAGCAGCTGCCAGTCGGACGCGCTTTCTCCGACGCGTCGCCCCGACCGAAGCGCATGGCAGTGGTGTCAAGCAGAATGCAGCTCCCCTCCCTGGCGGATAGAAGGCAACGAGAGCATCCATGTTGCCGACCGTAACCTGACTGAGGTTCTTGTCCGCCACGACATTCACGATCAATCAATTTCCTTCCTTTGACAACACTGAAACCTTGCCTCTGCCTTTCCACTCAGTTTCCCCAGTCAATCCGCTGACGTCATCACATCTCTGCGCCACCAGCAAAATGGGCAAGCGTAGCTCTAGTTTCGTCGTGAGCGACAACTCCAGCGGTGATGAGCGGCCCGCTAAGTCATCCAAGAAGGCCAAGAAGGAGGTCAAGAAAGGATCCAGCTCCAAAAATGGGACAAACGTCGACAGCGAGGGTAATGCCTTCTGGGATGTAGGTTTTCTTTTTCTACGATCCCTGAACTGCCATGTTTCACTCATATCCCCTCATATAGCATATGTCCAAGATACTGACACGGTCACCATGAAGCTCTCGGGCAAGAGGCGCATCGTCGTCCAGGAGTTCAAGGGAAACTGGTACGTAAATCTGAGGGAATACTACGAGGACAAGTCCGGTGAGATGAAGCCTGGTAAAAAGGTGAGTGGTCACAATGCCAGATAATTTACCAGCGTGTTCTATACACTGACACACATGCAGGGCATCATGCTCTCAGTTGATCAATATCAGACTCTCGTCGGCAACTTCCCCGCAATTACCAAGGAATTGCGCAAGCATGGCGTCAAGATCGCAGGCGGCGATGCTGCCGAGGATGATGCTGAGGAGGAAGACGAAGATGAGAAGCCCGCCAGGTCGAGCAAGAAGGAGTCAAAGGCCAAGAAAGCCAACATCGAGGCCACCAGCGACGAGGCAGAAAACTCGGACTAGGGCCTCATTGATACGTGCTTTCGAAGGACTTGGAGTGAGTTTGGCTTGACTACTTGGGTTTACGCACGGCATTTATTAAGGATATATCTGCTTGCCTGCGAAAAGTTTGCAGGGCCATGAACAGCAGCTTGCACAAAATAAGATGATTTGTCAAGCCCATGACTAGAAAGAGAAGACACTGATTTTCTTCTTATCCTCCCCCACTCCTGGGTTCTGTTGCTGCAAAGGTGCTGCATCAGCGAAGTGACCTACCCACTGAACTTCGATCCAAGCCAGCGCTCCGATCTGGCCCATGTTCTTAATACACACAATCAGGTTGATGCGACGAGTATTTCGACAGACACAACATTTTCAGCCTCATTGAGATTACGGCCGCTCATGCTCCGAAAATTGGCGCCATAACTACTCAATCAGCACACGTTCCGTCCTGGTTGTTTTGCAGACCATGACAGAATTTAAGAAAGTACAGTACATGAAATACACAACTCAAACCACAGGGAGAAGTCCGTTTGACGGGCCCCGTTACCTGAACGGCAAAAGCCGACATGACTTGCTGTTTCAACATGATATGACTTTACAACTGCAACGATGAACGGCCCGGGACGTCCAGTTAGAAGCCAAGTGTTGTCAGAGGGACAGTCATCTCTACGTTCTGAAAGTCAACCCGGCGCCAGAACATTGCTCGAATATTTGATCATGCACCTTGTCTCGACTTGCTTAAATCATGGCTTCATCGAGATGAAAATTCTAATTGAGGCTTCTTTGCGAGTTTCTCCGCATTCTAGGCGGTGTCAATTGCACACCCAAGGGATCACACCACGTGCATATGAACATTGAATGCAAGGCGGATCGCCAGGCTTCAGCTTAATTTGTTGTTTGGCCTCATCGCAGAATCGGTGAAAGTCCAAATGGTGTCGGGAACCTTGCACCAAAATTTCCCGGTGAGATATTTGGATCGCCGTTTTCTGCTCAAAGAGCCGTGCTAGGTAAGCAAGCCGCCCAAGCAGATGCCCAGGTGAGTCTTCCGCGCGCGTAGTATCATCTTGGCGCGGCGACACACCTCCGGCGACCCGAGCCACATAACCAAGAAATGGCCAGAGTCCTTCAACATAAAAGCCCACAAGCCCCTGCTAGTTGACATAAAGTTGTGAACATTTCATCCTACTAAGAAATTGCCCAGACAGCAGAATGGCTTGTCCGGGTGAATTCATGGCGTGCTGCGGGGAGTGGATATGCTCGGTGTAAAGCGCGCCGTCTCAACGCGACGGCGGGCCTTGGCATAGCATCAGGGGTCCTGTTTGCGTATAAAAGGCCGACATAATGATTTGGGTGACCGCGACCGCCTCCCGTGATCCGAGAAGCCAACCCTTGTGTCTTTTGAGGTAATCCGATGCGCCATGTTGCCCTTCCAGCTCTTGTGTCTCACCGCGGTGTGGACCGCCACCTCGACGGCGCGCTACATCGTGCCAGGTGGACGGTGGCGTGACACAGACGGCAACCTGGTTAATGCGCACGCGGGCAACGTGGTCCACGACCCGGCCAGTGGGAACTTTTTCTGGTTTGGCGAGTACAAGCTCGAGGGCCAGGTAGAGGGCGGCGGTGTGTCTGTCTACAGCTCCAGCGACCTCGCAACATGGACTCACCATGGGCTCGCTCTCGCTCCCATCGAGGGTGACCCGTTGCTTGGCCTGGACAAGATCATCCAGAGGCCCAAGGTCGTCTACAGCGAGGTTACGAGCAAGTATCACATGTGGTGGCACGCCGATAACTCTACCTACGGCCTCCTGTTGCAAGGTCTCGCCACCTCCGACAACATCACCGGGCCTTATGAGTTTGTCTCGGCGACCAAGCCTCTCGGCAACTGGTCACAGGACTATGGACTATTCACCGACTACAAAGATGGACGATCATACGCCCTGTACTCAAATGGTGACACTGTCGAAGGACGGGACGACTACATCACGTCGTACAATGACGCTGTCACTGAGCTGGACGAAGTCGTCTACCGCTTCAACAAATTCGACCTCGAGGCACCGGGGATCGTGCAGACAGACAACAGCTATTACATCCTCATGAGCCACAAGACAGGCTACCGGCCCAACGACGTAGTCGCCTTCCGCGCCGACAGCCTCGCCGGACCCTGGAGCCAGCCCTTCACCGTCGCGCCTCTCAACACGCGCACCTACAACAGCCAGAGCGGCTTCATCCTCCGGATCAACGGCACAAAGAAGGTCACGAACCTGTACCTCGGCGACCAGTGGGACAGCAACTCCCTCTGGGAGAGCCGCTACATCTGGCTGCCGATCGAGATCGACGACGAGAACAAGTCGCTCGAGGTAGTCTGGAACGACGTGTACGACCTGGACGCCGAAACGGGCGAGTGGAGCCCCGTGGAGGGCACGCCGTACTACGCCCACGACGCCGAGGTCGCGGGCGACGCGTTCCTGCAGGAGGCCAACTTCGCGAGCGGCGGGCTCATCGCCACGGGCATCTACGGTAACGATAGTACCGTCACCTTCAGCGGTATCGAGGGCACGGGCGAGCCGCAGTGGGTCTCGTTTCACTACCAGAACACGGACGACATGGGCTTCGGCAACCAGCCGGGGGGCACCCCAGACCGCATCGGCGGCAAGTGGCAGCTGCGGCGCATCGCCAGCGTGGTGGTCAACGGAGACACGGAGAACGTCGAGACGCTGTTCCAGAGGGACACCAACAAGGGCATCATCCTGTCGACGCCGCTGCAGTTGACCTTGGAGAAGGGCAGCAACAACACCATCACTGTGGGGGGCCTGTTCAACGGCTTTGACTACAAGGGTGCTGATCTCGAACGTGTTGTGGTGTACCCGCCCGAGACGGCCAGCAACTTGACGGCGAGTGCGACGCGGCGAAGCTTCTAGGAGCGCGCATCTCTTTTAATGTTTCTTTTTCAACGTATATAGGTCTTGGAAAGGGTGGGTTGTAGATAGCTCAATCTCAAAGTGTATTGTCTTCTGCCTCTGTCAGCGCAGGTATGTGAAACAATGTGAACGAGCCAGATCCTCGGGAGTCTCGCAGCCACAAGTCCAAGTTCAGCACGTAGGTACTGGTCCAAGTTGTACATCAAAAATGCTCGACCGCTTCGCTTCTGGGCGGACGAATAGTCCCTCGACGGGTACGTACAACTCGAGGTGCAGCCGAATATGCAAATCGTAGTAGAAAATGAAGACCTCTCAATATCACAGGTCATAGGTGCATTAATGTCATGAGAACAATGATATCATATGTATTCTACAGGTATATAAGCCAAATATAAAACGCCAGACGTTTCTACCTAAAAGTCCATCGAGACCCGAACTCCGGCCACCTGGGCTCGCATCTTAAATCTCTCAAATCACCATTACGCCGCCAGGCCCTGGCACAGCTTACTCTTGGAGCAGACCGCCCTGCTGAGGAACTGGATGCTCCCGCTGCTCAGCAGCTCCAGCACCTGCAGGTTCGCCTCGAACTCTCGAGTCAGGAAGTTGCGGATCTCGATGGCGACGAGCGAGTCGAGCGGGTAGTGCGACAGGCTGCGCGTGACATCAAGGTCGCTCTCCTCCAGCATCAGCAGCGCCGCGATCTTGTGCACAAGACCCCTGCAGATGACGTCCTCGGCCTCGGTCGCGTTCTGAGCATTCTTCAGCATCGCGTTGAATGACAGGGACGCTGCTCCACCATTCGCGGCCGAGCTTCCCTCCTCGTCCTCCTTCTGCTTGATCTGGGCCTCGGCCTCCTGGCGGAGGTGCTTGAACTTTGCGTCTGTGGTCCAGAATGGTAACTTAGTCCTGTCTGGTGGGATACGAATGCCCGTCACGACTTGGTGGTTGCATGCTGAGGTGCGGCCCTCAATGGCCGCGCTCAAGAGGGCGAGGACCTCGGCTTCGTACATGGTGCTTTCCGCGCCGAGGTTTCTGGCAACCTCCGCGGCCCTGTCGGCCCCGTCACTTTCACCACTGCCTGCTTCGGCGAGGTAACCCGCGTCTGCGACGGCGGTGAGATCCAGGGAGACGGCGGGCAGCCCTTGTGACAGGCGGTACTGGACAAAACTGTCCAAGAACGTGTTGGCTGCGGCGTAAGCTGCTTGGCCACGGTTACCAACAACACCGGCCGTTGACGAAATGGCGACGAAGAAGTCCATCTCTTTGCCACTTGTGGCATGATGGAGGTTCCATGCGCCTTGCACCTTAGATTCAATGACTGACATGTAATCGACGAAAGTCATCTTTTCGAACAAAACATCCTGCAAAAGCCCCAATCAGCTGACGTTCGTATCTCTGGACTCAGAAGGGGAGGACTTACCTTGAGCACCATCGAACCGTGAACAACTCCTCGCACGGGAGGCAGGTCAGTCATTCCGGATCGGAACAGAGCATCGACACTGGACTTGTCTGCCACATCACACCGTCGGAGAAGGATATTGGCACCAGCCGTGGATCTCAAGTCATTCATGAGCTCCTTCACCTTGCCCGAGGCAGAAGCACTCCGAGACACAAGAACGATGTTCATAGCCCCGTTGGATACCATCCACCGAGTCATGCTGCGACCTAGACCGCCCGTGCCTCCGATGAGAACATAGGTCGCGTCTGGGCGAAGCAAAGACTTCAGAGGATTCGTTCGTTGTGTTGCCTGTAAGTTAATTAGTATAGTTCAGACTTGGACCGAAAACTTAGACGACGTACCAGAATGCTGCAATCAGTATCCACCGAGACCACGATCTTATCCAGTTGCTGACCGTGTTGAAGCTGCTTCAGGGTATCCTCGACTTCGGACAGTGGCCTGGTTTTGACCATTGGGAGGGAACGCAGCTTGTCATTGCCCACAAGGCCCGCGACCTTGGAGACAACGTTCTTCAGGACATCTGGTCTTTGGGCAGATAGCTCAAAAATGTCGAGGCTGAAGTAAGAGGTATTCGGCCGAGAGGCGTTGTTGCCGACCGGACTGAACGAAGAGCTCCCCTCAATCATCTTTCCTACTCGCACGTCCACCATGCAGCCGAAAGGAGCCACACACGACAACAAGTCTTGAGCCACGTGCATGTTATTCCCCGAAGCACTTGTGGAGTGCCCCACAGATATAACCGCGTCCACACCCTCGGGATGCTCTGGGCCTCTGCACTCATGCAGCATGGAAGAAATGTTACCCCTGCGAGACGACAGGAAGACATGGTCCTGTGGGATGCCATACGCTCTGCCCACCAGCAGCTTCTGCTCCTCGGACCCAACCGCCATATAAACTTGGCCTGTTGAGCCAAGTAGCATCTGTGAGAGACAGATAACCGCATGAGCCACAGAAACAGCGTCAGAGGAGTCACCGTACTGGATGAGGATGCTCTGGCCTTCCTGTACTCGAGCCTGAGTTACCACGGCATAGTAGGCAGTGCAGTAAGCTAGAGGCATAGCAGCAGCATCCTCGAAGGATAGCGAAGCGGGAATATGGATGGCTGTGGCGGTGGAGGAGCGGGCGCGTGTTCTGTACATGCCACCGTGCTGTCGTCCGGGAACGGGGAGAGCTAAGGCGGCGATCCGTTGGCCTGGTGTGAAAGTGGTTGACTTTTCGCCAACCCGGGTCACGATTCCAGATGCTTCGATTCCAAGGTGGTGATTATCGGAATTCACATCGCCTTCGACATCCGAGGTGTTCGTCCCGATCGCCTTGACTTCGAACTCAATCTCGTCTGGCAGGAGAGGCTCGTTGAGAGAGTCATCATCTACGAAGTGCAGACTTCCCGTCGATTCCTTTGACAAGCCATCGTAATTGAGCTTGAGGCATCGACCATCCTTGCCGAAGCTCTGAAGCTCTGGTATGCTGGGGTCCAGCTTTCGCTGGACATAGCTGTTCATGAACTCGTCGTTTTCGATCCGCGCAGTAAGGATCTTCCCATTGCGGCTCACAAACTCAAGTTCGCTGCTGTCCTGAGCTGCCGAAGAGGTGTCTGAAGCCGCACCAAACACTGAACCAAGTACCGAGAGAACCGAAGTCACTGCTGCTGTTTGATCGGTGGTTTCGAGATCGAGAGTTGCAAACGGCAGCAGAGTCTCAGAGCGAATAGTTCTGCTGAGGCCGGTGACCATGCCGGAGTCAGGCTGAGTGGCTCCGTTGGTGACCCAAAGCACGCCATGAGGCGGCTTCGTATCGTTGGTGCCGAGCAGAGCGATCTTCAGCTGCTGGAAACGGGCTTCGGTTAGCCTTGCGAGGAAGGGCTGGTCAACCTCGTCAAGGACGACGACGACCTTGCCCTCGCAGTCAACCTCGCTCAGAGCACCAGTAGTCGCACGCCACGATGTCGCTCTGAAGAGACCTTCAGCCAACGCCTTAGCGAGAGAGTGTTGGTATGTTGAAGTGCCGTGGATGACCACAATCTCTAATTCGAGCTTCGCCAATGACGAGATGCTCGAGTCTTGGGTTTCCAAAGGCTCCCACTCAATCTTGTAGCAGAGCTCACGGGCTGCCGCAATAGCAGTGCTGTCATCCTGTGCTTCTCCACCAGACACAGGAGATACTTTGAGATCATCGACCTGGATCAGGCAACCCGCATCTGAGGTCTTGCCGTCCTCTTCAGCAGAAGATGCTACTGCAATGATAGAAGCTTTGCTTGGACGAGGCTGCTCTCCTCTGCTCATGACTGGGAAGCCTGCTTTGCAATACGCATTTAAAGTTCTCCCGGACTCTTTGGCTAGTGCCACGAGCTCATTTGAGATCTTCAACCCGCCAATTGACGACGGCAGATAAACAGTCGTACCGGCGCCACTGCCCCCGCCATTTGCGAGAGCAACTGGCCAATACATCTGAATGATGGCTTCGAGGAGGTTGGGCTGGATTATCTCGCAGGACACGTGCTCGCTCGGCATGTCGTGAGCGACGTCAATGACTGCAACGTCGGCTGTGGAACACCGCGTTGACGCGTTGGAGTGCTTGATGCCCTGGAAGGACGGCCCGTAGGCGACTCCAAGATCCGAAAGCTGGGCGTACATTTGCTCGCCGTGTAAAGCAGTGAGGGTCTCGTCATTGATGAGCTCTGCGCTGACTTCACGTTTCAGTGACGAGCCGGAAAGCTGTGTACCCTCCAACTGGTGCTCCCGAGACGTTGCAAGCTGAGCGGCAGCCAGACCAACGCAGTGCTTCGTCCAGCCGGCATCCTGAGTCCAGGAAGAAATATGAAACTCCATCCAAGCCTCGGGATCCCGGGGGTCAGTCGGTCTGAGAGAGATAGTCATCTCGGCGTCAGCGTCACCGCCAGAGAAGACCAGCGGCTTGAGGACCTCGACGTCCTTCAGCTCAAACTCAGCGACCTGATCCCGAACGTCCTTCTTCTGGCACCACTTCGCCAGGGCCTCGAGAGCCATGGCTGCGTAGCCGGAGATGGGGAAGATTGTCACCGACTGGATCTCGTGGTGGCGGAGCCAGGGGAGATCATCCAGGCGGACGATGTTCCTCCACGTCGGCTCCAGGTCGTTGGAGTAGATGGCTTCGAGACCTATCAAGTCGTTCCGTGCCGAGGAGCCGCGGTGTATGTGTAATTTTGCAAGGCGTGGCTCGTGCCAGAATTTGTGCTGGTGATTGAATGGGTATGTTGGCAAGTCCGTGAGCAGAGACGGCAGCTTGCCATTGGCGCCGTAGTGGCAGTGACTCGGGAAGTTAATGGCTTCCATGTTCACGAAAGCACCGCGCATGAACAAACTTCCTGCCAGGTCCAGGGAAGTCTGAATAGCGTTCTTGCCTCGTGCGAGCGCCGAGCTGTAAGGTAGCTTGGAGAAGTCGCGATTGGGAGTTGCACCGTTGTCTCCGTTGGTCGATGCAGCTGCGGCCTTGAGAATCTGCTTGGTGGGCCCTTGCAAAGCTGAATGGGGTCCCAACTCCACAAGCATGTCCAAGTCCGCCTCTTTCACCATGTGGTCCAGTGCTTCTGAGAAGCGAACTGGGTTTGTGAGATTGCGGACCCAGTACTCCGCGTGAGCGCATTCCAGACCGTCGACCCTGTGACCGTGCAAGGAAGAAAAGAATTGTGCCGGCTCGTTGCTGTTGCTTTGGGGTCCCTGTTCCATCTGCCTGACGATAGACTCTCGGTATTCGTCGGCTATCATATTCATATGGTGGCAGTGGTATGCAGTATCAACCTGCAGCCGTCGACAGAACATGTCTGGGTGCTCTGACTTGAGCTGATCCTCGAACATCGTCAGCGCCGTGGAGTCTCCCGATATTGTAAGACTCGAGGGACTATTGTAGCATGCTACCGAGACCTTGCCCTCGACCTTCGTGCTCCTCGTGACATCGTCGATGAGTGGCTGAATCTCAGCAGCAGTGCCTCCCACTGCCGTCATGGCTCCGTTGAGGCCCGAATGTCTCCTTTTTAGCACAGGCACAAGACGACCCCGGTGGTAAGCCACAGACATGGCTGACTCGAACGAGAGGAGCCCTGCTGCGTAGGCAGCTCCGATCTCCCCACTGGAGTGTCCCACAACAGCAACCGGCTCTATATCCCACGAACGCAGCAAGTCAACCAGTGCGAGTTGCACTGCTGTGCATGAGGGCTGACTGATATGTGCCTCTCCCACCTTTGTGTTCTTCGCGTCTCTCTGAAGGAGCTCCTGGCTGAGAGACCAGCCCGCCCCGAGTTGGCGGAGGCACTCATTACAGCGATCTATGGCTGCGGCGTAGATGGGGTATTGATGGTAGAGCTCCCGACCCATGGCGTGCCATTGTGCGCCTTGCCCGGTAAAGATGAAGCCTAGTCTGGGCTTATCTGCGGATTGTTTGCAGGGGATGATCTTGTCGCTGTTGATGCTTTCTATCAGGTCGAATGAGCGGTCGGTAGCAATAGCAGCTCGCCATTGCATTAGTGAGCGCCGTTGGCCCAGGGTGTATGCAAAATTCTCCATCAAGTCCTTCTGGAAGATTTCTGGTCTTTGCTCCAGGAACACGACCATTTTCTCTCTTCATGATTGCCAACAGCGAGGCCTTGTCGTTGGCTGTCATAACGAACAACTTTGTGTTGCTGGGGCTGGCGGGCTTCGCTTCTTGCACCTTTGCCGACCGTGCATTTGTGAATAGGCGTAGCATGGATGTGCTTTCTTGTTGTGGAGCTGCTTGAGTGGGCTTGGCGGGTTTAGGCTTTTGGATTGAAGGAGCCTTGCCCAAGACGACGTGGGCATTGGTGCCGCCGAACCCAAAATTGTTGACGCTAATGTATTTCTTCGACTTTGGCCATGGTTGTTGGCGTTTCAGAACCTTCAGGTTCCATTCCTTCCACGGAATCTTCTCATTTGGTTCCTTGAAATCATGGTTGGGGAGCAAGAAGCCTCGTTCAAGCATCATCACGGCCTTGATGACGGCAGCTATGCCCGAGGCAGCCTCCAAGTGGCCAATGTTGGACTTGATGGACCCTATGTATAGTGGGTCTCGGGCTGTCCTGCCCTGGCCAAGGGCATTGTGAATGGCAGTGGCCTCAATAGGGTCCCCAACTTTGGTGCCAGTGCCCTAGATGTGAGAATTAGTACCTGTTCAAAACGGTAGAATCTAGAAGCTCTCGAGCAGCCTAATCTAAGCATGGGGACATGGTGGTCCCGAAACTAGAATTGGGCTCATAAGGGGCTATCCCGGAGGTACTTACATGGCACTCAACGAAACCACAATCTGCTGGCGAGATGCCAGCATCTCTGTAAACCTTGTTGATGAGCCGCTCTGGACGTGATGAATTAGTACTAGACGGCTGATGAGTTTTATTTGGGCCTTGACTTCGTACCTTGCGCAGTACCGTTCGGCATTGTGATGCCTGGCGTCTTGCCATCCTGGTTGATCCCTGAACCATGGATGACAGCTCTGATGACATCGTTGTTCCTCAGAGCCTCGTCCAAAGGCTTCAGGACAATCACACCACAGCCTTCGCCTCTGCCGAATCCAGTACCACGGCTGTCGAATGCGATGGACCTTCCAGAGTCAGAGAGTAATCGGCTTGAAGAAAATGAAGCCCAAAACTCTGGCAGCATGTTGAGGTGGCAGCTCCCAACGATGGCGTGGGTGGATTCTCCAGCTCGCATACTCTGGCACGCGAGATGCAGTGCGACAAGACTTGCTGAGCATGCTGTGTCGGCTGTGAAGCTGGGCCCCCGCAGGTCGAAGAAGTGCGAAATCCTGTTGGACTGCATCGACTGGGCACAACCTGTGGCTTGGTGCATGGGCATAGAGTCGATGTCTCGAGCCAGCTGAAGCTCATACTCGGCAAAGCTGCCGCCGACGAAGACTCCCACGTCCTTTGCCCACGATTGTGTGCTTCGGGATTCCTCCGTTCTCCAGCGCCTCAAATGTGCACTCGAGAAGTAGGCGTTGTTGAGGGTCCATTGACACGGCCTCTTTCTCAGTCAGGCCAAAGAAAGGTGCATCCATCGACTTGAGGTCAACATGCGTCAGGAAATTCCCTCCCTTGGCATGATAGGAGCCCATCTTGCCCGCGTTGGGATGATAGTAGGCATCATGGCTGAAGCGATCCTTGGGGATGGGGCCGAAGCCCGTTCTGGCGCGCGAGCACAGCTCCCAGAACTCTGCAGGACTTGAGACGTTGCCAGGCAGGCGGCAGGCCATGCCCACGATGGCAATAGGCGTGGTATTTTGTGGGGGCATTGGCACTGGATGTGTGCCGTTCAGCCCGTTGGTGTGCCCACGTGCAGATCCACTGTCTGGGTGATGCCGCCAAGATTGGCCATCAAAGGGATAGTCCCCTGGACCGTAGAAGTCAGATGGAGGAGTGACCATGATCGGACTGTCGGTGGTAGGCGAGGAGTCCGTGGTCGAACAAGAATTGACAACAGCGGGCGCCATGGTGCGCTCGCGATTACTGAATTATTCGAAGCAGAACCAGCATTGTCTAAATGTATAAGGAAAAAAGGGGTAATGGCAAGATTGGAGATAGAGAGGGGATGCCGGTGAATTAGAGTTCTCAGATATGACATATGAGCGTATACTCGAGGAACAAAAGTTAGTTCTGCTTCGCCCGTAGATCATCCGTCCACATCGGTCGGTCTATCACGTCTTGGCAGGAGATTTGCAAGACAGAAGGTTTGACCTAAGGAGGCTCGGGAGAGTATCAAATTGGGATCCACTCCTTCTCGCCACTGCCACTGACAACGTTCCCGCCAATACACGGCCTCGGATCCTGTTTCTCTGTGTTCTTCTTCCCATGTTTCCTGGTGTTCTAGAGTACGGGTCTATGTTAGGGGCCACGCGCTAGTACTAACCCGGAAGTCGAAGCGCTCCTTTGAATCGAGGAGCCAGCGTCTGTGTGTATCGAACACTGTGGCGTCCATGCAGCGATCCCTTAGATCCCGGACGTGTGCCTCGCAGTTAGGCTGTTTGGCGGGGGTGCCGTTTACATGACACGGTGATTGTCACCTTTCATCTTGTCGTGTGCTGACGCCCAAACAGCCAAGCGATCATCACAACAAATGCCAAGGAGTTTCGATTGGTGTTGGGTGGTGTGCAGCCACGGGCCGGGCGCGGCCCAAGCTGGAGACACCGGGGCTATGCTAAGTCAGGGGCATCAATGTAAAATCGGCCTAGAAGAATGGCTTGGACATGAGCTGTGTCGCTCAGATGAATTGTCTCGGGGAATGCAGCACCAGTGTTGCATTGTTGCACAAGCCGAATGCGATTGCCTGTGAGACTTGCTCTGTCCAATGGGTTGATTGGACTGGTGTCTTCGGGTGAGATCCTGAGATGTCAGTTGTGCAGTATGCTTAATTTCGGATGGTGGAGAAATTGATCCTATTGCACACAACACTCCACGGATGCCTTGCTATCCTCTCAGCCGGGCGCGTGGGCGGGTATTCATAGAAGCTGCGAGATCCCATCGCTTCAAAGACTCTCAAATTCATGATCTTCTTCCAAAGTACATAGCATCCGCATCCAGTTCCACATCAACACAGCGCTGGCGCCGACTTTAGACTTTGGAGCATTTGCACTTCTCAAGACATCGGCTCCCTCCAATAGATCCAAGATGAGGTTTCTCTGTCTGCCCGGCGCATACGGCAGCGCTGATGTGAGTTCGCTCTTTGAAGAGAGGTGGGAAAGAAGATCCTTTACTGATACGAGTTCTAGAAATTCCAAGTTCAACTAGGTATGGGCGCATCAGTACCTCTCTTAGGAGACAATACCTTCTAACAATCTATGCTTTCCCAGCTCCCTTCTTGAAAGAGCTTACCGATGATGGTACCGCCTCATTCTACTTCTGCCATGGCCCATGCAAGGCGGTTCCCCCTCCCGGCTTCGAAGACTATTTTGGCCACCCACCATACTACAGGTTCATCGAGCCCGATGATAAGCCGGACGCGCCTCGATTCATCAAGAGAGCAAAGAAAGACGATGTGCTCTCTCGTATCCGCGAATTCCCATCCTGGTGCGAAACCCCCGAGGACACCATGCGAGAGCTGATGCGGGAGGGTCTTGCAACATCTCACCGCAGTGCCGACCGCGCGATCAAGTACCTTACGGAGGTGATGGCCAAACACGGTCCCTTTGATGGCATCATCGGCTACTCCGAAGGTGCGACTGTCGCTGCGACAATGCTTTTGCACGAGCAGAGGCTATTCCGCAAAGTTGGAATCGAACCCATGTTGAAGTACGCGATATTTTTCGCAGGCTGGCCACCGGTTGATCCGATCACGCACCACCTGGTGTTATCGGACGAGAATGAGGACAGGATAGACATCCCGACCTTGCACATTGGTAAGGTCCCACTCATCCTCGTCGGAAGACAAACTTATCTGAGCTCAACTAACACGTTATGAAGTGGGCTCTTTGGACCCATACATTGATGGCTCCATGGCGTTGTACAACGTCTGTGACGCAGATACTGCCTATCTCTTCGACCATGCCAAAGGACACACGCTCCCTCGTGACAGGGAGACAAACCGGGAAATCGGGGATATTGTGCGACAGGCCATCGAAGAGATGAGGGATGGGGGCGTTCTACCATAACCAATCGCATGTTTGCTTTCTTTCAGAATCTAGATAATAAATAGGTGTGCGCCATCATGTACTGTATATATTACATGCGGGAAGTATATTGATTATGGCATCAATGACTATATCCATGAGGCTGAGAAACGTGATTTCGCGCCAGGACACGTGTGGAAATAGTTGTATGTGGCTTTGAAAAAGTATATCTGTGTTACTCTTTTGTCTCATATGCAAATTGTCGCGAGTCGTGTTACGGGTGGAGTTTGATGCCCTGGAAATCAAAACGACTTTCCCTAAATGGACGAGAACCGGGGTCATGATTGGCGAAACTTTATCTTCGGGAGTGGAGATCAATATGAGCATCCAGGCGATCAACTCTATTTCAACAACCTCATTTGTGCAAGATATCGCAGTAGCCGGTTGCCAAGATCATATCTGCCATATCACGCATAAGCAATGCTCACTTCAATGAAATCTGGGAGCCTATCGCATCCCAAATCACGCTATTCACAGCTCGAGCTTCTTTTCCGGCACACAATATCTGGGGCTGAAGATACCCCTTTCGTTTTACCCAATACAGTATTCACAACGTGGCTCACCACGTTACATGATCAGAACCTTGCACCTGCATGACTAAAAAATCTGCCTTTCCAAATTGGAGCTTGCTTCAATAGATTACGATTCTTCGGAGTGCAGAAACATGCCGAGAGCGAGACTGGCTGGCAGAACGCCCAAAGACTCAAGAGGTCCGTTCGCCACGTTTCATCACTGACACCCGGGTTCAAGCGCCACCTTCCCCACGGGACGCTACTCACTAAAGAAAAGGGGGGGCCGTAGGAGAAAAACAAATCACGAAACAAACAGCGATCCCCCCTAGCGCTTCCCCCTGGAATCCACCCAGCATCTGGCATGGTTTCGGATGCGTCTCCGGGATGAGGGATAAACATCAGACGATCGCTATGGCACCTGTCACAACAGATATGCCACCACAGCTTATCACATGCCGGCGTGTGTGTACCCAATCCTGCCTCGCGGGCTGAATCTCCCTCGCCACCAAAACGGGCTGCGCCGTGTCCCGGTTTGAGCATGCTCAGCACAGCCTGCCCTGTTTGCCACGACACAAGTGCCGGTCGCCTTTTGGTATCCTGCAACTGCACAAACTGGGAACTATCGCCGCACCGTATTGTCAGTAACCCAGAAACGTCTGATGTGGGCTTGTGTTGAGAATAGCCGCGTGGTAAATTGAAGCCATCATGACTTCCAATGCACCCAACGAGCCGCCCGCAGCGCCGGCAGAGGCACGCGTGTTTGGCATCATTATCCAGCAGAAACATATGACAGCTGCATTCAATTTCGCAGTACGTTTGAAACTGGATTCACACTGAATCTCCATGATAAAATTCTCCAGTGCTAATGTTAATAGAGGATCTTCACGTACGCGACAACATGGGACAAGTTCGTGTTGCTGCTGTCAATGGGGGCAGCCGCATTGTCGGGATTGTCAATGCCATTACTGTTCCTTCTTTTCGGTAGGTTCGGGATCGAATGCGCTCAAATCTGAGGGTCCCCATTCATCGCTTGATACAAGTTTGCTGAAAGTGCTGCATGTAGGTAAACTGACGGAGGAGTTTACCGGTTTCTTCCGCCAGGGCGCCGACGAGACTGAAGCAGTCTTCACAAGCACCGTCAACAAATATGTGTAGGTGACTGTCCTGCTTCATGGAGTGTCTCTACAGAAGCAACAAAGCTAACGTTCTCTGGAAAGTCTATACATAGTCTACATCTTTGTTGCTAAGGTGTGCCTCTTGTACATCGCGAATGTAAGTACCGCCCCTAAACCGTGTGAGCGGCACGTGGCATTGATGACTGACGGCTCTACCAAAGCTTGGTTTCCGGACAACGAGTTTACGGATATCGTCAGCTATCAGACTAGCTTACCTCAAAGCTCTTTTTCACCTGCCCATCTCGACGCTGGATATGATCCCTCCGGGGCAAACGGCTGCCATAGTCACTATGACAGCCAACTCTCTGCAGGCAGGCATCTCCGAGAGGATGGGCCATCTTTGCTCCAGCCTGTCAGTCGCTGTTACTGGAGTGATCCTGTCACTTGTATTTGACTGGGCTCTTACCATCGTCGTCGGCTTGGGCTTGGTCCTGGTGGTATTCGTGTACACGTTTGCCACTGGCGCTGTCTCCACGAAGATGGCCGATTTACAAAATATTGACATCCAGTCTGCGTCCGTGGCCACTGACGCTCTCACATCGATGAAGATGTTAGCAGCCTGTGGGGCAGAATCAAAAATGGTGGATAGGTACTCCGAGGTCGTCGATAAAACTCGACGGATCGGTGCTCAGATGGCATGTCTGCTGGGTGTGCAGCATGGACTGAGTGAGTAGTCTCATCTAGTGGCCTGCCTGTATGTGTCTTTTTTGGTCTGAATACCTGCTTACAGCGTCTTATTACAGTTAATCTGATCATCAACGTGTAAGACCCGCACGCGACCCTTTTACCCTGTTTTCCTTTCCATGCACGTGAGGAATATCTTGCTAATTGGCCCATGCTTACTTCAGCACATTTGCCTTGGCTTTTTGGGTGGCTCTTCAAATGTATCAGTACCAACTTCTAGGCTCGAGCGGCCCTCAATCAGTGATAGTGTATGTCGAGACATTCCCACTGAAATTTCCACATCATTCAAACTAACCGGTATCACCAAGGGTCCTTCTCTGCGTGATGACCATCGCCTCCTCAGTGGGTCAGATTACTGGTCCTTTGACCGCGGCCTCTCAAGCAGCAGAGGCATGCGCGATTTTCCACACCATCATCGACACTCCAAAGACCACATACGGTACAGATGTGATTGGGGATGCCGGTGCTGAGGACCTTGTCCTACACAACGTCCATTTTACTTACGCCTCCCGACCCGATGTGAAGATCTTGGACGACTTATGCCTTCGCTTTCCCGCGGGAAAAGTCACTGCTATTGTCGGACCGTCCGGCTCTGGAAAGAGCACTATCGTGGGAATTCTACAAAGATGGTACGAATTCAATGGTGATCCCGTGTCCAATCCTATGGTAAGCTCTTCGTTGATTAACATGCTCATATGCAATATTACTTCGTCAATATCGGCACCTAACCTTGTTCCAGGTCTTACGGTTCCGGCACGGAATCGTTGCTGTCGGCCAGCGGCTACTATCCGAGCTTGATGTCAAGTGGTGGCGAAACCAGATTGGCCTTGTCCAACAAGACAACATCTTGTTCAACACAACGATTTACAAGAATGTTGAGTACGGCCTGATTGGAACTCAGTGGGAAGACTCAAGTGATCACAAGAAGGCCATGATGATCCGGTCTGCCTGCCAAGATGCTTTCGCAGACGAGTTCATCTCACGGCTTCCAGACGTACGTTCTCTCTTATCAAGGTGTGCGTCATCGATCAAGTACTCATCACAAGTTTGCAGGGTTATGATACCATGGTTGGGCAGTCCGGCCTCAAATTGAGCGGCGGCCAGCGCCAGCGAATTGCGATTGCGCGCGCCATCGTTAAACAGCCCAAGATCCTGATTCTCGACGAGGCAACATCCGCAATCGACGTCCACAGTGAGCAGATAGTGCAAGCAGCGCTGGATCGCGCAAGTAAAGGCCGCACCACAATAGTGATAGCACACCGTCTGGGAACCATCCAGAAAGCTGACAACATTGTTGTCCTGCGCGGTGGCCGCGTCATACAACAGGGTACCCATCAAGACCTCATGAGTGAGACTGGTGGGCCATATCATGTTCTTGCTACGACTCAGTCCGTCAACATGGGGGACGCTCTGCCAGATGAGAACATTTTGACAGAAGCTGAGGTTCGTATTTCAACATCTGAAGAGCAGCTGGATGATGTTGCCGATGCGACCTATTTCGAGGAGAAACGATCTGAACGAAGACCTGGGTTCAAACACGAGCTGGAGAGCGACTCCGGAGACGACGCTGGCTCGGAGGGCACTCTTCTTGGTGATGCTGACATTGAAGAGGGTTCACGCCCAATCGTGATGAAGAGGCCCGAGGAAAATCGCCTTGGGAGCGTCGGCACTTTGCTGTATGAACAGCGATCCAGATGGATACCGTACACGCTGGTTGCAACCGCAGCAGTGGGCGCAGGCTGTAAGTAGCAGTTTGCACCAAACCTTGAGCGAGCTTGCCTTGATCTACGATCAGTACTGACCTCGCCCATAATTACAGCAAGTACACCATTCCAGGCATTCATCTTCGCCAAGTTGATATCCTTGTTTTCATTGTGGGGGCACAGCCTGTCCGCGCTCACCAACTACTGGTGTCTCATTTTCGTCTACCTTGGTGTTGCTGCCGGTGTGAGCCACCTTGTACTTGTCTGGTCAACCGCTTCTGTTGGGTTTGTAAGTATTGTGCCCTGACATTCCCTATCTAGAAACCATGCAAGGCATTTTGACCGTATCAAAATTGCATGTGTTTCACTGTCCACCACTGACCAAGTTCCTACAGGCAATTACTCGTGCGTATCGTAAGGAATACTTTGGCAATGTCCTTAGCAAGCCAATGTCGTTCTTTGATGACAGCCAAGAGAATTCAATAGGGGCCCTGGTCGGCCGTCTCGCCGCAGACCCCTTCCAACTCCAACAACTCCTGGGTGCGAACACGGCAGCCATGCTCGTCTCATTCATAAACGTGCTAGGCTGCGTAGCCATATCCCTGGCCTTCGGGTGGAAACTGGCACTTGCAGCTTTCGGCACCTCCATGCCCGTCATCATCTTCGCCACTGTCTACCGAATCCGCCACGAGCGGAAACTGGATGCGATGGGAGCCGTCGTGTTCGCAGAGAGTGCTGCGTTCGCAGCTGAGAGCATAGCCGCCATGCGCACCGTCTCCAGTTTGACTATGGAGGCGAGTGTGTGCGAGCGCTATGATAAAGTCCTCCGGAAGCATGTTAAAGATGCCTTCCGTGAAGGTGTCCTGTCAACATGGCTGTTCTCGTTCAGCGACAGTATTGCGTTACTTTGTATGGCCTTTGTGCTTTGGTGAGTAGAGCTACCGGAAGACCGTCACGGTGTGCAGCTGAGTCTAATGAACCGTGAATTCTAGGCTGGGGACACGCCTCTTGGCATCACATGAGTATACCCCGTTCCAATACAGTAAGTGTCTCTCTTACCTCTAACCGTGACACACTCACTGACCTTTCCAGTTCTCGTTTATAATGCCGTCGTGCAAGTAAGCTTTCTGCTGTCGCAACCATGCAACGGTGCCGTATTGACGTCTCTTTACTCAGGGCGCTTTATCGACAGGGGCGTGGCTGAGCTTTGGACCAAGTAAGAATACTCTACGTCTGCGCATGGCCTGATTTGTGAGAAGTGCTAACACATGTTCCGTTATAAAGACATTGCCGCAGCGACAGCCGCGGCCGACCGTGTACTAGCAGCCCGTGAAGACCATGACGATGACGAGTTCTCAACATTCGACGGCACCAGCGGCAATGACGAATTCAACGATGAGTCAGAGAAAGGCATCGCATTTGACTTCAGAAATGTGTGGTTCAGCTACCCAACAAGGCCAGACGTCCCGGTTCTCAAGGGCCTGGACCTTCAGGTTAGTCGTTGCGCACTGTTGAATGACCTCTCGATGCCGGAGACTGACTGGTGCATTCGCTGCTTATAGGTCAGGAATGGACAGGTAGCGGCGATCGTGGGGTCTTCCGGTTCAGGTAAAACCACGGTCATCTCGCTCATTGAGCGGTTCTATAGGGCCCAGTCTGGAGATGTGCGATACGACGGAAGGTCTATTGACAACCTAGACCTGGCATCCTACCGCTCGAACCTGTCACTAGTAGCTCAGGAGCCCTGTCTATTCAGTGGCTCTGTTCGCCAGAACATCATGTTCGGTGTCAGTCGACACGAGGACGAGATGGACGACGACGAGCGCGTGCACATGGCGGCGCGCGCTGCCGGCATACACGATTTCGTGGTATCTCTGCCCGAGGGCTACGAGACTGACATAGGCACGGCGGGCGTCGCATTGTCAGGTGGCCAGAAACAGCGCATCTCCATCGCACGTGCTCTCATCCGCAACCCCAGCGTTCTGCTTCTAGATGAGGCAACCAGTAGCCTGGACAGCGAGACAGAGCGGAAGATTCAGGAGGTATTTGATGCTGAGAGGGGCAAGAGGACTGTTCTCATGATTGCGCATCGGCTGGCGACTGTCCAAAATGCCGATGTCATTTTCGTGATGAACGATGGCGTGGTGGCGGAGAAGGGAAACCACGCAACCCTGCTGGGCAAACGTGGCCTATACTATCAGATGGTGAGTCGGTTCCAAACCGAGAAAGCGTTGTGATGTGCGTGCTAACCATTGCGCAGTGCCAATCTCAGGCTTTAGACAAGTAGATTTGAATTTAGGCGGTAAAGAAATGTGGCTCTGATATTTAATTGGCAAAGACAATGACGCCTTAGTAGGCATTTTGTGATGTTTGCTCAGCCACCTTGTATGTGAACTGGGCAAGTTCGTGCCGTTCAGTTGATTAGCCCTGACCTCGGGAGTACTCAACTTGAAGCCTTCTCCTGCCACTCCTTCATCCCACTGAAAGCTTTTTGACCCAGAATACGTTGTATGTGATCTTTCGTCAATGTGCACCACTATACGTTGGTGGAACATGATCTGAACATGGCCCTCTGGTTCGCTCAATCGAAAGTACGCTGGGAGCATGATATAGACGCAACCGATTTGTCGCCTCGAAGACTTTGTAGGGAGTTGCAAAGATGAATTTCTCGCAACTGAAGCCCACACCCGCGAATTACCTGGCCCAGTAACAACCCCCCAAGCGAGGGTATAAAGGCGTTGATGCACTCTCGGGGCAGGCCCTGGAAGAAGACCATGCGCGGGGAATCTGATCTCAGCAAGATGTCTGCCAGAGAGGGCGACAAGACCAGCCGGTAGATCATGCGACGAAAAGGAGCTCGAAGTCCGAGTCGGATCATCTGGTCACATTTCCGGTACTGAAATGGAGGGTCTCGTTCATGCACGTGCTTTTGTCGGCACTGAGGAGGTGCAGGCGCAGGGGCTCGGCCATGTCGTGGGCCATGCCGGTGCCAACAGCCCTCTTCAATACCACCAGACCGAGGGAAATAGCCACTTTGCAATCAGCACACACAGCGTGCAGATGATTGGTCGCCCTCATCAATACTCTCACCGGCCCTGTCTCCGAATCCACGAGCCATGCGGCAGCCTCGAACATCTTCATTCGAAACAAGACGGATCAGTCTGACATTTGTCCGTCGGCCGCATCTGATGAGGGTGATGGTGGTTGAAGGTTTTCAACTGTATCACTAATCAGTCTCTCGTCACCAATTATTCTTGTTGCCAAAGTGTTACCTTTCTTGCGGAGCTTGCGCAGCTCCTCCTTGGCCTCCTCGAGCTCCCAGTTATAAAATCGTTCGGACTGCTCGCGCATCAGAACGTCCCACCTGGCCTGTTTAAGCTCTGCTTTTAAGGCCATGATCTTTGTTTGATTCAACTGTGCATTGAAAAGCCGAATTTGCAAAGATTTGCACTCCTCCAAAGGCAGGGTTATGCCCCCAGTCGCAAGCTTCGCATTCGGCTCTTGTTCTTCTTCACAGGAGTCTATCGAGGGCACAAAGAAATAGTCTTCTTGAGGACTTCCCTTCTTAGATTGAATGTCTGATTGAGTCTTGGTCGGCGGTTCTTCGCTCTTTGGCGTCTCAATGACACTCGTCGGAGGCGTGCCGGTCTTCGTCGTGTCGGTCTTCGGCGTGTCATGGGCCGTCGTCGACGAATGGCCCCGCCGATGCAGCCTCCATCGGCGTGGTATTTTGAACCGGGATAATCTTTCCATGAGGGGTGCGGTTTGTGTCATGGTCGTTGGAGGTGGTTTTTCGGATTTCAAACGCAGAAGGGTTAGCAAAATTTGGAGTCCCGGGCATTTTGTTCTTCTATCAAGAGCGCACACCCTTTATCTTTGCCGAAGGCCTGATACATTCTACTTATTTTCTAGCAATTCGTGCTTGCTGCCCAGCTATAGTCATTGGCCTTGGTGTGCTGCGCTTAACGACCCCGTATCACTTTACTAATAGAGGCCGACGAAGTTAAGTCCCATAAGCCTGAGTCCAGCGGTGTTTTCCTTGGTAGCTAGCTTATTACCCAGTCGCAGCACTCTCCATTGGGCGCAAGACTTGAGGTCACACTTTCGCGACTGCCTTGCAGCGCCACGCTAAATTGGAGCTTCGAGTGCTAGTCTAGCCCGCTGTCAAACTCCGTCAGCGTTCTAGCATCTTTCTAGGGCGTTTCCATGGGACGCGCGTATTTTATGATTGGGTGAACATTGCGCATCGCCAATGTCAGCGGCAAAGTTCGTTGATGGGCGAGTTTAGATTCTCCTGGCCGTAGTCGTAGAAAACCCCGATTATCAGGGGCATATGGACTAGTTGATTCGCCATTCGGACGGGCTCTTATGGGCGGAACGCCGAATTAAAGGCAAAGGCAAAGTTGGTGTCGGCAGAGCCGGGTGCGAACCTCCACTTGCTGTCGACCCACCGCGACGCGATGCAGAACTATTCGTCATTTTGACGACGCTCCTTCTCATAGGTGTCTATGACTGCTTGTCGAAAAGAATATCAGTAAAAAATACTCGAAATGTATTTCCAAATGAGCGTCTATGTAATTGCGCTATGTAGCTCTCGACGCTCGCGATGTGGAGGATGCACTGCGTCTTGGCCAGAACCATCAACACAAAGAGAATTATGAGCTATTCACTAAGTTTCTGGAAGCACGCGCGACAGTGATTTCCTGATCTATAAGAAGATCTGACAGTCATTACAGTTGAGCTTCGTTGGTGCGCTTGCGTCATAAAAGCAGAGAGATACATCATAGGACAACGATGAACCTCCAGAAAATATGAGCCGAGGCTCGTCAATATTCTTCCCTTTTAAGAGATAAGATCAATCTGTGAGTTTGTAAATTTTCGACGATACCAAATTCTTCCGTGGCGTCGATGCATGCTTTCTTCGGGTACGCCTTCTCGTCATGGACTCAGTCAACACGTATCCACCAACAGGACTAGCACGCCTCGTCTCGCAAGCGGGCGTCGCCAAATCCCGGCTCAGCTATCCGGAAATTGCCATCAAGACATTCATGGGCGGCGTTTTTATCTCATTCGGGGCCCTCGCAGACCTGGTCATCGCCTCGGGGTGTCCCGGCCTCCGCGAATCCAACCCGGCCCTTGCAACGATGATCGCCGGCTTCACGTTCCCGCCGGGCCTCGTGCTCATCATTCTCACGAACATGGAGCTAGTCACCAGCAACATGTTCGTGATGCCATTCACCTGGTTGCAGAGGAAGATCACACTCTTCGACGTGATGAAGAACTGGGTTCTCGGCTACATTGGCAATCTCGCAGGCGCCCTCTTTGTGGCAGGCTTCCTCGCCTGGTGGACCGACTCACTGAGCACGGACGCGGAATCAGCCTACGCCGTCACCCAGGCAGAAGGGAGGGTCAACGTCCAGTGGAGCGCCAACTTCCTCCGGGGCATTGGCTGCAACTGGTTCGTGGCGCTGGCGTTGTTCCTCTCGCTCGGCAGCGTCGAGTTCGTCAGCAAGATCTACTGTATCTGGATACCGATCTGGGCGTTCGTCATCCTGGGCTACCAACACAGCATCGCCAACTTTTTCCAAGTGCCACTTGGGATGTTCTACGGGACGAACTTTGGGGTCGGCAAGTTTATATACCAGAGTACTATACCCGTCACACTGGGGAAAATTGTCGGTGGAATGATATTTGGGGCTATGGTCTTTTGGTGTTTGTATGGAAGACACGACGAGTCCCATGAAAAGGAAAAGTCGCTTGGTTCTGACCAGGAGGATGATCACGCTGCCAAAGAGATGGAAGCGGGTACCGCTCTCGGGGTATCTCATGCTAGGAATGGCAGTGTGTATAGAGGGCCTTATGATCGAACTAGCTTGGCCGGTGCTGTCTGATGGCCTGGGGGCGGGTAAGCGGCACTGCAAATGTGACCACGATGATATCATCCAAAGAACTTCGGTGCAAGCCGGGTAAGCTACAGCTACTAGCTAGGCTTCAAATAGGCCAAGACTTCGTCAAGTATGCATTGCTTTGGGGATTTGAGGTGCTGGATGTACAGTGGAACACGGAAGTAGCGAAGAAGACTGAGTCATTAGCTGGGCTTCAACTTGTGCCAATAACATATCTTTTATTATTTCTTAACACTCCAACCTAGTTGAGACTCATTGAAGCTGGACTTTATGTTGGTAGGTCTCTCGTATGTATAATAATCGTATGGGAAGCAATCATATATTGGTGTTGTTCTGTCTAAGTTCTAAGAGGCTATGTACCTCGTAGGAAATAACTAAAGTAGCCTCTTAATAGCAAGGGTTATACTTATTAATACTTAAAGTTTTCTCTTTTTTTAATAAGTATATATAATCCTTATTATAATTAACTTAAAATTATAATTTATTGCATATTATATATATATAATCTTTATTATAAAAAAGCATTATTAAAAAAGCTTAAAATTATAACTTATAAGTTTTAAAATAAGTTTTAGCAATCCTTGCCATTATATCATTCCTTAAACTTATAATTATTATTATTATACCATCCCTTAAATATTATACTTATTATTCTTAATACTTAGCTTTTAGGGTTGCTTTCTTGCAAAAATTATTAACTTTTATATAAGAGCCTTAATTTTAAATCTTTTCTTTATAGGGAAAGTTAATGCTTATAAAGCTAATACCAAACCCTTTAGCTTATATTTATTTTTATTATATATCTTTATAATATAAATATTATTATCTTTATCTTTATTCTTATTATTAAAATATACTTAATATTACTTTAAATTAATTTCCTTTAATTACTTTTTATTTTTTTAAAATTAAGCATTATAAGCAGCCTACTTATTTATTATCTTCTTTTTTTACTTTTTATTATTTTTTTTTAATTTTCTTAATAATTATTTTTTGCTTAAGTTGCTTAAGTAATAATATATATTTCTTAATAAATTTCTTTATATATAAGCCTTATATATACTTATTAATAATTTAATATAAAAAGTTTTAAAGCTAAGTTAATATAATAATTTAATTTTTTAATAGCTAAATCTTTTTAATTTAATATATATAAAAAATATTTAAAATTAAAACTTTTATTAAGTTATTTATTATAAAAATTGCAATAATTTAATATTTAAGATAATAATTACCTTAATAATTCTTATTATTAAAAATGTTATATAATTTTGCATTAAAAGTTTTAATGCTTTTAATATAAATATATAACTTTTTAACTATATTATTAAAAAATATTTGCTTATCTTAATACTAAAAGTTATTAATAATTTAAATAATAATTATTATAATAATATTATTTAAGAAAAGTATTTTAACTTAAGCTATAATTATAACCTTTAGCTTATTAATTTTAATAATTCCTTAAAAGTTTATCTTAATAAGCAGTTTGCTTTTTTTAATGCTTAATATAAAAGTAAAGTTAAAGGTAGTTTTTATAATCTTTATTAAGATTTTATTAACTTAATTTTAATTATTTTTATTATTAATAATAATTAAATTACTATTAATATTAAGTAAATAAGAATTATTATTATTAATATTTTTATTAATATTTATTAAATAAGTAAGTAAATAAAAGTTATTATTATTAACATCCTTATTAATATTTATTAAATAAGCATTATTAGCAATAACCTTACTATAAGAATTAATAAAATTAATAAGCTTATTTTTATCCTTATTAATTAAGATAATTTTAACCCTTTTTATAGCCTTAATAATAATTTTAATCTTTATTTTATTGCTTAATTAAAATATAGTTATAATGTTTATTTTATTAATTAAGGTTGTAATTATAATATTTGCAAGGGAATCTTAATTTTAATTAAGGATTATGGCAAGGCTATCTTTAATATTAATTATATTAATGGTAATTATGGCAATAGTTATATTAAGTATATTTTTAGCATAGGCAGCAAATGCAATATTTATTAAATAATTTTACTTATTATTATTATCTTTATAAGGCATATTAATAAAAGTATTAAATAACTCTTATAAGTTATTATTAGTATTTTTTATTATAATAAAAAGAAAAAGATTTTATAAGAATTTAGCAATTAAAATAAATATTTATAATGCAAAACTTTGCAATTATTATATAATAATTATTAATTCATTCTTTAATTATAAGAAAAGTTAATAAGTTATAAATAAATTTAATAAATATTAATTTTAATATTACTATTAATAAATAATAATAAAAGGTAATAATAATAATAAGGTTAACTTTAAAATAATAATTATTAATAATATTAATAATTATAAGATTATCTTTATATATAATAAGGTATTAAAAAGGTATTAATTAAAGTATAAAAGGTTAAAGTTTATATTAAGAGTTTTAAGTTTAAAAGGTATAAGGTTTTATAGCTAGCAATAGCAAGGTTAAAAGGAAAAGGTATTAGTAATAAGTTGCTTCTTTTTTAATAAAAAGGGGCTATTTTAGGTTTCTTAACTAACTTATTTACCTATATATAAAGCTTATTATTATTAATAAGCTTTTATAATATAATATTTAAAGTTAGTTTTATTATTACATTAGTAAGATTATCTTTTTTATTTATTTACCTTACTTTAATAATCTTTCTTATTTTATATAACTCTTATAATAATATAATATTAATTATAAGGTACTTTTCCTTTATTATTCTTAACTTTATAAAGCATTTATATAAGCTATATAAGTTTATATAAATAATTAAAAGTATATTTAGCAATAAAAATTATTTTATAACTATCTTAATTATTATAATTAAGAAAATTTTAATATTTACTTTATTTATTATGCTATAAATTTTGCTTATTAATATGCTTTAAATAATATATTTATACTTTATTAATAATTAATAAAGAATATTACTTATTATTATAAATCCTTTAGTTTCCTTGCAAGTTTTATTTATAAGAATAATAATATATCTAAGTTAAGATATTAAATTTTAATTATTTATAAATAATCTATTTATAAATATAAAAAGTTTTATTATTTTAAAATTAAGGAATATATATTTAATTCCTTATATAGCATTATTTATTTATTATAATAATTATATATTTAAGCTCTTATAATTTCCTGCCTTTAAGTTTTATACTTATACAGCTATTAAAAGATTATACAAGGCTTTTAATTAGCAAATTAAAGCTATATATACTTTATAGGCTCTTTATTTAAGGTATTTCTAAGAAGCGTCTTTAATTATTGCATTAATAAGGGCAAATTTATTAGCTTATCCCTTTTATTAAGTAGTAATTAAGCTAATGATATTTATAATTATATAAGCCTTATTATAATTTATTAAGTTTTTAGGCATTAGCTCTTATTTTAATTTTCCTTATAATTTTGCAGCCTTTATTTTAATTTCCTCCTTATCTTAAAATTTTAGCATAAATAAAATTAATATATTATTTATTTATATACCTATTATCTTAAAGGGTTATATAAGCTTTATAATTATTAAGTAAGAATTATATATAAAGTAATTTATTTTAAGCTTTTATTAATAATATCTTTAATATATATTAAATTAATAAATGCTAAATTTTACTATATTATATAAGGATTAAATAATATAAATAATTATGCTTAAAAGATATTTATTCTTTAATTTCTTTAATAGCTTTATAAGGATTATCTTGTATAATTTTAACTTTGCTTAAAAATAGGCTTAAGTAATATCTTAAAGTATAAGAATTATGCCTTTTTCTTAAATTAATAAAGAGGTAAGTATAAAGATTATTTATTAGCTTATTCTTTAAATAATTAAGCTTTATATTAAAATTAATTTCTTTTTATTATTATTATAACCTTAAATAATAAATTAAGATTTTTTATATAGTTTTATAGTTTTACCTTTTACTTCTTATATTATATAAAACTTAAAAAGATAATATTTATTATATTGCTTTGCTAATTATTTCTTAATTTAAAAAATACTTTTAATAATAAGGTTATTAATTTCCATTTTATTAAACTCTTTAAATAATAAGCTTAGTATTATAATAACTTTATCTTATTTTAATTTAATTGCTAAATTATAGTTTTTATTTTCTTTCTTTAAGATATATAATATAATAATATAGTTTTTTATTTTTAATAATAATAATTATATAATAAATTGCATTTAAGGTTTTATAGCTAAGTTTTTTGCTTATAAGGGTTATATTTTCTTATTATTATTTTAATAATATAATTAAATAATCATTAACTTAAACATTGCGGCTTTATTTAATATATTTAAGGTTATATTATGGCTATTTATAATAATAACCTTATATAAATTCTTTTATCCTTCTTTCTTTCTTTATATATAAACTTTGCATTATAGTAAATATTTTATGCTAAAGATAGATTTAATCTTAATATTTAATGCATTTTATACTTATTATTTAGCTATAGTTTTTTATAGCATCTTTATAGCCTTTAAAATAACCTTTGCTTGCTTTTATGTTAATAATAATAATAATAATTTATATAATACTTATAAGTAAATATTAAAAATTAAGAGCATAAAAATTAATTTATTTAATTTAGCAATATTATTAATAGCTTTTATAACTATTTATAAAATAATATTATTATTTATGCTATTATATAATTTAATATATAAAATTTTATATACTTATTTAAGGGCTTAATAGTATTTCTTAACTTTCCTAATAAACTAATATACCTTTATAAGAACTTATTTACATTTAATTCTCATTATCTATGCCTTTAAATAAAATTCCAAGGATATAAAGTTCATTCCCATATTATATTTAATAATATTTAATAATTCTTAATATATATTAATTTAAAGCATTTATAATATTTATTATACAGTTTTTATAAATATAAATTTTAAGAATTTTACTTCTTAAAAAGCAATAACTTAATTTATAATATAAAGAATTAAGTATTTGCTTAAATATATTATATTAACTAAGATTTTATAATTAAATTTATAATTATTATATAATATAAACTTAAAATATTTAAACGCAAATCTATTTATTTAATAATAATAATATATTTTTTTAATCTTTATTATTGCTTATTTATTAATATTTAAATTATTAGCTTTTTTAAGCATTTAATATAGCTAATTTATTAATAAGTATTTAAAGTAATAATAAAGTCTCCTTATTTCTATTTCTAAAAAGAAATACATAGCATTAATAATTTAATTTAAGAAAAACCATAAGTAACCCTATTTTCTAAGTATTAATATAATAATTACATTATTAAAGGAAATTATTTTATTTATAATATTATTATAATATACTTAAAGCCTATTTATATTTATTAAGTAAAGCAAGAATAGGGTTTATGCTTAAATAATATAAAAGTTAATATAATTAACTAGGGTAAAAACTTCCATTATACTAAGCAAATTAATAATTATCCCATTACTAAATTTAACTTTAGCTTTTCTTGCAGCAATTATATTAATTTAATACTTTAGGTTTTTTCATTATAATATAAGAAATTACTTATATCCAACTATAAATATTAATAATACTCTTATATTTGGTAAAATTCCTTAAAAATAAGTTTAATTATATTTATTCTTTAAGATAAATTAACTAGCTGCAATAATCATTTCTATTTAAAAGATATTATTTTTTATAATTTAATATATAAATACTTTATTAGCTAAGAAATTAATATTTATATAATAAACCTTTTTATTAAGTCTTATCTTTATAATATAAGTATTATTATTATAATTATTATTTTAATCTTATTTATCTTTATATTTATAAAATTTATCTTTATTATTTATCTTATATTCTTTAAACTTACTTAAAAAAGTATTAAAATTATTATTATAACCTTTATATTTATATTATATTAAATAACTTCTTTTTGCTAAATATTGCTTATTAGCTAAATATTTAATTAATTAGCATTTTTTCTTCTTATAAATATAATATCTTTTCTTTTAAGGTTATCTTTCTTTTCCTTCTTTATAAGCATTATTACTTTAAGCTTTATAATTAATATTATAAGATCTTAATTACTTAAAGCTTAAATGGCTTAAATTTAATTAACTAAATCTTTAATTTCCTTAAAATACTTAAAATTATAATTATTATCCTTTTCTTAGCTTTTAGCTATTATATTTATAATTAATATAATATTAATTTAAAACCTTATTTATAATATAAATTATAATTATATAGCTAAGTTATATTTTTATTATAAATTTTAAATTTAAAAATAATTCTTTATATAATTAAGCTAGCTTAAAAAAAGCTATTTTTAGCTTAAGAACTTCTTTATAAGCTTTAATTATTATTATTTTTAAGTTATCCTCCTTAATATAATTTTAACTTAATACTTATTAATAAAGTTATAGCTTATTAAGCATTAAATATAAAACCTTATATAAATCTTTATTTAAATTTTATACTTTTATCTTTATAAATATTATTATTATTTAATTTATATAATAATATTAATAATTAAGGTTTATATTAAAATATATTTTAATTTTAAAATATATTATTATAAATATATTAATTTAATTTATAAAATAAAGATAATAAGCCTTAGCTTAATCTTTAAGCATTTAAAGAAAAACTATATAAAATTAACTTAACTAAATTTTAATATAATAATAAATATTAAAAAACATTTTTATTTTATTATTTAATAAGTTATATAAATCCCTAATATATTTATAAAAATTATTAAAAATTTTTATAAATTATACTAACTTTATTAAATTTAAGCATTTATTAAAAATATATTATAAGGAAAAAATTTTATATAAGTTATACTTTTTATTTAACAAAGGTATTTTTAAGGCAACTTAAAATTATATTAAGTATAATATATATTTTTAATATAAGCTTTATTTTTATCTCTTTACTAATAATAATAAGCTTTGCTAGCTATATTAATTTTTAATAAATTATATTATTAAGTTTAGGTTTTATAATTATGCACTTAAAGCTAATAGCAGTAATAAATATTATCCTAGGGACTACCCTTTTAATAATTATTATTATTTAAAGCCTATTTATAGTTCTTATAAAGACTATGCTTATAATTGCTATCTTTAAAATTATATATAATATTTATTTATGCTTAATTTTAAGGCTAATAAAATATTACATAGCTTATTATTAATTTATTTTAATCTTTCTTTAACTTAAGTTATAATAATTAATTATAATGCTATAAGTTGGTTATTATATCTTATATAAATGCTTTATATCTAAAGAAAGACTTTTAAGCATTATTAGCAAGAATTTAATAATACTTTAAATATTACTTATATTTATGCTATATAGTTCTTATAATAAGTAATAAAAAAATTATTATTATAAAGGCTTTATTATATATAGCTTGTTAAAGTACTTGCTAAGTAGGTAATTAAGTATTTTATTAATGCTCCTTATATAAGGGCCGTAAATTATAGTTTTAAGTTAATATATTTATAATAAGCTAAATTAATTAAAGTTTAAGCAAGCATTTTATTAACTATATACCCTTTAATAAGAGCTAATAGCTTCTTAGCATTATTAACTATGCTTATAAGTTTTTATAATAAATATTATAAGGAATAAGATTAATAAAATAAAGAGATATTAATAAAATAGGTAATATTTAAAAGTAAGTTAATAATAATAGTTTAATAAAAAGCAAGTTATAATTATTAAAAAAAAAAAGTTATTAATTCCTTTAAGCCTTAAAAGCTAAGGCTTTCTTTTATTATTAAGTCCTTTTATATTAGCTAAAAGCATAATGCATAACTTACGTTTACTTATAACATAGCATTACATTAGCTTTAACAATTATAATAATTATAAGCTTTATCCATTAATAAAATGAAGCTTTATTAAGTTTTACTAGGTTTTAAAGAGAAGTTAAAAATAGGTTTATTTTTAATAAAGTCTTATGCATAATAAATGCATATCTCTTAAATAGCGATAAATATATATATAAATATTACAAGGAATGCTATTTAGTTTATTTAATCTTTATAATATTTACTTAAAAAGTTTAATAATATAAAAAGGCTTAAAAAAGCAGTTATTGCTATATAATGCTTATTAATAAAGAAGATATAATTTTTAAGTTAAGGAAATCCTTATAAAGTTACTTCTTTTACTTTATTAATTTATAATGCTTATAATTATTAATTAATATTAATAGATTTCTTATATGTATGATAATTATATGGAAAGTAATTATGTATTAGTATTGTTCTGTTTAAGTTCTAAGAGGCTACGTACCCCGTAGGGGATAACTAAAGTAGCCTCCTAATAGCGAGGGTCGTACTTGCCAACACTTCAAGTCTACCACACGACACCAGTGGTGTGAGCTACAAAACCTAGCTAATTTCTCCAGCAGTCAAGTTTGCAGCTGTGTAGTGACCTAGACATCGTGGCTTACAACAGAGGGATTGGTTTCGTAGGATCCTCTCTGGAGACATGAATACGCGGTTTAAGGCCAGTAGTACCCATGGGCCAATACTAGTCATGCTTGACATACCATAGCCCGCAATTCGTCAATACTTAAGCATATATGTAGTGACATTGGCGGCAAAGAAAACAGCGGTACTGATGGGGTAGGTGCACATGATGTGTCATATCGAATCACTCGGATTCGGACCAGACGAGGCTCACAGGTCGTGCCGCCTACCCAATCAGAAGACGTGACCAGCAGCTAGTACGTATTCAATTATATTTGTTATTATATATCAGGTTTAATCCTTACCGCCAGCCGGGTGAAGGCTCACCTAATGGTCTGCCTCAGGCATCACAGTCAAGTCAAGTGGCACTCATATCGGAGAATAAACGTGCTTTCTCGACCAGTAGAGGCTCGGTGACGACGGGCAACTGTATTGGACTGCACGATTGAAGTACTAGTGTCCCCACCCCGAGCATGTTAACACAAGGCCGTGTTACCCGCAGGCAGGCATGAGCAGGCTGATGCAGGCCACATGTTGGGTCAACTTCTGAAAACTCTACCAAGTGAGAGCTGCCACGGTAAGGATCTTGCCCACACGGGTGTCACGATGGACTCAATACGAGGTTGGGCGAGCCCGCCGCCACGGAAATTTCCAGTCCGCCCACTCAGTCCTCGAGCGCATAATGAAGGAAGTTCTCCGAGCTCATATCGAGTAAAGCGGCTTCTCGGGAGTGATCCTCCATGCAACCGGTGCCACATAACGCACTGCTAAAACAGGGGAGAAGTTGAAGTTGGTGACATTCTCAGCCTATTCCATGACTCGGACGCCTTGGCGCTCGTAGGTGAAAGGAGGGCGCAGGAAGCGACATCCGGGCTGCCGGCTGAAACATGCAGGTACCGCATGCTGTCCCTCCAGGGCGGCGGTACGTGGGAACTTTTTGCTGGGACGAACTGCCACTAGTCCCTGGAAGAGTGGTTCGCGTTACGGGACGGGCCACAATATTCCTGATCTGTACGTCAGTGCGGAAGCTAGTAATCCCTTTCCGCCTACCGTAATGTGGGGGCATAGGGCCTGGCCTATTCGGCTTACTACCGGTAATGAGGTTCGACATGTCAGATGTCTCACACGATGCCTTCTTTTCACCTCTGTGGCTAAGTTGACGATGCCAGATAGAGATTCTTGGCAATGTAGGCTAAGGCCTAAGGTCGTGGGTTGGATCTCTGCCATCGGATACGGCTCCCAAATTATAAAAGGTGTTGCTTGATTCCATCAGGATTCTCGTCCTTGTCCCCCAACCACCACAGTCTTTTCCGGCTCACTTACACTCATTTCAAACACTCCCTGAGAAATAAGCCCACCAGTTGGCTCGTATAATTATTCCGTCCTTGTCAGTCTCGAACTTCTCACCCCAGGTTTTTTTCCCGTCATCCCAGCTAACAACAGTGGTGCAAACAGACCATGAAGCTCTCGTCCAACATCGCCCTGGCCACCATGGCCGCCCAGGCCTCCGCCCTGGTGCAAATCGAGGTCAGATACAGCGACACCATGATCGAAGTCGGAAACCTCGACCTATTTGCCGTCACCTACCAGGCCATCTACGATGAGGATGGCAACCAGCGCTCAGTCATGATGGACCGCTCATACGGCACCTTCGACAACACTTGCAAGTCCGCCGAGGAGCCCGACCCAGACCTGAACGTGCAGGTCAAGGTCAACGGCGCCTGGGGACGCACGCCCGGGCTGGCGGACAACGAGATGCGCGAGGGCCTGGTGGCGGCCATGTGGGAGGCGCTGCAGGCCGTGACCAACCCCTCGGGCTACGAGGTCTTCTCCGAGTGCCGCGGCCTCGACTGGCAGGAGAGCGTCGGCTACACCGACACCGCCGCCTGCGGGCCCGAGAGCTCGCGCAACTGCGAGGAGCCGTGCAGCAAGGAGGGCTCGCCCGGCCTGGCGCAGTGCATGAAGCACTCGTGGGGCCACCAGGTCCCCTCGTCCATGCGCGTCACCGCCTACATCGACGACCAGCTGCAGGCTGACGACCTGATCATCGAGTTTGCCTCTGCTAGGACCCCCAAGGATGGAGGTTGCGGCATCATCGGGGACATTGCTGGTACCCTTGCTGGGTATGTCATCCCCGTCGCCGGTGGCCTGTTCGCCAAGGGTATCTCCATTGGCTGCAGCAGCTAAGCGGAAGGTTCGATCAACACGATATTCTTAACTGCACTGTGACGACCGTGCTGGAAGAAGGATGAAACTATAATGTACAATATCTAGCATAAAGTTCTTTGGACATGTATCTGGACAGCTCTAGGCTTGAATAGTAGTATCATCATCGTCAAATTGTAATGCCTATTTTAAGATAGCAGGTCTTTTTCGCAAGCGCTTTCAAGATTTGTGTCTTCTGCCATTTGATGTGAGGGTTGGACTATCAGGAGTGCGTTCATTGGTAGAAGGGCCATGAGATGATGTTCAAGTTTAGAGGCTGAGTCAGTCAAAAGCAATCCACACAAATGTACACCTTTATACAAAGGCTGTTATACAATGTCCTTGATGCAGGGTAACTGAGAAGGGTCGTTTGATTGCGCCCGGTTCTGACGGTCGAGCCACATTCGTTCTCTTCAGCCATCAGTCACAAACGCTAGGCTGGTACGGACTTGATTGTTCTGGTCTTTGCTAGGGTCGGGTATCTGAAGACATCAAGAACTCCTGAACTCCATGTCCATGCAAAGCTGACCTGCTACCAAACGGTGACCCACTCAAATTCCTCACCCACTTCCAAAAAACATTCCCGTAATTAGGAATCTGCCGCTCTGAACTTAGCAGACAAGCTTACCGCCCGAGTTGCCGACGTAGGAGTCTGTTGTGGTTTATGTTAGTGGCCGAGGGGTTGCAAGGAAGAAAAGTGTGACAAGGACGTTGGACTTACTCAGAGCAAAGACGTTGTAGGTCTCGCCACTTCCACTGCAGGGGCCACGGCAGCCGAAGTTGGCGCCAAAGTGCTCATCGCCACCACTGTAGTTGTTGTCACACTTCGAGACGGAATCGGTGAAGTGGCCGGAAGGCGGGTAGGTGAAGCCGCAGGAGTCAGCAGACCAGCCGAAGCAGGTGTTGAGGTCCAGCTGGGACCAGTTCTTGTTCTTGTCGTCGACCTTGCAGTTGGCCTGGAGCATCATGGAGCGACCCTTGTCGCCATTGAGGTTGGTCAGGGCGAACTCGGAGCAGGAACCGAGGAAGCCGCTGGCCGCGAAGGTGGTGCCAGCCAGAGCAAGGGTGGCAACAGTGGTGATGGAAGAGGCCTTCATTGTGATGGATTTTTGTTGACGAGGGAGTATTTAGACTTTGTGGTGTCTGCTGTTGATGAAGTGGAGTGGAGTGATGGTGTTGATTTGTGGGATTGTCTCTGTTGCATTGAGGGTGCAGGAAAGGGTTTCGTGTTGCCCTACCCAAGTGCTTTCGTTTTCCATTTACACATTGGCTCCAGTCAGTGTCTGTACTTCAAAACGGTAAAAGACGCAGATAAAAGTCCGAAGGGTGAAGTCAATGATTCACTGCTCCTGGTGACTGTGGAACTTCCGTTTACTGACTGACTAGAGGAAACGATTCACTGGCCTTAGTGCCTATATAAAAGGCAGCAGAGTTTAGGCGTTTGTAGATACTCAGTGCCCAGCTTGTTACATACAAACAGAATCAAAAAGACCAACGCTTGAACGTTCATACACAGACACTACGCAGACGAATCCAACGACGCCAGTCATCACGATGCGAATGATCATCAACCTGATGCTGCTTGGTTTCGGTCTCGGTGGCATGACTCCATCAGGAGGAAAAGACGGAGTTTGCGTGTGTACCAACCCCCCCCCCTAAACAACTTTTGCCTTGGTCCAAGAATCTTAGAGAGCACCTCACAGGCTTCCATTACTGGCAAGGACTCATCAGCCCCGCTTCAGCTGCATATAACGAGTTCTCATACCGGTTATCCCCATCTGCTAGACTGATGTTAACTTAAATCATTCCAGTGCCGACCTGAATGCGTGGGCTGCATCTTCACGCCTTGCGGTGAATTAGTGGGTGATTGCCAAGGCCTCATTGTATGCTTCCTCAAACCCACATTGTAGCATCACGGTCATACAGCCCCACTATTCCATCGTCTACTGTAAAAGGTACCTCAAGACTCAATTCATTTGCTAAACGTGTTCCAACAGTGGACTACCTCCTGCTCCGAGTCTAAGTCCCCTCAGGACCCTGTTTCCTTCGAGGGAAGCATTAACTACCTTGGAAAGTTTGACGTTGGTCGAGCTGATAGTTGAGATTCGCAAATCCGCGTTTCCCAGTGTGATGAGTATTCGTCTGCGCATAACAAGACAGAGACGACAATATTGTGTTGTGGGGACATGGAAAGCCTGAACTGCTCTGGTGGCGAAGAAACATAGACAGACGTAGCTCAATAAACACAGCCATCGAAGCCTGCAACAATTACCTCTACTTCGCATTGTCTTGGCAGTCCTTGACACGAATCTTATTCCCTGGTCGATGTCCGCCATTTGCCTCTGTTTAAAACTACTAGTAGCAATTGCAAGACGACCAGAAGAGCGGTACCCTATATGATGTAAATTGCCTTCAGAGTCCTATACTAAGCGCTGCAATCATACTTTTGGGAAACAAAAACCTCTATCTCTGTTAATTTCTCAATGCCGAGGTCTAACATTCAGAATATGAGCATGGAGAGCATTGAATCAGAGATACTTTGTTGTTAAAGTTGCAACAAGTCCCAGGTCCCAGACTTGAAATTGACAAATGCCAACCAGCTCAATACTTTAATCCTTCCATGGGAACACACATTGATGAATATGTAGTCGTAAAAGTATTGAATAGTTAAGACCTGACAGTAACGACCAGCTTTTCCCCTGACGCTGAGCCGGATTTCATCAAATGCGATCCTCTCATGATGCTGTCGAAGCCCTCACAATTAACACTGCATGACCATGAAAGCCGCTGGCGTGCTATTTGAGACAATTTTCTCGTTTCAGCAGTCACCAGGGGATACTTCAGGTGTGGTAGTAGCGCACGTGGCCTTGGTCCTCGAGGATCTGTATGTATGGGTTTCTACGTTGCAGATTACCGAGGTAGATTGCTCAGCCGTACTCTACGTCTAACCGCCACTCGTGGTTGTTGATACCGTGGTTCCCACAAAGACAACCAGAACCGCCGCGTACGCAGCAGTCACACTCATCACTGTTTCCATCCCTAACTTAGCCCCGTCCACAAACGTAGGGACGATCGAAATAACGGATCCAAAGCCAAACACAAATGCTGTTGTCGTGATCAATGTTGTGTACATCTGGTTTTGCAAGACCATTAGCCACATCGGGCCTACCAGAAATGCACCACCCACGATCGCCATGGCCAGTCGCTGCAGAGTCTGACGGAACTTTTCCTCCTTGCTGAGCTTTCCCCGAGAGTCATCGGCGGTAAACACCGGTCCATGAAAGTTGATGCTCGACCACTCCCCCTTACTCTCCCGAATATGTGACGGAATATGCAGGAGCTCCAATTCCAGGAACCTTGCCTCAAGGTTCCTTGAGCTAGAGAGAATGAACGGGTCACGGTCTCCTCGATCGACACATGACTGAATATAATCGTAGTCACGTACCGCTGTGACTGTAATACAGTAGCTATAGTCAGCTGTCCATACCAAACGGGATCTCCTCCTTGAAGAGCATAGAGACCAAAGAAGAGAGAAAGTCTCAGAATTCGGCTTACTATAATTCTCAAGGAGGTCCTCCCAGTCATTTGGCTCCTCTTCTTTGAAATGCATGGACATTACTCTGTTTGCCAGCTCGATCTGAAGCTTCCGCATCCGCATTCGTTGCAATCCAGCGAAACTGATGACGAGCTGTCTCTTCTTGGGTTGCGTGACATCCTCATCCTTGCCGTAGGAAGGAGAGGTCAAGAATACGTCTCGTTCGAAATGTTGCAAGAGAGCAGCGCTACGATCGGCGAGCCTCTGCTCATCGTTTGGAAGAGAACAGGAGTCTGAAAAGGCTGATCAGCAACTTCGGTACTAACTCGGGGACTCCGAAAAGCCGATGTTTAGTCTTCTCACTATCTGCAGGGCCGTTCGGTGAAATCCAGCCATGGTGCCTTTCGTATGAGTAAAAGGGCCGTTCCATGGACCGGAGTTGATGTTGCTCCATGGAATACCGCCTTCGATCCCCCAGGTCGTCATTCTTTGAGACAGGGCGATGCTTGTCATTAGGATTTGGCTGATGACTGGATACTTTTTCCATGATTGCTGGAATCAATACGTATTGGTTCAATGCGGTCTAATAGCAGCTCATATCGGACAATCATCACGTCCTTAATTGCAGAGTCCAGAGTGTAAAACAAGATCAAGTACAGACCAGCAGCTTATTAACCCCGCTCGCTTTGTGCGACAGCCAAAATTTTTCCACATCGGTTTCATTGCTGATATGCAGTCATCTCCATGCATTTTTGTAACCAATTAAATTCAACATTGCATGACTTGGCTGCACTGAGATTGCTCTTGCATGCATGACCGAACCCCGCCTGGGAAGCCTGGCAGGCAGCAGGCTCTCCCGATACTGTCATATTCGACAATCAACTCGTTCCAATGACCCAAGCACAGCCTGGGTTGAATATTGTCCTGCATCACACAAACCTGCGAAGTACGGTCAAGATGGTTCCACGATTCGTGTTGGATGTGTATTACAACTTTTCCTTGAAAGAGCTCGGGATCCATTTCCACACCGCTCAACAGGCCCAGAAATACCAGGCACTCAACCGTGAGGGCCGCATCTTGGCCGGAAACGAGAAGATGGTGTGGATTCCCATCCCCAGCGGGATGACGGACATTCGGGGAAGTTCGTTCGGCTTTGTCATGTGCTTTGAGAGTGCGGATGCTGCATCAACATGGTGCAAGCGCGTGGTTTTGGGAGTGCCCTACGATGGCCGGGATCACAACACCAAAGAAGCATATATAGTCAGAGAGTGGAGTGAAGATGACTTGGAACAGAAGCTTGCAGGGAGAGCAGGACAGTTGGGGCTGCCCGGACAGATGCCCGAGCACCGTGGACCGAGTCCGGGACGTGAATTTAGGGCGACCGGACGAGTGGAAGGAGAAAAGAAAAAGGATCCTGTGGGCTTTGGTATTGAGCGTCCACGAGACTCAGATACAGCAAGATATGGCATTCCATCCCACATCAACACAAAGGGGAAGTAAGAGTCATGGGTCCGCCAATTGCTACCCAGTCGCCAACTACAAACAGCCTTCTATACCTAGGTAACTACGCAATTACTGCTTTGGCACATTATCCGCTACAGAGAGAATCGGGTCACGTAATCCTTTCGAATTGGGAGAAATTCTTTAAAATCGTGTTTTTTAGGGGATTCCGATTATTTGTGATTGTTTTCTAGGATGCGAGCGTGCATTTTCATCATGATTTATTTCCGGTTCTTGTGATCAGGCGTGCGAATGTAACACTCACATCTCAGCCCACCGTCTCATGAAAGCACGTGCGTCATGGCCAATTTCTAGATACTGACTCTTTCATATACAAGAATAAGTAACAGGCCGATTCGTAATCTTCTTGATCCATGGTTACAAAGCCAAAATCGTTGTGGCCAAACCTCACAGATCTCAGAGAAATTACCTTATGGGCGATGTACCAAAAAGGTTGAAAGATGATCGAATGACTCCAGTGATGTGTCGTGCTCGGTGGCTAGCAACCCAGCCGCAAACGTTGGTAAGCAGCGCTTGACATGGGAACATATCAACCGCGTTGGGAAACGATCTGTATGACCGCATGTTCTTAAAAACACTCGCCTGGCTTGGGATTAGACCACATTGAAGATCTCATCAGAAAGAATAATCCGGCGAGTAGAACAAGCTCCGAGTACAGAGCTCCGCCGGGCTTCCAGGAGGGCAGTTTTGCTCAAAGCTCTGGGCCCCAGAACATTGCCAGCAGCATTTTATGGAGAATTGACTGCGTATTATCCTGTGTAGGACGGTTCTAAACCTAATCGGTATGCACTATCTATGTAGGTCCATGGTTGCTGATTGGGTTTGACATCATCAACTAGAATGTCGCAGGCTGACTTGGATTGCAGTCACCCACTGAGGATGGACAGGGAGTACATGGGCCAGAAGAAGGGCCTCTTGAAATGGCAACTTTCCAGTGGGAAGGATTGAAGGTCCAAAGTTCAGTGGCACATGGATGATGGAGATGGATGGTCAAAAAGATGGGAGGCTAAAAGAGAAAAGACGGTCACAAAAAAAGCGGCGGTCAGAAAAGATGGACTGTAAAACAAGATGCACCCAAAAAAGATGGAATTGTCAAAATAAGTGGACCGCCAAAAAAGATGGACTATCAAAATAAGTGGGCTATCAAAACAAGGGTATTTTCAAAAAAAAAAAAAAAAAAGATGGACGGTTAAAATCGATGGTGCAAGGATGGATGGATAATTGATTGGATGGATACAATAACCTTGTGCAAGAGCTGGCCACCCGCCAAGGAAGGCCAGGGACGAACAGCACGTACCGAGAGCAGATTAAGACACTCTCTCAGACCAGCACTTTCCATTGTCTCTGAGTCTAGTTTGTCGACCCGCGGCGAATTCGGCGACTGCGGCTCTGCTTTGGCGGCAGGGCTCCTCGGAGGGTATGGATGCACAACGAAGTGGGAGTGGCTAGAATTCCGTGCTTCCGAGGGCTGTCCAGGGCTGTGCCGCGCACCAAGTGCTGACAGGCTCTACAATTCGTTCGGCTAGGTGTGTACGCCAGACTGGACGAAACATTACCAGGCGGTAGGTGCGTGTGTGGCCCTCTGGCACCAGGGGAAGGATTTCCGCGTGCCGGTGCTCGCGTCCCTTCCCGTCGGTTTATGTGCATCTCCTTATGCTACTCAGGGGTTCGGTCAAGTCCAGTCAGTCTCGTCGTCCGAAGGGCCATAAGAACCGCCGCCCTCTTCACAGTGGCCATCGTTACGGTGGCGGGATGAGGAATCTACATGAACAGCACTCCCCCCCCTCCCCCCCAAAACAAAATAAGGATAGAGCTGCGTTGGGAAAGCGCAATGCAGACATTGCGCTCATTCATGTGCCGCGTGACAAAGTCCTCACCGACTGCCCCTGTCACAAAGCGAGAAGCTGCTGAAGGGAATTGGTACTGCCATGTTGGGTAGTGGCTGCAGCAGTCTAGTGGCGTTAGACAGGCTGTGTTCTGATGTGCTGTTATCAGTCGTGGGACTTATATCTGTGTCGACAGGACCCGAGACTGTCGATCACTGTTGATTTTGCTGCAACTTCTGTTAGCTTGAGTAGCATGCACAAGCGACCCGCTTGCTATGAGAAGCTGTCACCCACCACACCCAGGCAGAAAACGTGTCCTGGTTTCTCACCCTTCTCACGATACTGCTGAATTCACTGTATTACTGCAAATTTGAGATTGTTTACTTTCGAATTTTTCATCATGAATGCCATCCCCCAGCCCTTATCCTCGGGCATCATCACGTGGCGTGTAGTTGTTGAGCGCAGCGGCATGCACTATTTATACCTAACACGCATGTCCTCTCACCTACCTAGCTTTGTCGTGAATGAAAGAACCCTGGCATTGTACTACTGGGTGCAGCCGTGGTGGTCACGTTGGCTCTGCAGACCTGCCATCGGAATAGTTACTATCGTGCATGTATGTCCACATTTCCTTTTATGTAGCAAGGCAGGACTCGGAGCTGGCTTCATGGAAGCATAGACAACCCGCTGTGCCCGAGTATGACTGAATTTCATGCAGACTATATATAGATAATCCCACCTTAACAATGGGCAGCATGTCTTGGTTACAAGAAATTGTCCATCTAGCTTTGACCCGCCCACTCGTCACATGTTTACTGTCAGCTTCTGTTCTTCACTTGGAGAAAGTAGCCCTCTTAGGGCGATTCTGGTTCACCCTAGGCTCTCATATATTGGCCTCATCCTCACCCCCTTGATAGTGCTGCTGGCTATAGTGGCACCCGGGGTGCTTCTTGGGGTGATGACTAGATTGGCCGAACTGGGGATTATACTGTCGGCCGCCGTTGCCGGGACCTTTGCACTGGCGGAAAATCTTCGCAGGCAGGCCTGACATGGTAGGTGATCGCGTGCCTGTCTGTTGAACATGGTGACGGATATGTTCAGCCGCGGGATTACACATAGGTCAGAGGAAGATTGGAGATGCGACAGAGTTGTCTTCTGATGGTGGAAAGGCTTTCTCAATCAAAGTAATCGCCATAGGTTTGAGTTTCATTCAACCTAAGTCCATATCTAATCCAGTATCTTTTGTGCACCCCAATCGTATAAGTAGGGGGGCCAAAAAGCGGGAGAGACCGCCTTTGCTGAATTCAATAAGGCTCTGTAACCCCTCCTTCTTAACTATATCTACTGCCGCCTACTCCACCAGCCCTCGACACACCAGGCTTTTAATTTCATGCTTGTAAGGAGAAGTCCTCTCCAATATTTTGAATCCTTTCCTCCTTTCCTTCCGTTATCCAGCAAAGGCCTCAGATTTCTGGGAAAGTTCCGGCATGACCAGCACTATGCCCACCGAAGACTCTGTTTCTGGTCTTGGCGGTACCTTATGCGTCGTGTTCCGACACGGCGGCGCCAATTCCTTGACCAGTATTCAACTGCGCCCAGATGTTCCCGTCCACGAAATGACCAACATCCTTCTCGGCGAATATCAAGGTCTTCCGAACGCCGTGCCACGCCACATCACTAGCCAGGTCTCCGAGGTCGCGACTCCGGAGGAGGTAAGTCCTACTGACCATACCTACTCACATTTAGACTGGCCGTCTATAACTCCCTCCCAGTCAGTCGATCTCGAGGCCCAGCCTGTTCAGGGTCAGCAAGCCGCCATCACCAGTCAGGATCCCGTGCGCCCGTTGGATCCGCCCCTCCTCAGCAACAATAACTCTTTCACCCCGGAAGCTCACAGCTCGGGGGCGGCCCGCCAGTTGCCCGCAGACGGCGATATTGGCTCCAGCAGGGAACTGACCATCCGCTCCAGGCCTACCGTGAAGCGGATAGCGGTTCTCATTGTTGCAGCTCTGTCCCTGGTGGTAGTGCCAGGCCTCGTCCTCGGGGTCGCGACGAAGCAGATACCGTGGGGTATCGCACTCTCGGGTGCTATCGCTACCGTGGTCAGTTTCTTTGCAGGTCTTTATTATTACCACAATAAGTGAGACTGGTGGATCTTATCGAAGGTAGGAGGACATGGGCTTGTTGCGGTGGCTTGCAGGACAAACGGCCATCAATTGGACACATTCTCCCAGTCACTCGCCCCCCTGCCCATTCTTCCCTGTGATCTCACATTGAAGAAATTGGAGAAAGACCCATATATTCTGTAGTTGTCTTTTTAAAATATACCCAAAGAGATGGAAGCATTTGCTCATAGTAAATAGACTCTCTTGCCTACCCTACTATAACATCTTAATGGTTTTCATAAGAAAGACGACGAAGAGTAACTGACTTCAGCTAGACCTTCATCTTGTGTTACTCTGTTCAAAGATGAAATTTACTATGGACAACAGAGGGACACAGTCACTGTATTCGATATCCTTTAACATAGGCCATCGGGATGAAGATCACTTGCTTTCCTTGCCTCATCCCTTCTTTCTTCCGTAGCTGGACAGAGTCTTTCCATCACTTGTTCCTGTGCCCAGGCATCAGGGATTTCACAAATTAGTTTACACAAAGAAAAAGGATAATAGGAAGAGATATTTAAGAACACCTGAATACCTTCATGTAACGAAAGAAAGTCATGAAATATAACAAAGTGCAACGAAACATATACATATACTGAATTTGAAGAATGTGCTGCAAGTGACATTAGCTTGAAACTCACGCCACGTGTGTCTTAAGGGGAGCAAGCAATCCATTCGATCCATTGAAAGCCCTGATCTGCAACCGTTAGTGTCCATCGCTACATAGTACAGAGCCAGTTTGCCAGACAAAGGTGCACTTGGCTGCCTGGTTTGATTGAATCCATATGTTGAAAAGGTGATAGCCCTTTCCTTCAATTTTTGACAAGACTTTTATGTCTTGAAACAGAGTAAGACTGACTATCCATTCCGGACGAGAGGTGAGGTATTCGCATAGGGAGAGATCAAGACATCACTGATTCAGTACAATATGTCCACTTTCTTGCACCTACGTGCTCCATGCCTACATCACACCAGCAGCCTGCAGAGGTAGAGATATTAGCCTTATCGGCAGCTCTTGTTTGGAGCAACCGTCAATCGTTGGGAATATCAATGAGGTTCCTAGAACACATGGCCCATCCACCTATCAACAAAACGGATAAGGACCACCACTATGCCAGTTCGTCTCACTGCTCGGAAGCCTGTCAGAACAGTCTGCCGTGATGCCCTTCTGCCAAAAGAACCGTCTGTCACTTTATTTGCTCTGCTCAACAAAGTTGCATTCAGAAAGAATGTCCTTCTTATACTTTTGCCCGTGCAATACTCTCAGCTTTGGTAAGAGCGAATCAATCAGAAGACTATTCTCGATTTTAAAGACTGTTCCTAACGCTGTCTTTCAACCGACTTCCTAAAGTTAGGCTCGCTGCGCTACGTGTACAAAGTAGAACGATTATCTATTATTACAAAAAAAAAAGAAAACAGAAGAAGAAAAAACACATAGGATACCTTTTTGACTAACCTAGCACTGAGCCGTGTGGTAGCTTAGTGCCGTCGGGTGTAACCCGAAGGTCTTCAGTATTGGTGGCAAACCACAATGCCAGCCGGCTCTTCATGATGTCCAGGTCCCTTGTGTCAGCCTTGCTTCTCCCAAATCCACTTCGTAATCGACCGGGGGTGGTGTCCATACCTCACACCGAGCTGATTGGACGGGAGTTAAACGTCGAAAGGATTTAATCCCTGCAGTGCAAGTACCAGGTAGCCTCTAACACTTGATTAGCATGTTTATGAGGAGCGCCGCTGATAGTGAACATATCTGAAGGTCATATCCTTCGATGTAAGTGAGACCGCTGTTGTGGCACCAAGCCTGCATAACACACAACAAGCGTGCGAAGCCCACATTTCCTTCGGGCTCCTGGCCTCTGTACATAATTCCCATATCTCTGGAACTTTGTCCTGGCTGTTCTCTACTAGTATAAAGCTCAAAGTCAAAGATCTTCCTCCATCAATATGAACGACATGTCCGCCGAAGATTATCCCCCAGGCGTCGGCCTTGAAGTATCTCCCGTTGCCCAGCATGACCCTCCGGGACTCGTGCGCAACGTCGAGTCGCGTCCCCATGTCCTCATCCATGAAATGACGGACATGTTCCCCGGCGAGAGTGTTCTTCACCACGGTGTCACTGGCACCGTTGACGAGACTGCGGCTCTGGAACAGGTATACTTGCCACAAATAATTACACCGACGCCAGAAGTCACTAAGTATTTCCTTCTCTAGCCCCTCCCGCTCGAATCTCATGCTGCCATCAGCCAGGAGCCCAGCGCTCCGCCCATTCCTGACACCTTTCCCGCCTTGGAATCTAACGACGCCATCGTGGCCCGCCTTTCGTCCTCAGATGAACGTCATGCTCCTAACAGGGCTCGTTTCGTCTGCTACAAGCTCAGCAATCCATGGTTGGCATTGCTCATCGCTGGGGCCTCGGCGTTGATCACAGTGCCAGGTGTCGTTCTCGGGGTCCTGATGAGGCAGGTGCTCATGGGCATTGCGCTCTCTGGGGCTATCACTACGGTGGTTGGTACTCTTGCAGGCTTGTGTTTTCATTGTAGTAAGGAAGTCTGACAATCGGCGCCGGAGCGGAGGCCATCATCTCGTTGAAGGCCGTGCAAAGGAGGTAATCATTTCAAGCTGTTCCCTTCTGTCGTCTATCTGGGTTCCGTTTCCTGAAGTCCCTACTCAGTCCTTGTTTGCAAAGCTTGGTCAGCATATGTTCGACAGCGAAGGAAGCGATCGTTGTGCACACTCATCATTATGCTGTGCCGTCTTTCAAGAGAATAACATGTCATTATTCACGGAAGAAATGACTGCAGGGTGCACAGGTACACACCTTCCATTCCTCACCTAGACTTGCAATGCGGCATCCTCCCTCGCAGCATGACTCCCCTTCCTCCACCCCGAGGTATGATCCTCCACCTCCCTGTGCCTCTTCGCCTCACCCGCCTTGCCCCACCCACCACCACCGGGAGTGTTGATTATGATCCTGTCCCCAGCCTTCATAGGCGCACTATTCTTAGCCCCAAGGTTGATATGCCTTTCCTCATACTCAACATCCTCCTTGTCCACCTCATTACCACCCCCATTGCCACCGTTGCCGGCCTTAAGCCGCCGCAGCTGCTTCTCCCAGCTAGCCTTCTCAACCTTCCGCACCCAGACATTCAGCCCGCACGCGGCATCCCCGCCGCCCGCCAGGCCATAGGGGTGATACACCCTCCGCTCAGAGAGGATAGACACCTGCACGGGGATGCGGAACTCAATGTCCCGTACGACGCCGTCCCCACCGCGGTGCTGTCCCTCACCGCCGGACCCCTCCCGGATGCTGAACTCGCGCAGCAGCACGGGGTACCTCCGCTCAAACACCTCGCTGTCGGTGATGCGCGTGTTGGTCATGTGCGTGTGCACGCCGCTGGTGCCGTCCCAGTGGGGGCCCGCGCCCGACCCGCCGGCGATGGTCTCGTAGTACCCGAAGCCGCGGACGGCGTCCTGGCCCGCCGCGTTGCCGCCGAAGCCGAAGGTGAGGTTGTTGCAGTCCCCTTGCGAGGCGGCGCAGGCCTGGAAGGCCTTGAAGATGACGTCCGTCACGCGCTGGCTGGTCAGGACGTTGCCGCCCACCACGGCGGCGTGGTCCGAGGGCGAGAGGAGGGACTTGGGCGGGATCTTGACGTGGATTGGTTTCAGGCAGCCTTGGTTGAGGGGGATGTCTTCGGAGATTAGGCAGCGGAGGCAGTAGATAATGGCACTGGTTCAGAGTTTAGCTTGTGCTATATTGAGATATTGAAAGGGAGAGTGAGTGCTCACCTGTAGCTCACAGCTTCTGGGGCATTGATGTTGCCGTATACTTCGGGACCAGTGCCCTCGAAGTCAAATATCGCCTCACCCTTCTCAGGATCAATAGTGACCTTCAACTTGATTGGGCTACCATCATCCATATAGTCCACAGACGAGAGATCCTTGCCCTCGAACTTCTTGCTCACGTCCTTGAGCAGCCTTCGCACACACGACTCGGCATTATCCTGGATGTTCTTCATGTAGAACATCACAGTATCCTCGCCATACTCTTGGATCAAATTCTCGATCAGCGAGATACCCTTCTGGTTGGCAGACACCTGCGCTCGCAGGTCATTGATGTTGTCAGCGAGGCAACGAGTACCACTGCAGCCAGGGAACTTCGCGGGCTCGTTGTAGAACAGCTCCACAACCCTCTCCTCATTAAACTTGCCCTCGCTGACAAGCTTCTCGCTCTTGATGGCAGCGCCTTCTTGGAAGAGATCGCGCGAGTGGGGTGGCATGCTGCCGGCGGTGATACCACCAATGTCAGCATGGTGGGCTCTAGATGCCGCGTAGAAAAGGATGTTCTCCCCCTTCTCGTCGAACGCAGGCATCGTGAGCGTGACATCAGGAAGATGTGTTCCACCATATGAAGGATGATTGGAGATGATCACGTCTCCTCTCTTCAGCTCGCCCTTCCATATCTCGGCTTGCCGCTTTACACAAGTGCCCATGGAACCCAGGTGCACTGGCAAGTGGGGAGCGTTCGCAACAAGTCCTCCAGTTGCGTCGAAGATGGCACATGAAAAGTCAAGGCGCTCCTTGACATTTGTGCTGACACTTGTCTTTTGCAGTGCCCTACCCATCTGCTCTGCGATGGCCATGAACCTGTGACCGAAGATGCTGAGCACGATTGGGTCCACTTCCCGCTTGGACAGGTCCGTCCCCTGAGACTCATCCCTGCCGCTGTCAGCCGCGATGTTGACAATCACATGGGTCTGAAGGATGACTGCCTCAGCCTTGGGCGTGACAACAATAGTCTGCGTCCCGTCGGCCAGCATGGCTGGACCCTTGACAACGTCTCCAACTTGGATGTCGCCAAGCTTGTAGATTGGTGTCTCCAACCTCCCCTCCTCAAAGTAAACTTGAGCACTGGAGTGCTTGTTCTTCCCAGAGACCTCTTGTCTCTTCAGTTGTTTCAGTTGTTGGTCCACCGTCTCCTCGGCATATCTGAAACTCTTGCCAATGCCTCTTACTCGCACATCGTCGACAATGATGTCCCGATCGTCTAATGTAAACCCGAATTCGTATCGATGATGCTTCACAAACGCCTGGTCAAATGCCCATTCTTTGCCGTCAAAATGCTCTTTGGTGTCTTCGTCGCTCGGCTTGACAATCATCAATGCTGATTCTGTACCGCGGTATCTCATGTTCAAGTACTCCTCAAAGACGATATCCTTGTCGCTGAATCCCTGGTCCTGGAGTGCCTTGCGAGACTTCTCCTTGAGCTTCTCCATCTTTTCTTTTAATTCGCTCACGGTCTTGCCATCATCCGACCACACGGCAGAATCTGGCTCTTGTCGCTCATCGACCACGTCTGCCAATGCCATGCCGTATGCTGACAGCACAGACGAGTATCTGTGGATGAGAATTTGCTTAATGCCCAGAGCATCCGCAATAGCAACAGCGTGCTGGCCGCCTGCTCCACCGAATGTGGCCAGCCTGTGTTTTGAAGAGTCGTGACCCTTTGCTTCCGTTATCGACCGAATAGGACGGGTCATGCTCTCGTTCGCGACGGTCAAGAAACCGTAGGCAACCTCATCGACAGACATTTTCTTCCCTGTCTCGTTGTTGACCTGGTCGGTGAGCTCCTGGAGGACCTTCTTGCTAGCCTCGACGTCCAGACCCTCGTCTTCATTCTTGCCGAATATCTTGGGGAAGAACTCGGGCAGAAGCCTGCCCAGGTACAAGTTGGCGTCGGTGACTGTAGCAGGACCTCCCTTTCGGTAGCATGCTGGTCCAGGGTGCGCGCCGGCAGATTCAGGACCAACGACAAAAAGCCCGTTCCTGAAGAACAATCTTGAACCACCACCGGCTGCCACTGTGTTGATGTCCAGCTGCGGCGATTGGATGGTAACGCCAGCCGTTGTGGTCTCGAAGGTATGATCGTACCGGCCCTCGCCGTATCTAGAGACATCGGTACTCGTCCCTCCCATGTCGAACCCAATAACGGGTATCCTTGTGTCCGGGTCATACGACGTTATGGCGTAGCCGACGACACCACCGGCGGGGCCAGACAGGATGGCCTTGAGGCCCGTGAACTTCTCGACATCGACCAGGCCGCCGTCGCTCTGCATGAATTCGCAGCGGGCCCCACGGCTTCCGGATTCGTTCTTAACACTTTGCGTGCCCAGGCCCCCCTCGAAACCCTTCTGGAACCCATCGATGTACTTGCGGATGGCGGGGGTCAGGTACGCGTCGGCGCACACGGAGGTTGCTCTCGAGACCAGCTTGATCATGGGCATGAGCTCGGAGCTCAGCGAGACGTGCCGGAACCCGATCTCCCTGGCGATCCTCCCCACCGCGGCCTCGTGGTCCGGGAATGTGTACCCGTGCATCAGGCACACCGCTATGCTCTTGATGCCCTTGTCGTAAATTTCCTGCAGCTGTGTCCGTATTCTGTCCTCCTCTGGCCGTTGTAGAATGCGGACTGCCTCGCCCGACAGGCCCATGACCAGATCCGCCGTCTTAGCTTCCGCAGTGCCGGCCTTTACCTCTGGCTTGGTAGTGTGCCGTTCCGGGTCCTCGGCATAGTCCTCTAGTGTGACCCGCTCGTCGATCTCCACGACCTCGGAATACAAGACGTCAGGCTTGCGGATAGCGAGGTCAAAGATCTTGGGCCTGGACTGGTTGCCGATGACAAGGCAGTCCTTGAAGCCCTTGGTGACGACCATGGCGATGGTCTCACCCTTCCTCTCGAGCAGGGCGTTGGTGGCAACGGTGGTGCCCATGCGGATGGAGTCGATCTTGGAGGTGTCGAGGGGCTCGCCGCGGGGGATGTCGCGGCCGAGGAAGTGCGACATGATCCTCCGGATGCCCTCGAGCGGCGCATCCTGGTAGTTGGCCGGGTCCTCCGACAGCAGCTTGATCACGATGTCCTCCCCCGCCAGGTTGCCCACGCAGTCGGTGAAGGTGCCGCCGCGGTCTATGGCGATGCGGATGCCCCGCTCATCCTGGCTGGAACCCATCTTCACGTCTGTCCTCGCTGCTGGATAACTGCCTGGCTGTCCAGAAGTTAGGATGTGTGAGGGGTCATGGATGAGACGATTGGGCGGTATGTGAATAAAGAAGTGTGGAATGATGGCAAAAGAAATGTTTTTGAGAGTTCAGATCACTACAACGGGAGTTGGTCTCGCGCCGTCCCCCATGGTATTATTTAGTAGATTACTCGTCATTATTCGCTCCGATCCCGGGCGATAAGGGTATTGGCGGGGTGTTTCGCTGCCGGCTCGGCCGTTGCACCCCATAGGCACTCGGGATGACGCCCGAGAGCTTATCCCTGACGTGCCTGACAGCTCGACAGCACCCCGAAGAGGAGCTGCCTTCCCCACATTGATCGCCGTTGCAGGCAGAGGCTGATCGGGGTGGACGCCCGATCTTGGGCCTGCATTCAACCCACACCTGCGCCACATTATCACCAGGCCACTCTTTTCCTGCCGTACATTTTTGGACATTCCAACACGAAAAAGCACAACAAAAAAAGATGAAAAATTCGATGAATTGTATTTGTCATTTCTACCATTGGGAGAGCTGTCTGTCGATCGACGGAGACATGATCCGAAATATCTGACGCCGCCATGTGAAACTGTCATGGCCCAAGGTATGTTTTTCCATGTCATGTTCACAATAATGAGACCCGTTCTCGATGGGTGGACTAGCAGTTGCCATCTCGGGTGTTCACGACCATGGCGGAATGACACCGTGACCGTGTGGTATTGGCAAGCTGTGCAGCTCTTACATCCTTTCGCCTCAAGTCGCAATCTCCACTCCAGTGTGCGGTTCTCGACCACGACCGCACAACGTTAAGGTGAATTGTAACAGCATCAAGTCCTGCAGAATTTGTGCAAAATTAGCGCAGCCCTAGGACGTGGATCGAACATGAATGTGTAACGGAGATTGACTTCAGACAAGGTGAGAAGATTGTTTAAACGCGGTTTTTGTCGTCACAGTACCACTGCCTGCATGGTATTGGATCCCATGGAGTCGCGATACTTTGCTGGCCCCGCGGCGATCATCATGGTCGGTAAAAGTAAACAACAGGAATGAGAAAGATGCTTACGAGGCATGCCCGACCAACTACTGCCTCTGCGGCAATGCGTATCAACCCCAGCACTTTTTCGAGGCTTATATGTCGTGTGAACATAGGATTTCCACCCGTATTTTCAGATGCAAAATCCATAGACCACCTCAAGCTCAAGACTCGGGCCTGAACTTGCCGCGCTTCTGCCTCAAGGCCTGGACCTTCCTCTTGTCCTCGTCGAACTTCTTGATCAGCTCGGCCTGCTCCGCCTTCTTCCTCTCGCGCAGCTGGAAGCGGTAGAAGTTGGTCAGCTCCTCCTTCTTCTTCTGCTCGCGGTCCAGCATCTTCTTGCGCGCCTCCTCGGCCTCGTCCCTCCTCGCCGGGGCCGCGCGCCCGCCCCTCGTGACCGTGACGAAGCCGTCCTCATCCGGCTCGTTACGCAGCCTCTTGGCCATCTCTGCGGCCTCCTTCTCTTTGCGGTTGAACACGGTGAAGAATGCGTCCACGGACTGCTGAAGGATCTCCGTGGGTGGGAAGGATAGCTTGTTGTGCGCCTGGATCCAGTGAGGCCCCAGCGGTGGGACCTTCTCTTTGACACCCTCGCCCCAGACCGGGTATTTCTTGCTCTTGTGAACCTTTGCGATGGCCTTCAGCACAATCTCCACACTCTTCTTGTCGGCGAGGACGATGACCGCTGTGCTGCCACTCCGGTGCAGCTCTCGCGTCCATGTTGGGGGCAGCCGCGCCACTTGCTCTACCTCGTCCTCGGATTCGGAATCGGACTCGTCGCGCTTGCGTTTCCGTGATGCAACGGAGGCGAGCCGTGCGGCCTGGGCGGGCTCCAGAGAGACTGGCTTCCCCTTTCTGTCTGACTCGAATGATATGGACTCGAACTTGCCGTTACCAGCAAGGGTGGCGATTATGGCGCGGAAGTGCGCTTCTGTGCTGTCGACGGGGACGTTGGTTAGGAAAAGACTGCGGTCGTCGTCGGCGGTGGGACGGTTTGGCGCATGTCGTCGGGCGTAGACATAATGTGTGGTGGTTTGAGGATATGACGGTAAAGGCGACATACTCAGTGGCAAGACCGAGAACTCGCCTATCGTCTTTGGTATTGAAAGCATGGTTGCTGTTGAGGGCGCTGCAGGTGCAGATGGATGATAGTTGCGAAATCATAAATTGCCTTCGGCTTGATGGCAGCTTAAATCGCATCAAGAAATTCACAGCTTGGTTCCTTATCTTATCGGCTACTGGCAGGACCGCACTTCTGCCACGCCGAATCGGCTCCGAGCATGGACAGGCACTGTAACTGAGGCAGGTGCAAGTCAGACTACAACAGGTGTGAGACATTCCACAACACCACGCATTTTTTATTCTCTGCTGCAACGGAGCTGTGTCCAAAGACTTCACTGCCAATTTTTCGACCATGATTTGAATTGACTAAATTCGCCCCGGGCCGGTCCCCAAGGCCTTGTGGTCTACGTCCAAATGACCGCCAAGAGTGTAAATCACAGTACAGACACGGGACTCGCCGACCGTCACATTACCGGCAGTCAATGTCGTCAATGGACAAAGTTTGCTCCATCTTACATTTTGGACTTCACACCTTTGTGGAAGACAACCAAGCCTGTTCTTTGCCATGCTATTGCCATGAACCGTTAGTCTCGCCTAGGCTAACCATCTACTGAGCTCCAAATGGTCTACCGAGCATTTCCTTGGACACACTACGCGGTTGTCGAGCGCCGAGAAATCCTTTTGGGCCTTTGAGCCGCCGCTTGACGCCTCAAACCATGGCTTTCAAGGCCGCCCGATACCTCCAGCACTTCGTCTCGGGCGAAAAGAAAGCGCCAAACTCCAGACCCCCTCACTTCCTGGCTTTTCGGTCGTCTAGCACGTTCATCCTCGCGACCGTTTGTATCGCCATCTTCACCGATATCCTGCTCTATGGCATCATCGTGCCGGTCATCCCATTCGCACTGACCAGCCGAGTCGGCGTCGACGAGGACTCCGTGCAGACGTGGAATGCCATTCTCCTGGCATGTTACACCATTGCCCTCTTCATCGGCAGCCCCCTGGTCGGGCTGTATGCTGATCACACGTCCTCAAGGAGATGGCCTCTTCTCATCGGCCTGGTTTCTCTGGCGGGCTCAACCATCTTCCTCTGCCTGGGGAGAACTATCGCCCTTCTTATCATCGGCAGGATCCTGCAAGGCCTGAGTGCGGCCATAGTATGGACTGTTGGACTGGCCCTGATGGTTGACACTGTGCCAGACAAGATTGGCGAGGCAATGGGATACTCAGCCATTGCCATGTCCATGGGCCTGCTGGTCTCGCCTGCCATCGGCGGGGCCGTCTTTGCTGCGAAGGGTTACTACGCTGTGTACTATATCGCTTTTGGTTGCATTTTTCTTGACATTATCCTGCGCTTGATTCTCATCGAAAAGAAGATCGCGAGGCAGTGGATTAGTGATCAAGAGGAGTCCTCAGGTTCCAGTCCCGGCGCGGCTGGAGAGTCTGCTGGAGAAACAGCCGAGGCTGCCGAAGCGCCAGAGATGAGCGTGATGCACGATGAGAAGCAGGTCGGAGGAGCAGGTCCAGGTCACGATGGTGGCAACAGTAATATTGATTCAGAAGCTACTGCGGTGCCACCAGCAGCACCGTCCATCGTCGCGAGCGGGAGGACAGCGAAGCACCCCAAGCTGCGGCTCCTCAAATCGCGACGTCTTCTGGCTGCAAACTTTGGAATCATCATCCAAGCCGGTGCGATGTGAGTCATCGCCATCCTCGCCACGCACACTCCAAACCCCCGCTCACCGCTCCTCCATCCAAGCTCAAAAGAAAAACTCTGCTGACCATCACACCACCACGACAAGGATCTCGTGGGACACGGTCGGGCCGCTGTTTGTCAAAGACACCTTCAACTGGTCCTCGACAGCCGCGGGCCTGATTTTCTTCGCGATCTTCATCCCAGCCTTCATATCCCCTGTTGTGGGCTGGATGTGCGACCGCTACGGCGCGAGGTGGCCCACGACAGCCGGCTTCGCAGCCTCCATCCCCGTGCTGGTCTGCCTGCGCTTCGTTACCGACAACACCATCGGCCACAAGGTCCTCCTGGGCGCCCTGCTGGCCCTCCTGGGCGTCACCCTGACCTTCGCCAACACGCCGCTGATGGCCGAGATCACCTACGCCATCGACGCGGAGGAGGCCGCCAGCCCGGGCGTCTTCGGGAGGAATGGCGTGTACGGGCTCGGCTACGGGCTGTTCTGCACGTCGTTTGCCCTCGGAGGCTCCGTGGGCAGCCTGATGTCGGGGTACGTGATGGACCGCAACGGCTGGGGCACGCTGACCTGGGTGCTGGCGGTATGGATGGCGAGCGGGGCGGTTGTCGTCGCCTATGGCGTGGGAGGAGGCAAAACTGCGACTGCCAAAGGTAGTCCCGAGGCTGCAGCTGGTGCTGACATAGAGAGCGCGGCGTGATCACGGGTTCCCGTGAGGACTGATGAGAGACGTGGCCAACGCTCGCCTCGCGTGTGGCTGGCTAAGGTGTGCTCCTGCTGTGTAACCACATGCCTCTACCTCACACAGCGGCTTTGCACAGCCTCGACCTGTGAGACACATTAATTTACGGTCCGAATGGACGTCACACTATGGTGAATGTGTCTGTCTTCCGTGGGTCCGTTCCGACGAGGATAAGGCTCTGGGTGTTCACGTGGCGTCCTACAATGCGGGACTGTCTCACTGATCGCCCTCTAATCGAACATGGGACTGCAGAGCCGCATATTGCAAGGCATTCTCCCTGCACACTCAGGAGTTCTATGCGCACACTGCATCGACTGCATGCAGCCTGACCTAAGCTTCATTGGACCACGGGATGCTGGGTCCGCTCATGCGCCCGCCAGAACTTTCCAGCAAAAGTCTAGAACTCTTCAAGAACGGCATTTTCCTATGCCGCTCTTCCCCGTCCCGTCACTTATCGGAGTGAAACATGTTTCCTGATCCAAGGTCGTGCATGTAATGGTTGACGCGGAATTTGTGCACATTGGTTCACACCTACCTACACCCCCTCAATATGAATCAATAGCCCGCCGGAATCCATAGACGATCGCTTCCGGAAGACGGCATGCTCCGTCACAGACCTCAACTCGATGACAGTGATCTGCAGCCTCGCCATGTACGCAATATCCTCACCTGTGGCCCAGCACCACCAGCCTGCAAGGGGCCCTTAGCGAGCCTGCCGAGGTCGACGCGACAAGTCGCTTAGGGCGACAGTGAACCAACCGAAACCCCGAATCATCATATCTCAATAGTAATCCTCCCGACCCCGCGACTAACACAGCTCAGCATAGACCCGGCAGCCTTATCCTCCTCCCCCAGCGCAGAGCCGCGGTGATCCGCCCTCCCCGCGCGCAGCCTGACCACACACGTCCCGCAGTTCCCCACCTCGCACGACGACGGCACCTGGTCAACGCCGAAGCGCGCCTGCAGGGCCTCGAGCAGGGACTCGTCGGCCCGCACCTTCACCTCCGCGTCGTCCCTGTTGGCCACGACGGCCTCGAACGGGTCCCCGCCCGACTCGGCCTGGAACGCCTCGAAGTGCACCTCCTCGGGTGGTATACCCGCGGCGCGCGTCTCCCGCAGAGCCTCGTCCATCATGCGCGGGGGCCCGCAGAAGTATAGCCTCGAGTTCCACGGCATAGCTTTGATTATATCGCGGATGCTGAGGCGCTCGCCGGCGGAAGCATCATAGAGGGTCACCACGTCTCTGCCGAGTCCCAGTACGCGCCCCGCGAAGGGAACGTCGTCGGCGCTGCGCACGGCGTAGTGTAGACTCGCGTCGAAGTTGGACTTCCTCAGCGCTTCGAGAAGCGACAGGAACGCCGTGATGCCCACGCCGCCCGCGACGAAGACGTGGCTGCTGCACGAGGTGACGAGCCTCATCCCCGTGATACGGCCGACTTGGATGACATCTCCCGGCGTGGCTGTCTCATGAAGATGCCGCGACGCGCCACGCGAGTCTGGCTCAAGGGCGACCCCAAGCTCGAGGCGGTTCCTGTCGCCGCCCACGATCGAGTACGCGCGCACGAGGGGATCGGCCCGCCCTGGGACGGGGATGCGGACCTTGGCGTGCGAGCCCTGGCCTATGCCCTCGGCCTCTGGCAGGGGGTCCACGGCCTCGAGGACGAAAGATATGATCCGGCCCGTCTGCCGCTGCTTCTCGGCGATCTTGAAGTCCCTCCACTGGGCAGGGTCATCTTCCTCGTCTTCCTCCAGACCCTGGTCCCGCCTGGCCTTGGCCCTGAGCTTCGCCGCCCTGCTGACGAACGCGTCGTGGCACTCCTTGCCAAATTCAGGAATGGCAGCCAGCTCCTCAGTGGCGGCCAGGTCGCTCGTGTTGCGGTGGAGGTACTCCTGGATGCGCTCGATGGTCCAGCGCGGGTGAGGCCTTTCAACCAGCCGGATCTCGTCGCCGGCCGCGACGTTCCCTTCGCGCAGGACGCGGTAGTACCAGCCGGTGCGGCTTAAGCGCCACGTGTTTGGCGCAAAGCCTTTAAGCTCGAATCGATGATTCAGCTTGAAGCAGGGCTGCCGAGGCAGGCTGACCTGCAGGAGCAACCCCCCACCGTCCATGTCACTGGTGCCAGCCCCGCCAACGGACATGATATCACCAATACAGACATTTCGCTCGTTCATGTGCCGCGTGACAAAGTTCTCACCAAAGCCGCCCGGGATAAAGCGCGAAGCTGCGGAGTTGAACTCGGACTGCCATGTTGGGTAATGGCTGCAGCAGTCTAGTGGCGTTAGAAGGGGTCAGCAAGGTCTCGCGTGATGTGACTATGCAGCATCTAGTGCCGTGTGTGGGCATGTGTGTATATGTGTGAGCAAGTAGTCTCTTTGGGGGCCGTCATTTAGGTACTCATGCTCAACATACCAGCGGAGAAAGGGGACGACTAAAAGGAAAAAGCAGCACGTTTAGCTGCCCAACTCACACCCGTGAACAGCCTTGTCTGGTCCCCCGTGAAATGTAAGGTCGTGCTCGTCCCCGTCTATGCCGAGCTTTCCGACGTGCACCGGCTCGTCGAGGAGCGACTTGTCAATTCCGGACTCGATGTTGAGCCCCTTGTACTTTTTCAACTTCCCTGAGCGGACCTCGAGGATGGTGTCACTCGTGAACGGCGCGTACAGGTCGGCGACTTCTTCCCTTGCGGCCGTTTTGTCCATTTCCAAAGAGTAACTCAACGGTCCGGTCTGTCAAACAGACAGGCGAGAAAAGTGAAACAAAGAATTGATCAAGTGCTTATCCTGCAAACTGGATGAGATACAGGCGCAATGAGTGAATAATTACGGTAGTCGAAGGAGGTGGGGGAGTACAAACTACAAAAGCCGCCTTCCTCGTCGGGATTTGAGCTGACTAAGCTTAGACGCGGAATCCGCGGACAAGAGACTACCGGCAGTCTCGAGATAGCATGAGCAATATGGGACGGATGATGTTTATCATGAACAGTATCGTGCCCCTTACTAAGACTTGTTGTCTCTTGTCCCCAAGGCGTTGTCCCCAAGACGGTTGAGCGGTCACGTTTGGGTTGATGCACCTCATGTTCACCCGAGGTCGGAATCGGGTCCTCTTCCCGAGGCCAGGGAAAAGGGGTCCAGGCCCGTCCGTGAAGCCCGTCTAGCCCTTTTCTGAACTCTTGGACGAACCGGTGGCCCTGGATCAGGTGCTATTTCGCGTGGGTGGCGAGATTGTGCGTTTCATGGTCATAAACACCTGAATGCCTGCATCGCGGGCGGCCATCAACAGACAGACTCGTGGCCTGCCCGAGCGGGTGGGAACCAGTCGGCCACGACTGGTGGAATCCAGTTGGCCTCGAAAACTCCAGACTGATGAAACCGCCTCCAACTGCAACTCGAAGCCACGTCTCTATTTGATTGCATGGCTTGCAGATTCGCTCGCCGCCGGACCCACGGCCTGTACACAAGCCCGACTTCTTCGGGGCCCGAAGCAGTCGCAGACCAAGACATGGCGTAAAGGCCAGGGACCAGACGTGGTCGAAACAAAGTCGTACGAGTGATGAAGAGATGAAGATGGCCTCAAGCCACCAGGAAGTTTTTCAACTCCAAACAAAACGAGTGGTGCTAGCTCGAGTCTCCGGTATATATCCATGGCTCATGCCCGTCGATCATCTCAAAGAACATGTAGATTCAGCAGCAAGCACCTCACTCCCAATCAATCATTTCCAGTCATTCGTTCAATCAGAAAAGATCCAAATAGCCAGGTGCTATTCATTTCCAAATCAAGAGGAGAAAAAGCAAAGTGAAACCAGAAGCCCCAAGATGAAGCTCACGGCCAACTCCGCACTCGCCTGCCTCGCCGCGCTGGCCGCTACGGCAACAGCAACTCCCTTCAGCAAGCGCGCCAGCTTTAGCGGCTACATCACGCCCATCGGCGAGATCAGCAACGCAGGTGCCTTATCAGCCTGCGGCCAGGAGTACGTCACGGGCAGCATGTTCGTTGCCGTCCAGCCGTCGCTGCTGCCGGCCGACTGCTCGCCGGCCCCGATCTCCATCCAGTGCAACGGCGCCACCGTGACCGCCCAGGTCGTCGACAAGTGCATGGGTTGCGGGGCCGACCACATCGACGTCTCTGCTGCCGTGTATGTTGCCTGTGGAGGTAAGGAGGGAGGCATCGACCCCATTCAGGGTGCTAAATGGAGCTTTTAAGGGGTTAGCCCTGTCCTTTGGGCCACGGGAATCATGTGTTCATGGCGCTGGTCAGAGTGTCCTGGTGAGCTCTGAGACACCGGCTGTGCCGCCCTGGGATTTGATGAGCATATTTGATTCCTTACAGAGCCCCTGAAAGCCTCCTCGGCTCCAAGCATCGGGGATGATCTCGTATTTAGCAAGTTGACGCGGTACCAAAAAGATGTTGGGGTTCAGTGAGCTTCCGTGGTGGATCGACGCTGGTTTGGAAGGGCTGGCTTGTACAGCTGGAGTACGTTACTCCTTGTCATTCGTTAGCAAGGGTCGGCGGTAGAAAGAGCTTTGATAAACATCCACGATTGACGACAGGAGAATAGACCAATAGAGCTCTATAATCCGAATGTTTGTGAACCATTGGGATAAACTTTCGTCTCATGAGTAGGGACGGTGACTCCATGTCCCACAAGTGAGTCGTCTGTGCTTTGAACAGCCAAGACACACATGTACTGTGTCAGCAGGTCGGACTCAAACCGTTGAACGCCTCGAAGAGTTCGCGACAAGTTCTCCGGGACGTCCCTGTAACGATATCGCACAAGGCCTGCTTACGCACGACTTCGTGCTCGACCAGCCTTTCCTTTTCAGATCCTTCTTGCAGAACAAAAGCTGCACTTGTCAGCACGGGAAAGGCACGGGGGCAGGAGCAGGTGCGGAACCAGTTATGTCCGACGGCCAACGGTTTTCAGATGCGAGATTTGTACACCCCGCTCACCATGCCGAGCACGCAGGCTGCACACCACCCGCGACTGCATCAGCATGTGTTCGTCTAACGTCGTGCCGTCCCACCGTGAACTGGCTGGGCCCTCCGTCACCTTGCTCCGCAAGGCAGATTCCGCCCTTGCGAGCATGAGCAATGGGCCGCAGGACGCACGCGGTAAACGCGGTCTAACCCTTTGGAGGCTGATGGGGGCTCCCTTCCCCGCAATACGATCATTCTGGCCCAGGAGTTCTGTCCTGCGGGCGAGCGGTGGCGACGATAGATTCGGGAAGCCTCTCCACGCCATCTGCTGCTGCCTGGACGAGCCCAACGGACGGTGAGCTCGAAGTGGAGAATGCCCGTCCTACCCGAATCCTTGCCACAACCTGAATCCGCAACTAGACGATGATAATCAGCGAGCCCGCTGATGATCGTCTCGAGGACCGTGTCTTGCCCCTCCCGGCTCCAGACATCCCCGGTGGTATCGATCCATGTCGTTCCTTTGGGCTGCGGGTGGTCCTCGTCCAACTGGACACATGACCCTCTCCTCTTGACCAGTTCCAGCTTGTGTGCCACTCGAAATACGACACCAGGCGATGGATCTGCCCCATGGTGTGTCTTAGTGTCAATATTGCGGCTCAATATTGCGGCTCAAAACAGCCTCGTCGGGGATAGCCTTCCGGTAGAGGCTGGGAGAGGGTCTCGTTGGAGGGTCGAGCGCATTCTGATGCATCCTCTGCCTTCGCAGCTAGCCACACTTGCCACCTCGGTGGATGGGTGATAAGACCTAGAACGGAGATTGTCGTCGTCTCGATGAAGAGCAAGGCACCCAATGGCCAGGGCCGAAGGGCTCGGTGGTAAGTTGACATTGCGTTTCTCAGCGGGAGCTCTCCCACCGGGAGCCTTCCCATGGAACGAGACGACGCCCGTCAAACCCCCGCTGGGCAAGGATCAGGGGGCGAGCGAAGTTGCAGCTTGAGGCTCTGCTCATACAAAATAAGATGAGATTCATTTCGATGGGGGCAGACCATTCGAGGGGAAGCCCGCGGTCGGTGCATGTCCAGGGCAAGAGGCACAAGAACAGTGTTGGGGGCGGCACAGTTAGTTGAGCCTCATCAAGGGGTCGCAAACAAGGTGGCAGGAGCTGACGTTGTCGGAATGCCTGGGTGTTGCGCTTGGTTGGGTGAGCAACAGCCGAGCCGAGCGTGGAAACCTTGGAAGGAAGGAGTGTGTGTACAGGGTTTATTTGTCTGGCAGGGCTGGGGACTGGCCCTTCCAAGCTTGGTTGTGAGCGAAGCTGCCTCCACAGAGCCGCATTACCCAGCGTGATTGGTTCAGTGAGACTTTCCAATGCGGGCGGAGATCTGGCACCTGGAACGAGCGCCCTGGAATGCCGACCAATTCCACCACCTTTCCGTCTCCTCCGCAACGAGCGAGAGTCAGCTCTGACGACGGGGCTCATATCACCCATTCCCGCCGAGCCACTCCCCGATCGGTTGGTTCGACAGCCTTCCCAATCCCACACCAGCGTTTTGCGCCTTAGTATCAATGTCTGGACATGGAACTCCCTGCCACTGCTTCCCCTCCTCCATTTCGAGGCTCCCCACGCGGAGCCGCATTCGACCATGGCGTGCGATGGGTTACGGCCTTCAAGTTGGCCATGCGGCTCAAGTGATCCTACCTGACTTAGCGAGAGAAGCTGAGAGACAATCGCGAGTTGCTGTTGTCTCAACCCGTGTCATTTCCCACATGTCACACTCCTGGTCTGGTCTGCTGTTCTTGGCGACCTGTCAGCCCTTACACAGTGCTCACCATGAGCTTCTCAGGTGCTGCGTATCTCATTGTCGTTGTACGAGAGGTGACTTTGTTGTCACCAAAACAATCGCCATAGGCTTGAGTTTCATTCCACCTAAGTCCATCTCTGATCCAGTGTCTTTTTGCACACCCCAATCGTACAGGTAGGGGGGCCAAAAAGCGGGAGAGACCGCCTTTGCTGAATTCAATAAGGCTCTGTAACCCCTCCTTCTCAACTATATCTACTGCCCATTCCAGCCCTCGACACACCAGGCTCTCAATTTCATGCATCCATCTCCAAGGCCAAAGTTCGTCCTTTCCCTCCTAAAGCTACACTTTGGCCCTTCACGTCTTCTTTGGGACTCGCAGGCACGCGCGGGATCCACAAGAGAGCCGGGCACCTCTTCATAGACCACCGAGACACAATGGCCAGGACGGTCAAGAATGCCTAGGTACTGAGAGTAGGGTCATGTCTCTAAGCAAACTCCCATATGAGATTATTAGCCTCATAGTACAGGAGCTGGAAATCGACGACGTCTTCCACCTGAGCCTGTCGCCCCGCTTCAACTATCTCATCAAGGAGGACAGAGTCTGCAAGTCAATTCTAGAGGTACTGTCCAAACGAACCCAAGCCCTTTCCGATCCCGGCTCTGACTGAGGGATACGAGGTTCTGGCTTGGGCTCGCCACCAAGGGCAGCACGACACGCATGGGATCAATTTGAGCTGACGAGTTTGTGGCGCAGTCAAGGGCACCCGCAACCGCCGAGGCCGCAGAAGCAAGATCGACTCACAAATATGCCTCCGCCCTGCGGAGGCTGTACAAACGGCGGCAGGCCATACGAACCGCCGCCCCATTCACGGCCGCTATCGTTGCGGTGGCGGAATCATGGATCTACGTGAACGGCACTCTGTGCCACATATCAGAGCGGATGCTGCGAGTCCTGGACTTACACAAGTCTAGCGGTGAAGAGACCATCATCGACGTGAGAGCCTTATTGGACGAGGCCATCACCGCATCCCGGGGTGCCCGAAAATACAAGTTCCAGATTCTTCACTACGCCGAGGGGATCGTCTCATGCCTCTACATCCATTGCAGACCAGTCGTGGAGAGCTGGCTAGTTGTCTTCAATGTCAGCGAGCGCACTCTGTTGACCACCCTCAGTCTGGACACAACATACAAGATATTTGTCCGAAATGACCGCAACTATCTCTACTTCGGAACACACTCGGAGTTCGGCGACGACGGGTTCCGGCGATGGGTTCTCATGGGCTATGACATCCATGGCGGTCGGTGGTTTGACCAGAAGGTTCACCTCCTGGACATGGTGGGCTCCGACATTGGGCAATCGATCGCCTTCGAGATCATAGACGGCAAATTTTATGGGCTGTCCAACCAGACCAGCTTCGAGGTTGACGAGGTCGACTGGACTTCGCACTACCACTGCTTCAGGTTCCCCGTTGCGGCGCCGAAGCCAAAGACAACCGAGAGGTCTGTCAAGGACAAGATGTGGCGAAGACAGCACGCAGAGGGGCCGATCGATGACCGGTGGTCATTCATTCGCCTCCTCCGTGATGAACGGGACCCAAAGCAGCTACAGGTCCTCGAGTCCCGGAAGGAGTGGCTTGCTGGGAGTTCGGGCCGGCGTAATTACTACACCACCCGGCTGGTCTTCCCGGAGAAGGCAGCCGACTCAGAAGACGGAGGCAGCAACCCCAGGGATCCAAACCCCAACACCGTCGGCGGTGGTATAATAATCAACCCAGTCACCGACACCGTCCCGGAGGTGAGACCACATACCGGTTACGACCTACCGCACAGCACGACTCCGCCCCGGCCACGCTGTCCGTTTAGCACACACGCAGGCGATGACGCCTCGACGGCACTCATGTTCACCCTCAGCAAGTGCTTCATACGTTCATACCACCCTCCAAGCCAGACGTTCCTGGACCTGGTCGACGACCCGGAGCCCAGCACCTCCCCAGACGCTTTGCCGAGACTCCGCCTCCGGGCCGGGTCCCGCAAGCTCCGTCCCGCTCAGGCCATTCTGGCGGACCCGGTGGCGCGAGACCCGGCCCAGCCGCACGCACGCCGCGCCGCCAGACTATACGAGTCAGGGGCCAGCAACAAGATCACATTCTGGCCGCCGACGGCCGAGGAAGCTGACGACACGCGCACCGATCCAGCACTCCTGGAGGAGCTCCACCGCGTCGTCAATCCGCCTGAGCACGCGGGCGCCGTGAGGGGCGCGTGGGACGAGCGGTCACTGATCTACTCCACGGGCGGCGGGCACTCCCGGGACGGCTCGATGCAGGCGCTCGTTTTCGTGAGCTTCGATCCTGGCATCTGCCTGCCGGGGCTGAAGCAGTGGGGGGACGAGCGACGCGACAGTGGCTACGAGACTGGCAACGGGGAGGGAGAAGAGAACAGGGACATTCCCTATTGGCCTACTGAGCCTGCGGGTGAGGAATTGAGGTGTCACGACGATACGGGTAAGGGAAAAGGAAAGCAGCAGCAGGTGCCCGCATCCCCGCCGCTGGAAGCGGACGATGGTGACCCGGCTCCCCCCTCCCCTCTCCAGTCCGACGGCTATTGTCCCGGCTGGACGCCTGAGGCGACATTTGACTGGGGCGTCGAGGTTACCGGTGGGGAAGATCGGGCCAAGGAGAAGGGGAAAGCGGCAGGGGATGCTGCAGCCTCGTGTGGTGATGTCTCTGGTGGTGGAGGAGGTGATAGGGGAGATGGTGATCTCAACGGAACTGGGCGGGATGCAGACGCTGGCGCAGACGCAGGCGCAGATGCAGATGCAGACGCAGTGCCGCTGCTGGGTGTTGGCGTCGGCGATTCGTTCAGCTCCACCGGGCAGGCATTCTCGTCTTTTTCCTCGTTTTATTCCGCGGATGATGGTGCGTCAGGCGGCTCGGGCGCGTCCTCGTCACAACAACAGCCGCAGCCTCGCGCCGCCCCAGCAGCAGCAGCAACGCCGACGAACCAGGTTCCCGATTGTAAATGGGCACGCACGGGAATGGCCATGTGGCAGGAGATCGGGACTGGATTCAATGGACTGCCGGATTTCACAAGCCCGAGGATGCAAAGGGGCGGAGAAAGAAATGCAGGCTGGCAATGAGACAGTGGCATACACTCACCCGTCCACCCATCCACCCATCCACACATACCTTGGCCCAACAAGTGGTGGACAAGTGCACAAGGGAGAGAGACAGCATGCAGTGAAACGGAAGGTGCAGGGTAATCATCGAGAACGTGATGAGATGGAATGGAAAGCAGCATGTTCGCGGCGCGAGGTGGTCACACTCTGGCTGTTTCTTCTTCCCCATGTAGAAGGTGAAGAATGTGGATTAGCCCTCGTTGCAGGATAATACTAGGTAATCTCATCACGCATAGCCGAAAGTAACAAAACAAGAGCTATAATTGCCAGTGCCACCCCCCTTTCCCGCCCCTTCTCTCGAAGCCTCGCGCAACAGTCAGCTGGCGCCCGCCAGCCCGGGGATCTCCCAACCACCCACAGAGAAGAGCCTCAACGTTGGGAAATAGCAATGCACCAGGCAACACCTCAACACCCTGGATGCTCCGGGACAAAAGCATCCAGCACCTCATTTTCAAAAAAAGAGGCAGTCCAGTTATATTCACAGGAGTCACCTCCGGCCCAGCATGCCCAGCCCGCGAGAGCCTACATATGTGCAGAGTTGGTGGCGCGGGAAGGGGGCAAGAAGGGCACACCAGGCCCATCCGGCCCTGGGTGTAAGACAGGCATGCACTAGGCCATGTTCTCTTCCGAGAAGACAAGGCATATTTCGTGCGCGCGGGGCAAGGCTGACTTGGGACGATCGCGCGGGCGGGCCCTCGCAGGATTCGACTCCATGGTGCCCCGTCTTGCCTGATGCCTAGGCAGCCTGACGCCGAGGGAGGGTGGTGGGTCGCCCTGGTTCGCACTTGGCCGGGCTGGCTGCTGGGGGCCGTCTTCCGAAGGGACAAAACAACAGAGTGCGGCCTGTGCTTTTTGGAAACCTGGTTGGTCGGAGCCAAAAAAAAAAAAAAAAAAAAAAAAGATACCTAAGGGCGCCGTTGCTGACCAAGAAGGCCAATTTGGCCAAAGGGGGCCGTCTAAGCAAGCTCTGTCAGATTTCCTTTGCAGCAGGGGCCCGGGCTTTTACCTTCGTGATGGGGTCGAGGGTTAACGCGGTAAGATGGGGCTCTCGATGCGGGGGAGGGCCCTGTGCGCCGAGTCTTTTGACAGTTTGAGGCTCCGAGTTTGGCGTGAATCCTTCGTTCGGTGAGGGTGGTGTTCGTCCGATGGTGTGGTTGGGGGTTTATCTCCTGGCAAGGCTCCAAGGTGGGCAACTCTGTTGGCCACTCTGATACCAGGGCGGAATCGTTGACGATGTTCAATAAAAAATCAATTCTTTGTAGTAATTCAATCCATTTCCGTCGAGAGATAATTATTGCTGCTAAACAAATGGAGAGCCCTGACAAATTGCAGCAGAGTTGACCCATATTCCCCAAACCTCACCTCACACCTTTCACGACACCGGACCACCCTAAGCCCACGTACGGCCGTACCTTCACGATTCGGCGAGGCTCTGTTCCAAGTTACGTATCATATATGTACGACAACCAGAAGCATCCTCCCGGGCGGTCCCAGCACGACAGACGATATCGATCTGCCCCCACCCGATCGCCAGCCTACCTACATGTACGTGCACGGCAGAAGCTCCGCGCTGTATGAGGACCGTTCGGGACATCTGATGCATATTGAGCCTACACCATGGGGCAGTCAGACAAAGTCCCGTGGTCTAAGTCTATTCCACCGAGGCAAAGCGGGTCCCCACGCGCAGGCACATGATGGGGTGTGGCCCCCTCCTGTGTCCAACACGCCGTGCAAATGGCCGACTAATGCGGGAAACCCACTCAGTCCGTATACTTCTTCCGACGCACATGACCAACGGCACACGCGAGGCTCTCTTACCCACCGACAAGGTGATCACAAGGGGTTTCCAGAAGATGTGGTAAGAAAAGGCTCCGGCAGCACCTCGCCGTAGATAGATTCTCCTACCTAGGGTGGAGTTCCCAAGTCAACCCAACGTGGCAGGCTCCCCTGCGCTATCTAAAGGTGGAAAACACACCAAACCTAGCCTGATATTCCCCATCACTCCTCAACCCGTCCTGCTTGCACAAGAACACCATTCCCACACCGACATGCGGGTAGGTTCCAAGCGCAAGGTGGAAGAGTGGGTGGGGTGGGATAGGCAGGCAGGCAGGTCCAGCAGATACCATGAAAATGCTTCTCTTCCCCCGCCCTTCTTAGCCCAACGCCGCTCACAGAGAAGACCGAAAACAAAACGCATAACAGCACTTGCGGGGTATTGCGTAAGGACACCCTGTATGCTTTATCCTTTTCTTACTCCATACAAAACGATCGATCGATCAGTCGGCTGGTCGCCAAAAGCCAACTTGCTTCCTACCATCCATCCAATTAATTCCACCACGAGATGGCCCTGCGGTCCTCTTGAAAGGGACAGGGGACAGGGCGGACGTCCCTGTCTGACTTCGGTCATTGACTCAGCCCAGACTGACATAGTTACCTGTAGGAACACTTGTTAGCCATTTTATTCAGCCTCAACACCCCGTGGGAGAGGGGTTAAGGGGAGGGGGAGACCGATTTCATGTACTGACCTGGGAACTGCCCCTGCTTGCCTTGGAGCTTTCCAATCCACCACTCGTTCTCATTCTGTGTCCTGCTCACAATCTCGATGACATCTCCGGCCCGGAAGCTCAGATCTCCCTCTGCTTGCGCCGAGTAGTCATACAGGGCCGTCACCGTCTCGGCAGCTGGGGTGGCACTTAGTCTGCTGGGCTTGGGCTTCGGGGGTGGAGGCTTGGCCTTTGCGGCAGCAGCCGCGGCCAGAGATGCTGACTTGGGGCTCGTCAGCGGCGGAGACGTCGGTCCGGCTGAGTACGGCGGAGGTGGGTTCTCCACGCTTGCTGTGCGCTGGTGGAATCCTGCCTTGGTCGGCGCGGCTGATGGAGAGCCAAGACCCGGCGTTGCAGACCCGAGCCCCGGCGTTGGGGACCCCAGTCCCGGGGATGCGGATCCGAGCGCTGACGGACCTGCAGTTGTTGATGCCGAGGGCGTCGGGCTTGTTGGGCCTTGGGTAAGTAGGCCGGCTGGTCGATTCCCCTCGAGCGCTGCTGGCTTCGGTTGGTATTTGGGCGGTCTCCGCTGTCCGGTTGATTTGAACTTGACTATCGACAGCTTCTCGGCCCGCTCTTGGATGTCACCCCGTTTCTGATGGAAAGCATCCTCAATGTCAAGCGTCAAGTCGAAGTATCCGATGTCGCAGCGCTGCATCCTCTCGTGGAGCGTGTAGAAGATGTTGAGCTGCATGTAATAGAATGACTGGAACAGGGGTTTGATGAACTCCTGCTCCAGAAGAAATAGCTTAGGCAACTCATCCTTCAGCAAATCGTTGAAATAGTTATAGTCCTGGGTCGCCGCCTCCACGTCGTTCTCTGCCTTCCACATGGCCTTCTCATCCTTGATCGACTTGTCCTTCTTGTCCTGGAGCTTCTTCAGGGTCGCCCGATGCCTGTCGTAGTCTAGCTTCTTGTGCTCACGCTTCACGATCTGCTTGCGAATAATCTTGATGACGTCCGTCAACTCGTTGGCTGGCCGGATAACCCTACTCTCTATCATTTCCAACTCGGGCGCCAAGGTCTCCTGCAAATCTTTCACAACAGCCTCGTACTCTTCGCAGGCCTGAATGCCCTCGGGGTTTGCGTGGACCACCAGGGAGTCTGGGTCCGACATCCGGCCGCTGATGGGCTTGTAGATCTCGGCGATCGCTTTGGAGAACTCGATCTGGTGGTTCAGCATGCTATTGATGGCCTCGAAATACTTTTTGCTCTCATCGTGGAGCTTCTTGGTCTCGTTCTCTAGCTCCTGAAACCGTCGTTCCGAATCGATGTAGACGGCATCTTTCGTGTGTTCGCCAATGTTGAACTTGTGCTTGAAAGTTTGCGGCGCCTATAGGATGCACATGTTAGCCATTGTGCGAAAGGGGGAGGGGTGGCGAAGCTGTGCAGCACTGACCCGCGTTATGCTCTTGGAAAACCCCCGAAAACTCATCTTCACTCAATCAAGTGCGCCTGTATCACTTTACGGCTGCGCAGGCTTTGCGATCGAGCGGGACTGTTCGGGTCTGGTTGTGTGTACAGTTCGTGATAATGGTAGTGGTGGTTGATGTGGTTGCGACCGCAGGGAGGTGTTGGTGAGAGTGGACGTGGGGGATCAGGAAGCAGCGTCGATGACCCGCGGAGATGATGATGATGATGCTGTTGGTGGTGGCTTGTCTTGCGACTATGACTTTGCAGCAGTCAGAAAAAGGAACTCGGTGACGGCAATGTGGCTGTGCCGGCACCCGTCAGCTCGCTGCTTCCTCCTCAGGATCTTGGGCCAAGGCCAAGGTGGTAGCGCATCGCCCGTCCAAGAGGATGTCCAGGGAACGGGTCAAATGAGGGTCCCGTCGAACAGAGAGACCGGAGCCGAGGTCGCGCGGGATCGTCGGTCTCGAGGTGCTTGTGGTGTCGGCGGGTTCTGAGGGCTACGTCGGTGCTTTGCAGATGGCTGCAGATGTTTCAGGAAGGGACAGAGGGGTTCAGCTGATGTATTGCTGCTATGTATGGACGAGGAACTGTAATTGGGTGTCGGTGGTGACGATGTCTATGCTCATCCAAAGCCCAGCCAAGTCAGGTCAGGCAGCTCAATTCGGGTCGGTCCAGTCGTCCAGCAACTTCGATTTCACTGCCACCCCGTCCGCGTCCAAAAACGTCAGTGCCCAGACGGTGGGGCTTGGTGGCAGAGTGGACATGCGTCATCGCCTTACCACAGCACAGCGGCTCCTCTCCGTCGCATCGGTACGTACTACTCGTGCACAGCACATGTGACTGGCTGACTGTGCCGTGCAACCGTACTGCAACCAGGCCGTTTCGTTTGCTCCTCTCGCCAGTACTTGATATCCCCTTCGCAGCTTGGCCCATTCTCAACAACAATTTCTCGTAGCTGCTGCTCAAAATACCTGGAAATTAGGTTGCATGATGCACCGAATTGGTTTCGCATAATCGATGTCAGTATCCTGCACAAATCTTTCCTGGTGTCAGTCGGCGGGACCGAGCTGCCGGTTTCGCAGAAACTCTCCAGTGCTCTGCAGATACTCCGTTGGCGAATGCGGGCACTGAAAAGCCCAACTCAGCTAGAGTGGGACTCTGGGGCCCGTTGCGGATTAGTGCTTACTCACGCGGCCATTTCGGCCAATCACACACTTGACTTTATCAGATCTTAGGACCGATCACCGAGGAACTGCCATCCGACTGAATCATCAAGAATCCATCCTGAGAAAATTATCAGATCGAGGACCTCCGAGCTTCTTTTCAACTCCTCCCTTCACATCAACCTACCTCATCTACCTAAAACCCCCCCCCCCCCTACCCACGATGACCAGTATCGGATCATCTGCATTGAGGCAGGCGTCGCGCCTGACCTCCAAGAATACATCATTATCAGCCTCCCTGCGACGGGCGTCACGGACACCCAAGGTGGCGACAGTCCTGCCCCAGACAGCAGCATCACGGCGATGCTACGTCACTGAGACTAAGAGAGACAATGCACAAGTAGCAGAGCCCAAGATTGAGACTGCGATACGCCTGGACAAGGCAGCTCTGCAGAACTCGGGTCTGGCCGTGGGGGCACAGCAGGATGGGAACATGCTCGTCAGTCCCATGGCAGGTAGGAGCTCCCGGATCCGTCGGCAAATGCGTGCGGTGGTTGACTGACCCCGAATAGAGGTTCTGAAGGAAGCCACATTGATGGATGAGGGTCAACGGCCGATATATCTCGACATGCAAGCCACCACACCCGTCGACCCTCGCGTGCTCGACGCGATGCTCCCTTTCTACGTCAATGTATTCGGAAACCCGCACTCCCGAACACATGCTTACGGCTGGGAGAGCGAGAAGGCGGTCGAGGAAGCGCGAGGGCACATTGCGAGGCTCATTGGTGCCGACCCGAAAGAGATCATCTTCACCAGCGGCGCCACGGAGAGTAATAATATGAGTATCAAGGGCGTGGCGAGATTCTTTGGCCGGTCGGGCAAGAAGAGGCATATCATCACCACCCAGACCGAGCACAAGTGCGTCCTGGACAGCTGCAGGCATCTGCAGGACGAGGGCTACGAAGTCACCTACCTTCCCGTGATGGACAACGGGCTGGTCAATATGGACGAGCTCAAGGCCGCGATCAGGCCCGAAACGGCGCTTGTCAGTATCATGACTGTCAACAACGAGATCGGAGTCATCCAGCCGATCGAGGAGATTGGCAAGCTCTGCCGGCAGAACAAGGTGTTCTTCCACACAGATGCCGCGCAGGCCGTCGGCAAGATCCCGTTGGATGTCAACGCCATGAACATTGACTTGATGTCAATCTCATCACACAAAATCTATGGTCCCAAGGGCATTGGAGCCTGTTACGTCCGGAGACGGCCTCGTGTGAGGATTGACCCTATCATCAGCGGAGGCGGTCAAGAGAGAGGGTTGAGGAGCGGTACCCTCGCGCCACCGCTGGTTGCCGGCTTTGGAGAGGCGTGCCGCATCGCCTACGAAGAGATGCCGGTAAGTTTGGAGCGTCACCACTTGTTTTCCCCTCCCACCTGATGATATGCTGTACTTGCATGGCTTTCTGAATTCCCGTGACAAGGAATCTCATGTTGAAAAATAGCACTCTGTCTGATTTGGAACCCTTCCCCACACATTGTCTCCCATGATCCCTATTTTGGTCGTCAGTGCCATGACTGACATCTCAAAACAGTATGACACGAAGCGCATCAAGTATCTCTCGGACAAGCTGCTGAAGGGCCTCCTCGCCCTGGAGCACACCAGCCAGAACGGCGACCCGAACCATTTCTATCCCGGCTGTGTCAATGTGTCCTTCGCTTACGTGGAGGGTGAATCCCTTCTTATGGCTCTAAAGGACATCGCCCTTTCATCCGGCAGTGCCTGCACATCAGCGTCGCTGGAGCCCAGCTACGTCTTGAGGGCTCTGGGCAACAGTGACGAGAGCGCGCACTCCAGCATCCGGTTCGGTATTGGGCGCTTTACCACGGACCTCGAGATCGACTACGTTCTCAAGGCAGTGCAGGAGCGGGTGACGTTCCTTCGCGAGCTCAGTCCTCTCTGGGAGTTGGTCCAGGAGGGTGTCGACTTGAACACCATTCAATGGAGCCAGCATTAGTGGACTAATAGCGTTGCCTGAACCCTCAGGTGATCATCAACCAAGGACGCGTTGCTTGGTGACTACATTCATTCAAGCTGTTGTAAATAATTGTACTGGGAGATACCATGGTTCGGGGCTTGCTGGGGCGTGCGGACATTTTCGTCGACGGTCAACAAACTCACTTTGCGGCGTTATGGCATTCATGAACACACGGGAGGGATCAAGCAAGCACGTCACTCTGGACTGATGAATGATACGGGCGGATATGTACAGGCACGGAAATATACTCTGCGGTCGTTACGACAATCACGGGACAAAGATGGGCATCTCGGCTCTCCCTTCACTGCGCTAAGATGATGCGCCTTTGTATGCTGGTGACGGAATATGGCGAGCTTCCTTGATGCTGCCCGGCCCAACTGCAGCTCGCCTGCTGCATGGGTACGTACGTGCCATGCCGGCAATTGAAAGCTGCTCGCTCACGGACTGGCTGAGATGCTTGACTGCCAAGGTCGGTCAGGACGACGATCTGCCACTTCCCGCTGTCAATTCTGGTGGGTTAGGTTTACTTGTTGGTGTGGTCCAATGGCCAGCCGGTCACAAGGGAAATTCTCATCTCGCAGAGGCGTGTTGTCCAGGGTGTGCATGTGTGTGACCTCCTACGCACATCTACTAAGGGTTTGGGCAGCGGGGCTAGAGACTCTTCCTTCTTCCATTCCGCGACCATCAACACGGTCCGCCCAATTACGTAGGTGTCTTGCACTACGGCCGAAGCTGATACATATCGCCAGATCCAGGCCACGTTCCATCGTGCAAAGAACCAGGAGCCTGTCAAAGAGCCATCTGGTAGCGTGACGGATCTAGAGCAGGTGGTTGGTGCCATTTGGCCGCTAGTCCAAAGCAGTAGCGTGGGCCAGTCTGCTCGTAGAGGCGCGTGTTTGTGTGTGGTGTAAGTGGTGGTGACATCACCCCCTGGCCGTCAAAGGGCTGGCCGTTTTGACGTCATCGCCACTTCCCGCTCCCTCAAGCAGCAGCCACTGGCTTCCTACAGTAGACGCATTGTCTCACGAGCTTCAGGCAGGAGGGGCACTAGGCGACTGGGAAGGTACGTAAGTGCATGTGAATGGCAAACAAGGCTGGCTGCCTTGGGTACGGTGGTACATACGACGAGCTCTGGTCTACGTATTAAAAGGTGCTCCCTCCTCCTACGTCAACAACTTCTGTTGATTTCCTATCCCACCAGCAACACAACACAACAACAAAACTCTTGACACCTTGAGCTCTTCGTCTTCAAGACCAATCTACCCAACAAACCAAAACACCTCACAACCAACCATCATGTCTGCCGACAAGGACAACACCTCCACTCTCCAGGCTGCTATTGACAGCGTCTCCGGCACCGTTCAGTCCGCTATTGGCGCCGTTACGGGCAACACTGCCGACCAGACCAAGGGCGATGCCAAGCAGGACAAGGCATCAGCCGAGCACGATGCTTCCAAGGCCGCCGTCAAGCTGCCCGGTGCCACCGTCTCCGCCTCGGGCGCCACGAGCGACCACCCCGACCGCAGCGCTGGCAGCTACAACCAAACCGTTGGCTCCGCGAAGGAGACCGTTGGCAACCTGATCGGATCTGAGGTAAGCTTGATTGCGATTCAACAGAACACCCACGCCGGATATTCAGCATACTAATATCATATCCCACAGAACCTGAAGACCCAGGGACGCAACCAGAACCTTGAGGGCCAGCAGCAGGAGGCCAAGGGACAGCTCTCGGACCTCGGCTCAGGAATCGCGGACCGCGTCTCTGGAACAGTAGGTGGCGCCGTCGCCGGTATCACCGGTAACACGGCTGCCCAGGCCGAGTACCAGAAGCAGCACGACACTGGCAAGACCCAGCAGCGCGGTGCCGAGCACGACATCCAGAAGCAGGCCGAGGCCGAATCCAAGTAGAGGAATTCACCACGGATGTGGAGCTTGAGCTGAACGACGTTAAGCACATGCGCTCGCGAGAACATGATTTTGATACCCCGACATTGAGGAAGGACATGACGATTCTTGCATTGGTGTGGACGGTTATGTGGAAGCGTTCTGTCGCGGCCCTAGGTAGATAATCTAAAGCATAAATATCCACCCCACTTTGACTTCCCAACCTGATGACAATATTCTGTGATGTGGAATGGCTGCTGTGTGAGAATAATGCGCTAGGACCGACCTCAACTGCTTGATGTGTTGGAATGGATCTCCGACTCAGCTTGAAGCCCCCCAGGAAGTCCAATCATTGGTCTATCAAGACAATGAGAGATCCCAAGCTGCCATGTTTTCCACGACGAGAGACATACACATGAAAAGGAAAACAAAACGCACAAGGCCAGGACAGGTCCACCCCCATCCAAGCACGTCCCCGCCAACAGCCAGCTTTTCAACTATGATACTCCAGCAGCCAGGCCCGCAGGTCCCCGACCGTCGGGTACTCGAGGAAGAGACTGCCGCTCACGGCGATGCCCAGCTGCTCGCGCAGCTTCTCCGCAATCACCAGGCTCATCAGGCTGTCCACGCCGACCTCGGCGAACGTCGCGTCGTCCTTGAAATCCGACGACTCGAGGCCCGTCTCGGCCGCGACCAGCGCCATGGCCCTCGATGCGGCGCTGCTGCTGCTGCTGGCTTCCGGGGAAGTGTGCGCCGGCTTCTCTCCGGGAGGGATTGCCTGTGCTTCGTCGGTGGCCGCAGGTCCCGCGGTTGGCTTTGGCGCTGCCGCCGTGGTCGGTTGCTGTGACGGCTTCGCCGTGGGTTGTGCTGGCGCCGCAGGGCTTGGGACCTGAGTTGCCTCTCTGGCCTGGGCGGGCTTCACCGAGGATTCGCCATGAGGAGCGTCCCCAGCACTGGCCCCCGCGTCACTGTCAGGGTTCTTGACCTCGGCGGCCGAGAAGAACCGGTTCAGCAATACGCGAGGGTACCGGCGGAACTTGATGGCCTTCATGACGCCCACGATATCTCCCTCGCCCTCGACGCCATCCTGCTGCAGCACATAGACATCGCCGTGGTAGACGGTCGGGTCGGTGGGGTCCGGGATCATCCTCACGTACGATCGGTATCGCCCGCCCGCTACCAGCGGCCGCGCCAGGCGGAGCGAGCCCCAGCCGGGGGTGACGCAGAAGTTGGCCCGCGTGTCGATGGTGTCGGACACGTTCATCACGAAGCCTGCCAGGTGGCACACGCTGTCTATGAAGAAAGGCGGGACCGTCCAGGTGCCGCCGCCGGCCCCCGTGCTTAGGGTTATGTCCGCGTACGCCTCGAGGCCGTGGAGGACTACAGACTGCATGCCGCGGTACTTTTCTGCATCTGCGGTGCTGTCAATGGAATATTCATGAATGCGCAACTTCACAAACAATGTGATAGGGCTCTCGAGAAGTGATAGCAGCTCATATACTCACAGTCAACGAGGTTGTTGGCGAATAGGAGGTACGCCATGCTGTGCGAGAAGCGGTTGGCCACGCCAGCATCGGCCAACTGTGCCAGCGCGTCGATACGGCCCTGCACGAGGTGCCTCATCGGGACCCAGCTTGCCAGGTAGTCGCCCAAGTTCCCGAAACGGACCTGGGCCGTGACTATGGGCTCGACACCCTCACCTCCGACAAGCGACTGGCCGTCGTTGGTCAGGTTGTGCCACTCGAGGCTGGCTGTGCCCGAGTCGATGTCCGCCGTCGTGATGGACACCTGTATCAGCTGCGGCACTGTGGTGTTCTTCTGCGCCACCAGACCTTCGCGCACGACGAGGTTGGCGATGTTCATGTCTTCCGTGGTCGTCTTATTGTCCGGTCTGAGCTTGGATATGAGGTACTTGCCGAGCGTGTAGGCGATATCGGCGTGGATGGACTGTAAAGAGCCCGTCAGTTGCGATTTCCCGCATCAGATTGTCCTCATAGGTTGTTCGAGGGCTTCTTGCGCATGAGGATTACTCACCGACGTTACTACACCCGCTCCGTTCATCTGATGGCCCCATGCCGCGGCCAAGAAGTCCGCCTGCATCATGTCTGACTGCACAATTACGCGCCCCGCTGAGCCAAAGAACGTTTCCTCGACAACCCGGTGGACGAGAGACGTCCGCAGGCTGGAATGATGAGTAGCCAGAGGGTTTGATACTTGACCCGACGACTCGGCCGCGGCTTTCTTTTCAGCGTCGTAGAAAGTGTTGCCCTTGGTGAGCGCCCAATCGCCATTGTACTGGATCCAGTGGTTCTTGTTGTTCCACGCATACGTGGGCAGGTCGAGCAGTCGAAGCCCACACGAGCGCTCGAACGGACTGTGGAACTCTCCCCAGCCGACCTGGACGCCGGCCGTGTGCAAGGCTGCCAGGCTCTGGGAGATGGTTTTCCAGTCGTCCTCGCCCCGGCGGAGAGATGGCACCGCGGCGCCCAGAGACGGCAGGGTCGACCGCGCGAAGCCTATACAGACGGGGTGTGGGCCGATTTCTATCCATGCCATCGTCTCGTCCACCTGGATGTGTTGTGTCAGCTCACCCTCTCCGTCTAATTCTCTTGTCGGTTATTGGGTTCTTGGAATTGCATGTCACACTCACCGTCGATATCTTATGTGCTACCTCCAATGCTGTCTTGAAGTCGACTGTTTCCCTTGTCGCCCGTCGTATGTAGGTGGCATTAATCGTCTTCTCGTCAAATATGACCTTTCCCAGCAGCGGCGAGATGACCGGCAAGTTGGGCGGCTGGAAAAGCACCCCCTTACGAGCAGTCTCTTCCAGCTCGTCGAGGATGGGCTCCGTCTGCGCCGAGTGAAAGGCGAACGACACATCGAGGAGGAAGCACTTGAAGCCCGCGCCCTCGAGCTCCACCGCCGCGGCTTCAACATCATCCGCAGGCCCACTCAACACCGTATCTCTGGACCCGTTGATGCAGGCAACCTCGAGGGAGCTACTGCCATCCACGTCCGCCCTGCGATCAATGACAGCCTGCACGTCGCCCAGGCCCGCCCGCACCGCAAGCATCCTGTGGCTACCAACCCGGCACTTTTCCTCCAGCATCTGGGCGCGGCGTCCCACGAGGAAAATCGCGTCCGCGGCCGAGAGCACGCCCGCCACGTGCAAGGCGGCGTACTCGCCCAGGCTGTGGCCCACGACGACGTCCGGCCTGACCCCGAGGGACTCCCAGTACCGTGCCAGCGCCATCTCGGTGCAGGCCAGGGCGAGCTGCGTCACCGTGGGCGGGTGCGCGTGGTCCCGCGGGTGGCTGCCGTCGACGGCGGGGATGATTGAGGGAAACCCCTGGGACTGGCACAACGAGTCCAGATGCAGAATCTGTGCGCGGAAGGCGGGCGAGTGGTGGAAGAGCCCCATGTCCATGGACTTGTGCGAGGCGCCTTGTCCTGTGAAGGCAAAGACCACGGGCGGGGACCCGGTTGATGGGACCGGCTTGTGGGTGTCTGCCGACTCGAGGTATGAGGCCAGCTGTCTCTTGAGATGGGCGACGTCGGGTGTGGCCACGGCCACGCGGTGGTTGTGATGATAGCGCCGCGCTGTTGTCGTGTATGCCAGGTCTGGCAGGGACACATCCGGGTTTGTGTCTAGATAGGCGATCAGGCGCTGGAGGTTCCCCTTCAGCGAAGTCTTGCTCTTAGCCGACACGGCGACGACATGAGTTGCGCGAGGGTCTTTCACTACGTTCTCATCCCCACCAGTGCGGCCTGTCCGGGATGGTCCTTCTTCTATAACGATGCTGGTATTCCCGCCAGCAGCACTGAAATTGTTCACAACAGCAATGCGTTTCCTGCGATCCTGTCGGGGCCACGGCGTCTTTTCGTACGGAATATGCAGGTGCCGTTGTTCGAGATCCTTGGGAAAGCCCGGGTTGATTGAGTTCTTGATACCCACGTGTGGTGGGATGACCTCCTTGTCGAACATCAGAAGCACTTTCAGCAGGGCTGTTGTTCCCGCCACGGCTTCCCCATGGCCGACATTCGCCTTGACGGCACCAATATGCAGCGGCTGATTTGAGCTGCGGCGCTTCGTCCTCCCAAGAGGCGCGAAGACGTCGGTCACTGACTGGATCTCCTGGGCGTCACCTGCCTGGGTGCCCGTCCCGTGCATCTCGACGTAGCTCACGTCCAAGGGGTCGACAGCGGCCTGGCTGAGGATCTGCCTTGTGAGGTAGGCCTGGTGGCCGGCGTGGGGGTGTGTGATCGAGACAGCCTCGGCGGAGTGGTTTGTACCAGCCGCGAGGATCACGCCGAGGATGTTGTCGTTGTCAGCTTCCGCGTCTTCCAGTCGCTTGAGAACGACCGAGGCTACTCCGTCTGCCCGGCAATATCCGTCTGCTTCACAGTCCCATGTCTTGCAGGCGTTGGGGGTCTTGGAAAGGAAGTGGCCGTTGCTCAGCCCCGCGAAAGCATCCGAGTTGGTCAGTACGTTCATGCCACCTGCTACCGCCATGTCTGTGTCGCCGTTCCAAAGAGAGTTGCAGGCGATCTATAAGTATATGTCAGCTTGGACCCATCAATGGAGCTCTGGCTCATTTGAGACTGACGTGTATAGTCGCCAGCCCTGATGAACACGCTGTGTCGATACTATAGCTAGGTCCTGAGAACTTGAAGAAGTAGTTGATGCGACCAGGGCCGAATGCCCGGCATCCTCCGGTGATGAAGTATGTGCCGATCTCTTGAGCAGTATTGACTTCCCGATAGTCGTCGCTCGCTTGACCATAGAACGTACCAACACGGTGGAGGTCAGTGGAGGCAGTGCGATTTGCAACATACCCAGATCTTTCCAAGGCCTCGTAGGCCGTTACAAGGGCTAGCCTCTGCATAGGGTCGGTCTGGAGTGCCTCTCGCGGGGACATATTAAAGAATGGCGCATCAAACAGGCCGGGGTTGTCGATGAAGCAGCCGTATGGCGTGATGCTGGTATTGACACGTTTCCCAGAAGGGTCACAATGCGATTCGACGTCGAATCGATCGGCGGGGACCTTTCTGTGCATATCGAGGCCTTGGTTCAGAACTTCCCAAAAGGCCTCCGTGTCGTCAGCCCCAGGCATGCGACATGACATTCCTACAATTGCAATCTTGGCGTGTTGGTATTCCCTGGGTCCCTGTCGAAGTTTGTTCGGCTCAGTAATCCACGTCGTCAGATCCTTGGTTGTGACATTGAGCTGTTGAGATTCCAAGCTCAGAGCTTCTACGATATCGCGGCATGGCGGCGATGTGCCAAACATGAGCACTATATGCTCAGGAGCTGCAACTCGCTTAGCGTGCTGAGCAACGCCTTTGATAGTGTTGTCCCATCGGATGACCTGTGTAAGGATTTCCTCGACAATGTTGTGGAGCAGGCCGCCGGCTGTCTTGGCGGGAAAGGGCTTCCCGTTGTTGGTTGAGAGAATGGGCACCCGCGGTATGAATTTGCCAGTAGTGTCCAGGTCATCGAGGGAGCTGATTTTGGCGATCTCATCGACGTGTTTCTTGGTGTAGATGTGCTTTGCGTGGCACAGGCCTCCGTAGACCGGCAAGGCGATAGACTTGCTGTCGCGGAAGAACTCGGATTCGTTGAACAGGTGCTTCAGCCTGCCCGGTGGGCCGCTGACAGTGACCGAAGTTTGAATCAGAGCGCTGACGAAGATCTTGTTGGACTCAGGGGTGTTCTACAATTCACAGGTTAGTTGCGTCTCCCAGATCGACAGATTTGCTCACGTCGGCCGCGTGCACAGCATCGAGCTCCCGCTGAACTTCTTCAACCACAGTGTCCAGCACCACATAAGCCCAGCTGTCCCCTCGAGTGTTGCCCTCGCTTCTGTGCTGAAGATTGCGAGAGACCTCATCCACCATGACACCGAGTCTGAAGGCAACGCGAACTGCCTCGGCACCCGCAATTGGTAGGTCGGCGAGCGTCGGGGCCATTGACACGGCAGCGGCTGAAAAGAGGCCCAGGCCCAGCCCAGTGATGGATGAGTCTGCATTCTGAAAGTCAAACTCGTCTTCAGGACTATTCTCATAGAAGCTGAGGTGCAAAATGTGTTAGAAGTAGCTGGCTAAGCAGGGAAATTATGCTCTCTATACTTACCCTATGAATGTGGCAAGCTGGAGTGTACAGAGCAGTACACCGTCAATAGATCCTCCCAAAGGGCCGTTCCGGAGCTCCCCGTAATTGCATAGATCGAAGACGGTCTCGATGCGAGGGACAAGGGCTCTCAGTGTGGCTGGTAGCAGACGAACTTCATCACGCACTGCAAGCGTAGCCTCTTGGATGAATCTGGCTAGTGACGGGCGTCGTCTCTCTTTACTATGACCATAAAGTAGACGCAGAGTGTCTTTAAGATCACCATGTGGGAACTCGTTGCTGAAATGGATGATCTTTGCTTTTCCAGGCTCAACCAAGGACTCAGCTGTGGATGGCGTTGTCGCAGGAGTCGGTGACTGATCCGGGTTGCGATTCCCAACCCACTCCATGTTGGTCAATACCTAGGTAGAGGGATCTCGGCCGTGGTTGAGGTTTGAGAGAGCTTCACTTGCATGAAGAACTAGACAGAATTGTCTGGATGATTTCTGGATTTTTAAAGGAAATGGAAACTAGTAGGGGAAGGTGATGCGACAATTTTATCCAAACTCTCTTCTTCTCCAGCACGGATTCGAAGGGCGGAAATGACATAATCACAAGCTGAAGATATGAGAAAGATGTTGCATCAAATCGGGAAAGAATCGACGTTGTTTGGTTTTCAAACGGCCGTTCCGAATCAATTGCATGTATCTGGCCCGATTTCCGATCGGGATGTAGGCATCGTCCAGACAGATCATGACTTCCGTGATTCAATGTTCCGGGTGCACACACATATCGTCTGGCAACACGCTTCGCGTTTGTCTTTGAGTTCATCCGCGGGTCTTTAGGCCGAGGCTGCGACTCAGCCTTGAACATGACTTCCTGACTGATAGATCTGTCGTTTTGAAAGAGCGCAAGATATCATAACTGCTTATCTCTGCTATTCCATCCGGAGAGCTTTATGCACCTAAGTTCCCATCTGTATCTGCACCAAGGGAACCGAAGCCAGGCCCGGCCTCTATTATCATCACATCTTAACCATTCGCGCATCCGTCATCATGGCGCCCGGGGTTGGGGGCTATCGCCAGATCAACAAGGCTTTGAATATATGTGCATTTGAGGATTATCTCGAAAGCCAGCAGACACGGTTGCCCGAGCTTTTGGACGTGGAGCAGCTCAGCCCGCGTGTCATTCGAGTTCTCGGCCAGAATCCAGGAAAGGTGCGCCCGAAACAACACGGACTAATGTCTATGGTACACCCCCCGTCCAATTACTAACGTCATATTCCAATGTCTAGTTCACACTCCAAGGGACGAATACGTACATAATAGGCACGGGCAGGGAACGTCTCATTATCGATACGGGCCAGGGCATCCCCGACTGGGCGGACCTGGTTTCAGAGACATTATCCCACGAAAAGTTCGAACTTTCGCACGTCCTTCTCACGCACTGGCACGGAGATCATACGGGTGGCGTACCCGATCTCATCCGCCTGTACCCCAGCCTATCACGATCCATCTACAAACACACGCCTAGCAAGTCACAGCAGCCCATCATCGACGGCCAAATATTCAAAGTCGAGGGCGCCACCATACGCGCGGTCCACGCCCCGGGTCACTCAACTGACCACATTTGCTTCGTGCTCGAGGAGGAGCAGGCCATGTTCACGGGTGACAACGTGCTGGGCCACGGTACGGCGGCTGTCGAGCACCTCAGCACCTGGATGGGAACCCTGAGACAGATGCAGTCCCACGGCTGTACAACGGGTTATCCGGCGCACGGCGCCGTCATACCAGACCTCAACGCCAAGATCGCGTGTGAGCTCGCGGGCAAGGTGCGGCGTGAGCGCCAGGCGTTGCAGGCGCTGCAGCAGACACCCAAAGACTGCGGGCACGGCAGGGGAAGGCTTACGGTAAAGGACCTTGTGACGAGTGTGTATGGGGATCAGATGGATACCGGAGTTAGAGAGATGGCGCTTGAGCCCTTTATGGATGAGGTGCTGAGGAAGTTGGCAGAGGACGGCATGGTGGGATTTGAGATGAGAGGAGGTGTCAAGAAGTGGTTTGCGGTCATGTGAGCTCGTGGAAAATGCAGCATGTGGGCTCGCCAGCACCCGCCTGTGCTATGTATTTGATGTAAGAAATGACCCAAATTACATTCCTCATATGCATTTCACATCGCTACACCCATCAATCGAATCGTTTGGTCTTTACGTCACAGTCGAGCGTGTTTGGCATCACGAGCTGAAACTAAAGGGGAGGTGTTACGTTAGAATATTCAACTAATTACTGCTCATCTGGGGCAATTTACTTGATACGTGCTATGTCAGCTCTAGTATCAGGTATCCTAATGACAACTGATGCCAGTGGGGTTGCGCTGCCATTGCTGACCCTACCATGGAAACTTTCCATTCAGCTTGATTGCCACATTGTGAATTCCAGCCATAGGGCGACACGTGCGAACCGAGTACAACAAGGGGTCCTAACAGCGAACCTTGGAAGGAAACCACACCCAGCATCGCTACAAGTAAATTCACCGAGCTGAAATTCAACGGCGCTATACCGCAGCCCTGCAGGATATGGACCCTCTCCGAACCCGAAAAGCTTGTTCCGAGACGCACCAGTACCGCAACACCCCGAAGCCCCCGTGTTCCACAACAGGTTGATCATTATACCGGAACCATGAACACTGAACTGGTGTCCACATGTGTCTGGTTCTATCAAACAAGGGCCCCATTCGAGGCCGATGGCCCCCAACATGCTGCAGGCCGAGGAGGAATGACCAGGCAATGTACAAGCCCGGACATTGCACGACCAATTCATACGGAAGATGAATGAGTGTCGCTGCACCGATCTCCGGCTCCCGCGTCTGGAGTTTGTTTTCATGTCCGATGATCTAGATAGTACCGAGATGACAGTATTCGAACAGCTGCCTATTGCGTTCCGGGGTAAAGATCTCCGAGCTTCTGCCTTATTTGTGTGACAGGCAAGGGCAGAGCGCATGCTGTGATACTTCCAACCCAGAGTATGTGGATGGATTCCATATGGCAGATTCGCACCACATGTACGTGCCATGTCAGAGATCATGGTCGACATCTGTGATGTTGTCTAGGAATAATGGCAGTATAATGGTAGTATAGCGGTTGAAATTCAACTCTGATAGTCTCCTCCTCCTCCACTCAGGGAGAGATTATTCCTTGATTTGCACTGTACGGTTCAGGTACCACAGTAATAACCGTCAGTTCAATGTCTCGGAAAGGTGGAAATGACGAATTAGTTTGCCAGCCACAGCTGCAGGCGAAGAATCTCAGCTCTAGAGGAGCTCCCTCATTTTCCGGTGATAGCAAATCTGACATGCTCGAGTCGATACTACACCGTGCCTGTCCCAATGTGCATGACGAATCCGTGGCAGGTTTAAGCAAGTGCTCATGCAGTAATCGGCCATACTTTATCCAGGGAGCACGCTTTCGCACCGCAAGAAACGTGATCAGACTTCTCTTCATCACCTATCTCCAGTTGCCTATCTAAGAAGATGTCCTCAATTAAGACGCCCGAAATACCTGAACTTCATGGCTTGGCCAAGTCTAGGTTCCTATGTCTCACGATCTGCGGTTACCGCAAGCCAGGGATGAGTCAGGAGGACTACCGCAACCACATGGTCAATATCTCTGCTCCTATGACCAAAGGGCTGATGGTCAAGTATGGAATCAAAAGATGGACTCAGGTGGGGATTCTTCCCCTGCAATTGACCTCGCCCTTCATTTGTCTATGCGAGCCCTTTCATGAGTCTCCGCTGATGTTCTGCTCAGATTCATAACCAGAGCGAGACTCGTGCTTTGATGTCTCAGTTGTTCGATCCCCAGATGGCCAAAGTCGCCGACTTCGACTGTTTCAGCCAGGTTGTATTCAAGAGTGTCGAGGATTATAAGCGAATGAAGGAGGACCCCTGGTACAAGGAACATCTGGTCGATGACCACGAAAAGTTTGCCGACACGAAGAAGAGTGTGTGAGTAGCCCCTACATATTCTGGCTAATATGAGAGTAGATATTCTAATATTGCCTAGGATCACCATTGGGTGGATCGAGGAGTTCGTAAGGGATGGCAAGGAGGTGGATGGTTTTGCGGATAGTTAGCTCTGTGGCAAAAGCATTGGAACGTTCACTAGATGATGTATCTAGTGTTTTCTGTAATAACTTTTCAATTGAGAATCTGGATATTGAATTTCTTGAACAGTAAATTGGTCGATGTTGTCTGTTCACACGCGTTGACTATTTCTACCATGATGGAGTTCCGAATGCTTCCATTTTCACTTATTTTGTCCTTGGCCTGAGTCGATTACGCCGGTTGAAACGCACAATTGAGAATAGTAATTCAAGATCGAATTCTTCATCCCTCCAGTTATTTGAATTTTCAAATCAAACTACCTATATGTATCCTTCAAGTGTTCCGGAATCGCGTCCCACATCGGATCAAATCCGGCGCCCCAAACCCACTTCTTCTGGCCATCAGCATGAGGTATGGTCGTGTCGTAACACAGCTGGGCAACCCTCAACCACATTTCGCCATTTACAGGAAGGAAGTCGACAGAATTGCCGTCCGTAGTGCCGCCGTTGGCTTCATGATGCTCAAATGGCAACGCCGCCTCCTCGCCATTCTTAAGGGCACGAATGAATTTTGCGACATGACCATCGTCATGATGCTGATTCACGTCCTGGTAGATCTGGCCCCAGTCCATGCCCCTGCTGAGCGTTGGCTCATATTCGAGCAGGTTCTCCGGCTGGAGATCAGGCGCAGCAGAAGCCGCGTACCACACGAGGTCGAGGCGGGCCTTCCATTCGACCAGGCGGGCCCTGTCCTCAACACGGATCCATGACTGCCGACCCAGGACAGTGAGGAACAGTGAGCAGGTGACATTGTGCATCAGGAAGAAGTCGATCTTGCGCTCCCTGCCCGGCTTGTGCGCGGTGGCGCACGCCCACGCAGCGCAGCTGATCATTTCGGCCGTGGCGCGCTCGATGTCGTCCTCCGTGGGCTGGACCTGGAACTGCGCGGCCAGCTGGGTGATTTCCCCCATTGCGCGCCCCAGCACGCCGTCGCGGACCTTCCACGGTCCGTCGCTTACGCGTGCGGCGGTCCGGACGGTGTCGTTGGCCCGGACCTGGGTGTATAGCTTGGCGAGAGGCGTGCGGGCGACTGAGCGCGACTGGGCCAGCTTCTCGGATCGTTGGAAGAAGACGTCAATCCCCATACCATCTTGGCTTGCTGCCTGGGCCAGACCCTCGGCTACGAGGCCAGAAAGGTCAAATTCGATACCAAAGCCTAAGTGAATGATTGGGTGGTACAGGCCTTCGAACAGCTGCGCCAACATGAAATCGGCGAGCGGCGTCCGGCTGAAGCAGTATTCATTGACGACGTCCTTCCAGCGTCCCTTTGCTGAGATTTCCTTCTCGAAGAAGACCAGGAAGTTTGGGTACTCATCCAGTATCTGCATGCGCTCTCGGAACTTGGACGGCTGTCTCATCTCATTAACAGCCTGGTCGTCGACGGGAGGCATGGGCCGCTGCATGGACTCTCCGTCGTCGTACGCCCTCCTCAGCTCCTTCGGACCGCCGCCCATGGCAAATGTGCTCAGAATTGCATGCGGAATGTGATTGTGACCGGCAAGTTCACGGAAGAACATGTGCCATCTTTCATGGTTTATGGACAACAAGTTACTTGTTGCCTCGATCGAGCCTTTGGGGTTGGGTCCAAGTCGCCCAAGGCCTAGATTTTCGGATGTGATACGCAAATCGTCAGTGGCCATCGGGGCGTAATGGTTCTGGTTGATTTGAATACTAGATGAACAGTGTGTATTTGGGCAGTGTTTGGTGGATGCTATTTCGCACTCCACACATTGGAGACCTGCACGTCCATCACGCCCCTTTATAGGTAAAGCCCGATTTACTCTCTCATCGCACGGCAAGGGATCTCAGTCAAGAGAAGCGTTTGCATTACACTGCCATCACATCCTATCATACATGATGGGAAAGACCTCAATGGTAGTTTTCGGGGTCAATTAAAGCCCGGTTTTGCAGGACAGGAAATCAGACTTACACCCGAAATTCTTACCTCAAGTCCGGGCAGCTAATAATCACCCGTTGGCCAAATGTCCCGATATGAGTAATTGTGGCTTAAGACCGAGCCTGGTTCTACCGAAAACCCAAGCCCTGACAAGGATAGAAGAAAGACACAGTCCAAGGTGTTAAAAGCAGCGCGACACGATTACAAGCGCAGCGTGAAATCTCGGGTTTGCTTTTACATTTACCACCGCTCGGCCACAAAGTAGCGAGCTCAAGACGCTTGAAGCGCCGGAAATTTCGCAGTGACAAATTATGCATGCATTTCCAGAACGACAAGCTACGGTGCGAGAGCCGATCGATATGTGGTTTGTATGCCAGTAGTGGTAAAACCGAAGGCGAATCGTGCGGAAGAACAAGCATCACGCCAGGGGACAGGCCCTTGACCTGGCATCATGTTGGAACCACCCTCTATCTGGGTCTCAGTTCTGACCGATCCATACGATTTGCAACACAGATTCAATTGCATGCAATAACGTAGCCGTACTTCAATTTATCTCTTGCCTTCACTACATAGATATGTGCCTCACGCCAATTGACTTTGTGCCTTGGCCTCATGTTCAGCTATGTGTTTCTCTAGCTTCGGCATGAAGTCCTTCATGAAAACTCCATCGAACATCTCTTCGATCTTCTCCACCTTCTTTCCGTCTTCGTTAAACCATAAGAATAAGGCATGTTCATTCTGGTAGGGCCCAACGGGGGTGTTTGCTTTAGTAAAGGCATATATGGCCGCTTTCCCATTCGCCACGTCGTGAACGACATTATGGACTGTAAGCTGTCCATTATTGAGTAAGACCTTCGGCTCGAATGAATATGATTGTTGAGCATAGAACTTATCCTTACCTGGAAGTCTGTCAAAAGTGACATGAGAATGGGGAAGAGATGTTCCGTGTGGTCTTTGGTCCGGGTCGGGACATTCGCGCTGAAGGGCAGCGTCTTCTGCGTACATGAATTGGACCAAGTATCCAGGAAACCCCTAGGCGTCCATCCCTCCCACCCCTTGATGAATTCATCAAGCGTTGCCGCCTGGACCTCAGCTGGTGCGGGCATCTTGTTTCGTTTGCAAGACGAAACTGGAAAAGGGTGAGCGAGATGGGAGCAGTGCAATCACAATGTTCTGCAAGCCAAGTCACATTTTGTTGGTCATGGCATAGGCGCTGCCCATACTACAGAATTTATACCCAGCTGTATCGGACTCGCGCTTGGTACACAACAGGGACTTTCCCGCGGCCGCGTGGGCCGGACTTCGGGGATATGCTCAACATGTCCCTTTCCCAAATCGCTAACTTCCGAGACGTCAGCAGGATAACGAGAGATAATGCTGTGCACCTTGAGGTGGACTGATGGATCTATTTTTAACTCAGAATGACTGTTGGTCGCCCATTAATGGTTGACATGAGCTTCCAATGCCGAGGCACGCCTCGCATTTAAGTCAAATGTCCGCATTCGGTGGTTTTGTTCAACCAGGCTTAGCAACAACAAAAGCCGCAGCTAAGTCTCGGGAAATCGTAAACGACGGTTGTAACGTTCATCTTATCTTCCACTCCTTGCTTCACTTGTTGACCCCAAACCGCGTTCCGCAATCTCGCTGTCTCACCAGCCGTGCCTGACCGACCTCGCCCAACCACCCAGCATCATGATCGACCAGCCGAGCCAGGATCACACCGTATCCCACTATTGATTATGGTTCCCCGGTGAGCAGTTTCTTGCCGTCAGCACGCAGAATGCAGCCGACAGGTGCGGGAACACAGGCTGACAGCATTAGCGCCGCTGGGATGCTGCACCGTCCCGGAGTCCCGACGAGCAGAGACACGCCTTAATACAGTCTTTCATGAAGGCAGAGGAGCTGCCTGTCGCTTGGGCGGCCCAGTTTGGACGTCCTGCCCGAGCTTTTCGGACACCGGGGCCAGCAGATAATACACCGAGGCCTGAATGAGACCGAGGTGGCTGGCATCCATGAGGAACTCGCCGAGTTCGATTATGAAGACACGCTGGATCAAGTAAGCCTCATCTTCGACCATATCAAAAAGGGCGCCGCATCTGACAACGGTCCGATTTTCGTCGCCGACCAACAGGCGCTTGACGAGAAGTTTCTCACGGTGTTCTACCTGGACGGCTATGGCAACCGTCGTGCGCCATTCAGCTATGGACCCTGGAGAACTGGGGGACATGAAGCCACGGCAGGAGCTCGGTCGTGTTGTCGACCGCTGGTCGAATGGCAAAATCGGCCCCCTCTACAAGCGGCCGGTAGGATTGGGAACTAGGTACTTTACGCTGGGTGAATAGGTCTGCCGATGTGTCTCGGTAGCGAAACAAAGCGTGTTTTTCTACAGGATGAATAATGAGGTGTGATTTGGTAAACCACGATATTCTACTAAAAGCACAAGAAGCACCTCTTGAACCTTCTATGATGTCAATAATAAATGCGATAAATGTTCCAAGAGTAAAAAACATTATAAGGTGCCACAATCCAGTAAAGACACAAAAGGAGAAAAGGTCGATTCATAGAAAATACACCTAGGATTCGGACGGGACAGACACGTGCCTTGATGCTACAAACGAATCTCAGAGCGGGACGAGTGTAACGTGCATCGTTAACTTGAATGACGTTGCTTCAAGGTATCATGAATGACGCTGGCCACAGACAATTAAAGGGGGGAGGCAAACTCCCATTTCAATGCAGCGACTTGCGGGGGACTTCTTGTCTCTACCATTCATGTTATTACGGCGTACTCCCGATTGTGTCCCTACCAAAGAAGAATACTTACCCGAGGTAAATTGTAGGTTGATTACGTTTTCGCGGATCACCTGTAGCTAAGCCTCGTCTACAACTACACCAAGGAAATAATTGTTCATGTTTTAGAACAATCGCTGACTGTGACTGCATGTAATGTATCATTCCTGTCCCTTGATGTCATATCTTTACCAATTCGATAGCCACAGTCCTATAATTAGAGGCGAATTGCACCCCGTGTGACCTGAACCGTGGCGGTGGCGCCGCTTCGGGCCACGCGAGACAACCAAGGCGACTAGGGGAATGTCTCAGGTGTCTCGCGCATACGAGATTTGAAGATGACGTCCTACCTCATATGATGCCAACATCTGCCTGTGAGGGCCAAATTGCTCTGGTTGAAAGTGATGGGACCCTATCTTCTGCGTCTATGTCTGACTATCTCCATGTCCAGAGATGTGCTTTCGGAGTTTGGGAAAGAAGTCTCGGAAGAAGGCCGAGTCTAGCATCTCTTCGAGCTTACTAACCCTATGCCCGTCTTCGCTGAAGGTAATGAAGATAGCATATTCGTTGGTCCATTTCCCTACAGGCGTGTCAGCCAGCGAAGTTGCGTAGACAGCCGCTGTGCCTTTGGTGACATCATGGACAATTTGTTTTATATCAAGCTTATCAGAGAATTAGTCTTGCACGTGACAAAAGAACTGAATCATTCATACCACAGCTGAGTCTCAAGAGGGGGAAAAAAGGAGAATGACCTAACCTGCCAATTCGTCAGACTTTTGACAAGATTCGGATAGAAAGTCTCAGCCTCGACCCGTGAGTTGACCGGCATGCCCAGCGATAGGGGCAGAATCCTTTGCGTGAAGTCATCGGACCACAACGCCATTGTATTTCCAGGATTGGAATCTTTCCACGAGGCGAGGAACTTGTCCAGCGTAGCTGCTTGGACGTGGGCCGGAGCAGGCATTCTCCGCCGGCTGAATGGAGCTAGTCGGGTGTGATTTGGTCTGAGAGCGCTCTGCGGTCACAGAGAAGATTGTCGTGAGCCGATCTGCCTGTGATGCAACGTTGTTGTCTTATTGATGATGAGTGAGCACGTTGTTACTTTTGCTTCGAGGACAGCCCAAAATAGAGGCTGCTTCTGATGAGAAGAAAAACGCAATTCCCCATTTCTCCGGATAGTGGCGCCCAGATCGGAGACAGATCCATCCGCAGAAGGGCTACCTGTGTTCGGTGGATTAATTACGAAGTTGTCACGATGCTCCCGCGGAAATAGTCTCTCAGGTAGTTACACGTTACGGTAGAGTTTCGGGCCATTAAAGCAGCCAGCATTGCCCCGAGTTCCAGAACGGGAATTTTCCTCAAGCCCATGCATATGTCAGTGGTGAGACCGTCACACAGCAGATCTCGGGACATCCCACGGCGCATGTGCTTACAGGATCGGCGGACAGATCTGCTCGCTAAGATTTCATGACCTTGACCAGTTGCATTCATAGATTACACGACAAATGTTGCCTTTTTGAGGCTTATCACGACGATCCGACGTTGGATTTATTGTGTCGCAATATTTCCATAATGACTTGCAGTACGGGAAGAATAAGACAAGTCTACAATCGACGACTCGAAATTTCTTACTAGGATCTGGCGATCCAGGCAGACTTTCAGCCCAATTGTCTCAACATCTTGTCGCCAGGATGATCTTGGCCGGAAAATAACCCTTGGCTATCCTCTCGTGTGCCATCAAAGCCTCCAGATCCTTGTACAAGTCTTCGAATGCGCCGGGAAACTGCGAGACAAATGGGAATGAGCCAAAATGAGCCTTGACGCCAGCCAAGTCCGCCTCAAACGTCCATCCTTCCTCATTTTCGTAAAGCACGACATCTCCCGGCCCTGTATAGTCCGGCTGGGTATCACGGGAGGTTTCTTCTGGCGGCAACACCCCCTGGATACCACCCTTGTCCATATTCAGATGTATACGTTGCGCCCCCGGCAAGAAGAACTCCGGGGAAAGCGGCGCGATATTGGCCGTGCCCTGCGTCCGACCCATGACCCGGATGGTCTCACTCGGGTCATCGACCCCCTTCAGGAGCTGACGCCCTCCCTCGTGGCTGATGCGGGCCCATAGGTCCTGCAGGTCGGGCTCGTGGAAGCGCACCGGGCCAAACTGGGCCGCGGCAAATGTCCCGCCGGGCCGCAGCTGGCGCGCGACGGTGGCCATGGCAGCGCCCTGCGGGTCTGGGAAGTGCATCACGTTCGTGGCGAAGACCATGTCGACGCTGCCGGGCTCGATGTCGTCCGCGTCCTGGAGCTTGGCGACGCGGAAGCTGAAGCCGCCCCCGGGACTGCCCGCGAGGCGGCGCCGGGCTAGCTCGACGTTCTCCGCCACAATGTCTGAGACGATGACACGGGCGAATCGGGAGCGCAGCTTCTGGGCGTATGGGCCGTTTCCGGCTCCGACGTCGTGGGCTGTCCCGAAGGCGCCGCCTTTGCTCTGGTGGTAGCTGAAAATGCGGTCGAATAAGGACTCTGGTGCCTTTGGCCGGCCGATGAGATAATTGTCCCAGAAATCGCTATCCTGAGCGAAGATCTCGCCGTTTGATTGCATTTTGGATAGTCTTCTGGAATAAGTGGGATGGTGTGATGAAAATTACCCTGGCCCGGGGGTGGATGGCGTGGCTCCTTGTAAACGAGTGTAGTTATTATTGCTCTAATAGTAAATCTCAACCAGGATTCGGTACATATTCTAGACTATCCCCAAGTCATTACGGCAATTAGAGTATTCGGCCGACCAGTTTCGGAGCATTGTGATACGGACAAGATTCAAAAGCATATCTCACGAGGCTTGGTGTTTGACTACCAGAGCCACAATCAGGTTGTTGTGTGACCGGAGCTGACTCGTGACGACGAGCTTTCCAACGGTGTCTCTGACTGCCTCGATCATGCCAAGCACTTCGGCCAACTCCATCTCGCCTTCGTTGGTCAACTGGAGCATACACAGATCGCGAGCGCGCGCGACTGCTTCGACCTCGGGACCGCATAGGCTACCTGGCTCGGGGAGGAGACGTGTGGTCAAGACAAGCATGACACTGCCGTTGGTTCGGAGTAAGTCGAGATAGCTCTGCAGCTCAGCCCTGATCAGCATTGCTGGAGAGCCTCCCGGCGACGGTCTCGGGCTCGCCGCAGGGAGGTGTGTACACCGCGGCATCCTTCACGTGCTGGGGCATGCCCGCGGAGCGATAAGTGACATTGAGGTTGGCATTGGGGCTGGGGATGGTGCCGGAGTTGTCTTTATTTCTGTGCACGGCATCCGATTCCATCCGGCCGTCGCGGCTGTCCCGCAAGTCAATGTCCGTCGGCCCGCTGTGCCATAGGCTGTCCTGGCTCAGCGGAGCGGGTTGTGCGTCATCGATCTGCACGGTGAGCCGCAGGCTGGGAAACCTCTCTGCAAGGGATCGTGCCATCGACGTAGACCTTGCGTTGACCTACCACATCTGGTCAGTCGGCTGTCATGAGCAAATAGACGCCTCGGAAAACAACTCACCTCGACTATGCAGGCGCTGCCAAGATTGGACCAGTTTAGTCTTGAAATCACGTCTACTACCTCCTCCTCCTGGTGCAATCCCGCTGCATGTCGGAGATAAGCGGACCATTGACGGCGCAGCTTAGAGCGCTCCTGAAGGGCCGATTGGAACGGGCGCATCGAGCCCATTGCAGCCTCGGCGGGGCCCTGTGTGGCTCCAAAACGTTGCGTTACTATTGGCATCTGCAGGGCCGCCGGTACGGCCGACTCGGCCATGAAGACGCTGGCGTCGAGTAGCGACTGGCTTGTGATGAATTGGGCCGAGAGGGGGGTGTGTGCCACAGAGCCTGGCTCCTGCTCCTGGAGAAACCCGACGGTCGCAAGCAGGCGGATGGCCCTGAGGAGCTGGCTCACCGGAACCCCTGCCAAGTCGGCCAGGTCCTTTGTCGGTATACTCAGCTCGAGCGGGATGCATGCAAGGATCTGGTACTCTGCAAGCCACTGGAGGCACGCGAGAATCTCAGCCTATGAGGGGAGGGACATGGTCTGTCAGTCACGCCGTAGGACATGTGACGAAAATGACAGATAGGAAAATGAGAAGGGGGGAGAGTGGGGGATGTAACCTGAGTGGCCAGGTCCTGGAGCAAGTCGTCTGGCCCACCAACGAGTGCTTTTATGGCAGCGATATTCGCAAGGATGCTTGCTTTGGCATTGCTTAGTTCTCGGTCCGTGTCTGCACTTGCTCGTGGGGGCTCGGGAGGCTCGATGCTGTGACGGTGGTTCATGAGGCTCTTTACAGCGGTGGAGAGCTGCTCGGTATGCAATTCCAGCTGGGCCAGGCGATCCATCTTTGATCACGGAAGGTTTCCGGCGCGTTGATTCCAGGATCAGGGGAGAGGCTAATGGTCTATTTCAGTCGGTACTTATAACAAAATGAAGGGCGAATGGAGGCGCCATAGCTATATCCCGGCCAACAGCTTCAAGATAAACTACAGAGATAATTAGTTCGAGAATGGCACGGCTCGGGATGCCATCATCCCAACTCCCTCCCCCAGAGCCCCTTGTCAAAAATTAGATCCTCAGCCTCTCCAAGTGGATGGTTTTGCAGCCCATCATGCATGGACGAGAATGAATCAGTAAGAGCCCAGTCCCATCTGACAGCGGAATCCCCACGATGTGAGCGTCTTAGGGTGTGCAGCGTTTCCCAACCACAAGCCAAGCTGCATATCGACGATTTGGGCCCTACGGTAGCATGCGGTAAATGCCGTGAGACACACAGGCTATTTGGGTTCCCCCACTCGGTGACGACGGAGTGGCGGGCTGAAAGGTATGGGTGTCCCACTGGGTGCAGGTACGTGTCACGTCAATGGTACCGAGGGCCTGATCGACTGCCCACGCTCGAGGATTACTACCTAGATGAATATTGCCTGAGCGGTGTATCAGATTTGTGCGTGTTCCAGGCAGGGCCGATCGCTTTCAGAGGGGATGATCAGGGTTATTTATGCAGAACGTCAACGTGTGTGGCGAGAAATAATGCTTACTGCAGATTCGACATCGAATTTCAATGTCGATCTCGCGAGTGCCCATTCTCGCTATGTCGAGAGGTAGGAATTCTGTCATTCTCAGGTCGATCTCTGCAATTCGGCAGCCTTGGTCTCACTGGGACTCTCCCAATGCGGATCAGGTCCTTGGAAACTTTCCCCAGGTAGTAAGTATGTCTCACCATTGCCAGTTGCTTTTCCGTCTGCTTTTTTATTCTTATTTGCTACGGAAACTTCTCGCGCGCAACTCCACGGTGAACAAGGCTTTGAGAGCATATAATTCGACGCCCGATTTCGGGAGGCTTTTTTAATATGCATGTGCCCCACAAGTATTTCTTCCAAAGCAGTATAACGGCCATGTCAGTGGCGTGAGTCGTCAGTGCGGTGAAGGGCCAATGGAGGGATAGTCGCTGATTACTTTCAGAAGTTCATGCATGCCGATCGCTGCCCAAACAATGCTGAACTGTTCGTTGATATCAAGAAATGTCTGGGTGTGTGCACGAGTGCGGTTCCCCCGGTACCGAGATATAAACATAATAAGCAACATTCGCAGCCATGTCAAGACTCAGATCAAATCTGCCGGTTTCAAGACTCCGAGATTCGATCATCTAGACTGGCCTTTACCACTGCCACCCAACTGACACCAATGGCTGGCTCGGGAGCTGACACTGCGAGTGTCCGGACGCCGGGCGCCCCTGGGCAAACCTCGGCAGCAGGCACAACCAACAAGCTTCGTGATAGCTGTCAAGCCTGTGCATTGTCCAAGGTCAAGTGCCCAAAAGAGAAGCCGACTTGTTCGAGATGTGAAAGCCGAAGTCTCCCGTGCCAATACATTTTCACGCGGCGCCCGGGTCGCAGGCGAGACAATAATCGCCGCCAGTCCAACGCAGGTGTCAGCACCAAGTCCGCCTCCAGCATCGATACTGAAAATGGCTTGCCCGTGGAAAAAGACACCATCCAGGCCCTGCAGCCATCCGTTGGGGCTTGCTTCCTGTCACCCAGCATAACGCCTCCTGCCGCCAGCAACAACTACCTCGACATGTCGCCACAGACCTTGAGCATTCCTGCAACACCACGCCCAGACCATGTGTTCGCCACTGAGGCCTCAGATGTATTCTCCGTTCTTGGAGAGGCCGACATGTTTTCTGCACTGGCGGACTTCGGCTCTGATGGCAATGACGTGGACTTCATGATGTCGGCCATGGACTCTCCGTTTGGGATGCCAGTTGTCGACAGCCATGCGATGACGGAGGCACACAATGATATCGGATCACTACTTATACCCCCGCAAGGGATCAACATCGACCTCCCAGCATCCGACATATCATCCTCCATAGGCCCAATAAGCGCCCCATCCAGGACAAACTCGTTCGCACCAGACATACAGGTGCTGGCAGCCGGGAAATCCGAAGTGGCACAAGCAACTGACACGTCGAATTGTGGCTGTCTGACGCAGTCTCTCGATCTCCTGAAGACGCTCTCGGCTCAGCCTGCCTCCCAGACCGGCCTGCCCGGTTCCGAGTCCCAAGGGACATCAGATGCACTCACATACGGCTCATCCCACTCGGTACTCACAGAGAACAAACAAAGTATCGAGGAAGTCAGCGAGAGGCTCACATGCACAACCTGCGCAGGGGATAACTTCCTGCTCGCCGTCCTCTCCATGACCGTCCTAAAGATACTGGAGCGGTACGCCGCCGCCGCGCGGGCACAGTCCAGCGGCGCGAGGCCGAACGACTCGGAGGCGGAGAAGGCGTCCAGGCTGGCCAACAGCATCCTCGCCAGCAGCAAGGACCAGATGATGGTGCTGAGCCGCACGTACAACACGCCGCGCAACCGCGGGCGCAAGGCCGCCCAGCTCGTCCTCAGCGAGCTCCACCGCGTGCAGAGGCTGGTCAACCAGCTCTCGCCCAAGCTCAAGCGGTCCAAGGAGGCGGACAGGCGCAACATGGACCCCCCTGAGCTGGAGCTTTGGGGCCGCCAGAGCGTGCCGCGAGGGTACGACCGGGGGCCGACTGCGCCCTTTTCGGCCACCACTTTGGGCCAGATGGAGAGCGACGTGCGCAGGAGCCTTAGCGCTTTGTCTTCCGAGATCATTAACGGGCTGAGACAGAGCTAGGCCATGACACTTGGCTGGCTCAAATCATGATGATGACTGCTTAAGGAGTCCATGAGATCGGGCAGCCAATGGCATTTGAAAATTTCATTTAGTTGGCTGGGGTTGGTTTGATACTTTTGGCTTTTGGGACAAGAATGGCGCTTCTGCTGCAACCTTGATATTAGAGACCGTGTTCATGAGGGGGTGGGGGCATGAAAGAACTAATTCAAAAGCAACTATTTTGGCACAGAATCAGCATGCAACGGTTGCCATAACCATCAGCCACTTTGCCCATGGCTGATTATAGTGTCTTGATGCTCGGCAGCGACTCCCTTTTCTTCACCTGCACACTTGTATCGATCAAGGATAGCCGTTGGGTATCATAAATCACCTCGATACGATCAGTAGCATAATTCTTAGCCGCGAAGCTTCCCATGAGCTGTTCAGTCTGTTCCGTCTACAGAATTTGCCAGTCTCGATCTCACTAAACCGAAAAATTGCTGAGGTGGATTTCGGGTCGGAGCCCGGAGCTGGCACTCTTCGTCCGTTCCGCCGTGACTCATATCCACCGAAATGCTATAGCTTCCTACTGCTACCCATCGGGTCTCAGGGTCGGTTCTCGATCTTTCGCAGCGGACCGAATCTTCCGGGGCCCAATCCCTTGAAGCCTTGTGCTTGCAGCGCACCAATCTATTCTCCTTTTGCTGCTTGATAAACCTTCCAGTCAGACATCTGGAGCTAAAGAGTTGATGAAATCTTCAGCTTTCGATCAATTTAGGCTTGTTCAAATCCTACTGTACAGTTTGGCCTTAAGTGTTCCACTATTTTGCGAACATGTCGTTCACCTCCCGCGCCAACATGACTGTGACAGAACTTCATATCACACAATGGCCACTGACAGTCGGCTTGTCCACCCTGGCCGCGGTTTTTCTTGGCTTCCTGGCATTCCTGTCTTACACGCCTACAATCCACGAGAAGTCACCCAAATTCACATCTCACACCAGCCCGTTCATTGGGTCTTTCGGATTCGGAACCGATCCGTGGTAAGCCGTTCTAACCCCCTTTATCAATGGCACTGGTGTTGACAAAGATTTTAGGAACTTTTGGAAGGGATCCAGGGACGAGTCCAAGACTGGAAACTTCAGTTTCTGGCTGGGCAGCCGACACATTGTTGGCGTGACGGGCGAGGCAGCCCGCAAGATGTTCTTTGATCATCCACAGATGGAATTTGTGCAGGGCCAGTTTATCAGGGCCATGGGAGTACACTTTTGGCCCCCCGTCCACGACATCTTCAAGCCTGGCTTCCACGGCGGGCGGGCCAACACGTACTTCCTGCGGCGTCTCCTTGAGCTTCAAAAGACTGAGCACTTGAGCAAGTACCTTCCGCGTATGTTGACCGATGCCCGCCTGGGGCTCCGCGCCCTTCAGGAGGATCCCCACGGCATCACGAATACATCCGATTCGTTCTGGCGCACGATTTTCACACAGGACTGTCGCGTGCTTTGCGCCGATGAGATGGCAGACAGCCCGAGGCTTTTCGAGGGCAGCTCAGATTCCGCGCGCACTTTGCTCCACACCTTCACCCATTACAACGTCCACTTCCCCTGGCTACTGTCTCCGGCATATTTGAAGCGCCGCTATGCGCGCTACAGGCTTTGGAGCAACGTCAAGGCCATCGTGGAGAAGCGAATGAATCGTAACCCCGGGTCCGCGGACGAGCCCGTCCAGACCCTGATCAACAACGGCGACGTCAAAGACCACGTGATCGAATTCTTCACATCCTTGCTCTTCATCGCCCCGGCCAACTCCAGCATCATCGTCGGCAAGATCCTCAGCTTCCTCGCCATGCGCACAGACCTGCAGGACAGGATCTACGAAGAGGTCAGGTCCGTCGCCGAGGCACACTCGGGCAAGGGCGGCGGCAGCGGCTCGAGCCTCGTGGAGCAGCTCGGCTCGATCCCGCTCGAGGCCTGGGAGTCGTCCTTCCCCACCATCGGGCTGTGCCTCAAGGAGGCGATCCGCATGTGGACGGCGTTCAGTATGGCGCGCTTCAATGATTCCGACAAGCCCATCCCAATCCCTGGGTCCGATGAGGTCGTGCCTGGGAATACCTTTGTCTGCTACAACACTACCGAGGTGAACTTCAGTGAGAAACTGTACCCAAATGCCAATTATTTCGATCCGGATCGGTTCACGGAGGGTCGAGAGGAGTTTAAGAGGGAGACGTATGGTTGTAAGTATCCCGTCATTTGATTCATTTGCTCTTGATAGTGCAGTCAAAGCAACAAAAATAGCTAACCTCTGCAATTTCATAGTCGTCGGCTGGGGCCAAGGTCGCCACAACTGCGCGGGGATGCGATGGGCCAAGCTACAACAGAACATCATCATCGCCTACTCCTTGGCCATGTATCAGTGGAAGAACTGCGACGAAAATGGGCAGGTGATCACGGATATTGTGTACAAGCGTCCAAGTGAGTTGAATTCCCACCAGGGTACTGTCATCCCCTCGGCGTACTGCAAATTGGCAGCGAGGGAGGCATCTTGAAGGCTTTTGGAAGCAAATGCCACGTATCAAGCACAATACTACATGGAGGGTTGCAAATCATCCAGAACTGCTGTTCTATATTTTGCTATTTGTATGATATCAGAACTTGATTTTAGAATGAAAAGGTCAATCCACAGCAGTTCCTCACGTCATGAACTGCTCATGACGTTCGCAATAGGAGCCTAACTATGAAATACACCACTTTTCATGTGTGAAATCCCAGATTGGTTCTCTTCTACTCCCGCCCACAATGTCACAACACAAGTCCTATGGTCAGAAAATGCGGATCAGTCGCCAGCCTGTCCTTGAGCGCTACCAACTCATCAACATCCCAATTAGCCCACACATGCCGACCATGAAGAAACCCGCTCTCAGAGCCAGCAAGCCAAAGCGCGAAATGCGCCGGCAGGTCCAGGCTGTCCCACTTGACCTCGTCCGCGGCGAAGTGCTCAGCCACGGTGGGCGTGTAGAACGCGCCGGGGTGGAAGGAGACGATTTTCGCCCCCTCATTTCCTCCCCCACCACCTCTCACCTGTCCCTGACCTTGGACTTGCCGGGCGTCCGAGGCAAAGTGCTGAAGCACCTGCGCGGCGGCCGCCTTGCTGGGCCCGTAGCCGACGCGCCGCGCCCCGCTGACCTGCGCCCCGGCGGAGGAAATATTGATGATGGTCCTGCCGCCGCCAGGCCCCGGCGGCGGCAGCGCCAGAAATGCCTTGGTCAGCTCAAACAAGGCGACGACGTTCGTGGCGAACGCATCCCGCACCTCCTCCGGGGTGATCTCTACTGCCCTGGCGCGGCGGTGCACGGCCGCCGCGCCCAGGACCAGGACGTCGACTGTCCCGAGGTCCCTCAGGATCTCTTCCATGCGGCTGGCGTCTGTGACGCACGCCTGGTACGCCAGGATGGTGACGGCCGGGTTTGCGGCTTCCAGGGCGGCCTTGGCTCCAGCCTGCGGCCCCGGCGAGCGCGAGACGATGGCCACGCGGGCTGCGCCGGCTGCTGCGAAGGCCTGGGCGATGCTGTAGCCGACTCCGCTTGAGCCTCCTGTGATGAGGACCGTCTTGCCCTCTCCGTGGAAACCGTGGTCTTTGGCTATGCGGTCGTAGGTTTTGGAGTGGTATGTCTTCACTGGACGAGGAATTGATTCAAAAATGTGCATTTTGATGATGTTCTGATCACTCTCGGGTGTAACAGCTTAGGTTCAAGGTGTCTGAGAGCACCGGTAGTTTCGTTGAACGATAAGAGATGGATTCAAGATATAAGTCTGTCGGGCTCTGAGAATCATTCCGAAATCGCGGAGGTTTCTTTTCAAATGCAAGCCCCGATACTCGTCGGACGCCTCATTGCCATTTCAGACATATTCCTGGGGTCCTTCCCACCATCCAACAAACGGAACTTGCCTTTCAGTTAGTTAAAGAACCGAGACACATCGATAGGTAGTGGGGAGTTGAGTTTCATTATGAGAATTTATGGACTATATGCACTATGATGGTCTATCTCCCGATTGATTCAGTCCTTCCTCTGTACACCTGCAGTCTATGGTACCCTCCAACACAATAGTCATACAGCTTCGTCACGGAACCATGCCATGGTCGCTTTACTTCTTCTCCTCCCCGAGCTTCTTCTCCTCGGCTGCACCAGGATCCTCAGCCGCGGCCTTGGCCACCTTGTTCTTCTTGACGGTCTTCCACTCCAGCGAAAATGTCCCGAGAGCGGTAAGACACGACGGAATCAAGCCGACGATGAAAACAGTCCGCAGTGCTTCGTTGTAAGCCACCAGAGCCGTTTCACGCAGGTTTTCAGGCAATGAATCAAGGAGCGACGTGGCACCTCCCGAGGTGACCAGACTCGGGTCAAAACCGGGAAGACCTGAGAGCCTCCGCACGAGCTGGTTGCTCAGCACGTTCTCCCCGACGGCGACGAACACCGACGCCCCGATCAGCGAGCCGAACAGCATCAACGCCAGACCCGTCGGCACGTCCTTCTTGGGCAGGCAGGTCTGCGCGGCGAGATTCGGTACCTGAAAACACAAACCCAGGCCAAGGCCGTATAGGATCTGGTAGCCGATCCACTTGCCGGCGCTCGTGTCGACCTGGAATGTTGTCAGGAGTCCGGCCCCGGCGCACATGATGCAGGTGCCTATGATGGCGAGTGGCGTGTAGTAGCCGATCTTGCCGTTGATGATTCCTCCGGAGATTGAGCCGACCACCATCGACAACATTAGAGGCAGGGTTTGGATGCCGGATTGGGCGGCCGATGATCCCTTGATGGACTGGAACCAGATCGGGATGAAGTAGACTGCGCCACGGGTTAGTCGCAGGACCGGAGTGGTCATCCTATGGTCGCTACTTACTGAAGACGTAATTTCCACAGTTGACGCAGACATTCGCCCAGAATCCGGAAACGATGCTGCGTTGCTTGAATATGCGCGGAGGGAGCGTCGCTGTTCCGGGGAGGAAGACCTGGGCTGCGGCAAAGGAAATGAGCAACACTCCTGCGAGAGTGAGCAATGCTATGATACGCCCGTTGCCCCACTAGATAGTGTCAATTGGATATCCAGGAGACCGATCATGTGTAAGGGGAGCTCACCGAGTATGTCTGGCCGCCCCACTGTAGTGCCAGCAGTAGACACACCACACCAGGGACCAGCACCGCTGTCCCAGGGGCGTCCAGCTGCTTCAGCTTCTTTGCCAAGGGGAGTTTGGTCTCCTCTCGGTCAGGTATGTCGAGGAAGAGATAGATGACGACCATCGCGGCGGCACCGATGGGCAGGTTGAGGTAGAAGCACCACCGCCAGGTCACGTTGGACGTGAAGCCGCCCCCTATGAGTGGGCCAGCGATGGAAGCCACGCCCATGAGGGCGCCCATCATTCCCTGCATCTGCGGGCGGCGGTGCAGAGGAATCACGTAGACGACGCAGACGATCTAGCGGCGGTTGTCAGCTGCTGTCTGTACGCGAGGAGAAACTAGTGATCTTACAGTTCCGGCAAATATGCCAGCGGCACCGACTCCAGAGATGGCCCTTCCGATTATGAACGCCACGGAATTGGGAGCTGCTCCGCAGAGCGCAGAGGCAGCCTCGAAGAGGAGGACGCTGCTGAGGAGGGTCCCCTTGATTGAGAAGAAGGTGTAGATCCGCCCGAACAACAGCTGCAGGGCACAGCACGTCAGGAGGTATGCGCTTCCGTACCAGCCGACGTCGGTCAGAGAGTTGAAGTCGTCGGTGATCTGGGGTATGGCCTGGGCAGAGCAGAGCAGGTTAGCACATTGCCGTCGGCATAGTGAATTCGGGCTGGTGTTTTGATATTGCGTACAGTGGAGATGATGGTCCGGTCAAGTCCGACAAGGAACATGCTGAGGAAGACCGATACCATGACGAGTATGGTCTTTGACTTGGATGTCTTCGGCTCCGGGTCGTCCAGCTTGGGAGGAGTGTCGTTGGAGTGATCATCGTGCGAGGTCCTCTCTGTCGCTGGGGTGGCGGCTCCGTGGAGGTCCTCAGGACCGGATTTCGAGGCACGGGAAGCCATTTCCGTTGAAATCAAATGTACTGTTTCTTCGGAATATCAGATATCAAGTGGTTAATGCCAAATTGTGAAGTCTGCTTGAGGAGAATGGGGAACGACTGGGGATATTTGTGTTTGCGACTGCACCGTATGAGATGTTGACGACAGAAGGAAAGCCAGACACTGCGAAATTTATGGAGCTTTATGAAGACATTTGGAACGCAGTGGAAGATGCAGGCAAACAAACAAAATGACACCGGCCGGGTATTGGAAAGCCACGAGCTAAGGGGTAGTGAATTGCTGGCTGTGACAGGCCTCTGAGAGCATGTGTCTCGGCGGTTACTAAAACCCGACCTGGCCAGCTAACCCATCCGCGACTACGAATTCAGGCCAAATCTTTCCAAATTGCAATACGGAACTCGGAGATAAAAATCATTGGTTTGCCTCAAAACTAGCGAAGAAGAAGAAAAAAAGACCACTCGTGTGATCTCTGATATCTGCTCGGAGACTTAGACTATAGTCGCGTTTACTCAACAGTAGGCAAACCAAACCCCCCTCCCCTTTCCCCCAGCCAGGAGACTGCCTCACCCCTAACCCCCATCTCGCTCGGGAGTTAGGAATGTCCACTAACAAGCACCTCGGGCCCGAGCTGTAAGGGACTGCCCACGCAACATCAACCTGTTTGGTCTGTTTTCAAGGACCCGAGACGGCTCGCCCGCTCAGTTGTCTGCGGCATGGCTTGACCCCGTCCCTTGTCACGTTCGACGCCCTTCGTGGCAGCACAATACCATGAGACGGAACAGTCAGACACCGAACGTCAAGGCTCACAGACTCTAGCCACAGACACACGCATGCAACCCACGCTCACCCCGTCGCGATGGCTAGCTTGACGACAGGCCTGGATCAAACGGACCCTCTGGTGACTTCTACAGCCACAGCCACAGAGCACACGGTACAAGCTCCCGTCAAGCAGCAGCGGGTGCTCGCTTGTGTGTCGTGTCAGCAGCGCAAGGTCAAGTGCGATCGCCACTTCCCCTGCGCACACTGTCTTCGTGCTGGTACCCCATGTGTGCCGGCTTCCCTCGTGCCCCGTCAGCGCCGTCGCAGGTTCCCAGAGAGGGACCTGCTTCAGCGCCTGAGACACTATGAAGACCTTCTTCGCCAAAACAACGTCGACTTCCAGCCTTTGCACCCCACTTCCCCGGCCAGTGCCAGTGCCATAACGGCCGAGCAACCCTCTCTGGCCGTAGCTGCAGCGGCCGCTGACACAAAACAACGAGGCACTGAAGACTCCGAAATGCTAGACACTCGCTCAGAGGTCTCATCAGTGGACAAGGCACCCATGAAGTCGGATTCGAAACCCGTGTGAGCAACAGAACACTATCCACTCATTTTCGAAGGCAGCTTTTTCTGACTGGTATATTTGATTCCCGCTCAGGAATCTGTGGCACGCTATCAGCCGGGTGGTACGTATCCTTTACTTTCGTGGTTTCTGCTTGGACTGCAGGCCAGCGGCACTAACTGTACAAACAAAAGACATTAGACCCAGGTGAAGACGACACCGATGATGACGACGGTGACGGTAGTGCCGAAGCCAGTCCAGAGAATAGCGGCCACGGCGATGGTGGAAGCGATTCCCAACCAGGAACCCGCAGTGTGCACACTTCTATCAAGAAGAACGCGTGGGATCACGATGATACTTACTCGGGGGCTCAAGGCGACGATTTCGACCATTTATTGTTTGGCGCAACACAAACAGATGTCCACTTATCCACCTTGCACCCAGAACAAGTCCAGATCTTCAGGCTCTGGCAGATTTACCTCGAGAACATCGACCCACTGCTCAAGGTTACCCACACGCCGATCCTGCAGGCACGCATCATCAACGCCGTCAGCAACCTGGAAGGCATTAGTCCTTCCTTGGAGGCCCTTATCTTCAGCATCTATTGTGTCTCCGTCCTGAGCCTCACCAACCAGCAGTGTCGTTCTTTCTTTGGATCTCCCCGGAGGGACCTGCAGGCACGTTATCATTTCGCATGTCAGCACTCCCTCCTGAATTGCAAGGCTCTGCGGTCCGGCAGTGTCGAAAGCTTGACAGCCTTGTACCTCTATCTTGTAAGCCTCACCATATTGGTTCATCTGTCCCGACCCTGTCCCAATTTCAAATCTCATCAATCAATCATTAGGTCTCAGTCAGGTCACAGACAGACCCTCGATCCTTGTCGTCCACGCTTGCCATCGCCATCCGCGTCGCACAACGGATGGGCTTGCACGATGAGTCCACATATGGTGGTTGCAATGCTCTCGACGCTGAGATGCGCCGACGGCTGTGGTGGTCCCTGGTCAACTTTGATCACCGCCTATGCGAAATGACGGATTACAAGACAACCAATTTGACACCGACCTGGGATTGCAAGATACCCCTCAATGTCAACGACTTTGAGCTCCGGCCGGAAATGAAGATCTCGCCGACGACTCACGATAAACCCACTGAGGCCCTCTTCGCGGTTGTTCGCAGCGAACTGGCGGATTTTGTTCGCCATAGCGCATTCCACATCAACTTCATCAGTCCGTCCTTGAATGCCATCGCCAAATCAAGACATGGTCCCGCCCCAGATGGAGACGAATTGACGCTCCTCGAAAAGACCATCGAGGACAAATACCTCAGCTCCTGCGACCCCGACAACCCCCTCCACTTCATGACAATCTGGACAACACGGGCTTACCTCGCCCGAGCCCGCCTGCTGGAGCACTACTCAAGGTTCTCGACCTCGTCCGCGCAGCAGACAGAGTCCCAGCGCAGCGCCGCCGTCTCGCACGCGCTGGGCATGCTCGAGTGCGAGACCAAACTCCGGACTTCCCCCCTTATCAAAGGCTTCCTCTGGCACGTCGACTCCAACGTCCCCGCCCTCGCGTACGTGCACATCCTCAACGGGCTCAAGAAGCGGCCCGACGACGAGCACGCCGACAGGGCGTGGGAGGCGCTGAGCGACAACTACGAGGCCCGCGCCACGTACTCCAAGGCCGGCGAGTACGGCATCTCGGACGTCTTCTCGCGCGTCGTGCTGCAGGTGTGGGCGGCGCGCGAGGAGCTCTGCAGGGAGCAGGGGAGGCCCGTGCAGCCGCCGCGGATCGTGGAGATGGTCAGGAATGTGGCGGCGGGGACGGATTCGGCTGCGCCCCCTCAGCAACAGGTTCATCCTGGACAGCCCAATGTTGGGGCTATGGGCATCAGCTCCAGCGGGTCTTCGCTGCCTATACCTGTGAGCTTCGGTGGTGATCAGGGTCCTGGGCACCAATTCTTTCCTGGTTCTGGGCTTGGAACGTATCCGGAGATACCCCAGCAAGCTATGATGGATGTTGACATGAATCAGTTCTTGAACCCGGTGGACTGGAGGTGGATGCATGCGCGAGGTTGGTGAGGTACTGTTCAGGCTCAACAGCCAAAATGAGTCGGAGTATCTGGTACAGAGATAGTCGAAGCCCGTTTTCAGCCGTTTTTCTCGCTGTCGGTATACGAAAATAGCTTGGTAGGGATATGACAGGCCCTCTTCGATTTGAGTCGCAAAAATGCTTAATGGCATGCGCCCAGCAGCAATGAATTTCCTATGTGATCCCGCGTGACACCATTCAAAAATGGATCGCCACACTCCGCCTCTCGATATCAATGTATTGTGTATCGTTCAGACACCGAACTCGCGAAGATGCAACAAGGCCCGTAGTTGAAATGACGGACCAACTCATGGCCGTCGCTGGGAAGAGTGAGAGACCTGGTCATGGGCCTCCATGCTCTAGCTCACGGCGCCCCGCCCACGGGGCCGCTGACGGCCCGCTCCTTCAACCACTCCAACCTGCCGCTCTTGTCCACTTTGGCGAATATGAAGCTCTCGAACTCGACGGCGACCCCGTCGATGCTGATGATGCCCGTCATGCGCGCCGCCAGCTGGTCGCCATCGCGGAGGAACTCGTGACTGTAGGGCATTCAGAACTGATGTACTGCAGCCTGCCGGCCAATTTCTATGCCGCCTGGAAGGTGGAATGGAGCGCGCAAAGGGGTTCATGTATAACTTCCTTGGAGGCGTTTTTGTTTGGGGGGGGGGGGTGTGTGGAATAAAAACTCACAGAACAGGCTTGTAGTCGCCAACCTTGGTGCGCATCTCCTCGATGTGCTTGATGTAGGCATCGTAGGAAAGCAGTTGGCCGTTCAATATCTGGTAGAAGCCGGGCGTGGAGATGGCCTCTACGAACAGCTTCGCCTCGTTGGGCGGGCCTGTGAGGCTCCATTCCATGGCGCGCTGGAACCCGGCGCGGGTGGAGGTGTATTCGGACATGACTGCGATTGTGGTGGTCTTCGGTATTTGAGATATGAATTCTATGAACAAAACATTTATATCCTGGAAGAGAAAGGAGTTCGCCCAGGACACGCGTATAGCGGAGGATTTTTCGTCAGGATTCGGTGTTGGTTGGAAGTGACCCACATCTCCGTCAGACTCCAGTTAGGAAGACGAGCACCAATCAAATAGTCACATCAGCGATGAAAATCTAATAGGGTTGCTTGTCTGTATTACTTTGCTCGCTTTCCCTGGCAGAAATATTTCCTCTTCTGTCTCGAGAGAGCAGAGGTAAGAGGATGGATACAATGTGACCACCCCATGAATAGACATCATATCCAACAAACAATCGACCAGTCCTCGCACAGGGTGCTCCCACAATTTACGACACTGATCTCTAGTCTCAACCTGCCACATCGATTGAAATGTGACCACGGGGACGAAGTATCAGAGGAATCAGATCACCGGCCCGTCCCGGCCGGTCCTTCGAACAGAACGTCCCCCCTTTTCAACGCCGCCTCAACCGCATCCCAGTTCCGTGCAAGTCTCGTGGCACTGAGCCAGTAATTTCCATGCGCGTCTTTTCCGGTGATTGGAAACATCTCGGTGAACCTGTACGGAGTTTGGGCGCTGTGGATGTACTTCGGCCTGACCGGCCGGTTAGAGCCCTTCACGGACGCGGCCGAGAAGTCGAGGCTGAAGAAATCGGCCTTGGACCAATTCGAGACGCTGATGATGTGCACTAGGTGTCCAGTCAGCAACGACGGCGTGAGTAAAGGAGCTCGTCATTTTCGATGTGTTTGGACTAGATATCCATGCACGCTTACTTGAGCTGTCTCCGAAGAAGGGCGGCAATTTGTTGGGCCCCGATTCCCTCAGGATGGCGCAGTGGGCCTCGACTTGTTCGCGGGTATTTTGCTCCTCAAGTGCCAACCGGACTCTCTGGGCGGTGTGACCCAGGGGCCCGCGCCGAATATCTGTTACCGATAGCAAAGTGGTGAACAGGAAGGCGCAGTTCGAGAAGTACGTCTTGTCCGGAGGCAGAAGTGATTCTGAAAGAGCCTTGCGCCCGGAGAAGGCACTCTGTACGGCGACCTGGACTCAGTCAGCTTGGTTTCAGTGTGGACGAATTGTCCGTCAGCGGGGCCGACTCCCATCAAGCGTGATTGAACACCGATTAGGCTTCAAATTAGAGTCACTCACCGTCCGGTCCGAGTCTGGCGGAAAATTGACCACGGCAAGCCTAGCAAGCCATGCAACAAGGACATCACCTTCTGAGAGAAACTTCTTGTTTCCGCCGTCTTCAATGGCGGCGAGCTCTTCGAGAGCGACGGCGCGGAGCTCCTCGACGAAATTGGCCGGCAGGCATACAACACGCGTCTCCTGTCTCCGGAAAAGGTCCGAGATGTTACCCAATCCCCAGCCGATCATACCGAGTGTACTCATCCTGCGGTCGCTCAGCTTGTGCGGCTCGGAGACGTGCCTCCCAAGCTCGCTGAGGGGATCTTCATGGTGGCTGTACGGCTTCGTGATCTCGTCTTGCCTCCCTTGCATCATCAGTATCCACGCGTCCAGCAGGGCCCTCTTGGCAGTAGCGTCGAAGGCGGCGTGCAGCCAGTTCACCACGACGACTGTCGCGTCGTGGAAGGAAACGACGTGCAGACCTGTTATTGACCGGTCGCTGTACAGGTAGTCTTCGAGCTTGTTTGGGCAGTCAGGTCCCATGTAAAGGGACTTGAAGTCATCTGCATCGCCGACGATGGCGGGTCTCGTGCTTGGTTTGGGCAGATGACGGGCGACCAGGTCTTCATCGACGGTAGTGTCGTGGCTAACAAAACTTTTCGTTACGAGTTCTCGGTCTTTGGATACTCTGGTGGGCACGTGGTACTCGAGGTTTCCTTTATTCTGGTATACTCAGCTATTCGATCCAACGGTTTTGTCATGGTTGGCCCAGTGAGCATTTCACTTACATTCCTCCTGACACGAGCACCAAGCTTCTGCCACCCATTCCGGGACGCCAGGAGTTCCAGAGCATTTCCTAGCTTTTGGGGATCGAGGACATTGTCAAAAACAAACATGGAATGCAGCACAAAGGTTCTGAAGAGCAAAGTGTCATCGAACACGGGCAACGGAACAATCTCGTCGCTGGGTATTCTGGGAGGGATGGATCTCGACCCAAAGAGCATATCAGACAAAACGGTGAGCATCTTGAGCAGTGACGAGAATATGCACGTGGTGAGGGAGGCTGTTGTGGATAGAAGGGCGGTTAGTAGTCGGATTATGGAAATTTTAGGTGCGTGGTAGAGTGAAAGATGAGCCATTATTTAAATGCCCGTGTTGTTTCCTTGGGCCGCCGGAAACTTTGAGCAAGTTCACCGGGCATCCCACGGTCGACGCCTCCGAAATCGATCAATTCATCCAGGTTCTTGCGATATCCGATTACCAAGGCAATAGCTTCCATGGCCAAGCCACTACCTGCTTGGGATTTACATCGAATAGAGAATTCTCTACCCAAAACAATTTTTCAGGCGAGTTGTGGCTGCATTGGGATTTCTAAACGGGTTGATATGCCAATAGGAGTGTACGTAATTCTCCCGAAGGGGTGGTCTCCGTAATCGCCCGGATAGACCCGTCCGCAACCATATTTCGGCCTTAGAATTAGGATCATATATAGTTCAAGCGCGGGTTGCCAGACGTTTGAGGTTGCTGGCAGTAAATATGAGAATAGGTCTGTCACTTATTAGATCAGAACCACATGCACCGGCCGCGTCCAGACTTCTAGATCCCCTAAACTATTGAACCCTTTCACACCAAACAATATGGGCAGAACACTCGACTCGCCTGAGCAGCGCAATTACTTTGCGGTGGGTGACAAACACGAGTTCGACCCTGAAAGATGGACACCCAACGGTGATGCTGCAGAACAAGATCTGCTGCCCAAACGCGAACCAGAAACGCATGTCAAAGTGCTCATCGTAGGTGCGGGTTTTGCCGGCCTGATGGCGGCGCTCGAGTGCTGGAGGAAAGGCCACGACGTGGTGGGCATCCTGGACCGGAACCAGGGCCCCAACTTTAGCGGCGACCTCATCATAATCCAACCTTCGGCCCTGGAGGCGGTGAGGCACTGGCCGCAGATGTGCCGCGAGCTCGAGGAGGACAAGGTCACGGCGGGGACGTACTACTACCGCCACGACGGCGAGCTCATCGACGGGCCCGCGCAGCCCAACTACAATGCCCCGGAGCATGTTGCCGAGCGGCAGCGCAGGCTTGGGGAGTTCCCCTACTGCGGCGCCGTGCAGATCCGAAAGAAGTTCTACCGCATGCTGCTGCGTCAGGTCGCTCGTCTGGGCTTCACGGTTGATTACGGCCGGCGCGCCGATAGCTATTTTGAGGACGAGAATGCCGGGCTGGCTGGTGTCGTCTTGACTGACGGCTCAGTGCGAACGGCTCACGCTGGTGAGTTGTCTGTGGGACATTGTTTGAGCGAAGTGGAACAACATTGACCAAATTCTCATGCGCAGTCATTGCGGCCGATGGGTTCCGGTCACGCTCAGAGCTCCTGATAGCTGGCGAGTACGCGCCAACTCGATCCAGCGGAATGTCGGTCTACCGCACAGCGTTCCCAGCCGAGCTGGCCTTTGCCGACGAGATGGTGCGCCAGCGATGGGGGGGCAAGCATACCTATGAGTTCTGGATGGGCTCGGGCATGCACATCGGGCTGTATCTCTCGCCGGAGGTTGTGGCCTTTGGCATCACTCCGCGGGACGAGTTCCTGGACCCCAACAAGGTCGCGAAAGAGTCGTGGACCCCAGACGTCGACCCGGACGAGGTCATCGAAGTCATGCGCCGGGCGAGGCTTCCCGGGCCCGGCGCAGGGTCCGACTGGCACCCCGTCATCGAGGCCCTGGTGCGCACGGCACCCCGCGGCAACCTCATCCACTGGCCACTGCGCTGGCGCAACCTGAGCCGCGACTGGGTATCCAGTGGTGGAAGAGTTGTCCAGATTGGCGACGCCGCCCACTCCACCGTGCCCTCCTCGGCCGCCGGCGGCACGCTCGCCCTCGAGGACGCCATCACCCTGGCGTCCTGCCTGCAGCTGTCAGCCGTGCCCGGCTCGGCGCCCGGCCCCGGGTGCGGCGCCGGCGTCCCCTTCGGCACGCGCGTCTACAACCTGTTGAGGTACGAGCGCGCGAGCTGCACGCAGAAGATGGCCTTTGTCAACGCCCAGGTGCTGGGCCACACCATCGACTGGGACGACCTGAGGCGGAACCCCGAGAAGGCGCGGGTGCGCTACCCCAAGTGGCTTTTCCGGCATGACCCGGAGGCTTATGTCTACGAGAACTACGGCCGGGCATTTGCACACCTGGTGAGCGGGTCCGAGTTCCGCAACACGAATATTCCCCCTGGTCACAATTTTGTGCACTGGACTATTGAGGAGATCCACAAGCAGATGGCGGGTGGGAAGAGGGTTGAGGATCTATTAGATGGGGACTGGACGTAGCTAGTGGACATGTTCGGACAGAGCTTGGCAATGAACAACTTCTTTTCTGACCACAGATAGAATATCTCTTGAGCCTTCAATTTCGGCAGGATCTCACGCCTATGTGAAGTCACCCTTTTTTTCTAGAACAATGTGGCTAGCCATAGCTGAATCTCTTGTGTGATTCAATCTCGTGACTCTTATCAAGCGATCAGTGGCACGGATTTAACGAAGAGAAATACAGTCTTGATCATCTTGCAATCTGAGTCAGCATTCATTTGAAAGAATGCCTATCGGCCCGACCAAAAATACATCCGTCTGGACCTGTGTCAGTACAAAACCTGGGTTTAGTGAGAGTCCAATTGTCCCGAAGCTTGTCTCGGAGGCCATACCTGCTTTCGGGGGTCCGAACAAGCCGCATCGGGCCTCGGTGCAATTTGTCGGATACGTACAACGGCAGTGGCGTCTCAGTTACTTGCACCGGCAGATTATGCTTGGCTATGTGGGACTCTAAGGCCACAAATCTGAGCAAGATCAAAATGCATCCAGCCTTGACCCGCTGGTTGGATGCGTGTGCTGGAAAAGGTAAGGTCGGCTGTCAAGGTCTCACCAGATATCTTGGACAGCACGGCCAAGTCAAACATCGCCTTGTACCACGCCATACATTTTACGCAGCATAGGTCACTGGGTGGCTTGCTTGCGGGACAGCCAACAGTCGTTGCAGCTTTCTCTGAACACAATCTGGAAGATTTTGTAGTCCATCGCATGGAGATCAAAGGCAATGACGGCTATCGATCAATCTTCCGCCCAGCAACGTTATGTTGGTGGCGCTTTGTAATGTCTCGTTTGACTTATAATAGTATGCAAGCAGGCGGCACCATCATGATAGACATGCATTTTCATCTCATTCTTCTTGTCACATTTGATCGTATCTTACCGGGCCATAAAGCCATATCGACTGTTATCACAGATGTCGGTGAGACTGCTGGGTGGAATTCACTCAGGTAAGGATCCAACAACGTCTAGCCCAAGCAAATCATCCGGGATGTTAGGCAAAACCATTCTCGTACTCGGTGCAACAGGTGAGTGACAGATTACCATCGAAGTCTGAAGAGAACCTTCACGAAATTCAAATTACTCATTTCACGAGCAGGTGCATGTGGAGTGGAGTTCTGCAACCAAGCCCTCAAGGCCGGCCACTCCCTGATCATCTTCGCCCGCGCACCAAGCAAGTTACCGTCGAATATCAAGGACTCGCCAAATGTGTCTGTCATCGAAGGTAAATTTGCAGACGCAAATGACAGGGAGAAGGCAGCCAAGTCCGGCGCCGACGTGTTGATTACATTCATGGGACCAGTGACAATGTCCAGCGGCGCGGTAAGTGTACTGTTCCAGATCACTCAACATCAATGCTGACATCTGTGTGCTATCAAGCCTCCCGGGGCCTTCTACAAGGAGTTCCTGCCCCAGGTCATAGAGAACGGCATCCAGCGCGCCCTGATCTTGACTACCCCCTCATTCCCGCAGCCCCAGGATAGAGGCGGCCTCAAGTGGACTGCCTCAAAGACGTTGGTCAGGATAATTGGCGGCAGCGCATACTCCGAAAAGATAGGCATCGGCGAGACCGTATCGGCGATACCCACAGACAGGCTGAGGTGGACTCTGTTCCGCGTCGGCTGGCTGAATAATGGTCCCGCCCAGCCCGTCAACGCGACGTACACTGGGTCCGGGGAGGACTCACTTGGCATAAGCAGGGCCAGCATTGCGGAGTGGCTTGTTGAGGAAATCGCGGCGGAGAAGTTTGTGGGCAAGGCGCCGTATATCTGCAGTTTTTAACCGCTCCGGGCTGGACTGGCACGCAGGGGCTGGGCAGAACATAATTATTGACCTTTCGAATAGTCTGCTGCATTTAGTTTCTATTTCAAGTGCGGGACCTGCAATAGTGTAATGTTGTGTGACTGCTCAACTTGCTCTACTCCGACAGGACTGTAAATTTAGAAACCGTGCAACCCAGCCCCGTTCGCCCGCCAAAAGTCTTAACTTTTAACCAAACCTTGCTCAACAACTACAACGCGCTTGGTATGATTGACTCTTGTGGAAGAACTGAGACTTGAGCTGCAAATAGAATGATACCATCTTTGTAAAGTTTTATGCATGTGACATTGAACTTTGGCTCTGAATCACTTTGGCCTTCACTCGCAACTCCTACATTGACGTTGTGCGGGCTCTAGATGTGCGTTCCTTGCCCGACTGGGACCTCCTCGTAGTATGTCTCTGCCCTTGCCGACACCATACATGTGCAGCAAGTGTCATTCCTCGGACTTGGCACGATTGGACCTAACAGTGATAGAAGTACTAGGCATACGAGCCAAGATGACGTTTTGGGCCTGCCGCTTTGGCGCTCTTTAACAGTATTTTCCGCATACGTATTTCTCACTGCCGTATCGTCGCTCGTTTCTCTAGCAAGGTTTGAATAGCATAAAGTGGTAATCCACAAGTACCGTTCCCAGACGCCACACCGGATCGCGGGTAAGCGCGGGGTCTCCGTGCGGCTGAGACCACAGAGCACATTAACGTGGGGGCTAGCTCTCACCTCAGAGTCACCTCAGAGCTGGGCGCAATGCCCACTCTTATGGGCTCTAGACGCGTTCCACGCAGGCCTCCTCGCTTTTTTCTTTTTCCCCCGGAAATCAACAAGATGTTCCATTGCGTATCATGTCGGGATTGTTCAGGAAGTTTGCAGCTTTTGCCGCCCTGTTCCTCCTCCTCATCCACCCAGTCGTGTCCTACAAAAGGGATATCACGACTTGGACCACAACCACGTGTGGCGTAAGCAAATCGAGCCTATCACGTTCCTTCATTGAGAGAGAAAAGTTGACCCAGTTTTCTAGCTTTCCTGCTATGAGTTAACTTGCAACTCAACAGAGCACGGCGAGTGCGCATGCGATACCCATCTCCATGATCTCGTGACCTGCATGTTCGATGCGTGCCTTGACGCGACAGAGTATTACAGCAAGTCCACACCAGTATCTTTGAAACTGTTTGGATCCTCGTGTAGCCTTTCAAGATCCGACGACTGATACGAAATGCCTTGGTAGTGAACTGGCGTGAAATCTACTACACATGCGATCTTCCACGCCCAATCTCGACCGTCGATCCCGAGTACACGCTCACGGCCATTGTTCTCTTCGTCATACAGACTCTTGTCTTTATTCCTCGGATAGTGACCCTGTCGTTCGGCCGGGGTCAATGGTACAAAGATGATATATCTTGTGTGGTTGCATACGTCAGTTTCCCTTTGATTCTGTAGTCGTCGTTTACAGACTGAAATCGTATTACGAGGAGGATTCGATGCTAATGTAATTGAAAAGATCCTTCTCATTGCACAATTCGTCCTTTGTGTACTTGGTAAGCTGCCCATTGCATCCCCTTTCCATATTTCCTGACTGGCTGACCAGCTACGCAGAGGGAGTGGTTGGATGCTATGTCCACTTCTGGGACCTGGACTTTGAGAAAATACCGGAATTCTACAAGATCAACTTCGCCCGCGCGCAGCTATACGCAATCACGCTGGCAGTCACCAAGATGTCTATCCTCTTCTTTTACCAGCGTATTTTCGAGGGCCCAAAAGTCCAGCGAGTCCTCCGGGCCACACAATTCTTCAATATGGCCCTGGCCGTGGCGTACTTCATCGCCCAGTGCTTCGTATCCCAGCCTCTCTACTGCGAGTGGACTTTCAATCAGGGACCTGAATGTACTTACCACGACGTCTTTGATGGCTCCGGGGCATATTCGGCGCTGAACGCGGCCTTAGACCTTTGGATGGTTCTCGTGGCGGCCTTCTTGATTTGGAAACTGCAGATGAAGGTCACGAAGAGGCTCGGCGTGATCGCTATCTTTGCGACCGGTTTCTTGTAAGCCTTTCGCTATCCCGTAGTCCATTCCTGATGACACTTATTGTCTGTTAACATGTGCCTTTAGGACATTCTGCTCAGCACTTTTTCGATTTGTCATTTGGCGTCTTTCAGACGCGAGTAAGTACCCTTTAGCCGTTTCTGAACCGAAATACCCTGGTACTAATGCCCATTCTAGCCAAGGAAACCACATTTCCCTCGCTTACTTGGGCAACATACTACGCCGTCTATATTGAACTCACATGCTGCTTCATCATCGCCTGCCTCCCAGCCATAAGGCAGCTCAAGGATAAGAAGATCTTACCTACGATCAAGGGCTACACCACCCTCATATCCAACAAGTACAAAGGTACTAGAGAAAGTACCAGCACAGCAGCATCGCCAAGGCTTGTGGTTAGAAAAACTCAAGAAACCCGGGTCACGAGTAGTAGGTTGGACCCAAATGACAGAAAGGATGATGACTGGAATCTGGACATGCAGGATTTAAGGACTAGCAGACAGGTAATGATTGAGTAGATCAGGCATTTCCAGGCACTGCCAAGACAGGAAAAATGGAACTTTTAGCATTTCAAGTTACTAGTGCTCACCGTCACACACAATAAATTCATAATGAGACCGTCTGAAAAATCAACAGGCGTCGGCTGTCAGAGTACATTTGTCTCGATTCGCTTCACATAAGCCCCTTTCAAAAAGTCATTTGGGACATTTTACTTCCTAGACACACTGGTGGTACTGCTCCACCCAAGTAAAGAAAAGGTTTCAATACCTACCTTTTCCACGTGTTCAGAATGCTTACTATGTGGAGCTTCTCCCATTTCCATTCCTCAACATTGAATCGGCAACATATCTTTGTCATGTTGCTAGTTGTAATTGTTTTCGTTGATCGTAATCGCATCATGCCATGGTTTTCAAGAAAGGCGGATTCTACCGCACAAACTGCGAACCCCTCCCGTGCACACATCGGATTAATGCATGGCGAACTCAACCATGCGAGCCAGTTGGAACCCTCGTGATTACATGTATGTAGTGCATGCACACCGGTCCGACTAGTTGGTAAGCACTAAGAGGCAGCATGTGGTGTCTGACATCTCTGTATGCAAGACGGAACTGGCGGGTCCGCCGGTTTATGTATTAGAAGCGCGGGAACCAATGTTGGGAATGAGACGGCCCATTTGGGCCCCACGTTTCTGACAGGAACCACAAGTTCTTATTTCAACGTACATACATGCATCTCTTGACCTATCGAAATCACCCCACGGCACACCACAAAGAAAAGGAAATGGTGTGCACATGATGATCGGTCTGCTTCGATACTAGCTTCCCGATGCGGTGTTACCAACAAGCAACACCAGCTTCCCGTCCCGCTCTACACAGTGTTGATTCCCAACACGCTGACTTTGATCCCAGAAGTGTTTCTCGGTATCACAACGGTGTGGTCCTTCGCCGGCAGCACACAGTCTACCGTGGTGCCTTCCGATAAGTTCATCTTGACACGTCGGACCAGGTTAGCCGTGAGTATGTACATCTCAGCTGTGGCCATGCTGTAATTCCACGGTGTTAGCATAGCCTGAAGCCGCTGTTGTGGGCTGGTAAGGCATACTTGATGCCGAGGCACGATCTCGTCCCCTTCACGAACAGCGAAAGATGGCTTTCAAGGTGCACTCCCTGTTCCGCAGCTCGGACCCAGCGATAAGGATCAAAAGACCAAGGGTCTGGGAACAGCTCCGGGTTGGTGTGGACGAAATAGGTGGCAGTGCTGCAGGGAGTCTGTTGGCTGGCTTAGTGGCGATCTCTTCCCATATTCAGGATATTTTGTTCTTTTCGGACATAGGGGGACTCACACCTGCAGGAATTGACCAGTCCTTGTATTGCAACACCCGGTCCGGTGCTATGCGAGGGTGTCGTGTCAGTGTGCCCATGGACAGTCGGAGGCCCTCGTTTACAACACCCCTCTGTTCGCCGTTAGTCAGACTTGCCGAGCATTATGTGGCCCTTCCTTTATATTGTTGGCCGCAAGCTTCTTACCAACAGGGCTAGATTTTCCAGCGTCGCCAAGGGCGGACACTCTGCTGGATCAGGCATGACCCCCTTGATCTCATCATAGAGCTCTGAGAAGATGCCAGGGTTGTCCAACAGATAAAACATGGTGACGCTGAGGCTGTAGGCCGTAGTCTCCGTCCCGGCGGCCAGAATCACAAACCCTTCGTCCTCGAGGCGCTCAAGGGTCCGCTCCTCCGCCGGGAGCGACGGATCAGCAAGCGCGGCAAACATGTTCTCGTCGGAGGCTTTGGGCTCCTTGGCGTTGAGCACCTCCAACGCCAACGACCTGATGGTGCGGTGGGTCTTCAGCACCACCACAGCTGCCTTGGGCAAGATGCGCCCCACCAGCGATGGAGGCAGCTTCTTTGCTTCTGTGAACCTGAGGGGTATGAACCTGAGCCAATGGCTCAGGGCGAGCACTGCTTTCGTTGCATCGCTCAAGATGTTTTCGGCCCCGGAACCGTCCCAGACAGCCCAGGGAAGCCCCGAATGAGTAGTGCGAGACGGTGTCTGCTGTGAAAGCACAGGGTGCTTAGGTTGGCCAAAGACCCGCTCTGAGAAGCCTCTTCCAGCCTCATGATAAACCGCTCCGCCTTGTCCTGGATTATGGGCTGGAGGTCGGAGATCGACCGCTTGGAGAAGAAATTGGCCAAGCTGTTGCGGCGCGCCTGGTGGAGGTCATGGTCGACGGCCGCAAACATAGAGTTTGTCGTACCGAGGGACCGTGTGAACCGGTAGTCGCCCTCCACCCTTTTCGGGTTACCCGCGTATATCTCATTATAGAATGAGGGATCGCTAATGTGGAGCTCGCGTGGTGTTATTCTCACAATTGGACCTCCCTCTGTCAGTTCGCTGTGAAAAGCTGGGATACTTTACCGACACACGTACCATATTTCTTATGCAGCCTCTCTAGCACCCAGATGAACTCCCCGTCCCGAATGACGGACCAGTAAAACTCGTACAAGTGGGATGCGGCGGCGAGCTTGGGTCCTGGAAATTTGGCCAACGGATGGAAGTACAGGTTGTAGATCGCCTTAGAAAGGCGGTACAAGGCAAATGCCAGGAACAAGACATAGTAAGCCAGCATGTTCGTAGAAGTGTGAAGGGTGATGGAAAGATTGTTTCGCTTATCTTACAGAGAAGTAAGCAATTTCGGCCGTCTTTTATGTTCCCGCCCAGACTTTATCCAACCCCCCGCACGTATTCTTGTACTGCGTCAGCAACCACATGCATGTGTGGAAAGGAAGAGGATTGGTGGTTAATTCTCTGGGCCCACACTTTATTGCATCTGCAGGAGGTTGATTGCAGAGAGTATCATGGAGAGGGAGTACCTCAACATTTATGTCTCAGCAAGCTGGACGGAAAGCTCTCATATCACACTTAAGCCCTACATTGGAGTTGTCAGAGCTGATTCGGAGGACTGGCTGCAAAGGTATACATTTGTCACTAAGACTTCTTGAATACAAATCTCTGACACTAGAAAAAGCGTAATGTGCCTTTCACAAAGGAACAAAGATTCAATATTGCGACTTCTTTTACTTTGTGACAGTTTTATCACCACATGTTCCGAAGGAGATACTGAAAATCGTGAGCCACTGGGACAACGGGGTAAGCTTCCAAACTATCCATCATATCTGCTCAACTGATGGGCGACACATCTCCATCTTCAGATTAATTAATGAATCTTGGAATTAAACTGTGTCATGGTAGTACTTGATGAAGTGGAGCTGAGAGATAACCTGTAAACTGCGCAATCCATCACTTTCAACTTATTGTCCAGCCATCTCCCGGTAGATTGGAATTATACCAATCAGAATCTCCGTCGAATCGTCGTGGGATTGTGTTTGGTTATTCTCATTGCGTGGTGCGTATCTTGCTCTTTGTTATGCCCGAGTTTATAATCCATTCCGTGGCCGCCAGCTTGGCCAACATGACCAAGAACTCAAGTGTCAACAACTAGGAAATATGTCATCTCCAGGTGATTTGAAACATGAGATTACACGAGCGTCATTCTCTGGGCCAACAGAGAGTGAGATCCTGCAATCCCCTCCTTGTCAGCAGTTGGCTTCAGTATTCCTTCCCAACGGGCTCGTCTGTTTTCAAGCTTCATCAGCTTTCGAATTCGAGAGCATCTTCTTCAATCCTCAATACATCTGAAGAAATAAAAGTATTTCACTTCACAATGATTTCTTTGGACACGAACAATGGTATTCTCGCGTCGACTTCTGGCATTTCCCGCCTTCTGTTGCCCCTGGTAGGTTGCCCTGAATGTCTGCACTTCCTGGCTATGTCTCCGTTGCTGACCTGCCTGTCTGGCTCCTTCAGCTGATCAGCTTCATCAGCTTCGCAGTATATCAGTTGCTATACCACCCCCTGAGGAAATTTCCTGGGCCACTGGCTGCTAAGCTCGCAAACGCCTATGGAGCCGCGCATGTCTGGCGCCGACGCCTCCACCTCGCATCACTTGAGCTCCACGAAACGTACGGTAAGCACAAGTCTTGCAACAAGTAATGGTTGTTGGCTGTGTGATCGAAGGCACACCAAGCTCTAGCTCACTCCATCCTTTTTTCTCTCAAGTTCCCCTGTTACGACGGTCTTCAATAGTGGAATCTAGAATTAACGACACAGCACAGGTCCGGTTGTGAGGTTGGCACCCAACCGTCTCGTATTCAACAGCTTGTCAGCCCTACAAGGTATATTGTATCCCAAAGTCCGTGCCTTTCTTTTTCTACATAACACACAGGCTGATATATCTAGATATATACCTCAACCCACGAGTAACCAAGGGCAGAGAATATATCCAACTACGCCAAGGTGGCCGGGGAGCCCCCAGCTTGCTCAACACGCTCGACAAAGAGGATCACCGCAGGAAGAGGCGTGTCATCGCCCCGGTCATCTCAGAAGGCTCCATGAGGGTCTTCGAGCCCCACATGCAGCTGCATATTGATTCCTTCCTCACTCAGCTGCTACGATCCAGCCGCAAGCGAGACATAATCAATATGACGCCGCGGTGCGAGCGCTTGGGCCTCGACGTAGTAGGCGAGCTTGCCTTTGGGTACCCTCTCAACACCCAGACCGACCCAACTCACCGCGTCATTATGGAGCGTCTCAAGACTCGCAGCGACCGCAGTGCCTTGTATTTCTTCTGGCCTCTGCTTCGCTTGCTTGAGTCGCTCTTCAACGTCGGCCGAGGCAGGCACAGCCTCAACGGTTTCTACGGCTCACTCAAGACCATGATCGCCACACGTATGGCCTTTCCAAAAGATGACAGGCACGACTTCTACTCACTTGCATCACGAGATATTAGTCCCGGTGAACCGGGACTTATAAGTAAGGATCTTTGGGCCGAGGCTGTACTTTTCATCGCCGCAGGTAGGTCTCGTACACATGCCTAAGTAAACCGGTTCTTCTTCAGCGTTACATCTCTGGTGACTTACTAACACCGTTCATAATACTTCTTCTCTCAAGATGGAAGTACCACCTCTACGGCCTTAAGCGGCATGTTCTTCTACCTCTCCCGAAACCCAAAAGCCTACGCCCGCCTAGCGTCCGAGATCAGGACCGCATTCACCTCTGCTGGCGAGATCCGCCAGGGCCTGCTGCTCAACAGCTGCACATACCTGAGGTGCAGTCATCGACGAGACGATGCGCATGTCGCCGTCGACCCTCGCCCCGGCCTGGCGCGAACAAGAGACCGCATCGGCCGCAGCGGGCGAGCCCTTCATCGTCGACGGACACGTCATCCCGCCGGGCACGCAGGTTGCCGTGAGCCAATATAGCCTACAACACAATCCGAAATACTTCCCCGACCCGTTCGAGTTCAGGCCGGAGCGCTGGTTGGCCCCTGAATCTGAGGACGGTGTACCTATTCCCGAGACGGCCGAGCAGCGAGATGCGCGCACCGCCATGAGGCGCGCTTTTATGCCGTTCTCGATCGGTGACCGCTCCTGTGCTGGCAAGTCGATGGCCTACCTTGAGATGAGGCTGACTATTGCCAAAACATTTTGGTACTTCGACTTTGAGAAGGCGCCTGGCGAGGCTGGTGAGCTGGGTGGGGGTTGGGCCGGCAGGACAGACAGCCGTGGCAGACGAGATGAGTTCCAATTGTACGATAGCATTGCTGTGGATCACACAGGTCCTAATGTGGTATTCCTGCCGCGTGGTCGCTACTATGAGGAACTTAGCTCTGAGAAGGTATGGCAAAGCATTTGAATATAGCATAGACTTGGCATCTACCATGACAATGAAAACTCATCGTGAGTTTAAACATGATAAATGGCTTGCCATTTTACCTATCGGCTTGATGTAGCTGTTGGAACATGGCATAACTTGAAGTTCAGAATTAGGCGTCCCCATCTCGTTGGTTTTGATATCTTTTGAAATTTATTCATTAGAAGTAGTACAATAAATTTTACTTGCCAACCTTCATAGCACTATCAGCACACTTGTCTGCGTTCTGCTCCTCCCCGATCTTTGCATGACGCTGTTCTACAGTCTCCATCTCCTGTATGGCCTGTTTTATGCGTTCCAGTGTGGTTTCCTTGAACTCCCATTCACCCCAATTCTCTTTGAGTTCCACCAGCCGCTGTCTCCAGGCCTGCCATTTCTGCAAAGCCGAGCCAATCGGCCTTAATATTTTCCAGGTATCCTGAACTTCCAAGCCTCCCTCCCACTCATTTAATGCAATGTATATAGCATCCGCAGAGCGCAGAAGCCACTCAGTAGCAATCCAGAGCCCGCAGTCGAACGCCATGCCCTTCTCACGAGTTGCCCCAAGGGCGTGGCTGAGCTCGTTTCCTGGCCAATTCATCCACTTCGTGTAGCCGGCACCTGTCAGCCTCGCAGTGAACGAAGTAAGTCTTTGAAAGTTTGTGATTTTTTCTCGGGGAGCCTGTTCCCCAAAGCAAGCGATCGGGTCTGTCAGAAGAATGATTGTCAGCAAAACGTTGATCAAGTAGATTTCTCAAACGGGGGTTTTGTACCTTGCCGCACATCTGTAATGAACATCAACAATTCTGGCAAACTCTCCCAGTCGTCCCAGAATGTGTCACCTTTGCCAAACTTCTCGTTGGGCTCCGTCCGCTTGCATAAGCTGATCACAGCGTCGGTCAGGATGTCTTGGTAAACATGGTCATGGGGAATTTGCCAAATGATGGCAACCACCACCATCGAGAATCGCCACATAACGTCTTGGGACTCCTTTCGGGATCCTACTGAGGTGCAGAGGTAGATCGTGCTGTTTTCGATGGCGCGGGACTTTGCCTGTGAGTCCGACAGTCTTGAGCTTTGCAAAGCGTTCACAATGGTCTGGTAGAAGAATGCTTGCTTTGGAGCAGCAAGCCATTCTGGGGCCGAAACATCAAGATCGATATCCATGATGGTTCAGATTTGTAGTGAAAAATCTTGTTGTATTGAAGAATGAGTTTGAGTCTGGATGATTATCAGAGGATAAATTGTGACTGTTGGCTAGAAGTTGGAGTTCAACAAGTTTGGGAGTTCCGCTGACGTGGTCAAGAGACGTTGAAGTGCAAGACTTGGTCAAGGTTGCAAGATACTTTGAAATAAATGAATGAAAGAAACAATCGCAGACCGTTATAAAGTTCTGCCCATGAATACTCTGTACTAAGCTGTGACCCGGCTATGTGTGAGCCGTCACTATGAATGAGCAGGTGGGCTCAATTAGTCACTAGCCGTGGGTTTGCCTGCCTACCGTCAACTGATGGCTGCAACCGAGTTACTGTAATGTTTGTCATTCTGAATACATGAAATTCCACATAGCATGCTCATTGTGACATTGTGGTATGAAAGGTGTGTACAGAGGTTGTGGTTTCAGGATGCGTGCACCTCACGTGAGCACGGTTTCCGCACACATTGGCATGCAGTATTATTATACAGTACCAGACTCAGTAGCTTTCACAGACGTAGAAGCGGTGTCTGTAACATGCGAGAGCATGAAATTTCAAGTCCCACTACAGAAGGTGATAGCGGACGTTGGCTCAGCTTCAAGTACAGGCCCATCATTTATAGCTAATCATAGCAAACATGGACCGAAATCGCACATACCCAGGGTTTGGTGAACACATTGGGATGAATTTCTACAAGTTAACATTGGTCTTTCAGTACTATTACATGAACATACAGCATTATGACAGGATTGGAACTACCACATCGAAGGATTCGTTTGGCCCAGCGCACCTCAATGTCGCTGGTATTGTTGTAAATAGCTTGCAGAACTGATGGAATGTTCTAGTTTATCAAAATATCATACAGACTCAAATAGTAGCAAGTAAAAACTGGTGAAAGCATGTGCTAGGGCTGCAAGTCTAGTAGCGCATTCATTAGTGCTAGCACGTCCTCAGAACACCCACCCGAGACGTCACAAAGTGACTCGCGAAGACTTGAGGTGGCTCGAGGGTAGTCAAGGGGACGGTATACCAGTTTGGTCCAGGCAGAAGATTCAATGCCTTGTATGCAAAGCTTTGCAAATCACAATGCTGGATATAAATAAACAGCACCTCGGCAGTATGGGGGACCGGGGAAAATTGCCCATAGACATTCTCACTAAATTTCTATCCACAGCCCAGTTATAAAACCCATTTCCGCAATTCAAATTCAAGTTTTACTTGACCTGGTCAATTTCTTTATTAGGATCCAATACTTATCTGCATCCTGCTATGTCTTCCTCAGGGTCAAGGCGTCATCCAGGTTGTAGCCACCGGCAAGGCCAGAGGCGCCGGCCTGCATCTTCCTTGCAGTCCCGATATAGGCCAGACTACAATTCATACGAGCTACTAGCAACCTCTTCCCTCACTTCACACTGCACGTCATACTCTGAATCTGATCATAGCAAGCCTGCCTCGGAGACTCACATTGAGTCCTCGTCAAGCGCAACCGTCAAATCGGAAAGCCCAACTAGGGATTCTTCACACGTAGGCAAGGTGCCCTGATCCTGTTTCTCATGTAGCTCAAAATATTTGTAGTATACCTTCGACTGGAAGTCCCACAAAAAGAAAGACAGGCTAGGACGCATACGTGCGAGTGATGCTCGTGAACAAGTCCAAAATGCCCCAGCTCCCGGCGTGGGTCCTCGTTATCCCAGTGCATATCACAATGCTACACTGAGGGCACAACTGCTCTGGACTTTCAAGTCCCTCGGCCCCGACAACATATACCTTTGTTTTCCGGAAGACAGCAACCACCACACCCGCTCTATAGATGTGATCCCCGTCCTTATAGGGCTGTGTATAACGACACTGACCGGACGACCTTCGACGCAATATACCACGATGTACGGAAGCCCCCACCCAGAAATGGCTATCCCCAATTCAGTTTGGGGAATTTTCATCCTAGGTCTGGACACTGAGATTGCCATGTGGCGGTTCGTGACAATTTCTGTACTCTGAGAATTTGGTAGGAAAAAGTTCGGGGTCGTAAGCTGTGCTAGAATAAACACTAACTTGGAGCACAGAAAAATGTCAATCTTTTATTTCCTACTACTCTTTCTTTTCCTCCAAATCCTGTAAGCTCACTGGTTTGGACACTTTTGTGTAAGTTATAATAATTCTGGGACCTTGGGTGACAGTAATTAGTTTGCTATACAATACTAGCTGGTCCTAAATGTGTGTAACTACTACGCAAGTAGGTGATATTACGGGTACTCCTTTCTACACTCAATGAGGTAACTCGTTTACATTCCTTGATGTATTCAACTCTGCCGGACGATCAATTGCAGGAAGCTCTGATTGGAGGCTGCTCGGAGCTTGCGATTCTGCCGCGGGAGTGCTGTAGGCTTCCATCACCTTGGGTTGTTCTGGCCCTCTGCCCCTTCCTCCCCCAGCACGCCTTCTCCGCCACACCAAGAACACCCCAAGGGCAACAAGAAGTATCCCCAATACCGCACCAACAGTGGCCCCGACTGTTACTCCCAGATTATTGGAATTTCTGGCCGTCGAAACCGCAGCGCTCGAGGTTGAGATCGGTGTCGATGTCGCCCCGGTGGTGTCGGTCACAGTGCTGCTGGTAGGACTCGGAGTGGCTGTGCTGGAGGCAGCCACATTGAGCCCGTTCAGGTGCCAGCCGAAGACTGTCAAGGTCGTGCTGTCAGGAACGACAGTCGACGTGCTGGCCTGGCCTGATAGCCGGAACCACGTCAGCGACTCCCCGGGGGGTGAGAGTTGATGTGCACTGCGAGGGGAACGTAGCCTTTGCGAAGTTGGCGACGTTGAGTCTGTAGTGCGACGGGCAGCATATGGTCTGCTTCGTGTGGCTGTCGAGCGTCGACGTATAAGCTTCGTAGTATGCCTCGGGACAGGTGAAGACTGGGCCCAGGACTGTTGTTGGCAGGGCGGCTTGGGTCCACCATGCTGACGCTTCGGGTGGCCAACAGGTCGAAAGTCTGTTGTCAACGTTCTGCGCATACCAAGGATCCCATCCCAAGAAAATCCCACCGATCTGCTGGTACACCCCTGAAGCGCAGTCCGTTCCAGCAGAGGGCCAGGCTGTCGTCAATGGGAGGTAAGATGTTGTGGCCCCGTTCTCAGTTGTCAGGAAAGGTGTTGCACTTGTCATTCTGTGGTGTTGATGGAGGCGTCTGTGTTGATATTGAACCAGGCCAGCACCAATGTCGTCGTGTAGCCAAATCAAACTCGGCAAAGGAATGCGAGAATTACAGAGCGGAGGTGATCATTAATGAGTTTTGCTTTGTGCTCAGAAAGGTGTTTCATGGGCTGGGGTCCATATAAGAAGACCAGCGCATACATCCAGGCTGAGCCCGACGGACGGCGGCCAAAGTGGCTTGCAGGTAGGGAAATTACGGAGGCATACTCTGCACCAATTGCCTGCAGGCGCAGCCCTGTATCTCGCTTCTGATCCTACTTGTATGGCCCCCAGAGAGGCCTAATGGCACGCCGACCCCACGTTGCATTGAAGGATTCGTGCCTCGTGGATCAAACTCATGCTGAAATGCCATCCTTGGAATCCTTCTACGACGATAGGCCGGGAAAGCCAAGTCACACCACAGCAGATATGGCTTGGAACTTACACCGGCGCGTAGCTCAACAATACTTGAACAACACGGAGACGCACTTGACAGCCACAGGTTTCTATGTGTACCGCAAAACTTCAAATGTCACAAGAAAGAGGTCGCCCACGCGGGGTAGTGCAATAAAATGCTGTTCCAGAAGAGGTCGTCCCAGATCGGGCCTTCCCAGGTCCACCATTATAATCCGCCTTGGTAATTTCTAGTATGCTATCCAGGTTTTAGCAAATCCCGCCGACACTACCAAGGTATAATGACCAATTTCTGCCCTTCTAATAAGCTAGGACAGAAACTGAAACGTCTTCCTTTGCATGACTTGGAATTCTCTCTGAGAGACCCTCCCAATAATCGCCTGCAGAATAGATATTACTTATTTTCTGTGCAGAGCACCCCTTGCAGACGTTAAGGTCATATTATGGTCAGCCAGAATGTGAATTATGAACGCAACAGCCGAGGATATTTATCCCAGGGTTGAAGGATGTAAGTGAACGCCCACATCCACATGTCTATACCCAGATTATGCCGAAGCCAAAATCTATATCCCCTTGGTATGCGGAGTACAGCTAAATCAGGCGAGGCTGCCCCCTACGGTGTTGACAAGCACACGCAAATACACAAGTTGACATCTACAGCACCCTCACAGATGCTTGCCGCTGCAACATGATATCTCCAACGTCTTTGTAAGACAGACCCAGAACATGCGAAATCTACCCCATCAGCTCTCACGAACCAAACAACATCCCAAGTTTATCAAGCCCAACATTCCCCCCACTAAACACAACCCCAACATCCCACCCCTCAGGCCCAGCCTCCCTCTCCACCAGCGCCCGGAACTCCTCGTTGAACAGCACGACGGCGAGCGGCACCGCAGAGCTGGGCTCGACGACGACCTTCATGCGCTCGAGGACGAGCCGCAGCGCCGCCGCGATCTGCGCCTCGGTCACGGCGAACACAGCCTGCACCAGCTTCCTGTCGTGAATGATGCTCCACGGTATCGCACCGACGGGCGTGCGCAGGCCGTCGGCGACCGTCAGGGTGGACACGCTCTCGACGCGCTTGCCCGCCGCCAGACCGCGCCGGCAGTCGTCCGCGCCCTGGAACGACGGCTCGGCGCCGAACACGCGGATCCCGGTCCCCTCGCACGACAGCGCCACGCCGGAGAGCATGCCGCCGCCGCCGCAGGGCGTGATGATTGCGTCCAGGCCTTTCTTCTCCGTGCCCCTGTCGCTCGCCATCAGCTCGTCCACCTGGTCCTGGAACTCAAGGCCCATCGTGCCCTGGCCGAGGACGATGTCCGGGTGGTCGTAGGGCGGCACGAGCGTGGCGCCCGTCTCGGCCATGACGCGCGCCGCGACGGCCTCGCGCTCGACAGACGTCGACCCGCTGAAAACGACGTTGGCGCCGTACCCCTTGGTCGCGGCGACCTTGCCCGGCGCCGAGATCTCGGGCATGATGATGTGCGCGGGGATGCCGGACTCACGGGCCGCGAGGGCGAGGGCCTGCGCGTGGTTTCCTGTGGGTGTATGTGGTGTTAGATGAAGTAGATGAGGCGTGAAGGCAAGTAAAATAAAAGAAGGAACTCACCACTGCTATGCGTGACCACCCCCCTCTTCAGCCCCCCACCAGCAACCCACCCCTCATCGGCCTTGAGCCTCTCGACGGCGTGGAACGCCCCGCGCACCTTGAACGCCCCGACCCGCTGCAGGTTCTCGCACTTGAACCACAGCCGGATGACCGGGCGCGCCTTCGTCTCCCTCTTTTCCTCACCACCGTTCTCATCACTCCCCGCCGCCTCTCTGTCCCCGGGCCTGTCCCCCGCCGGCGTCGACGCCAGCCGCGTCAGCGTCGAGTTGGTCAGCACCGGCGTGCGGTGGACGTGCGGCCGCACGAGGTCGTGCGCCGCGACCACCGAGGCGCGCGTCAGCGGCGGGCAGGTCTTTGGGTCCGCCATTGTGTGCCTTTGTTAATGGCGGGCTTCAGCGATGCCAACACCTGTGCCTGTGCCGTGATGCTCCCGTTGCTGTGCGAGCCTGTGGTGGTATTTAGACACCGTTCAGTTCCGCCGTGTTGTCAGGGTCGCTTCGAGAGTCCCTCTGCAGAGGTCACCGTCCAGCCAGACGGCTCGAGTCTATTAACCAAAGAGTGTGTAAATGTGTATATACACAATATCTACGAGAGGACCAAATGACCCAATGGCGTGTGGCGTGCTGCGTGTAAGCCAGTCGACAACAAAAGTGGAGGTGGCAAGTATGACGGGAGAAGTCACAGCGATGAGGATGAAAATAGAAGGAGACCGACACAGGGGACGGCGCGACTTTAAATGCACACGCAGTCGAAGCGGCGGGCAAAATGATAGATATCCTTGACTCGGTTCGCCTCAATCCGCAGCGGCGGTTGTTGATTCCAGAGGTCTGCCAGACGCCGTCGTCATGCTCAAATGCGCGAGCCGCATGAGGGGAGCGCGGGCCGGCCGAGACCGGAAGCCGGACGGGCACGCACATTCACAATTCACCTCCGGGCTTCATTTGATGGTCTGCAATTGGCAGTGACAGGAGCATGCTCACTATACACAGGCACTATACCACCAAGCATCATGTCACCAATGAGCAACGCGAAGACGAATGATTTAAACCACCAGAACTTTTTTCTTTCTCGAGCCCCAAGATTCCGGGAACCGCGAAAAAAGTATTTCACGGATAAAAATAAAAAATTGGATATAAAATACACAATCCCCATACTTTTTCCCATCTTGCCAGCGCGAAACGCACGCAACGCATTCCCCGTGACCTAGGACAGTTTTCCAGAACCATTCCTCTCGAGTAAATAGACAAGCCAAAAGTGATCAGCAGCCCTCATCAACCACTTCAGACTTCTCTTCCCCTAAATTTTCAGTGACCGAGCAAGACGGATTGATCCATCTTACTTCTGGTTCTCAGGACGCAGGGAGCGGACGGCCTTTCCGGCGCGCCAGATCTCCAGGCCGCGGATCTCCTCCATCTCGGCCTCGAACTTCTCGCGGTAGTCGGGCTGGCCGTTGTAGTCGAGCGAGCGCTTGGTCTCGCTGCCGTCCTTGACAGAGTCGTACAGCTGGTTGAAGACGGGCTTGAGGGCGTCCTTGAAGCGGGGCGACCAGTCGATGGCGCCACGGCGGGCCGTGGTCGAGCAGGCCTCGTACATCCAGTCCATGCCGTTGGCGCCGATCAGGGGGTACAGCGATTGGGTCGCCTCCTCGACGGTCTCGTTGAAGGCCTCGCTGGGGGAGTGGCCGCGCTCGCGGAGGACCTCGTACTGGGCGAGGAACATGCCGTGGATACCGCCCATCAGGCAGCCACGCTCTCCGTAGAGGTCAGAGTACACCTCCTTCTCGAAGGTGGTCTTGTACAGGTATCCGGAGCCGACGGCGACGCCCATGGCGATGGCCTTCTCCTCGGCCTTGCCGGTGACGTCCTGGTAGACGGCGACGGACGAGTTGATGCCACGGCCCTCACGGAAAAGGGAACGCACGGTACGGCCGGAGCCCTTGGGGGCGACGAGGATGACATCGACGTCCGTGGGGACGTCGACCTTGGTCAGGTCCTTGAAGACGGGGGAGAAACCGTGGGAGAAGTACAGGGTCTGGAGTGACGCACAATGTTAGCCTTGGGGGATAGAGCAAGGACTTGTATGTGTTTAGCTCGCTGGAATGACTCGCCTTTCCCTTGGTGATCTGAGGCTTCAGGTGGGGCCAGGTCTCTGACTGGGCAGCATCGGACAGCAGGTTCATGATGATGGTGCCCTTGGAGATGGCCTCGTCGACCTCGAACAGGTTCTTGCCGGGGACCCAGCCATCCTGGATGGCGTCCTTCCAGGACTTGCCGTTCTTTCGCACACCGATGATGACGTTCAGGCCGTTGTCACGGAGGTTGAGACCCTGGCCATGGCCCTGGGAGCCGTAGCCGATCAGGGCGAGGGTGTCGTTCTTGAAGTAGTCCTGTGGTTGTCATCAGCAGACTGGTCGCCCAGAGCAGCGCTGAAGCTGCTGTGAGGTCGAAGGGGGCTAGGTGACTCACCAGGAGCTTCTCCTTGGGCCAGTCGTCACGCTCTGTTGGGGAGGGGCAATTAGAGTCAGAGGCGCCAATGCATCAATTGAGGCGGGCTCGAGGCTCACCGTAGACGGTCTCCTTGTGGCCGGCAAAGTCAACAGTCTTGACACCACGGATCTGCTGCTGGACGGGGCGGGCCAGAGCAGGGCGGGCGACGGCAGAGGTGCGCGAGGCGGCGTTCAGAGCAGCGACGAATGTGCGTCTCTGGACGGTGTTCTTGGTCAATTGACGGGCGGCGGGCCGCAGGGCGGACGAGAAACCTCTGGCAGACATTGTGAGGGCTGTTCTAAGTGGAGATTGGGGTCACGAGAAGGGGTTGGAGAAAAGCAGGAGAGGAAGGAGGGAAGGAGGAGAGGGATGTGGTGTTGATCGAGCGAGCTTCGAAGCTTATACCGGGGCACCTACCACCCAGGCCCCAGACCAAACCCAGAGCTCCGATCTGCTCGACTCACCGAATGGTGTTGGACCAATTTTTTTTCACGTCAGCTCCGAGCTCGCTCGCCCTATCTCCTTTGGGGCCTGCACCCAGCACGGTGCAGCACGGGTAGAGGCCCTGCGTTGCTGTGACAGTGGGGCTAGGGTCCCGGCTGGGGGGGGGGGGCCAAACGGAGCCAATGGAGCAAACCTCCAACTCACGCCCGTCTGGGGAACAGGGGGGGTCACTGCCTTGGCCTGTCTGGCCTGTCTAGCTGCTATCCACCGCGAAGAGTCATCGCCCAGTCAAGTGCGAAGGAAAAGACGACTCTCGTCAGTGTTCTCGTCTGCCGCGTGTCGCCGTTTCAGTCTCAGTCCTCACTTGGTATGCAGAGATATGGTCCAGACGCAGCCAAGAGAAGCCCAATACTCCCGTTTCAAGCTTGGGAAAAGAGCCAGGCAGAGTCGCACAATGCACCGTTCCTCAAGATGCGATACCCATGCGTCGAGCAGGTATCACAAAACACAGAACTTTTCCAGTCCGGAGCATCTGTTTTCAATTTCTGCCGTGTGTGACAGGCCTTTCATGATAATATCAGTTGTAGTAGTGGTAGTCGCTCATGAAGCCCAGCCTTGCCTCACACCTCGTCATTGTTCTCGATCGATTCCTGGTCTATCATGTCTCTTCCTTCCACTCTCCGTATCCGACTTTCTGCCACCTGTAGAAAAAAAAAAGAAAAAGACATCTAGACACTTCGCCGAAAATGGGCGCCTCGCTGTGATCGTAATGCCCACCACGTTTCCGCTCGCCCCATCCTCCCCTGCCAGTCTGATATGTGACAGTTCGAGATGCCTTCTTTCGTCCTCCCAGCTTCTTCACGTGCCCGTGCCGTCCTTCCCCATTCTCAGTGTGTAATGTTCTATTGCTGCAATGACCCGCTGCAAGGAGTACGACCGCAGCGGTGACTCGGGCATTCATTGAAAGGGTGGCGGTCTGCGAAGACTATGCCTGCCTTCGATAGCCTCATCGTCCCTCCTCCTCTTGTTCCCCTTCTTCGGGGTGGCCGAAGCCGCTCACTTCAGCACCCGGTCGAAGCTGACGCCCCGGACGGAGCCGCCGGCCATGCTAGATCGGACGTTGCGCTTGAAGCCCTCGCGGTTGTTTCGCAGGTCCTCGGCGGCCTCCTTGTTGAGCGGGTCGCTGGCGTTGGGCTCGAGGAAGAGGACTGCAGGCCGACGATGACGGCGTTGAGGTTGAGAACGGGCTTCCAGTCCTCGCGCAGGATGTTGAGGCACACCTTGCCCTCGAGGTCGATGTTGGGGTGGTAGATCTTCTGCGTGCAGCGCACCTTTGGCGGCTCGTGCGGGAACCCCTGGTTGATGTCGAAGTCGAACGTGAACCGCCCGCCCCGGTACATGCCCTCGTCCGGCTCGATGGTCAGCACGAACCGCAGGATGTTGTCCGGGTCCGGGAACTCCGTCTTCATCGTCGTCCCCAGGGATAGCTCAGAGAGGTCCTTTTGCACCCGCAGCTGCGCCGCCGTCACCTTCTTCTTCTTGCCCCCGGCTGCCGCGCCTTCCGCCGCGTCGGCCTTCTGCTGCTCCTTCTTGATCGACCATATCTTCAACATCTTGCCCGCCTGTGCGATGGGTGGCCGCCCCAGGAATCTGTTTCCGTGTTCTTGGGTTCAGGGGACGGGAGTGGAGTAGTTGGGTGTGTGTGTGAGAGGATGTCGAGTGTCGCGTGCGAGGCGTGGGTAATGAGGCGAGGGTGGCTGCGATGGTTGGGTTGGTGTGCTTCTGGATAAGGTTACGAAGTTGAAGTCCTGATATCAATACTAGGTATTAACCCAGATGAAGAACAAAGTCGTCAAGATTGATCTGGATAGTGAAGATGTCGAATACCAAGTCACCTGCCTGGAGTGTAGGCCGTATGTTGATCAGTGGCTGGCGGAGTGCGAGTTGGTGCCTGAGAGCGTCGGAGGCGAGAGTGTATCGGGCTTACAGTTCCAAGGTTGGCCGAGCGTGGGGTCACCGATAAGATAAACAACCTGTCCAACTCTCCACCAGGACCGAAATGAGACTCTCGCTTAGTCGTCTCACAGCTCAAGCAAAACATCAATTCAAGACAACCACAAAGATCATTCAGACATACACATCATTGACAGGTCACAAAAAGAATAACACGACAGTTCTGCTGGTTTCAAGATTATGCACTTGGGCTATGAAATTCCTCGTCCTGCCTATAGAGAAGAAAAAACACTCTCGTAGAACGCCATCGTCAATATGCTCCTGTTTTTCTCGCCACCAATGTAATTGTGTCCATGTCCACAGCCTGGAAAGAGAGGCAGTCACAGATGCTCCAGATCCCCAGCCTCCATCCCGCCTCTTTGCTCTAAACCGCCAAACCACGAGAGGAGAGGCCACTATGTAGTAGGCAGCTGAAAGAAATCTCGCAGGGGTCCCCCCACACACAAGACCCAGTGGCCAGCCTGCAATGCCATGTTTTTGGCGGGGTTTCTGCCTTAATATACAACAATTTACCCTTTAACCCAGAATGACTGAGAAGCAGATTTCGTTTCTCATCGTGTAAATGTGTAGATGCCGCACCAAGTGACCTCTGGAAGTCTTGCAGTAAAACAAGCGCTTACCGCCTGGCAAAGCAGCACATGATACCCGTCTTACCCAGGAACCAGCAGAAGCCAATGAAACGAATAATGGACAGGAATGCAGTAGCGTACAGCAGGACCTTGAAGAACCAGGCGGTACGTGCGGTCGAGTTTGTCTAAAATTACAGGTTAGCGTTGAGGGGTCACAAGCAGGTAGGTCGGTTGAAACAGGTTGATGGTGGTAACTTACGCCGATACCTAGTCCGTCAAAGTTGTCCGAGGTGATGATCACCGCCAAAAGACAGTTGGAGAACAGCCAAGACGCGACCAGACCCGTTCGGAAAGACTTGTAACCATCCTCGAGGTCGGGCTTGTCGTCCTCGGGCTCCTCCTTGAAAGGAGCAAGGGCACGCCTGACCGTCTGCTCGAACTGGCTGTCGATGTCCTCTTGTGGCTTCTCGATTTCCTCAATGACTGGGCCATCACCCTTGTCGTCCTTGATGATGTTGGCAGATGGGAGCGCCTCGGCCTTGTCGGATCCCTTGGTACCCCAAGAAACATCGTGCCAGTTGTTGAATGCGTACACCATGAGGATGTTGATGTAGGTTGACATGAGCAACAGGTAGTAGGGGTAGGAGTGGAACATGTGCCATGGGTCCAGGTACATGAACGAGGCCAGATAGTACATGCCGTAGATGGTGAACAGGGCCAGTAGAAGCACACCTCCGGTGGACTCGCCGCCGAACAAACTCTTCAGGAAGTCACCCGTGTTGTCCGTGTCAAGGCCAAGCCCACCGTGGAAGGCGCGGTAGACAAGGTAGCCAGAGTCGAACAGGATGTAGAGCTGCACAAGACCGAAGACGACGAATGAGGCAATGTAAGTGTACCTGGAGCCCTTAGGCCTGTTACCCAGAGCCAAGATGAACTGCAGGATGACGAAGCCCAGGTAGAGATACTTCAGGACAGCGTTGAAGTATGGGGTGACGGTGTTGCCGAAAGGCCACCCGACAGCGTCGGACGCGGCGTTGTCTTGAGACTGGGGGTTGCCCACAAGATCCATAATGACCGAGGTGGTAAGCCAGTACGACGAGAGAGAGAACCAGGAGAAGACCAGGTTGGCAAAGTTGTAGAGAGCCTGGACGTGGAAGAAGAACATGCGGATGATGTTGTGGCCAGACTTGTACATGCGACCAAAGTGCATCGACGAGTACAAACTGGCAGCGAATGAACCGTTGAGCCATCGTCGACGCTGAGAGATGAACTCAGCAGCACCTTCGGGAACGTCAGTCTCACCCTTGGCCGCCTTGATATAGCTCAAGTGCCACTTCTGGCCGGCCTTGGCGACCAGCTCGAAACAGAGGATACGATCCTCGGCCAAGAACATGTTCTTCTTGAAAATGTTCATGCCGTCAATACCCTTCTTGCCGAGAATCTTGGAGAGCGTGTGGTCACCGTGGAAGTACTGCTCCAGGGGACGGCCCATGATGGCTCGGAACCGGTAAGCCGAGAAGGCACCGGGCAACACACTAACGTAACCGAATGCACTCTCCAGGGGCTTGTCCAGGATGTTGGAGATCTTGTACTCGAAGTTCTGGACGGCGACAAGCGGGTTCAGGAGCTTCTTTCCGCCCTTGCCCAACATAGCATGTATCTCACCACAGGCACCGCCAAGATCCTTGTCGTTGTAGAAACCCTCCCACAGGGCGAGAAGCGACCTGGGGCTGGGTTTGGTACCAGCATCAAGCAGGATGCAGACCTCGGGGTTCAGGATACGGCCGAAGCCGTTGAACAGCCAACGATGGGAGTTGATCTTCTTGCTGTTCTGCGCCTTGACACAGAAAATCATCTGCACCGGGGGCAGGGTCTGAGGGCTGTCGTCGAGAGGCCGGATGAGCTGCTGGTTGGGAGTGACAGACAGCTGTGTGGTGTATTCGAAAATGTGGGCAACGGTGGGCTCGCCGTTGACGTCCTTCTTGATGACACCGTCCTGGTAGATACCAATTGTGGCCAGAACGTCAAGCGCGTTCTTGTCTGTCTTTCCAATACCGTCGAAGACCATGCACACGACGATCTTTTGCCAGGCTGGGCCACCCTTGTTCCAGAAGGTGGACTTCTTGAGGTTGACAATGTCCCGGATGTTCTGCATCACACCGTGGAGGGTTCTGGCGAGTAGGACCTTGTCCTCGTTGTAGTAGGTGATGGCAATACAGAGCTCAGTGTGGCGGTTGTACATGCGAGGCCGCAGGTCGTAACCGTTCTTGAGGGTGAAGTCGTTGGGGTCGCATGTTGCGGCCGTGTAACGCATCTTGGTGAACTCCTCGTTGCCGCCCTCGACGTCTCGGTACTTGGGCTGGATAGCGTTCTTGATGGCACTGGGCACGGGGTAGTCGATACTCAGGACGGAGCCCTGGACCAGCTTGACCCTTCTGGTCTTGGACCGGCCCAGGCCGCCTCCCGCGGGCACCTGCTGGCGGTTGAGCCAGCTATCTTCGTCGCCCACGGTAGACGGGGGGTGGCCGGGGTCTCCAGTTGGGAACTCGGCGCCGTAGCCACCCGCACCGCCGTACTCATTGCTGTAGCCACCGGGGCCGCCGGAGCCGGGCACGGTGGTGGCGGCGTTGGGGGCGTAGGACTCGGTCAAGCTGTATGCGGAGACGGGGCGGGCAGGAGGGGTGGCAGTGCCCCCAAGACGATCTTGCTCGTACATGGTCGAGCCTTGACTCAGAAGGGATCGCTGTGCTTCGTCGTCCTGCTCGTTCTCGGGGGGCAGGTGGTACTGCGGCGCGAAAGGAGTGTTAGACGACCGCGGTCACAGTTGCTCAAGATCATCAGGGACCAAAAGTGGGGGCGAGGAGGTTGAGATGGAGGAGCAGGATGGGAATCTGTCAAGGGCACGAGGGAAAGCTGGGCAGGGCAAGGCAAGGCAAGGCAAGGATCGCGGTGGGAATCGATGCGAGGTGCAGATGGGCAGACGGGGGGCAGTAGTAGTAGTAGAAAGAGCTTGTGACGAACGCCTGCTGGGTTTTGGTTGAGGTCCTGCATGCCATGGCTATTGTAGCCATCGTTATGGCCGTTGTACGCCATGTCGGCAACCGTCTGGACAGGAGCTGGCTAGGTGAACGGCCGTTTCGATTATTTTAAGCGGGTCGAGTGACTGGACCGCTCCACGCTTGCGTGTCCGGTACAGGTCCAATGGGGGGCCGTTAGAGTGAATGGCTGGGGTGCGGCAGCGTTGGGATTGCTGGTGATGATGATTGTAATAAGGCGAAAAGGGGGAACCGGCGATTCTGGGATGGGATGGATTTGGATGGGGACGAGTAGTCGCGTGCGGTTCGGGTGACGGAGACAAAGGAGCTCCTGGTCGGTAGCGCTGCTTTGCTGAGCTGGGCCTTGCTGGGCTCTGGCCTTGCTTTGGCAGGCTTGCTGGACTGGGAAAGTCTAGAAAGGAGGCACCCGCTTCTCCACGCCAAGGGCAGGGCGAGGCAAGGTTGCTGGATGGTGGTGTGCCGACCCGGGCAAGCAACAGGCAAGCGATCCAGAGAACAAGCAGATGGGGGGGATCGGTGATGTGCAAAAATCAAAGAGTTTTGGGTAGAGAAGCGAAGTGAAATATCTTATTGCTCTGCCGGTCAAGAAGCACCCGAGAGAAGGAAAAAAAGGAAAAAGGGTCCCCTCCTGGTCCTGGGCTCTGGGCTGGCTGGGGCTGTTCCTCAAGAGGCCAACAACTACGTGCGTCTGGCGTGGTCTGGCCTAGCAAAGGGGAGGAGAGCGAAGGAGAAAAAAAAAAGGAGGTCCGCATAAAAGCGACCACTAGGAGGGCATCGGGACAACACAATTGTGGCTTAGGACAGGGGCGCGTTTGGCCCAAGATACCCAGGGGTCTGTCCCCATCTCAGCCCGGGGCCCGTGAGCCCGTCTGTCAATCACGGCCTGTCTGTTCTCAACGCCGTCTTGGTCACCCATTCATCCAATCTGCCTGGCATAAACTCTGTTGGCGTACCATCCGCTCCGTGCCACCCACCCGCCACCAGCCAGCCCTCCACCGGTGCTGGCGAGACATCACAGGCCATCCCGTCCCATCTCTGCCCGTCCTAAGTATGGGGGAGGCCGCATCTAGCTCGGGGCATGATGAACACCCGGCAGGGGCTCCCTTCTCTGAGATGCCGTCATGACGGGTGGGCAGGCTTGGAGACAAGGCCGGACACGATGACGACGTCACAGCCTCCCAGCCTGCAACCTCCAACACCCCCAGTCCCTACTGTAGATGCTTTATTGTATATGCAGCAATGCAACCGTGCAGCTATGCCGCAGCCATGCAAGCCTGCTAATTGCCTATCCGGCGAGCACTGATGAGATGAAATTGGCAATGTGATACTGCACAGAGCTTCAACGGCGATACACATATGTCCCATCGACGATGACGGGCCGAGCTAGGAGCGGCCCAGACGCCGGCACTTGGCTTTCGACAGCTCGCTCCTTGTCTCGTCCTACCGTCGAAACGTTCCTCTAAAGCCTCCGGCCGTTGCGTCTTGGGCCTTGGGGTAGAAGCCAAGCGCCCAGGAACACCACATACATCATGCATCTTTGATCGCTGGGTGGTGACAAGACAACAGGGAGATGTTGGCGTTATTGTACAGTGCCTGCACGCTGTATTCTGTCTTGCCCATCTTCCATTCTAGAACGGCTCCATAGCTTCTGAGATCTTCACTCGCGAAAAGGACCCTGAGAATCTGTCTGTCACCTTCGGTGTCAGGCCGCCCAGACTGTCCAGGCTGTCCAGGCTGTTCACACGTCTATGTATGTAGTCTATTATCCCTCCGGCCCCTCAGCCCCTCCAACCCCTATGGGCCCCCTATTCCGTGCTGATCCCAACTTGAGATCTGGGGATGGTCGGCCTGCCATCTGCCAATCTCGTTCCGAGGAGCACGCGGTGCCTCCAGGGATCATATGTCAGTGAGCACCCGGTTTCCTGCACGACCTTGGCCACGCAGCCAGTAGCTGCCCGCAGGCCCCCAGCACTGGAAGCCCCCTTCTGAAACAGCCACCCACTTTGGCAGCTCCTCGCTCGTATTTTCCTTGCCCCCGTAATAATAAACCACCCGTCACCCTCACCGCTCTGCTGGGCCGGCGGATGGCTGCAGCCCCCCCCCCGGCTCAGCTAGTCCCCACTGGCACGCAGCCAGCACCCAGCAGCACACATGACAGCACAGACGGCGTCAAAGCGGTTGTCAACCGCGACTAGACACGCACATAAGAGGCAGAGACACCAACCTCGTGGCCGCCGTTGAGCATGATCAACGCCTTTGCCGCCCTCTGCCCGCTGGGGAAAGGATTCCTCGAGTCTCCCTTGGCCTGAGCGGGCGGCCCACATGCGCGGCTCACTGCAGGCCTGTCCAATATCCATTTTACTTGAAATGGCGCTCTCTGTACTATTTGGCGCTGAAATACACTGAGGGGAGTGAGCGACATTTGGCTCCAAAAATAGAAACACGCAGCCCTCTGGCCTTGGGAGGCCTTGGGTGGCTCGTGTCCCGTCGGCAGCTTCCGCCCTATCCCCCATCCGGCATGTCCATCATGAGGCTGTGCTCGCTGCTCAGCCAGGGGCGTTGTGTCTTGTTTTTCTGGATTTGCTCACTCCGTAATAATTCCCGCCGCGTCTCAAGGAGGAATTCTTCGCGGTTGATATCCATCCGTCCACCCATCCCCGCCAAACAGCATCACGGAAGCCCAGTCAAAAAGGGAGACGGACAAAAGAGAAAGCCTCGGCAAGGGCTTTGTCTCTGGGAACATCTGCCGATCGGACGACTCGCGCACGCGGAGAATGCTCACCTCAGCGCATGCGGCGCGATGGATCTTCGCAGCATGTTGGGGATCCAGCGCGACTCCTGCTTCAGCCACTGGCGGGAACCCTTTTGACACGTCTGCTCGGCGGCCCAGCCTGAACTCAGATCCTTTGCTCACAGGTGGCGCTGACCTTGCGGGCCGGCCGGAGGGGTCAGGACAAGCCACAAAGCAGGGAGGAGGTGAACACATAGTAAACGAAACCATCGCGCCCAGACACCACCACCCTACATCTGAGGCCGGCCCCGATCTTCGCGGCGTAGGAACGGGGTGGGCATCCCGAGCCCGGGCAGACCGCCGGCCGGCCCTCCATCCCGAAAATGTTTGTGTTTCGCAGCCCGTCGTTGGCGGGGTGGTGTCCCTCGCTAGTAACCACACTGTGGCTGCGAAGGGCTGGCCTCGTGTCATGTCCCACTGTCCCCCCCTCTCCAACCACTCGCCCTACATCCTTCCCCTCGCTACACAAGCGCTGGGAGGGCCGGAATGGACCTCGTGAGATCTGGGTCGGGAGGCTCGACGCAGAAACCTAATTCGACGACAATCCCGAGGTACCGGGACCCAACGAGAGCCTAAGGCCCAGGGGCTACAATCGACTCTGGCATGGCCTTTGAGCTTGTGCTAGTTATTCAGACGGTGGGCTGGTAACGGTTTCCACGTGCAGTAAGAACAGTAGAGGCATTTAAGGTGTGCCGGATGTCACCAGAACGAGCGGGCTTCGACTCATGCTGTTTTCTGTGACATCGAGAGGTCTTTTGGCCCTGTCGAATGCACCAATCTGACGATCTCCGAATGTGAGCATCGCGCCATCTTGGACTGCTACCAAGGCTCAAACCTCATGACCGACTCGACCGTATATATGCCTGATACGAGAAGTCCTTCCAGACACAAAATCGTGATACTTTCCTGAAGGCTACGGTCAATCTGCCCCGCCGTTGGCAGCAAACTCTAATGCTACGAATGGGATGCCATCCGATATGCCAGTCCCCTCTCCTCGCCTTTTGTCCTCCCACGCCACGCCGCGGGAGCCAAGCCATTAAATCTCGCGTGGGTAGCACGAAGGCAACGCCCTCGCCTAGGACCACGGCCTCCCGCGATTTCCCCGGATTGGATGGCACAGGACTGGCCGCCCGGGGTGATCGTCGCTGCAGGGCACACAACTCTCACGCGCCCACGAGCTCGTGAGCTTGTGAACCCTTCGGAGCATGCAGGGCCGGCTGATTCATCCAACGAAGGGAAGCCGAGCTGCTGACCAGGCCACCAGCGATCCGGGGGCAGGCATGTCGTGCTATGGGCGGGTGACTCGTCATTGAAGATCGAGGGTACGGCCGGGACTTCTGCGCCTCCGGGGTTATCCGGTGCCTGGACATATTCGGCTTTCTGCATGAAGGTTGTACAGTGCCCAGAGTGCCTTGGTCCACGCCGCGCGTGGCTCTTCTGTGAATGCCAGGTAGTGATGACAAGACTCACGATGCGCACTGCAGATTCAGCAGTCGGATCAAGACTCGGGCCGAACTCAACTCTTCTCGAGGCCAGAGCAGAGCAGGCTGAAGACAGCGGGCAAGTGTCACAAGCCTTGCTTTGATGGCCAAGGCAAAAAGGTTCTGACCCTCAGACGGCTGGCGAGGGCTGGGTAGGACAAGAGAAATTGAAATTGCAGGGGTTGGCATTATCCCAGCGACCAGGAGGACGGAGAGGGTGGCTAACCCGATACGAACAAGGTCCGTCCGCAGCCGGGCGCGCCAGGAGGGGAAGGAAGTAGATAGATTGAAAAGGCTTCGGGATTTGTGGTTGCAGGCTTGCTGCCATGGAACGAATACTGGAAGAGCCGTCCTGTCGACCATCCAAACCCACCGACGACGAGAACAGACAATACGACCAAGGACCGGTAGGGCCAAGGCGCTCGCTTGTCGAGCCACCCCTGCCGGAGCAGAGTTCCTGATGAGTGTGAATGAAGGCCTTGTGGCCCAGGTGCTCACCAACCAGAGGCGGCAGGACCAGGAAGGCCAGGAAGGGCGAGGGACGGAGGAGAGGGGGCGGTGGTGGTGGTGTGGCCCCATGGACCCGCTCGGTTGGGGCCAAGGAGTCGTGCCTGAAGCAGGCTTTCAAGGTTTGCAAGCCGGCTCGAGCTAGATTGGGGTACGTATACTAGGTTCGGTACGTATTGGTTGCGTGAACTATCAGACTTGTGTACTGCTGCAGGGCTGTAGTGTTAGTAACCGTTGGTGAGAGGCGGAAAGAAGAGAGACGAGGACAGAAGGAGCAAAGACGAGCTGACAAGATGGCGAGGGCAGGAGCAGGGGCCAAGGCCTAGACTCGAGCATTCTTCTGGTTCTTGGCTTGTCGATTGTCTCTCTGCAGCTGCAGCGCGGTACATGACCCGGTTGTCGTCTGTAGACCCAATCTATATCGGATGTCACTCTGACTGTCGACACACTCGCTCCCACCCCATCCCATGCCCATCCCATCCCCACCTGCCCTGATGATCCGGCCAATCCATTCATTCGCCCTCCCACCCAGCCATTCCACTCCCCAATTCCACTCATTCATTCACCCGCATCGATATTCCCGCCCATCTCATCACAATCTCGCGCCCGTACCTACCCATGACCTGACCTTGACCTCTCCCAACCTGGAGACTCCTCTCGACCTGGCTTGACTTTGATTCTCTCCGTGCCGTGCTCAAACCCAACTCAAATCTCGTTGACCTGCCACCCTGCCGTGCCGTTCCGTTCCACGACGACTGGCCGATTGTCAAAGCAACACATCGCAGCGCAACGCACGCAACGCAACGCAGCAGAACGGCCACGCCAGCTGCCGATGGGTTTCCACTCAGGATAGACTGACTTGACTGTCTCGACTCCTCTGACCATCGCCCTCTATCTTTCTCTTCGCCTTCCCAGGAGCTAGTTCTCCTAGTCGCTCGCTATTTGACCTCAACTTTTTCAGCCCGCTCGTTGCTGGTTTCTCCGCCCTTGAAACAAACTCCCCTTTTCCCGACGACCCCTTTCACGACGACTCCGACGACACACAACACGCTCGTACTCGCTCGAGATACAACACATTCCTTTTTGGCACCCATCCCATTATTCCTCGAGGAAAATCACTCCTCGCCGACATCGACCCGACACACGAGATACCGAAATACAGTACCGTGCCGTGCATGAGTGCGTGCATCCTATTTAAAGAATAAGCAGCCTCGCCAAGCCCCAGCTGAAAGGGTGCCGTCCGTCTGGCCCCCGTGGTTGAACCTGTCTGATCCTCGACCCGGATCTGCGGTTGCTTTGCTTACCTGCTTGTCGATCTTCTCACAAGTCAAGCCCAATTGAACCTACAATATCCAACATCACCTCCGTACCTACCTGTCGAACCCATCCCCCAGTCTCGCATCGTACGTCACGATGCCGATCTTAGAAGAAGGTATAGTCCAGCCCATGCCATCCATCGCGACTTGGCCGACCAGCGCTGCTGCATCACCCTCTCCTCGTCTCCGTTCGCAGCAGCAGTCCGGCCTCGTCAACCGACGACCCATGGCTAACCTCGCTTGCTCGCAGGCTCGTACCACAGCCTCTTTGGTCGTCAAAGCGGTTGTGTACAATGTCAGGAGGGAACGCCGTCATGTCCTGAATGTGGCGATGGCAAGGAGTGCCAGATTTCAGTCCCGCTCGATTGCACACAATGTCCACAAGCCTACTGTGCCGTCTCCTCCACCGCCTCCTCATCATCAAGCTCGTCAAGTTCTAGCCCAAAAGCCAGCGGGGGAGCCATCGCTGGTGCCGTGATAGGAGGTCTTGCCCTGATCGCTCTCGTCGGAGTCGGCACGTACCTCGCATGGAAGCACTGCGTCAAGAACAAGAGGGCGTCATTTGAGCAGGGACAGTGGGAGGACGATGGAGAGTACGCTGGGCAGCGCGAGAAGGACTTCAACGCCATGCGGGACGGAAGGGCGTCGACACAAGCCCGCAACTCGATCGCCTCGACCGTCCTTACCCGCGCCTCCAACATAATCCAGATCGCCTACATCCCCGGCGTCACGAATCGGGCAACGCCAACGTCGCCGACGCTGCTGGTGCCACCAGTGCCCCCGATTCCCATTGCCGTCTCCTCCCAGGCCGGCACGCCAAACTCCACCGAGGACCAACACTTCTTCGTTCCCGGTGACCTGCGCGACTCGATGGCCTCTGGCATGACCGGCTACACAGACCGCACCTCCTTCGCCCGCACATCTTACGCACCCCGCTCGAGCGTCGCCTCCACCATCTACGGCAAGGCCGGTGTGGTCGTCACCCCAGCGCAGACGGGCATGCGTGCCAAGGCTGCCATGGTGAGCGTCAAGTCGACCGGCAGCGGCTCCTCCGACGGCGGATCGGTGCCACCCGTGCCCGCCGTAGATAAGAGCAGGTTTCAGGGCCCCGAGCCCGCCAGCCCGTCAGGCAGCACCTTTAGCATCGGTTCAACGTTCATGAACAACGCCAAGAGCGCTACCGCCGTGCGTGCCCAGGTTGTCCGCGTCGGCAGCAACCTGAAGCAGTCGTCCACGCCTGCCAGCGTCAACACCGCCTCGGCGGCAGGCGCAGACAGCACCGACGACGAGCGAGACGACGCCGTCACCGCACGCTCCGGATTGTCAACACCTAGCACGCTCCCGCCACCGCGGGACGAGCAGCAGAGCCCATTCCGCGACCCGAGCCCGGCGCCGCCGGCAGCGGCTGATGGTGGGCGCCCACGCGGTTCTGGTCTGAGCACCGTCGCTGAGTCAAGGGCGTCGCAAGGCCCTCCCCGAGGCGTCAGCCCCTTTAGTGACGCCCACGCCACACAAGAGAGCAGGTGATGCTTTCGTCCCCAACCCGACGACATGTCTATAACGAAGCGACTGTCTTGGCACGAGACGAGACGAGCAGAACGGGCGACGGCGGCACAAGTTTGCTTCGCTTTGCCTTGACCTGATCTCGTCAGCTTCAGTGCCTGGCAGTGTGGCCGACCAACACCACCTAGTCTGGGTGTATATGCCATTGTCTGTACCATTCATACTCTGGCAGATTGCACGCAGGGCTCAGGGGCTGTCGTGGCTGTCACCTCGATATGATCTCATACCGAGGTCCAGGAAGAATCCTCATAGACCTACCCACCTACTTACCTATCTATCGACTCATCTACCCACCTATCTACGTATCCGGAGGGAGGATTTTATACCCATTCATCTGTCCATCTACTACTTCTTATTGTTTTTATTTTGGAAAAATGGGGGAAAAGATACGTACGAACTCGACAAAGCTTCTTCGACGGGAACGGGGCTACGGCGGCGGCTATGTTACGCTATCTACACGGGAGGACGTTTTCATTTATCCCGGCGTTTTCTGTTGTTTTTATATATCTGGGGAGAACTTACGAGTACCCCACCCCCAATCAACACACTTCCGCACCCTGATTGAACGGGGGAAGCAATTTCCCCTTGACTGAATTTCTCTTGGATGTGGGGGTTTGGCTTTTACTTCGGAACGAATACATGCGGACAGACATACCTCCCCTTTTCCCTGCTTGGAATGCGGCAGCCAGAGAAAGATCAAGGCATCGAGAAGAGGAATTCGAAGTGGGAATGAGGGAGGGAGGAGAGGCATACATATGTATGCTGAGAGGAAGGAGGTTGGGTCGGAGGGGTCGGATCCGTGTTTGATTTTCTTCGCGCAGTCCCCTCCGGGGCCTACGGGACCCACTCGCCCCCGTTTTCTTTTTATATCATTCTCCTGGTATATCTTTATCCTTGACGGAAAGAAAGCCGTCTTTTTTCTTCGTGTGTGTCTTGGTGTGTGGGGGAGGACAGGGAGATACTGTCGATAGAGATGGCGCCTTGTTTTTTGTGTCGTCTGTCTGGCTGGTGCCTAGTCCTATACGCAATGTTATACGACATTACATGCCTCCAACCAAGTGCCTATTTTGACGGCTTTGCATGCTTGCTTGATCGTACAAGTGCCTTGTCTGTCGCGCGTCGCTGGGCACTTGACGAGACACGGGGAAATCGAACGGCGGCCGTGGAGAGGCAGTCCATGCATCCATATGATTGAATGATAATCCTCATCCACCACCCAATATCTATTCGTCAATCTTTCGGACAATGAGGCACCTCTTTCATTTCGGCCCAATGAATGTCCATCCTTTGCTTGCTTTGCTCCATGGGGAAATTCTGCGCCAGGCGAGATGAGCCACCGTGAACGAATAGCAAAAGCGTGGAAGGGGGACTCCAAGGACTCGTCCACACTCGTGTGTTCGGTGGGCGCGTGGGTGCGGGCATGGGCATGGCATGAAAGCCCTCTCAGCCAGGCCAAATCGCTAGATACCAGTTCCGGGTTTCCCCGTCCACCAGCAGCCCAAGCGAGGGAAGTAAAGCCGAAGTGAGTGCTGTGTGACCTCTGCTTTGTCTTCACACGGATGTCCAGCCAGCCATTCCGCCAGCCAGCCAGCCAGCCAGATATTCCCTACTCGGATCTGCCAGCCCGAGAGGGAGAGAATTCGTGCCAGCGTTTGTGAAGAGGGATATTTCACATTCCGGTCAACTTGCGCTTAGCGGGGCATGTAAAGAAGCGTTTAGCAAAGTCTTACTTAGATTGTTGTGTGTAAAGCGACGCCGGTCGGAAGTCATGGAGGAGGGCTCATATAATTAAATCTCATTTTCCTCCTTCCAGCTCATTGTTTACGTTTTTCTCCATCCACCCGAGATGCGTGCGTACATAAATGAGTATATGCGCACGTGGGATATCACTAGAAGATTAAAAAAAAAAAAGTAAAAGATAGACACAAGCACATAAAGAGCAGGTGGTACGCCTGCTGTAACAGATGCCCGTCCACGCCGACGCCAGAACCCGAGTTTTCCTTACACAACCACGTGTCCACCGACAGAGAGTCCACCGCCAGAGATGAGTGTACGCCAGCCAGCCTAGTCTCAACCTGCTCTCCCTCCACGAATTGTTGCCTTGAATCCTCACACCACTCCGAACTCAGTTCTTCTTGGCAGGGAAGTGCATCTCCCCAGGTCCGCCAATGACCATCTTGTCGAGGATGGCGCCGATGCCCTTATTCCGGGGCCGGCCCTCGTCCCCCTCGGCAGCGACCCGATCAATGTCCTCGGCGACGCGGCGGGCGCGGGCGACGAGAACGTCAAGGACGGCGCGGGTGTAGTCGAAGCTCCCCGCGGCCTCCATGTGGGCGACGGCGTAGCGCTTCACCTCGTCGTCGGCGGTGCGCTGGCGCAGGATGTTGAGCAGGCGCAGGTCGGAGGGGTCGGCGCGCACGGCGTGGATGACGGGGAAGCTGAACTTGCCCTCGGTCAGGTCCTCGGCTAAGCCCTTGTTGTCGCTGTACTCGGCCGACCGCAGGTTCTGGTAGTCGTCGCGGATCTGGAAGATGAGCCCGATCAGGTTGATGAGCGGGACGCAGTCGATGGGCGCGCGCCCCGCGGCCTCGGCTGCGGCGCCCGAGCGGGCGCTCTCGGCCTGCATCAGCTTGATGCCCAGGCGGAAGAGGCCGCCCGTCTTGTTGCCGACCATCTCGAGGTACTCGTCCTCCGTGGGGCAGGTCAGTGTGTCGCGCCAGAAGAGGTCCATGCCCTGGCCGCGGTGCAGGTTGAGCAGCTCGTCGGCGAAGACGGCGACGCAGGTGGGGTTGCGGAGCCTCTGGAGCTCCTCGAGGGCGCAGAAGTAGACGTAGTTGGCCGAGTTGATGGTCTGGGGCACGCCGAAGAGCGAGTGGGCGACGGGGAGCCCGCGGCGCAGCAGGCTGTTGTCCTCGACGTCGTCGATGAGCAGCGAGGCCGTGTGCAGCATGCCGACGACCTTTGTGATGACCTCGATGCTGGCGGGCGGCACGTCCAGCCAGGCGTTGAAGGCGGCGATGAGCTGCGAGCGGAAGTCCTTGCCGCGCTGCTCGTTGAGGTACTCGAATGGCCCCATGATAACGCGGTCCTTATCCGGGGCCCACGACTTGCGGCCGCCGATGAAGTTAAAGTCGTCGTGGGCATAGCGCGAGGGGTCCGGCGGGGGCGGGTTCTGGGCCATGTTGGCGAGGATCGACGTCGAGGGCAGCGAGGAGCGGCGCGGGCGCTTGGAGTGGGAGGAGGAGCCTGCGGTCGGAGGGGAGCGGGTGTGGTGGTGAGGCGGCGTGCCGGACCCGATCCAGTCGCCCTCGGGCACGGGGCGCAGGACTGAAGCTCTTGACGAGGGGGAGGCAGCTGCTGCTAGGAGGGAGGGACTGGTGGTGTGCTGTCCTGTGGAGGATGTTCGTGGAGGGATAGCATTGGGCGACTGGAGGAAGACGCTGCTGGAGCTCGAGTTGGAGGGGGTCGGCATGCTTCTTCTGGACGTTGGTGCCTAGGGGTGAGGAGAGCGTTGCAGTGGGTAGAGCAAGGGGTGGGAGCCCCTTTATCGCGTTGGTTGGGTGGATAGGCACTTGTCTGGTGATGTTGGCACGGAACGCTGGGGGCGAGGCCAGGTGGAAGGAGGTGGATGAGTCCGGGCAAGTACAGTTCGTGGTGCGATGCTACGTAACGAATTGGAATACAAGCTTGGTGGACCCGCAGGCTGGTTCGATGGTTCGTCGAGAACTGCTGGCGTCTGCTGCGGTCAGCACGGGGATCTGGTCAAGATCATGGGGTTTTTCAAGCGGATGAGGTCGAGCGAATGCATGCGTGGCCTCGCGGCTGTGCGGCTACACCGGGACCGTCTCTTTTGCTGGGCAGGATCACCATCTGCTGCACCGCACTTGCAAACCAGCGCAACGGGCGGAGCTGGAGCCTGAGAGCTGCAGACTAGCCTGGCCGCTCACATGCTTTTTTCTCGTGCAGCTTGATGACGACAAAGGACCCATCACGGGTTGAGGAAGCTTTGCCCAGAAGGTTGAACCCTGGTGATGTGACGGCGGGGTGCCTTTGTGTGGAGTGGGGGTGGATGGGAAGAGGGGGGGGGGAGCCTTCCTAACCTTGCTGCGTACCCAGGTAGCTGATAATCATCAATCCAGTTCCACCGCAGTCTTTTGCAACGGCTTTGATGATTCGAAAAAAATGATGAAGATATGGGGTTGATTCTGGAGTATTCAATAATCTAGGGAACGCAATATTTTATCCTGAGAAGGTACCAGTCCAGATAGACCATACAGGATGCAAGACAGCACTGCTTGAGTACGCACTTAAAGGACAGGACTGAAGCATTGAAGGTGAAACAAATTGTCCATCAGATGGCTGCAGGTACAGAATTGGCTCTTCGACACGGTCGCCGGACGAGCCCATAGGGTAACGTTGTCACTGCACGCTCTGACATTATCTTCTTTCTAGTTCAGAGCCTAGCAGTATCCATGCGGTGATGGGCCGTTTCCAGACGTGTAAATATGCGCCCCTGGACGAGTGCAGGCAGACTCGTGGGTACTCAACCTTGATTCAGTCAAGCTCGGAACCATCGTGGGGAAGAATTGAAGGGGCAGCACATGCGGCTGCAGATTCTAATGCAGATAGTGGTACCCTCAGACAGGACCCTCATCACGAGGCATGATGGCAGGGTGGCTTGTTACTTGAGCTGTCTGGCCGTGGGGATTGATCTACAGAGCACACAGGAGGATCTCCGCCTGTCACCATGCCCACCCAAAACGGCAACCCAGATGCAGGGTGCATGCGGGTGTAAGGTGGAGGGGACATGCCTGCTGCTGGTGGGAGACGGCTGGCTGCTGTGCGTGTGGTTGCCCTGCCACCTATCGATAGCCGATTATCTCCAAATAATCCAGAAATGCAAACAAATCAATCAAGACAGTACTGTATCCAGCAGGCCAAACTGGATAATTGATTCTATACAAAGGATGGTTCCCTCTCCCTCCCCACGAGGCTCAGGAATGCGAATCCACAGTGATGCAGCCAGGTGCGTCAGGAGCCTGTAGTGTGTTGTTTATTTCCAGCCCAAAACACTGTTGGTATCCACTCTGCAGCGGGTCCCATCATCATCCTCATCCTCATCTTCCTCCACATTGACGTACCGACCCGATCCAGCCCAACTCCGAACACTCGAGACCCTCGACCTGACACGGCACAGCACCAGCTGAAAAGAGCCCAACCGTCAGCTCTGACTCTCATTCATATTCGAGCCGTTGCCTGCTGTCTGCTCATTCAACCAAATTTCTGTTCTACCATTAACCCACCTCATAATCTACCCTTCTTGCTGTCAATCGCCGCAGCATAGATAGTCTGCAGTTCGTTTCCCGATCGCCGACGCTGTCTGGAATCCTCCGTCCTCATCCTCGGACCCCAGCTTAACCGCATCCACACCCGAAACCCAAGCGACCCGTGCTACTAACCCCACGATGGAGACCCTACTCTCTGTCGCCTTCGACAACCTCTCTTCCTATGACGGGCCAAAAGTCAAAAAGGGCCTGCGCCAGGTCGAGGGCCTGCTAGCCCAGATCTGCCTGTCCGCCCACGCGGCCAACCGGAACAAGAACAACAACAACAAGTCCCCAACCACGAGCCCCTCCAATGGCCCAAAACACCAACAACAACCGGAACAACCAGCGGCAGCGGCAAAAGCGGCCTCCCGGTTCCCACTTTCCGACCTGAGCGGCGACGCCGCCTTCCGCGAGTTCTTCAAGCTGCAGGACGGGTTCCAGTGGAACATCGCCACGCGCCTGATCCAGACCCTGGACCGCCTGCTGGCCAAGAGCGACGATGGCAGCATGGACCTGCTGATGCTGAGCGCCCTCGACTCCCTGCAGGGCACCCTGCTGCTGCACCCGCCCAGCAGGCTACTGTTCTCGCGCGAGCAGAGCATGAACGTGGGTCTCTCCTTCACTTCCCCACCGTTGCCGGGCTTCTGCCCACCACCCCTGGCTGTGACAATGTGTGCTGACTCCACCCCCTCCCAGCTCCTCCTCGACCTCCTCGAGCCAGTCAACTGCCCGGCCATCCAGGCCGCCACGCTCCTGGTGCTGGTCGTCGCCCTCCTCGAGACCCCGCGCAACACGCGCACCTTCGAGAACCTCGACGGCCTGCTGACCGTCTCGTCCATCTTCAAGTCGCGCTCCACCGCGCGCGACGTCAAGTTCAAGACGATGGAGTTCCTCTACTTCTACCTCATGCCCGAGACCCCGTCGCTGCCCCGCGCCGGCTCCGACGGCTCCGGCGCCGCGGCGCTGCTGCAGCGCAGCCCCAGCAAGCTCAGCCGGGCCTTCAACAAGAGGAGGGACGGCGACAGCGGCGATTCTACCGCCAATGGGGTCGCCGAGGACAACACCCTGAACCAGCTCGTCAAGCAGGAGATGCTGCGCCGCCACCTTCCTAATGTCGACGAGCTGGTCAAGGACCTGCAGCAGTATGCTCCCTTCGGAGGAGCTGTTGCTTGAGTGATGTTGGTGCATGGGACTGGAGGATACATCCGGGGCTTTTCCTTTTTGTCATGGTGCTTTTCTTTCCCTTGTTTTGGTCGTCATTCAGCGGGCGGCGTTGGGAAATACACGAGATACCTGGAAAGGAGAAATAGTGGTATTTCTTCTGTAATATTACTTGTACAACATCAGGTTCTGCCAAGGGGGAAGGGGATGGAGAGAAAGGCGATTGTTTATTCCATTAAGGACATAATTGATACCACGGTTATGGAGTTTAACATACACTGGAGAAAGACATTAAATATATTTCCGTTAGACCACTTTATATCCTGTATCTCATGCTATCATCCCGCCGCCTTCGGACCACTTTGCTGCTGCTGCTGCTGCTGCTCCTCGTGGCTCATGGGGCTCGGCGTCCCCAGCTCGCTGGCACTCAACTCGCTCCCCGGTGTCCCCAGCGGCCGCGGCGCGCGCGTGTCCACTGCTCCACTCCCACCGCCAACAGGCACGTCGGTGCCATACAGCTCAAACCGCCCGGCAATGCTGTCCCTGACGGGTGGTGAGCTGGTTCCCTGCCGCGCAGCCTGCTGCTGCTGCTGCTGCTGCTGCTGCCGCCGCAGCGCCAGGTTAGTATCCGACCCGTCCAGCTCGCTGCCCTGATCGGACGGCAGCCTCGGCGTGAACTTGTCCTCCTTTTTCCCGCTCCCGATCTCCACCGCGGCCGCGATGTCATCCGGGCCGTGCGGGGTGCCCCCCTCGCCTCGCACAGGCCGCGCGAGGTAGTCCGGCGACGTCCCCGGAGGGCCGTAGCGGTGCTCAGGCGGCGTGGTGTACGGCCCGCTCGCGGCGGCGGGGCCGAAGTAGTCGTTCGTCAGCCCGGGAAGCGGTCCGCCCCGCGCGGACGACGACGCCGCGTACCCGTCCACCTCGGACATGTGCGGGCCCGAGCTGGGCCCGTAGGGGCGCAGCCCGCCGTCGTCGCTCTCGAAGCGGCCCGCGGCGGCGAGGTGGTGGCTGCCTCTGCCACCACCCGTGCCCGTGCCCGCGCCGTTGATCCCGCTGGCCATCTCGTTGCCCGTCGTGGTGCTCCGCCCCGAGCGCCGCCGCCTGATGCAGAACCACGTCGCCGCGCCGATGACGAGGGCCGCGGCGATCACCACGCCCACGGCTATCCCTGCCTTGGCGCCGGCTGAGAGCCCGCGCTGCTGCGGGACGATGGAGATGCCGGACCCCGTGGGGATGGGCCCCGAGGTGGAAGAGGTAGGCTGCACACTCGTGCAGATGGCCTTGTTGGACGAGACGGCGCACGTGTACCCGGCGCCGCAGCACCCCGTCGTCGTCGCGATGCCGGCCCCGCCCACGGAGCAGGTGGAGTCGCCCTGGAGGGAGCAGCCCGAGGGGATCATGGTGGCGACCGTGGGCCCCGCGAGGCCGCTGCTGGTGCTGGTTGCGGCGCCGTAGTCGAGGCACTGTCCGCTGCTGGCGCAGTCCTGGCCGTAGGCGCAGCAGTTGGCGCCCATGGACTCCGGGCAGAGGTAGTTCGTGCTCTGGCACTTGCGGCCGATGCACGCGCCGGCTGTGCCGACGGTCGTGGAGCCGGAGGTCGTCTGCGTGGTTGTTATCTGCGAGTAGAACTGGTTTGGCTGGCACGTCATGCCGCAGGTCGAGCCGAGCGTGCAGCACTGTACGGCCAGGTCGGTCTCGTTTATGATGCAGTAGTGGGTGTTTGCGCAACATTTGGTTGAGTTGACGTCGGAGCCTGGGGAGAGGGGGGACCGGTGACTCGATTAGCTCTTCTCTCTCCCTCTTTCTCTCAAGGCTGCAGGAGCGTGGACGACTGTGAGACGGAGGAGTGTTGCTCACATGGATGCTCGCCTTCATCGCAGCCGCCGTCCCTCTTCGCCAGCGAGGGCGAGCGGGCCACGGCGTCGTAGAAGGGCTGCTTCAAGAGGTCCGGCATGGCCCCGAAGTCCTGCCACTGCTGCTGCCCGGCGACATATTCGACGGCCAGGCCGAGGGCCGCGAGGGCGAGTGTGAGGCGCATCGTGAGAAGGTGATTTAGTCCCCGCTGAAGTTGACCATCGGGGCTGAGGAGTCCCTGGCTCAGGACACAGGGGTTCGGCTTTGGTAACAGCTCACAACATATCCGGCGTAGAGGATAGGACTCATTGCGATGCGGGGCGTTGTGGGAGTGCAGGTGAGAAAGAGAGACAAAAGGTAAAAAGAGAACAAGACATGAGAAGGTAGCACAAGAGAAGGAGGGTCCCACTCCGGATAGACGGCCGGGATGCGACCCCGAGGTGCAGGAGGCGTCGGTCGGCGCGAGGGCACTACCCTCTCGCCATCTGCTGCTGTGTGAGATTCGGGAGGTCACCGGATTGGTCTGGACTCAGCCAGCAAGGCAATGAGGCGGGGCGAGTAGGCCCGGGGGGTGTGTGTGTGTGTGAACACTGGTTCAGGGTAGCTGTCAGGAAGGGTGTACTACGGTAAGCAGCAAAGATGTGGCGCGATTCCTTCGAGCATTTGCCTCTCGTCCTACCAGCCCTTGCCCGGACAGGGCTGGGAGCGAGTGGGGTGTGAGACGAGCTCTACACAGTCAGGCAGTCAGGACATGTCAGACAGAGACAAAAGCTGAGTGCATTCGTTGGGCCAGGTGAGGTGAGGTGGCACTCGCGTATGCGCGTTGGGAATAGATCGGGTTGGCGAGGACGCAGCCCTCGCCGTGCTGCTGCATTAGCGTCGACGAAGGACCTGCAGGCACGCCCACCCACTCCCAACACACAACACCACGCCGGCTGCTCCGATGGGGCAGGTTGTCTTGCTGCAACGGCGATCTTGTGCACATATACGAAGGCAAGGGAAGAGACAGCCGGTGAGCCGATGAACCAAGATCAGGGATCAATTGGTTGATCTGACGTGTTGGCTGTTGGGTTGGAGCAAAGCTGGCCGAGAAGCAAGACAGGCCTGACGTTGAATATATGGACCGAGGTTTACACGGCCGCGTCAGGGTTATACCCTGTTCATGAAGAAGTTCAGTTGGTTGCCTGGCAATCCTTCAGCTGCATGTGTTCCTTTCCTTGACTCGAGATATACTCCCACTAGAGCTTTTCCTGAATCCATGCTCTTGTTCTTGGTGCTGATTTACTAGGTGGCTCCAGAGTCCAGGCGCGTCATGCTGTCATTCCTCAAGCCTGGCATGTTGCTGCAAGGCCGACTCTCATCTTATTCTCTATTGCGGGATCTATACTAGTATCGCTCTGCTGATGACGGTGTCGTCTACATGGCAAAGTACAGGGTTGTAAAATTAGTTTTGAGTTTTAGTTAAACTAAATGTAGTTTTTAGTTTTAGTTTTGAGTTAGTACTTTTTTAAAAACTTAATGTAGTTTTTAGTTTTTAGTCAAGCCTATTAATTAAAACTAAAAAACTACAAATTAAATTAAGTTTAACTAAAAAACAAAAAAATTAAATTAATTAAATTAAAAAGAATAAAAAGAATTAAAAGAATTAAAAGAATTAAAAGAATAAAAAGAATAAAAAGAATTAAAAGAATTAAAAGAATTAAAAGAATTAAAAGAATTAAAAGAATTAAAAGAATTAAAAGAATTAAAAGAATTAAAAGAATTAAAAGAATTAAAAGAATTAAAAGAATTAAAAGAATTAAAAGAATTAAAAGAATTAAAAGAATTAAAAGAATTAAAAGAATTAAAAGAATTAAAAGAATTAAAAGAATTAAAAGAATTAAAAGAATTAAAAGAATTAAAAGAATTAAAAGAATTAAAAGAATTAAAAGAATTAAAAGAGTTAAAAATAAAATAAAATCTATTTTAAGGGTAGTTTAAACCCTTAGCTATTAATATATAATATAGCATATAATTATAAGCAAGGAATTTACATTATATTTATATATTAATAAATTAATAAACATTATTATAATTATTATAAGCAATTATTATAAATTTTATTAACACTATATATAACTATATTATATATATTATGAAATTATGAAATATATATAATTTAGCTTTCTTATAAGTATATATAATATATATATATTATATATAATATATATACCCTATACCCCCCCCCTTTCCCCTACCCTTAGCGTAACTACTTAAATATAATCTTTAATATCTTAATAATTTATAAAGCTATAAATATAAATAAAATATTTTTTAAAAGCTTATATTTTAATTTTTATATATAAAAAACTTTTAAAATATATTTATTCTTTAAAAAAATAAATATTTAACTTTAATTAAGTTTTACCTTAAATAAAAACTTAAAATACTTTTTAATAAAATTATATAATAATATTAAATTTTTTTTAAATATAAATATTATATTTTTATATATATTTAAAAATTTCTATAAATAATAAATAAATTTATTTAAATAGATTTATTAAAACTTATATATCCTTATAAATACTTTAACTTTAAAAGTAGCTATAAGGCTTATTAAGGCTTATTTACCCTTATAAATATTATAACTTAAAAAGTAGTTATAAGGCTTATTAAGGCTTATTTACCCTTATAAATACTTTAAGTTTATAAGTAGCTATAAGGCTTATTTTAGCTTAAAAGAAGTTTAAGGTAATTAACTATTTAAATTAAATAGTTTTAAAACCTAAGATTTTATTATAATAAAAACATATATTATTTAAATTTAAATTAACTATATTTAAATAATTATATAAAAAATATATAAGAATTTTCCTTAAATTATTCTTTATTTATATATATTTTTATATTATTTTAAAAGCTTGTTAATATTTTAAAAATTAAAATATTATATATTTCTTTAGGTAAATATTTAGCTGATTTAAAGGAATAAATTATCCGTTTTTTTTTTTATATATAAATCTTTCTTTTTCTCTTTCTCTCTTTCTTTCTTTCTTCTTTCTTTATTACTCCTCAAGCCTACTTTACTTATTTATTATTTCCTTAAACCTTAACTACCTATATACTTTTATTATTTTATTTATTATATATAAATAAAATATCTTTTTTTACTCCCTTATCTTTTATTAATTCTTTAATAATTTCTATTAAGAATTATAATATTTCTTTTTTAAAAGAAAATTCTTAAATATTTTTTATTATAAAAGATAAATTTAATTCCTTAACTTATAAACTCTCTCTTCTTAAGAAAATAAATATTTATATTTTTTAAAATAATTTATTTATTCATATATTCCTCCTTATTAAAAAGAAAAAACATTAATAAATATTAATATCTTATACTTAATAAGTTATTTCTTTAATTTTAAAAGTATATAACTTAATATAAATAAAATTTATTTTTTAAATATATTTTATTTATATTTAATTATATTTATATTAAATTATAATTAACTAAATATAGCATAAAGCTATTATCTTAAAAAGCATTAATAATAAAAATATATTTAATAATATTCTTTAAGAACATTTAATTATATAATTAATATATAAAATAATTTAAAAAAGATATTATTTAAAGTTTTTTTTATTAAATTAATATTTTACTTAGTTTTTAAATTAATATTTACTTAAATGTTTTTATAAATATAAAGATAATTTAAAGCTTTTTTAAGCTTTAAATTATTAACATTATTATAAAATAAAATACCTTATTATTCCTTATAATAAGGAAAGTAAAAAGACTTAATTAAAAAGTAAGTATTTCTTTTATTTTAAATATTAATATAAATATTAATATAAATATTAATATAAATATTAATATTATATTTAAGGGTTTTTCCTTTTAATTTCTTTGCTATTTTAATAAAAAAATTAAAAAAAGATTTTATAAATAATAATACCTTTAAAAAGATTTTAAATTTTATTATTAAAAATAATTTATTTTTTAATATATTAAATTTAAAGTCTTTTTAAGATTTATTATCTTACCTTAACTTATAAGTAATTTTCCCCTTTTATTATTATTTTTTAAAAAAAACTAATAAAATTTTAAATTTACCTTTATAATAAATCATTTAAAAATTAAAAGTATTTTAAATAATACTTTTAAAATAAATTTAATAAGGCTTAACTTAAAATTAAAAGAAAATATTATCTTTAATAATAAATTTTCTTTTATTTTTAATTATTAAACTTTTAAAGCTAATATAGCTTATTTAAAGGTAATAATTTCTTATATTAATTTAGAATTTTAATTAATATATAAATTAATTAAATTTTTTAAGTTAAAAAAAAGATATATTAACTTTATTCTTTTTAAAGAATTTTAAAAGTTTATTAAAAGTTATTTTAATATAATATTTAATAGCATTTTTAAATATTTAATTCTTTTATTATTTAATAATATATTATATATTAATATTATTTTTATTAATTTTACTTAATATATAGCATATATTATTAATTTAATAACACAAGATATTTTAAAGAATTTTACTTTAAATTTAAAAATTAAAAATTATTTAAATAAATATTCTTAAAATCCTAAGGAAACTATAATATTAAATAATATTATTAAAAATAATAAGTATTTCTTAATTTCTTTATATTTTTATATATTAATATTTTTTAAATATAATAACTTATATATAATAGATAATTATATTAACTTAATATAATATTAAGATTAATAATTTATTATTTAAGGGTATTAAAAGGGCTATATAAAGTAAATCCTTATTAAAGAATTATAAAAAATTTTATATTTCTTTAAGTATTTATTTAATATTTCTTTTTATAAATAATAAGAGAAATTAAATATTAACTTAATATTAAATACTCTTATGCATTAAAATTTTACTTATATAATATTAAAGATTTTCTTAGAATTAAAGGAACCTTTAAATTATATAAGTAAGAATACTTTAAATTAGGAATATAAAGATATATTTTTTAATATATTTAAATTATTTATTCTTATGTAAATTAAAAAGACTTTTAAAGTCTTTTTAAAACCTTTTATTAAATTATAAGGAAAGTTATATATAACTTTTTCTTAAGGGTTATTATATATTTATTAAATATATAATAAATTAAAGGATTTAATAAAAAAGTATAAGAGAAAGTATAAGCAAAAGCTAAACTTTATAAATTACTTTTTATTTTATTTTAAAAACAAATATAATATTAATTATATAAATAAAAAGAATATTTATTTATATTTATTAAAGTTATTAAAATTAGCTTAAATAAATTAAAAAAATATTTTCATTAGAAATTAATTAAAAATAATTTAAAAAATTATAAATCTTTTATTTTAGCTTTAGTTTTAAACCCTAGCTTTAAAATATTTTATTTTTAAGTAAATAAATATTTATACTTTTATTTAAATATAAAAAAAAATATTAAAGCTTTCTTAAGGGTTAAGTTTAATAAATAAGTCTTTTTATTAATTATTCTTTATTATTTTTATATTTATATTAATATTTATTAAAGTTAAATTAAAAGTTTTTAATTTAAATAAAGATATATTTAATTCTTTACTTATTAATTCCTCTTAATAAAATTATAATTTTAATAATAAATTATATATTAATTTTTCTTTTAATAATAATAAAAAAGAGTATATAATTTATTTATAAAAACTTATTTATAATTCCAAAGTATATATTTTTAAAAAAAGATTTAAACTTTTTTAAAAATAAATTTTAATATTTAAATAGCTGGATTTATTAAAGTATTAGAAAAATAATAAATTTCAATACCTTATATTAAATATATTAGCTTAAAGATACCTTATTATTTTAGCTATATTTACTGCTATAAAAAGAATATTTTTTATTATTAATAATATTATTATTAAGTTAAGGGTTAATCTTAATATAAAAATAATAAGGGAATTAATATTATTAAAGAATTAAAAATTTAATAATATTTAAGAGTTAAAAAAGGAAATTAAAGATTTAAAGGAAATAATGAATTAATAAATTTTATAATATATTTTATAAAGTTTATTTAATTTATAATATATATATATATATATATATATATATATATATTACTTATTTTAAATAAACCTTATAATTTAATTTATAAAACAATAAAATATATAAATATTAATAATTACTTTAAAACTATATAATATATATATATATATATAATATAAATTAAATAAACTTTATAATTTAATTTATAAAGAATAAAAATATATAAGTATTAATAATTGCTTTAAAACTATATAGTTATTAAAAGAATAAATAAGATAAATATATAACGAAATGTATAATTTACTCTTAAAATAGCTTATAATTAGAGTATTACATTAATAAATTAATAAATAACCCTGCTCCCTAAAGTTTAAATAATATAATAAAACTTAAATTATTAAGTTTTAAAATATCCCCTAGGGCCCTTAATAATTATAAATTAATATAATATTAGCTATAGCTTTTTAAAGAAAATAAACTAATCTTTTCCTAACGGTAACCTAAGTAATTATTATAATTATACGCTTTACCGCTAAATTACGGTAACTACTTATTAATAAAAAAAAAAAAACTTATAAACCCACTTTAATATTTAAAAAAAAAAAAATATATTTTATATTATTAAAGAAGATTTTATTTATTAAAAATATTTTATATATTATTAATCTTTAAATTTTATTATATTTAATAAAACTTTTAATAAATATTAAATATTATTATATATAAGAATGCAAGGTTATAAAGTTTTATTATTATTATTATTATATAAGTTATATAAGCTTATTAATTAAACCCACTTATTTTAAACCTTATAAGTTTAATTTCAAGTATATTTATTATATTTAAGTTTTAAAAGTAAGTTTTAAAATAAAGCATTTATAAGGGCAAATAGGCCTTAATAAGCTCTATATTTAATTTTAAAATAGAGCATTTATAAGGGCAAATAGGCCTTAATAAGCTTTATATTTAGTTTTAAAATAAAGCATTTATAGGGGCAAATAGGCCTTAATAAGCTCTATATTTAGTTTTAAAATAGAGCATTTATAAGGGCAAATAGGCCTTAATAAGCTCTATATTCAGTTTTAAAATAAAGCATTTATAAGGGTAAATAGGCCTTAATAAGCTCTATATTCAGTTTTAAAATAGAGCATTTATAGGGGCAAATAGGCCTTAATAAGCTTTATATTCAGTTTTAAAATAAAGCATTTATAGGGGTAAATAGGCCTTAATAAGCTCTATATTCAGTTTTAAAATAAAGCATTTATAGGGGTAAATAGGCCTTAATAAACAAGGATAATAAAATTATACATAACATTTTTAAAAATTTCTTTCTATATATAAAAATAATATTATTATATTAAGAAAAATTTTAATATTATTATATAATTATATAAAATAGTATTTAATTTTTATATTTAAGGTGAAAGTAACGTATCTTTTTATATTTATTTTTCTAAAGAGCGAATAATTTTAAATAATATTTTATTTATTAAGTTATAAATAAAACCTATTAAAAAGTATTTTTTATATAATTTTAAATTTCTTATATAAAGAGATATTAATGATTATATTTAGGTGATAACGCTAAGGGTAAGGGGCATAGGGGGGGTAATTATATCTTAAATAAGTAATTGCCATTTAGCAAATTTAATATAAATATATTAAAACCTTTATTTTTAAAAAGCCATAAGTATTTTAAAGAATTAATTATATTAAAAAAAATTATATTATATAAAATATAAAATTTTATAAAACTTAATAAAAATAATATATAGTTTATAAATAAAATAATAAATAAAAGAAAATTTAAAAATCTTTAAAAAAAGAAGTTTATTTCCTTATTATATAAGATATAATAAGCTAATAATAAATATTATACCCCTTAATAATAATTTATTTTAAGCATATTACATCTTATTTTTTAAAAATAAACCAATGCTATATACCATTATGCTATAGCGAGAGTTTGGGTCGTTAGTTTTTTTTTTAAAAGAAATTTAATATATATATTTAAAAAAAAGATATTTATATTAATTAAATAATCATTATAATTAATAAATTAAATATAAAATTAAAAGTAAATATTATAATATTATAAATTAAATAATATATATAAATTTATATTTATTTATTTATTTATTTATTTATTTATTTATTTATTTATTTATTTATTATTTATTTATTTATTTATTTATTTATTATTTATTTATTTATTTATTTATTTATTTATTTATTTATTTATTATTTATTTATTTATTTATTTATTTATTTATTTATTTATTTATTTATTTATTTATTTATTTATTTATTTATTTATTTATTTATTTATTTATTTATTTATTTATTTATTTATTTATTTATTTATTTATTTATTTAATTTAAAAAAAACTTTTTAAGTTAAACTTAATTAACTAAAAAACTAAAAACTAAAAACTAAATTTTTTTAGTTTTTAGTTTTTAGTTAAACCTATTAACTAAACTAATTTTTTTTTAGTTTTTAGTTTTTAGTTAGACTCATTAACTAAACTAAACTAAACTAGTTTCAACCCTGGCAAAGTAAACCTGCCCTTTGGCCGCCGAAACATCAATCAGCTACCGGACAGCAAGCTGAGACTTGTGACAGAAACCTGGAAGACGAACACTGCATTATCAAGAGCATCCCAAATTATTGGCGGCTACAGAACGAGGCTTCAATTCTCAAACGCTACCAACATATAAGCCCCTCCCTCCGACCAGTATTGGATGAGATCTTAGAGCCCGTAGAGCCAGCGAGCATCGTTTTGAAATACCTAGATACAGAACTCCTAAAAGAGTCCAGAAGAGAACGCCTGTCGCGTCCTGATATCAAAAGAGTAGCAAGAACCATTCTCTTAGCCCTCAAGGTCTTGCACAAAGGTGGCTTGGTCCACACAGATGTGAAGCTGGACAATAACTTCGTCAATTACGGCCCTCAAAACCGATCAAGATTTGCAGAGATCCAACTTGGCGACCTTGGCGGAGTGGTTCAACAGGATTCTGACTTCGCAAGAGAGGGCCACCTAATTGGAGCAGGCATAAGCCGAAGTCCTGAAGCCACACTTCAATTGCATTGGGGCACTGCCACCGACGTCTGGTCATTTGGTAACGCGGTAAGCAATGCATTTCTAGTACCACCATCTTTTGATCGATTCAAGATTTGCGATTTATCCACTATTCGCGAAATCAAACTCAATTTCTGAGGATGAAAACAACCAGATTCTAAGCCTCCTCTACGTTGGCGATTACCACCTTTTCAACCCTGCAATAGAAGGACTCACACCAGACGACGATGACTACTTCTTTACTGTGCTCAAGCGCATGTACAAGTTCTTTGGGCCTTTCCCTCCGTCTTATAGCGACAACCCAGACACCATGACGATCATCAACTTCTTCAACAATTCCGGAGCACCCGATAAGCCTTTCCACTTAGTCACCACGAGGGAAATCCCGGCTGCGGATAGGAGGTTCATTCTCAAGGTCATGAAGCTAGATCTCAGAGAGAGACCGACAATGGAGGAGCTATCAGAGGACGAATGGTTCACAGAGGAGTCTGAGGATACGCGGACACCGCTGCAAGGTGGCTCATAGCTGGTTATAGGGCATCGATTTCGCAGCAATAGGACTTATCGTGATACCCCTAAGCTAAATTCTGATGGTAGAAAATACAGGTGAATCCGTTCAGTACTCCAACGGCCGCCCGAGTCCTCATGAATAGGGAGGCGCAGACGGAAATTCGCCTCGGGGAACTCGCACGACAAGAACGAACCTTCACAAGGCCTCGACCTCTGTGTATCTTTAAGGCCACCGCATAACTTCTCAAATGGCTCCTCCAATCCCAGAGTCCACTCTACTTCCATGCTGCAGTGAACTTCGCGTCTCCCCTGATACCACTTGGTATACGGCCCCAGATAAAGTTCTAACTTTTTCTCCCTGGAATTGCCCGATACTATATATGCTGAAACGGGAGCCAGGCGCGTGCCGACGACTGGTGGGCAGCACATCGCCACGGAGAACTAGCCTCGACTCTGGAACGTCGGCAGGCTTTCCAGTCCTCAGTCATCCGGCTCATTTCGTCGTCGCGATTGAAAAGGGCGAGAGTAACGCCAAGCATGGCTGCGCTGGACTGCGCGGTACGTTTCATGTCTTCGTCGTAGAAGGCGGAAATAAGATTGGGAACAAGTCTGTAGAAGGCTTGTAACGTGGATCCGTTTCCAGGTGGAGAACCTGAAGTGGATGCGATGAAGTACAAGGAATCGCTGACTGAGAGGACAAGTTTCGCTAGCTCTTTGTGTCTCTGCGATGTGCGATTGCTCTCTGTACATCTTGCGAGAAAAGTGAAGACCGGCTCCCAAGTCTTGGTGTTATCGGGACGTTTCAGGAGTGGGTCTATTGCTGCAGAATACGTTGTGGGACGAGTCCAAGACTCATGAGATTCGAGAATAGCATCGAGGAACACGTCCGCTGGGGGATTGTCGTAGTCGATTCCGATGTGCTCAAGTGGTGATGTGCCGTCGCTGAGGTTTGCCACCAGGCCGAGTATGCCATAGACCTGATCATGAGGCCTTTGACTTTTGAAACGATTGGAGGTCACATACAACAGCAGTAATCTCCATGTGGAACTCACCTGCTTGCGCCTACATGACTGATAGCAAAATTAGCAAATATCAACGAATATCTCACCTCGTCGAATGTCATGTCCACATCTCCAACGAAGAAAACGATCTCCGCGGCACTCGCAACTTCCTGCACTATCCAGACACGTTCCCAGTATTCTGCCCAAAACGCGGATTTGGCAGCAAGGATTGATTCCTCCGAAAATAGTGTCCTCCATTCTCTCGCACGCGCGGATCCATTCGCCTGAACATAGTCCCGGATGGGGAGTAAATGTTCCCCTTGGCTCGCTGACAGCCCAAGCCAAGCAATCACTCGTACAGCATTGCGATATATGTCAGCCATTCGCGGAATTTGCTCTTTTTTCTCCTCGTCGTCTCTTTGGTTGGGACAAACACAATCGGTCCAAAGCCAGCGGTCGAAGATCTGTCGCCGCCAGATATTGTCCAAGAATTGCCAAAGATTCTCGTGTACGCGAAAGGAAGTCCATTCGTGATTATCGTCGTTGTATATAAGGATGTCTCTTCTTGGGGTGTCATCTCCCCACACATAGGATAATGCATCGTATTCAGCGGTGGACTGTTCGGCGTAGCGAATCTTGCATGCTATTCGGTCTTCCACCTTCAACTCTTCCAATTTGATGAGCCGGACTGTTGATTTGGTGGCAAGACCGTGGTATGTGTACTGCTTGGGCATTCCGTTCGTGCCAGCGAAGCCGGATGACCACGACCTCGGGATTGCAATGCCAAGGTAACTATTGCAGCTTGCTGGAGATTAGATCAAATATGAAGACAATCCATTGGGTTGGTGGGTTCTGCAGAAGGAAGAAGAAGCTATCTACATCCTCGTTGGCGAGGCAGCCTTTAAATAGAGACTGCAGAAGGTGCCTGGCAGAGGATTTAGCCTAACCTTACGTAAACCCATGTGCCTGTCACAGTGGCAAACCATGCAGGTTCCAAAACAAATTCTGCGTCGTTGACGAGGCTGTTCATTAGATAACCTTGAGCAACAGACCCAATCGTCGTATGCCGCTACAGTCGCACAGCAACCCGGCTCAAGAGGTTGCAAACATCCAGGCACCTTCTCCTCCAAACCCCTTTCTGATGAATACAGGGCTGTAGGAAGCATAGCATCCGGGAGAAAGTGGAGAAAATGATACGTGGTGCCAAAACAGGTCCCGAGCGCTTGCCCAGACCTATTCCGCCTGACGCGTAAGAGATGTAGTCACAAGGATACTGAGTCCAGAGGAGCCTCGATGCTCGCAAATCAGGCATGAAACTGGCACACCAACATGCTGGCAGTTGAAAATCGACGATTTCTTGCATAGTGATTTCAGCCAGGGCGAACTTGCTGCTCAACCACAGAAGCCCCGAGCCACTCGAGTCACACCAGCCCCTGATTTCTACATCGTACTACGTGAGTGCCTCCAAGCCAGGCTCATCGAATGAACGCGTGGAGATACTCGTATATTCTCTGGGCGTTCCAGAGTGCCAGCTTGACCTGAACTGCCTACCGGATGTGACAACTAGACGCCTCAAATACTGTCGGCGGCACGTGCCAACGCCGTCCTTGCATGTGTGTAACCACACTATTATTGCAACTGCCATAACCAAACCCTGCACGCCAGTCTCCTCGGCGCCGGAATACTTGCTTCCCGCCGCAATAACTGTTGGATCAGATGGTGGCTCGATTAATCCTCGCTTTTTCTTTATTCCCTCGCTTTCTCCCTTCTAGTCCTGGAAATTCGAATCTAAAATTCGAAGGCCCCAAATAAGGCTGAAACGTTTGAACTGAGATTGAACTTTTGGTTGAGAGGCATTCGGCACGTGGTGATATATTTGCCCGATCTGGACTTTCAATCATTGGTCAATTCATTACAAACGACTTCTCACTGTAGAAGACAAACAAGTTTCTTTGCTGACACAGACCCAGTCCTCAGAAGCTCTATTCCATCTTTGACACCTTCAAGTCCACCCTCAAGCAATTGCACAGGGTGAGACCGCAACTTTCCCTCATCCAGCAGCTTTTGAAATACTTTGTACCAGCTCACGGCGAACTCGTACAGCTCAACACTCCCCTCAGAATCGTATCCCTTGCCCAATGAAATAGGCTGCCCAAATATCTCAAGTGCGTACACAAATTTGGCCTGGACAGCCTTTCGCGTTTGTAACTCCTCGGGACACAACTCAAGCGAGGCGTATTTGCCGCCCATGCGGCCGATGGCAGCATAGCACAGGGTCACCGAATCTTTGTCGGTGATACAGTCGAGTGCATATCGCAGCTTGTTGGCCGTCAATTTTCGAATACTATTGGCCGTCTCCGGATCAGAATAGTCAAAGACGTGTTCAGCTCCGAATGATTTGGCGAGGGAGAAGTTCTTTGGTGAGCAGGTAGCTATCGGCGTATAGCCAGATCTAGACTGCATGTTAGAATTGATAGACCCATGGAATCATTCATGGACTAGGACGATCTCACAATTTCAGAAGTTGCAGGGCCATTGTTCCAGTCGCAGTACTTCCCCCATATACAAGAACGTACGCCGGGCTCTCAGAAGCCAAGGATTGCATCGGCGAAGCTGGCAAGCCCAAGGACTTCCACAAGGCCAGGCACATAGAGGCGATAGCACATCCGTATGTCGCAGCTTCTTCGACTTTCACAGTCGCTGGGACTTTGTACACCAGCTGCGCTGGAGCCCGCACATACTCAGCAAAGGCGCCGCTGTCAGGCGCGGCAGGGTTCGAGCCGTGGATGAAGCCGCAGACCGTGTCTCCCACCGCCAAGTCCGACCGCAGCGCCGCAGCCTCGGCGTCGATGCGCACGATTCTGCCGACGAAGTCTATACCGACGGTGGCGCCGGCCGAAGGGAAATTTTTCGGCATCTTGTAGTCGAAGGGATTGATCGCGACTGCTGTGGTCTTGACCAGGAGGGTCTTTGGTAGAAGAGCTGGAAGTGCGACATCGTTGGCGAGGACTGGCTGGCCAGCTTCGTCTTCCACGATGGCACGTTGGTGGTCTGGCAAGGGTTCAAGTGTTGTCATTCTCAAAGTGTTCACGCCTCACGAGGGGACTTTGGTGCTTCTTCGAAGACGCTTGAGTTGCAGCCATCTCACCCCTTCACCCACCTGTGTAACAATTCTTAGAATTATCCGTGCTCATCAGCGAGGACCCCTATTTTCACATGCGCGTAATCGTAATGAGCTATGGCCAGTAGTAAACGAAACCGATGGAACACGTCTTCCCGGTTGTTACTCTGACTCAAAGAATCCACACTGAATCGTTGGACGTCAATGTGAAATCGCCTGTGGTGGTGCTCGACTCAGCGCATACCGGGCCGGGTGGGGCCGGAGGTCTTAACTCATGAGTACGGCACAAAGGATCCGAGCAATCTTAGAGCAATGACTTCATTAAACCTCCTGTGTGAGCATGTGCGGATGAATACCGGACCTTCAGAGGCGTCTAAAGCCCGTACTAATATTGGAAACGCGATGCAAAGTCAGCATAATTAGCGAGTTGTCATGCATCTTGCCCAGAAGTGATCCACTCAAATGGCTGACAAGTACTCAGTGTGCTTATTTTCTATTCATATAAGATCGGCAAAAGACCCTTCCAAAATGCACGACGCCATGCCAGGATATACGCCGCAACAACACCGCAACCCGACCTAAGTCCATAGGGCTGCCAAGGGGGAGGAGTTTATATTCTGGAGCCTCCGAGATTGCAAAGCCTGTTTTTTGGAGACCGAGGTGAGTCGATGATGGGTCTCGGTGCCCTTGAAACTATACTGAGGAAAGATCGCGTTATAAATCACATCCAGGATCTCGACCACCCAGGTTTTGCGTGATGGATCTACCGGGGAAGACGCAAACCTCACCCACAATTGGTGGATCCCGGGATGTGTGGGGGCGGATCTTTCTAGCTGGAAGGAATGATTATGGGACCCTGAGTTGACGCCAGCAGGTGGGACAAATCCACTACCGTACAAGTCAGTCTCAAAGTCGGTGACGGTCCAGAGTTGAGGTATGAGGGCATCAGGGGCCTAAGTGATGAATGGCATGAGGCTATTGATGATCATCCAGCAGCGATTCCATACAGATAGTATTCATAATAACGCCAATTTGTACAGTATATTATATTTGCCAGTGTAGAAAAAACATTGGTTTTGTTCTTCATACAAGACACATGTGCTCTATCAAGGCTATAAATAAAGATGTGTTCTTAAGAGACTATAAATGGATGCGAGGTCCATATTATTCACATCGTAAGACCTCCCAGGCCATTGACTCGTAATTTATGAGTTGTAATAATCTTCCCAGTAGTTTTATCCCTTACTAGTTGTGGGTTCAGTCTGGGCATTGTAGTCAGCCACATAATTTGAGTGGCACTGGTTGACTCCACGTAGCAGAGCGAAATGTGGCTTGTCTCTACTGACCATAAGACATTGACAATAGATCGCATCCCCTGGGCGAGAATACCAATTCAAATACTTTGGGATGAGCACGCAAAAGAATTTGTCTCACCTAAAAGCCTGAGAAAATCGCCAACAAGAATGAAGACGATCCTGTAGTCAGCTGAAAGATATTCATCGCTTTCGATCGATCTACCACCACACTCACTTGCTCTCACTCACTTGCTCTCATCCAAAACCGTCATCAATAATTGGGCACTATTACTGACACAATCACCGTAACCCATACCTCGCAAGCAAATGTCTTCAACCACAACTTCAGCGCGTGGCAGCGCCGGAGAAGCCATCGCCATCATCGGCAGCGGGTGTCGCTTCCCCGGCGAAGCAGACACTCCGTCCAAACTATGGGAGCTCTTGAACGCACCGCCAGATCTATCAGTCCCAGTACCGACATCTCGACATGGTCTCCTTAACCCGTCAGGCTCTTACCATAAAAGTAATTCTTACCATGGCCACCACAATGTCAAAGACATGAAGTCTTATTTCCTTACCGGCGAGGGAGTGGAGCGCAAATTCGACGCAGGCTTTTTCGGCGTCAAGCCGGTTGAGGCCAATGTCATGGACCCTCAGGTTCGCATTCTGCTCGAGGCCACATACGAGGCTCTCGAGAACGCGGGCCAGACCATCGAGAGCCTGCAGGGTTCGGACACGGGCTGCTACGTAGGCCTGATGCTGGGCGAATATGAGCAGGCTAGTAAGTTACCATCATGATTTGTCGTCTTTTGCGGTGTTTCTCGCCGCTGCCTCGGACAGAGAGCAGTTTGACTAACTCTGAGTATCACAGTGATGCGAGATCCTGAGAGTGTTGGCACCTACCATCTCACTGGCACCTCCCGCGGTCTCATGTCTAATCGGCTATCGTATTTCTTTGACTGGCATGGGCCATCGATGACAATCGATACAGCGTGCTCGTCCAGCTTAATAGCAGTCCACCAGGCTGTCCAGCTCCTCCGTACGGGCCAATCCCGTGTTGCTGTCGCAGCTGGGTCGAATCTCCTGCTTGATACCAACATCTATGTCAGCGAGAGCAACCTGCAGATGCTTTCACCAGATGGACAGTCACGCATGTGGTCCGCCGACGCAAACGGCTATGCTCGTGGTGAAGGTGTAGCTACCATCATCATGAAGCGCCTTAGCGATGCCGTCGCTGACGGGGATGATATCCTGTGTACCATCCGCGAATCGGGCACCAACCAGGATGGAAAGACTCCTGGACTGACCATGTAAGCACAACCACATTGATCAAAAAGTGGCTATGAAACTGATCCATTTTCTCCTCTCCCAGGCCCAGCTCCACAGCTCAAGAAGCTTTGATCCGCGACACTTACCGCCGAGCTGGCCTCAACCCCAAGAACCCGGCAGACCGACCTCAATTCTTCGAGGCGCACGGAACGGGGACCCCGGCCGGAGACCCGATAGAAGCTGCCGCCATCCACGCTGCTTTCTTTGGAGGCGGTGATCCATCTGACACCAGCAACACGATGCTGGTGGGCAGCATCAAGACCATCTGTGGCCACACTGAGGGCACCGCCGGCGTGGCTGGTATATTGAAGGCCGCTCTCTCATTACAGCACTCGACCGTGTTGCCCAACTTGCTTTTCAAGAGCCTGAATCCTAAACTGAAGCCATTTGTTGGGCAGCTGCGCGTTCCGACGACCACTCTGCCGTGGCCTGCTGTAGAGGCTGGAGAGCCACGACGAGCTAGTGTGAACAGGTAGGTATCCCTTCGTAGTCCATGAACTCGTATAGAAGCATCGGGCTGACCAGACCTCTAGTTTTGGATTCGGAGGATCTAATGCACAGTGAGTAATGCGCTGTCATGCAACCCTACTAGGTAATCAGTTTCCTTGTCCTGATCATAGCTAATACAAATCTTCCCGCGCGATGTAGTGTTATCCTGGAAAGTTACACGCCATCAGATGGCGATGCAGCATTAGTCCACGGAGCAGCAAACGTTCCTGTCTTCACGCCTTTTGTGTTTTCTGCAGCGTCTGAGAAGTCGCTAAAGAACTACATCGAGTCCTTCACGGCCCACCTCGAAGCCCACCAGGACACATTCGACAGCCCAGAAAGCCTTCGTCATCTCGCCTACACACTTCACACCCGCAGGAGCAGATTCCAGTATGCGACTGCAGTGGCTGCTTCATCTGCCGCAGAGCTGATCGGAAAGCTGAGAGAGAAGCTCCAGAGTCAAAGTCCCGAGAAGCCGGTTGGTCTTCGCGCAAACCGCGATTTGGACCACCGAAAGCCTGTCATGATTGGCGTCTTCACTGGCCAAGGTGCACAGTGGGCTTGCATGGGGGCGGATCTTCTCGCCCAGTCCAGTGTCGCAGACACTATATTCTCAAAACTCGAGGGTCGCCTCGCCCGCCTACCTGCGGAGGACCGCCCGACCTGGTCCCTGAAGGAAGAGCTCCGACGCTCTGGGCCTGCCTCGCGCGTCGCCGAAGCCGAACTGTCCCAGCCGCTCTGCACGGCTATCCAGATTGTGCTCGTGGACCTTGTACGTGCCGCTGGGATTGAGTTCGGGGCCGTTGTTGGCCACTCATCCGGAGAAATCGCCGCTGCTTACGCCGCCGGCTTGATTTCCGCCGACGACGCGATATGCATTGCGTACTACCGAGGCTTCCACGGAAAACTAGCTGGTGCTACCAACGGCCAACCTGGCGCCATGTTGGCAGCCGGGACATCGGCTGAGGATGCTGCCGAGATCGTGGAAGCATTTGACGGCCGTGCCAAGATTGCTTGCTACAACTCCAGCTCCAGCGTCACTCTTTCCGGTGATGAGGATGCTTTGCAAGAGATCAAGGTTGTTCTAGACGATGAGAGCAAGTTCGCACGGATGCTCAAGGTAGAGAAGGCCTATCACTCGCACCACATGCTTCCATGTGCTGAAGCCTACCGCAACTCCATCAAGGCTCTGAACATCTCTGTCGCTCAGCCAGACAGCAAGTGCATTTGGATTTCGAGCGTGTCTGACCAAGACATCTCCACTGGTGGTCAGCTGGACAGGCTCAAGGATGAGTACTGGGTCGATAATTTGACCAGCCCAGTGCTATTTATGCAAGCTCTGAAGAAGGCTTGTGAAGCTCATGGCGGTGCATATGACATGGCGGTCGAGGTTGGTCCGCACCCGGCGCTCCAGGGACCTGCTCTGCAGACGATCGGGGAAGCCACTGGTCAGGCAATTCCTTACACAGGGCTTTTGAAGAGAGGCGCTGCAGATCTCACATCACTGGCGGACGGGCTCGGACAGGCTTGGGTCCACCTGGGTCGCGGCTCGTCCCTGAATCTGCAAGAATTCGACCGGTTCGTCTCGTCCGGTGCGCCCTCAAAGTTGATCCAGGGCCTTCCCACCTACGCCTGGGACCACGACGCGGATTACTGGCATGATTCCAGATACGCCAAGGCATACTTCTCCAGGAGCAAGAACCACGAGCTTCTTGGCCATCTGGCACCCGACTGTAATCCAGACCAAGAGCTACGATGGCGCCAGATCCTGATACCAAAGGAGTTCCCTTGGATCAATGGCCACAAACTGCAGAACCAGATGATCTTCCCCGGCGCGGGATACGTATCACTTGCGATCGAGTCCTGCCGCGAGCTATTGAAGATGTCTTCGGAGTCTGCGGCGCTCATCGAGGTCCACGACGTCGACATCGTCAATGCCCTGACCTTTGACGGTGACGACTCCAAGGTCGAGACCATTTTCCGTCTCTCCGAGATCGTTCGGAATGAAGGTGCAGGCAAGGATAGCCACGGGACCATCACGGCCAGGTGGCAATTCTCAGCTGCCCATTTCGGTTCCGTGAACAGGCAGGGCGACGCGAACTTGCGCACGCTATCCCGCGGTCTTGTCAAGATCACGCTCGGAAGGGAATCCGCCGCCGCGCTTCCCGCTCGTGGCCCGCGCCCTGATAATTGCCTCCCCCTCAACGCCGATGACTTTTACGACTCGCTTCGTCAGATGGAGTATGAGTACTCTGGTCCCTTCCCTGCCTTGACCGGGCTGCAGAGGAAGCTCGGCACGGTGACCGGCTACGTCGAGAACATGGAAGACCCAGACTCTGAGCTCCTGGTCCACCCAGGTATGCTCGACGCTGTGTTCCAGTCCGTCCTACTTGCCCACTCGGCGCCATATGATGGGAGTCTTTGGTCTATGCATGTTCCGAGGACCATCGATCGAGTCGTCGTCAACCCTCTTCTATGTGAGATCGACAAGATCAGGGGTAAGATGCTCCCGTTGGATTCGTTCCAGGTGCCGACGGTCAACACCATCAAAGGCGACATGGACGTCTTCCCTCCCGAGGTTGAGCTCCCCGGTGCCGCTCTCACAAACGCCCTGATACAAGTTGAAGGGTTGGACTGCGTTCCTTTTTCACAAGCCATGGCTCATGACGACAAGCAGGTCTTTTCCGTTGTGGAATGGAACTCGGCTGTACCTGACGCTGCTAGTGCTGCTTGGGATATGGATCCAACCACCGAGCAGAAGGAACTTGCGCACTTCCTTGAGCGGCTCTCCTTTTACTACTTACAGAACCTGCAAAATTCAATCCCCGAGGACGACCCATGCCGGAGCCCTGACGCACCCCTCAGCGGAATGTTCGGAATGGTGAAGCACATCGAGTCTTTGATTGTCACGGGCCAGCGACCGTTCTGGGAGGCAGAGTGGAACAACGACACCCATGAGACCATCACCGCCGCTTCCCAGCCTTACCTCGACTTCATTGACTTCAAGATGGTCAGAGAAATCGGAGAGAACCTGGTCGAAATCGTCAGGGGCACCAAGTCGGCTATCGAGGTGGCCATGAAAGACAACCTCCTCAACGAGCTCTATCCCAACGCCCTGGGAATGAAAGAGTGCACAGTGTACCTCGCCCGGCTCATCAAGCAAATGACCCACCGCTACCCGCACCTCAACGTCCTGGAGATCGGAGCCGGCACGGGAGGCTCCACGAAGGCAATCATGAGCGCCGTGGGCGACAGCTTCTCGTCGTACACCTACACGGACATCTCGTCCGGGTTCTTCCCCGCGGCGCAGGAGGTCTTCAGGGAGCAGGCCTCGCGCATGACGTACAAGGTTCTCGACATCGGCAAGAGCCCGTCGGACCAGGGCTTTGAGGAGCAGCAGTACGACCTGATCGTCGCGTCCATGGTCCTGCACGCGACGCCGTCCATCAGGCATACCCTGGCCAACGCGAGGAAGCTGCTCAAGCCGGGCGGCTACCTTGTCGCCATGGAGGGCTTCAGCAACGATGTGGCACGCACTGGCCTTGTCTTTGGTGCGTTCGCCGGATGGTGGCTGGGCGCGGACGAGGGTCGTGTCCTGGGCCCTCATGCTACGGTGGCGGAATGGGACAGCCTGTTGCGTGAGACTGGGTTCTCTGGCTGCGACAGCCTAACGCCGGTCGTTGATCCGCTGTTCTGCCACACGACGGTCTTTGTATCACAGGCCGTGGATGCGCGTGTCAACTACCTCCGCGACCCGCTGGCTTCTTTTGCCGCACCAACACCCGATTTGAAGCTTGATCGTGCTTCGGATCTGATCCTCGTTGGTGGTAGGACACCTGCTAGCAACGCCTGTGTATCTCAGTTGATACCTATCCTTCAACAATCTTTCGCAAACATCACGCCTGTCCAAACCCTTGCTGAGGTTGCTAGTCTCAACCTGTTGCCCACAACCACAATCTTGAGTCTTTCAGACCTCGATGAGCCTCTGTTCGAAAAGCTGGCCGAGCGTGATTTTGAGGCCGCCAAGAAGGTGCTCGAGAGCGCCGGCTCTATTCTCTGGGTCACCCAGGGCCGCCGGGCTGCAAACCCAACCACGAACATGACAGTCGGCATGGTGCGCACCGTCCTGCTCGAAGTTCCGACGCTCGCTTTCCAGTTCTTTGACTTCGAGGACGCCAGAGCCCTGAGCGCCGAAAGGATTGCTGAAGCGCTCCTTCGCTTCAAGGCCGGAGTGGCGTGGCAGCAAGAAGACAGCACCCTTGCGAAGTCTGGGAACATTCTCACGACTATCGAGCGCGAGATCGTGCTCGACGAGCGCGGCCGGGTGCTCATCCCACGAGCTTTGCCCAACAAGCACATGAATGATCGTTACAACTCGTCCCGGCGTGCCATCCACAATGATGTGGCACTCTCGAATAACGGCAATGTCAGCCTTGTTAGAGACGAGGGACGACATGAGTATTACCTCGAGCAGTCCGACGAGAAAGCCACAAGCGATAACTCACTGCGGATCTCGCACTCGCTTCTTCTTGCTCTTCGAGTCGAGGGTCTCGGATATAGCCACATCAGTCTTGCAGAGGACAAGAGCTCTGGCACCTCTCAGGTAGTCCTCTCGAGCCATGTTTCTTCTTTCGTTAGGCCCATTGAGGGAGTGCCAGCCGTGCGAGTGAGCGAATCCAAGGTGCTTTCTCTCAAGGGCACAGACTCGAGCGCACAATTCCTTCGTCTAGTTGCGCTGAATCTGCTCGCTATTGATATGGTCGGCAACATGTCGCAGGGCGAGCAACTCGTTGTATATGAGCCAGAGCCCGCACTCGCGCAGGTGCTTCAAAGGGAGGCCAAGGGACGAGGTGTCGGAGTCACAGTCCTGTCATCGACCATGAGTATTGACAGGTGCCATCTCCTGGGTTGGATTCCAGTTCACGCCCAAGTTTCGGCTCGTATTCTCAAAGACACCCTGCCAAAGAGCGCATCGGTTTTCCTCAACTGTGAGCGTGGGCACATGGAGGGTGGCGTGGGCACTGCGGCTCGCATTGTCGCTCATCTCTCATCGCGGTGCAAGATCGTATCCTTGGCAGATCTCTTCGATAAGACTGCTTGGATCAAGCCTGCCGAGGCCCAAACCGCTGGAGCTGATGTTCACAGCCGGTTGGTGGGCGCAGTGAAGCACGCCCAAGAAGATAAGATCTCGACATCTTCGGTCGATATCAACACCACTCCCGTCAATCAAATAGCAGAAGCAGGTTCTACTGACGTGAAGCTCGACGAAAAAATAGAGCGAGCCACGGTTGTCGAGTGGGACCAACTCCTCACTGTCCCTATCAAGATTCGCCCCGTCGACGACCAGCAGCTCTTTGTTGATTCCAAGACTTATTGGCTCGCTGGTCTCAGCGGTAACGTTGGGTTATCCCTCGCCGAATGGATGATCGGCCATGGAGCCAGGCACATAGTCATCACCAGTCGCAACCCCAAGGTCTCTGCCTCATGGCTGGATCGCATGGCCGCCCGCGGAGCCGTGGTCAAGGTCCTCGCCAACAACCTGACAGACCTGAAGCAGACGCAGTCTCTATACCACGACATCTGCTCCGTCATGCCCCCGGTCGGCGGTGTCGCACAGGGAGCCATGGTGCTAGAGGACACGGCCTTCCGGAACATGACGCGCGAGGCGATGGACAAGGTGCTGCAGCCCAAGGTCCAGGGAAGCATCGTCCTCGACGCGCTGTTCCGCCACAACAAGGACCTCGACTTCTTCGTCTTCTTCTCGTCGCTCGTCGGCGTCCTCGGCAACGCGGGGCAGGCCAACTACTCGGCCGCCAACCTGTTCATGACCTCCCTCGCCGAGCAGAGGCGGCGCCGCGGCCTCGCGGCGTCGGTCATGCACATCGGGCCCGTCCTGGGCGTCGGCTACGTCTCGCAGAACAGCCAGGCCTCCAAGGCCATCTTCTCGCGCGCGTCGGGCCTGCAGTTCGTCTCGGAGCGTGACCTGCACCAGCACTTTGCCGAGGCTGTCGTCGCCGGGCGCCCCGGCCTGGATGGGCCCCTGGAGATCGCCACGGGGCTGTTGAGGGTGCCCGCGAGCCCAGAGAAGAAGCCCTTCTGGTTCTCGAACCCGATGACCACGCACTTCATCATGAATAACACCGGTGGCGCTGCGGACTCTTCTTCGAAGGCTTCCGAGTCCAAGGCGTCTGTCAAGGCGCTGCTCCTGCAGGCCAAGACGCCTGGCCACGTGACTGATGTGCTGAAGAATGCGTTCAGGCAAATTATTTGTGCGCTGTTCCATCTTGGCGTTACTGATCTGGACGATGAGACCAAGTTCATGAGCTCATCGCTTGATGAGATGGGTCTTGATTCCCTGCTGGCTGTTGAGATCAGAACCTGGTGGATGAAGGCCGTACAGGTCAATATCTCGGTCATGAAGATCCTGTCGGGTCTTACTATCGGCGAGCTGGTTGCTCTCGCTCAGGAGAATCTGTCTGCCGATCTGACTCCGCTCATGAAATCCGATGGCGAGGCTGAAGAAGACAAGACTGTCCCCCAAGTCAGGGTATCCAGTGCCACGTCCGCCGAGAGCGCCGATGTTTCTTCAAAGGGATCATCCACGTCGGCCTCATCTGAAGCCGGAGACCCAGCGATCATGACTCCTTTCTCGGAGCCCGAGGCGTTCGAGACAACGGCCAAAGATGCTGATACTGTATGTTCCAGTCCACTTCCCACCGTCTCAAAGTGGATGGACCTCTCCTTCAGCCAGCAAGTCTTCTGGTTCGTCCTGACCTTCCTAGAAGACCGAGCGGGCCTGAACCACACGGGGGCATTCCGCCTGACGGGGCCCCTGCGCGTGGGCGACCTCGAGCAAGCGATAATGCGCCTCGGACAGCGCCACGAGTCCCTGCGGACTTGTTTCAAGACGGACGAAAACGGACAGCCGAAGCAAGGTGTCTTCGAGCCGAGCCAGCTGCGGCTGGAGCGCAGACGCATTGCCAATCAGGGCGAGGCTGAGAAGGTGGCCGAGGACTTGCAGAGCTACTGCTACGACCTCGAGCGCGGAGAGTGTTTCCGAGCAATCCTCCTGGAGCTGTCGCCCACCGTCAACTTCGTGGTCTACGGGACGCACTCCCTGGTCCTGGACGGGCTATCCTCCGTCGTCCTCACGCGGGAGCTGCAGCACCTGTACGACAACGACACGGCCCCCCTCACCCCGGCCGGCGCCATCTGCCAGTACCCAGCCTTCGCCCAGGCCCAGCTCGAGGCCCTCAAGAGCGGCGCCCTGGAGCCCAGCCTGCGCTTCTGGAGGAACGAGTTCTCAACCTGCCCGCCGCCCCTGCCCGTCCTCCGCGTCTCGCCCGCCGTCAGCCGGCCCGTGCAGAGGCGCTACGAGAACCAGCGCGCCGACCTGCGCGTCGACGCGGCCACCAAGGCGGCGATATGGCGCGTCTGCAGGGCCCACCGGATCCGGCCGTTCCACTTCTTCCTGGCCGCGTTCCGGGCGCTGCTGGCGCGGTGGGCGGACGCCGAGGAGGTGGCTGTCGGCATCGGCGACGCCAACCGGTCGCACGACGGCGCGATGGGGAGCCTGGGCCCGTATATCAATCTCCTCCCGCTGCGGTTCTCGAATGACGCCGCGCAGGTGTTTGGGGAGGTGTTGGAGGAGACGAAGGGCAAGGCTGATTCTGCGTTGGCGCATTCTGATGTTCCTTTCCAGGTTCTGCTGAATGAGTAAGTCATGATTCGTCTTCGCATTTCTTTTATGCACTTGAACAAGGAGACTGACAGAACATCAGCCTCGGCGTCCCCAGATCAGCTAGCCACACGCCCATCTTCCAGACCTTCTTCGACTACCGCCAGGGCATGCGCAAGAAGCAGCCCTGGGGCAACTGCGAGCTCGAGATGCTGTCGTTCCAGGCGTCCAAGGTCCCATACGACTTGGCACTGGATATCATCGACGACGCGGGCGATGCCGACTGCCTGCTCATGCTGATTGTCCGCGAGGACATGTACTCGAAGCAGGATGCTGAAGTTCTGCTCCGGAGCTATGGTCAGCTTGTCAAGGCTTTCGCAGAGAGTCCTGGGGTCTCGTTTGCGGAGCCGGACATGTTTGAGCCCACCGAAGTGGGCAGGAGCTTGAAATTTGGACGAGGTTCGTGACGTCTTTGCCCCATTTTCTTTCCGTTTCTTTTCTTTCCACCTTCGCCCTGTCTGTCCTCGCTTTCCACTCGTCCTTTGGGCAGTTGAAATTACTCTATCACAAAATAGAATCATTTGCTAATGATCCTTTCCAGGAGAATTCCTGCCATCCCAATGGGCAGAGAAGACTGTCATTGAACGAGTGGAAGCAATCGCGCAGTCCAACCCAGACAATGTCGCCGTCAAATTGCCTCACGGTGGCAAGTCCATGACTTACAGTCAGATGATGGCAAAGTCTCATGCTATTTCCGCGGCTCTCCAGGCTGAAGGCTGCACCCGCGGCAGCGTTGTCGCCGTGTACCAAGAGCCCTCGCCCGACTGGCTGTCATCGGTTCTCGCCGTCTTCAGTATAGGGGCGATCTGTGTTCCTTTCGACGCGGGCACGCCGACCAAGCGTCTGTTAGACATGGCTCGTGACAGCCAGGTCAACATCATAATTGTCGATGCCGAGCTCGAGGCAGCGGCAACCAGCGGGCTCCTTGTGGACGGGGGAGCGAAGGGGATCATCAGCGTCGACCAGTGCGACGCTGTCCAGAATGCAGATGTCAAAATACCTGCTCCTCTTGCAGAGGCCGAAGACCCAGCCATGATCCTCTACACCAGCGGATCAACGGGTAACCCCAAGGGCATCGTCCTCAAGCACAGCGGCTTCAGGAACTGGGCCGAGTTCGTCCCCGCCCAGTTCAGCCACAGCCCTGGCGGGGCCGAGACGGTCCTGCAGCAGAGCTCGTCCAGCTTCGACATGGCCTTCCTCCAGGTCTTCTGGGCGCTGTGCTCCGGGGGCACCGTCGCCCTCGTCCCGCGCGGCGACCGCGTGGACGCGGGCGCGATCACGGATATTATTGCTGCGGAAGGCGTCACCGTCACGAACGGCGTCCCGTCGGAGTATTCCAACTGGCTGAGATATGGCAACAAGGAATCGCTCCTTCGCTCTGCATCTCACTGGAAGACGGCGATGTGCGGTGGTGAGCCCGGGACGCCTGCTATCATGGATCTCTACATCTCCTTGGGCGAGCAGGGACCCCGGCCTCGGTTCTACCACATGTACGGCCCGACCGAGATCACCTTCATCACCTCTGGGACGGAGCTTACTTACCCGGTTGCCGGGGCCAAGGCCGAGAAATCGGCGTCTGTCGGTGGGCCGTTCATCAACTATTCAATCTACATCCTCGACGAGCAGCTCCGACCTGTTCCGCCTGGAGTCCAGGGCGAGATCTACATCGGAGGAGGGGGCGTGGCATCTGGGTATCTCGGCAACCCTACACTGACCGCAGAGAAGTTCATGCCCGACAACTTTGCCCCGGAGGCCTTCAAGGACCAGGGGTGGTGCACTATGCATCGAACGGGAGACATGGGCCGGTGGACCGAGGAGGGCGGCGTCATGATCGAGGGACGCAAGTCTGGAGACACGCAGCATAAGCTCCGGGGGCTGCGGGTCGACCTCCAAGAGGTTGAGAATGTGATGCTCAAAGAGGCCAAGGGCGTCCTGAGTGACGTTGTTGTCACTGTCCGCCGCACATCGCCGCAGAGCCCCGAGTTCTTGGTTGCGCATGTCCGTTTCGAGCCCGCACACTGTCCGCCGGAGGAGGAGCAGCAGTCTGTGCTGAGCTCTTTATTGTCCAACCTGCCTCTTCCACAGTACATGTGGCCCGCAGCTGCGATTGCTGTGAAAGAACTGCCGATGATGGTATCCGGAAAGCTCAACCGCAGGGCAGTCGCTGCTCTTCCTCTGCCGGATATCTCTGCACTCGAGGATCATTTAGATGGAGAAGACAGTAGTGCACCGCCAGCGGTATTCACAGATACCGAGGCCAAGATGAAGCAGATCTGGGAGGATCTCATCTCTCAGCACGTCATCAAGATGCGCCGTGTCAGGCCCGAGACCGACTTCTTCCATGTTGGCGGCACCTCGCTGCTCCTCTTGCAACTCCAGGCCCAGATCAAGCAGATCTTCGGCTTCAGGATCCCGCTCGTGCAGCTCTTCGAGTCGAGCACCCTGTCAGCTATGGCTAGGCGCGTTGACAACAAGTCGGAAGCAGAGAGCGAGATGACTTTTGACTGGGAGTTCGAGACAGCCGTTCCCGAGGCCACTGCCACGGCTCTGAAGACGGCAGTCGATCACGTTCCCGCCGCAAACAAATCCGTCGTCCTCACAGGCGCGACGGGCCTGCTGGGCCAAGGATTCCTGAAGGCCCTTGTCGCCGAACCCGGCATCGAAAGAATCCACTGCGTCGGCGTCCGCAACGCATCTGCCCGGATCTCATCTTTGCCCCTTCTCGGACACGCCAAGGTCGCCTGCTACGAAGGAGACCTGGCCGCCCCGCAGCTCGGCCTCGACGACGCGACGGCCACGTCCATCTTCAGCTCGGCAGACCGCATAATCCACAACGGGGCCGATACCTCCCACTTCAAGACATACCGGTCTCTCCGGGGGTCCAACCTCCAGGCCACCAAGGAAATTACCAGGCTGGCCCTGCGCTTCGGCAGCGGCCGCAAGATCCCCGTCCACTTCGTCTCGACCGCCAGCGTGCTGCAGTACTCGCGGCTCGAGTCGTTCGGCGAGGAGTCCGCCGTCGCGTATCCGCCGCCGCCGAACGCCCTCGACGGCTACAGCGCCACCAAGTGGGCCAGCGAGCGGTACCTCGAGAGGCTGTACGAGCTGAGCGGCGGTTCGTGGCCAATGTGGATCCACCGGCCCACCAGCGTCCAGCGACCTGCTGGTGACTACGAGGGCAGCAACAACGATGGTCCGTCGCTGGATCTGATCTCGAATCTCCCTGCGGTACTGCAAGGCCGCCAACTGCGTGCCCGCCTCGCCGAACCTGCTTGGCGTGCTGAACCTCGTCCCGCTGGAGCGCATCGTCGAGAGTATGCTGCATGAGATGTCTGTCACGGCCGCACCGGGCTCTGGTGTGCGACACGTGAATGAGGTTGGCGAGACCGACATCCCGCTGGATAATATCAAGGACTATATTGACGCCCAGACGGGCGCGAGCGCTGAGGTGCTGCCGCTTGATCAGTGGGCGAAGAGGGCGGGTGAGGTTGGGATGGACCCGATTCTGGTGGCGTTCTTTGAGAACACGGTGGGCATGCCGCCTGTGGTCTGGCAGAAGTTGAGCAGGAGCGCTTAGAAAAATGTTGTTTGCTGTTTTGATTAACATATTCTAAATATATCATCTCCTCTTCAGAGTAAAGTAAACACCTGGACTGAAGTCACCTCCATGGGATTGGTTGGCCGCCTGTCCCGCATGTGTTTGGGGCGTAATTTGGTTATTTCAACGAGGGCCTCCAACTCTTACACCTGGCCGGAATTAAGTACTTGCACGGTGCCCGAGGATCGGTTCTCCAGCTCACTAGCCAAGCACTAGAAGTGGAGACCCGGATGTCACCCTGACTCGACTACCCTCCACAAGCCCTCCGCCAGATCTCACGATTCCCCGGACTTGACACGGCCTCCCGCCGTGAGATCAGGCCATGGGCATGGGGTTAAGATTGATACCGAACGCAGCCAAGGAAAGCATTCGAATTGACAAGCAATGGTCAGCAACTGTCTACATGGCTTATATGCCCCAGACAAGTGCCCTATTGTGCGGCTGACGAGTGGATCCGGTGCCGACATTGTGCATCGTAGAACACCACGACTTTCAACGTCGTACAACACTCACGATGGACGGTGTGGTGCCCCTTTCGAAGCCTCGGCTGGACGCGGCCATGGCTGGTCTGGGCTCTCGGCTCTCCTCCTTGCACTAGGTGCCCTGGCTTATCATCTTGAGACGTGGCTCGTGACTGGGTTGCCGTGGGCGATTCCATCTCCGGTCTTCGTCGAGCAGGCCGGAATGGTTCCGGCCTCACAAGTATATCAAGAGCGGCTCGCTCCAAGCCAGAGAGCGTTTCAGCCCGGCTCACCAGACTCAATACAATCCATCACCACACAACCCGTACCTTGAAAATTATCAATTTTTCCCAGCTTTTCACACATACCAATATCCCTATACCCCTCAAGACACTTACAGCACCACCACCACCACCACAATGGGGTCCGTCACCGTCGACGACAACTTCTCCACCGCCGACTTTGGCGTCCTGGAGGACTGCCGCCCGGACGACCACACCCTGCAGGCCTTCATGATCTCCAAGCCGCGCGGCTTCCTGCCCCGCGCCGACCCGGTCTGGCAGCTCCCTGCCGACTTCGACCCCCTCGAGGACATCCTGCGGCGCATGCCCGTCAAGATGGCGTCCGGGGAGCCCGGGCTGCTGGCGCAGGGCAGGCTGGGCCCCACGGTCGACGCCGGGTTTCCCGACCTCACGTGGGCCGTCGACAAGCACGCCGACGACAAGCCGCTCATGAACGCCCTGTACCGGGACTACTCGTTCCTGCTGTCGGCGTACCTGCTTGAGCCGTGCCACGAGAGGTTCCTGAGGGGCGAGCCGTATGGCCTGGGGCGCCAGAGCTTGCCGGCTGTTATTGCGAGGCCGATGGCTCGGGTTGCTGAGCTGTGAGTTTGCTTGTTCCGTTCGTTCCTCTTGCCTTCCTTCCGTCGTCTGTCTTCTTTCCTTGTCTTCTCTTGTGTTTGGTTGCTGTCCTGTCGTCCCCTTGTCATACGCCTCGCAGGCATGCTGGACTTACACGGCATACTGGACCTCTCATTGGCTTGACGCCATTCGGGACCCGCTTTCCTGCCGCTTCCGTCTTCACTTACAAGTCTCCCTCCAATTGCATTCTGCCTTGCCGTAGCACATTCTCGCGTGCTTGTCGTGATGCACTCTTACTTGTTTTCTCTTGCTTCGATGTCTATTCCTGCTGCCAAGAAGATGCTGCCTCTTTATCCTGTGGTCCCTCATCGCACACATATACACACACAATACTTCCACAATCCTCTCTTTGCCTCCTCATGTCTCCTTTCGAGGGTACTTGTTCCATTATGGTCCTGACAACCCCCTAGTACCGGCTTCATGCCATTCATGGAGTACGCCGGCAGCTACGCCCTCTACAACTACAAGCTGGCAGACCCGGCCAAGGGCATGGACTACGACAACATCCGGCTGATCCGCGCCTTCGAGCACGGCCTGGACCACACGTCCAGCGAGGCCGGGTTCGTGCTCGTGCACATCGACATGGTCAAGAACTCGGGCCCGCTGGTGTCCGGGACGGTGGAGGCGCTGCAGGCGGCGCACTCGAGCCGGGCGGACCTCAACGCCGCCATGGGCAAGCAGCTCGGGGCGCTGCGGCGCATCAACGCCACCATGGAGACCATGTGGATGAAGTCCAAGCCGCGCGACTACACCACCTTCCGCACCTTCATCTTCGGCATCACGTCGCAGTCCATGTTCCCCGACGGCGTGGTCTACGAGGGCATAAACGACGGCAAGCCGATGTCCTTCCGCGGCGAGTCGGGCGCCAACGACTCCATGATCCCCCTGATGGACAACTTCCTCCAGATCCCCATGCCCGACACGCCGCTCACGGAGATCCTCAAGGACTTCCGCAAATACCGGCCCTCGAACCACCGCGCCTTCCTGCAGCACGTGCGCGACCGCTCCGTCGAGCTGGGCCTGCGCGGGTTCGCCCTGCGCCTGCAGGCCGGGCCGGGCGAGGACGAGGACGACGAGACCGTCTGGGAGACCAGGCGGCTGTGGCTGCAGCTGCTGGACCAGGTGCGCGAGTTCCGCTGGCGCCACTGGTGCTTCGGCAAGGAGTACATCCTCAAGATGACGGACCACCCCACCGCGACGGGCGGCAGCCCCATCGTCACGTGGCTGCCGAACCAGCTCAAGGCCGTGCTCAACGACATGGTCAACATCGCGGCCACTGTGGGCGAGGAGAAGCTTGGCGGCGAGGTCCAGGCTATCATGGACCTGGTGCGGCGGCAGGAGGAGACGCTGAGGAAGGAGGTCGAGAAGTACTGCGAGGAGAGGGGGGTTGACCGTTCCTGAGGGCGTCTGCGCGTGTGACGGCTGCTGTTGGGTTGGCCTTGCTGTTTCTTCCCCGGCTACTGATGAAGCGTCCTGTAGCTGTAGCGTTGTGGTTTATTTCAAGATATTTCAATTCGACGTGTGGCTTTCGATTGCGTGTGGCACCCGATCTCATTGTGGTGTGAGCCTTGTAACTGGTTACCCCTTTGTTCTGTCCAATACTTGGGCACTTTGTGACTCTCTACTCATCGCGCAACGGCACGCCGCAGATTCCTCCCTGAAGCGGACTTTGATCGGGCTGTGGTTCAGATCTGCTTTGTAAGTATTGGGATTGTCATACATCCGGTACTTACGTCTTCCATCTGCCGTACAATATCCCAGCGGGCAGCAGATGCCCTACACTTATTGCAGGAGGTTCGAAGGAGGCAGAGAAGCACATCACGAATGGATTGGACTGGGTAGTCCCATGACGGTCGCAGGCTTGCCTCCTCCTCGGGTCTGTAGAGCCCATGCAAACCGCACGGAAAAAGCTGAATCAACCTCATCTCCTGAAGCACCTTCTGCTCTGTAGCTCACCTTGAGTTCCCTGCGAGGTAGTGAAGCGCTGCAGCTCAACTCCATGAATACTACTCGTGCTGCTGGTGGTCCTCCTTGTTTTTGACCACTTCAGTCAACAAGCGGACGGTGAGACTGCCGCGGCGGAGCTTTTATATTCAGTGCAGAAACTTGTACGAGTTGCGAAGAGGTATCGTTCAGGGTCCGTGAAAGCTGGCGGCGTGAGCCAATCTTCCCATCACTGCTGTTTACATGATCAAAATGTAGTGTGTGCACGGCATGTGGGATATAAGTCCCAGCGCCGGGCTGAATTGGTGCCACCTTGAGGATCGAGGCTTTGACTCCATGTAAGGGGGTTATCTCCTGTGGGCTTACTCGGCCTGCCCGTGTGGTCAAATGCGATGTGGGCTGGTTCCTCCTTGGTGTACCAGCTCAGGGAATTGTTACCCTATCGTCACCCAAGTGAGAATGAGCTTTTGTGTTGCAGCTTAGGGTGGGAGTCGCAAGGAGTTTGAACTGGGCTGCATCGCATCGACATATGGAGAATGAATGCTTGACAGGCAAAGACGCAGGCGGTGATCGGTACAGCAACGGTTATGTGTTGATGCTACGACCGTGATGGCAGTGGCTTTCTGCAACACGATTCAGGTATCGTGAAGGGGGAACCAGGGCAGAATGGTGCGAAATGAACCCCGAATTTGGATGTCCAGAAGCAAGGCGGAGTCATGCTGGATGGTGATCCGAAGCATCCCTCGTTATCTACTGTGTACGACCAGGCATTGCCGGTCGCGCGTTACGGGGAAAGTGACACGCCGCCTTCTTGCGTGGTGTTTCATCTTGCGTTGAGCCCAAACCACAGAGCACGGAGAAATTGGAAAAGGAGAGGCCTTTGACCCTGCCGATCAGCCTGATCGCTGACGGGAAATGGCGGAGCTTCGCGTCGGGGTTGGCGTTTTGAATCACCACACAGCTAGCATGGTTAAAAAAAATTCCTTCGGATCAGTAAGCGCCTGGGAAGGTTCTTTGTTGAGGAGGCAGTCCAAGTGGGGATGCTTCGCGAGACGGCATTGATGCAGAAAGTATGGTTGGTGCCGGGTTGGACGGCAGGCGATGACGAATGAAGCAGGCATCATCATCATCTGTTTGCCTTTCTGCGGAAGTCGGGCAGGACAGGTGCGGGATGTCAGTGGGTGGAGTTTGGTTTTGCCTCGGGCTTGCTCGGAAGTTGTGGTGCGCAGCGGGTGGCGCTTTGCAGAATCAAGGGTCGTGGGCGGTGATGGACTCATGACCCGAGCAGGCAACCAGCCCAGGTCGCTGTGCAGTAGAAAGACGACAGAGTTTTCCGGGCATTTGGCTGCTGGTGTGCTTGTGTGGTGCATGAGGCTTGGCGGGCTCGGTTTCTTGGATCCTGCTGGCGATGGATGCTCACTGCGTCCTGGTGTCGGATCGCTGGATCTGACCTGGGACGGCCAGGTTGTCTCTTGTCTGCATGCAGGCAGGGAGACCAACGCCAGCCCCTTTGTGATGAGCTCGGCGGGTATCCGGAGATGAGGGTGAGGGCCTGGGAGGCGACGAGGAGAGTGCAACTGAGCTGAACTGGAGGTGATCCGAACCTTGCCCTTTCCGTCGTCGAGGCTCGAGATGCGACACATCTTGTAACGCCCTAACATGACGCGCAAGGCGCAGGCGAGGCTGTTGGTGCTGATTCAGGGGGCCTGCGATAATGCTGTACCCTGTCCGTCGCGGCAGAGGCAGACGGCTTGGCTGGCGGGCTGGTCGAAGTCAGTCAGTCAGAATGGCCGTCTGAGCAAAGCACACGCAAGTTTGTGACATGCCCTGCCCAGACCAGCCCAGTCCAGGCCATCTCACAGCTGGACGAGATCAGCAAAGGAATGGAGACCACACGGGACGCACCACACCTCGCTGGAGCAGCGTCGCAGAGTGTGTTTAGGCAGCCCACGACCTGCTCGATGAACGAAGGCCCTTACTGTGGAATGAATACGTGCAGCAATACAGACGTGCAGGACCGACTTGAGGGACAGGAAGGTAGGGACGGAGGACGGGTACATGTCCAAGGTACCGATTATGTCAGCCCGGGCGGTGGGCCGTGCTTTTAATAGCGTCCCGCAGAAAGGTACTAGGTAGCTTCTGCTCTGCCATCCGCATTGCGATTGCGAGCGAACCTCCTCTCCGAGCGCGTGTGTGTGCAGCACCACAAGGCACAAGGCCCAAGGCCCAGCACCAAAAGCTGGGTTGCCATGAGAAATGGCTGCAATCACCACAACCGACCATGGCCCGTCCAACCTTTTTTGATCTAAAACCACAATGATGGGATCTGTTCCCATGCCCTCCCTTCCCATCCGCCCTTCTCTCCTCCACCATCAATTCTTCACCCTCAACCATCACCCATCATCATCACCATCACCGCCGCCGTCCACACACCCCGTCGCCAACGCCATGCAAATTCCCACCACACGGCCCAACTAGGATCCCACACACCAACGACCGGCCACGATCCTGCCCTGCCCTGCAGTGCAGTGCACGCACAACCAGTGCTGACTGACAATCAACGCACTCCAACATCCACCAACACAACGCCCAAGCCAAGCCTCGCTCCATTCACCTCATCCTTCTTTTCCCGTCACCGAAACTGGCCCACGGCCTTGGTCTCCGACTCACACCAAGCCAACTTTTGCGTCTGCTCTCTTTGACTACTTCTTTCCTTTCCACACTTTCTTAAAAAGCCGTCAGCAGACTCCGTTTTTGACGGCCCTGATTGTTTCTGCTGCAACACCAAGAAGTCAAAACTCGACACGATGGCTCCATCAAGCAAATCTACTCCTGCAAAGGACCGACGCAAGTCTTCCGCGAGCACCGCCTCTGCAGCCTCCAAGGTCATCACCCTCAAGGTTTCGCCCGACAGGCTGCGAGCCGTCGTCGACCCAGCAGCATCCGACGCCGCCAAGGACGACACCCCCATGAAGGATTCCAACGACTCGCCGTCCACCTCGACGCCTGTGCCCAACGGCGCTGCTGCCATCCCCGACAACGCCTCCGACTCCAACCCAGCGACTCCCGGCAACGGTGGCACTCCTGCACCGTCCGTCATGGGACCGCCTGGCGACGGCCAAGGCCCAAAGAAGAAGGGCGTCAAGAGATCCGCTGCTGCAACAAATGGTGACGCTCCGCCTAAAGTCCGGGGCAAGCCAGGTCCCAAGAGGAGAAAAGTCAAGTATGTACCCTACAGGACCTCACAGAAACCTACGTGCAAAACACTAACCTTTCTCCTACACAGCGACGACGGCACCATCGAGCCTCGAGCCGCGGCCCACCGACTCGGCCCCAAGGCCAACCAGGGCGCTATCAACGCAGGCCTGCGCGCCCTCGACCGCAGCGGCAAGCCCTGCCGCAAGTGGACCAAGGGCAGCTTCCAGCTCAAGACCTTCACCGGCGTGCAGTGGCAGATCAACCGATGGACCGCTCCGCCCAAGCCCAAGCCGTCCGACGAGTCCATCTCCGAGAACGGCGTGCCGACCTCGACCCCAGCCTCCGCCGACGGCAGCAGCAGCAAGGAGAACAAGGAGAACGGGGGAGGCAACCCGGGCAAGAGCGAGAACAACAGCACCTCGGGCGCCGACGTCGAGATGCAGAGCCTGCCCAGCGTCCAGGCCAGCTCGCCTGCGCCCATGGCCATCGCCGCGGGCGCTTAGACAGGCCCATGTGCAGACAGACCTGCCACATACAGACACAGCCAGAGCTGAGTTTTGCCTTCAGCACTGTACAGCTCTATTTATTTTTCTGCGATCATATAGTCAAGGCGTTCCAGGGAGGGGAAGTTCAGGTCAACGGAAAACCGGTTCCAGGGGTTATCTGCAACGGAGACAAGTCGGTTTGTCTTAAAGGGAGAGATACCAGGCTCAGGGCCCTCGTGGTCCCTCATTATGGAAATGTGGACAAAAAGGCATGTTGGGCGGCGTTACTGAACGGATGAGTCTTTTGAGTCTTTTTTTTTTCTGCGGTAGATCTGACTGGATTAAAGTCAAATATTGTTATTAACCGACCTCGTCACTGTCTCAACTATGCCTCTACTGTGACTGCTGTGCTTTTGATCAGTCATGTCTGCCTGCGTGTACTTAAAGAAAATGATGGCTTTGGGATGTGTGCTTCTGGGAACCTTCTACCCAGGTCTTCCCGCAACAGGGTCAAGGTCACTGTCTGGGAAGCTTGCCCGGCCCAAGATCGAGGCCTTCTTATCGGACTACAGCCAAACGTGCCTTCTCGCCACAAAGGACATATTCCTATGTAAGATCTTGCCATATCAGCCGCATCCATCTGCCCTAGCCCAGCGAAGCCTTGGAATCAACGCTGTTACCTGGAAGGGGCCAAATGAGCGGCTTCATTCAAATTACCCAGTGGTAAATAGTTCATGGACTGGTGCAAGCACCCATTGTCTTTGTTGGCCTTGGCCGGAAATAGGCAGCGACACCACCTTTTGAGGCATATTTGCAGCTGTGTCCGCCATATTGGGCAGCAACAACCATCACCGTCACCTCCGTTGAGAGAGCACTCTGGTCATGTTGGACTTAGGCCTTTGGCTGCGAAGGGGCATGCATGGCACCGAAAGAGACATATGCAGGGACACCTCACGCAAAGAAGTCGATAACAAGAGAGATGATGCACTTGACCCTTTCTGGATTTTGAAAGTAATCACATGTTGTTGTTTGCTCCGGGTGCTTGGACGAGTTAGTTGACCTTGGGCTTGCTCCAAGTACAAACCGTTGGCTCGTAGTCTACAGTCAGTGTACAGGAATGCCATGTGATAAGAGACAGGCCTGCTTGGTTCGCAGGACACCTGACACCATTCAGCTGCAAAGGGATTTTTTCCATCAGATCGTGAAGAAATTGGGAAAGAAAGCAGAAAAAAGGACAATGCCCTTGAGTCTCGCACACTGACATTTGATGTTGACAATGGATATATATCATCTTCAGTCTCAGATGCACTGAGGCGTAGAGAGACGGAGGTCAGTCTGATGGCTGCCGTGGCCCCTGAGACTTATCCGGAGATCCCCCCAACTCCACCCCATGCTGGCGTGTTGCCGGCACCGGTCCTCCAGGCTGTAGTGTACTACAGCCTGCACACTGCATCTGGATTACTCCGCAGAACATCCCACTGACGACATCACTGCTAAGATCTCGTGTGGGTAGACGACCCAAGCATCTCGGGCACCCATCACAGGCACAGGCCTGGCCACATCTCTTGCCGTCTCTATCTCTTTCAACCCATCGCGTGCTGCAGAAGAAGAGACCTTGCTGCCCCTGATTTGTGAAGACAAGACGCCGTTCCCAGTCGAGTTTATGACCGACCGCCCATCGAGTCCGGCCGGCCCCTCACCTCTGGCAGTAAAGTGACTTGAGTTCGCGTCTACAGCACTTGTAGTAGCTCCAGGTGCCGCACCCCCGTCAGGTCATCTGTGATTCGGATGATTCCACAGCAGTCTTCAGACACGTCGCCACAGTCCGCCCTCATTGCTGCTCCTGTCGTCGTCGTCGGCTGCCAGGAAGCAGAACGACTCCCTGCGAACCCCAACAAGCTTTCTGCAGGCGCTGTCTCGACCGGGCGGCCTTGAGCAAGCTCCAGCCATCAGCCATCCCGAGCCGGCCTTCGATCTGGACATCACCTCCTTCCTCGCAACCCTCCCACTGTCCTCCTCCCCCTTGCATTCGCCTCCACAGCGACAACCGCACACGACTCCACGCTGAACCACTCGAGGGGCAGACATGACCAGCCCCTTCCAGAACTCCCAGAACCCCCAGAACACCCGACAAAGCAGCTTCTTGCCAGCTCCCCTCTACCCTCGGTCCTCGTATGCCTCTGTAGCCGACACGAGCCCTCGAGCTTCCACAGCAACACACGGAAGCACTCGCACAGGGCCCGGTTCCTTCAGCCACATCCTGAACCCCGTCGACCCAGACTGGGACAACCACTATCCATCCACCGCCAGAGATCACGAGAGCACGGGCACTATGACGCAGAACGGCTCGCACCTGGACCGAGGAGCCCCCGGTGGTCTGTACCCGAGATCTCAACCACAACAACTGCCACACTTCTCACGAGCATTCGAGATGTTCATGAGCCGGACGCCCCTCGACAGCCTCCCTCCCGTCGACATCTTGGCCACCGGCCGGATGAGCCCCACCGCCGCCAGCGCAGGCGCCAGAACCGGCAGTCTCCCCAGGCCATCGTACCTGCAGGGCTCGCACTACCTGGCGAGGTTAGAGCAACAGACCCACCAGAGGGCACTGGCTCAGAGGCAGAGGCAGGATGCGCAAGAAAAGAACGGGACCAGCCTGCCGAGCGACAAGCCCCCAGCGCAGCAGCAGCAACCATACCTGGGCATCGCACGCGACGTGGTTGAGCGCACGCCCCCGCACGAAGAGGACGACGTGATGGATTCGCTGCCCTCACGATGGAGCGCCGTCAAGGAGGATAGGGCCAGCGGGCTTGATGTCTTATCGGATGGTTTGGAGGTCAAATATACGGGGCCTAGGGATCCCAACGAGAGGGACCACGAGGCGCGTGCCATCCGCGCTGACCAGCCCATGCCCGTCCAGTGCGGGCTCTACTACTATGAGGTGACAATACTGGGCAGAAAACATAACGAGTAGGTCTACATTTTGCACCACCACCGCACACCTCACATGCACTACAAACACACATGTCAAAACATCACAGATCGCACTGGGGGGTGATGCAGGAGCCAGAGCCTCGTGGGCGTGGTTATAGGGAGGTCGGAATGAGAGAACAATTTCTGACCGCATTTTTAACTCATAGCACTTTGATCGGCGTCGGCTTCTCAAGTAAATCGGCATCATTAAATCGAGCACCCGGATGGGAACCCGAGTCCTGGGGTTACCACGGCGATGACGGTCACTGTTTCCAGGCGCAGAACGTGGGCAAGCACTACGGTCCTACCTTCGGTTACGGCGATGTGATCGGGTGCGGTGTCAACTTTAGAACAGGGACCGCCTTCTTCACCAAAAATGGACATTACCTCGGTATGTGTGACGAGACCAAGGGGCAGCAGCCACGAGCTTCTCTGCCCCGGTTCTACTTACCCGCGCATGCTGACCGTGTTTACTTTCCGCTAGGCATCGCCTTCAGGGAAGTCAAGGGGAAGCTGTACCCCTCTGTTGGCCTCAAAAAGACCGGCGAGCATGTTCGTGTCAACTTCGGCCAGACACCGTTCATGTTCGACATTGATTCAGTCATGAAGGCATGTTCAATTAACTCCCCATCACTCTCGTTTTCTTATAACCCCCATTCATTCGCTTCACGTGCACACTGTTTCAATTCTTGACCTGCATTCTTTACGACATGGGCGACGCCGGTTACAACGTATTTCCTGCGTGGCTTCTTGAAACTTTCGGTGATCCAATCTGGCAGCACGATCAGGACCCGTGGCGGCGTCACAGTTACCCGGCCGCTGCTCCTGAGGAGTCCTGGGACGACTCCACGGACGAGGTCCTTCGACCTGGTTACCCACACTCAGAGCCTGATCGTGACCCGCCGGAGTGGTGCTCACCCCGATACACCTTTCCACAAGCACCAGAGACTATGGAGTCGTCCAACAACTCAGCAGAAACAACGGTCACGAACTTACGTGCAATCATGGAGCGCGTGGCTGATCCATACTGGGCGGACCGTGGCTGGGTTCTTCATTTGATCATTAGCTGGAAGCAGACAAACACTAACTGGTTGTACAGAAGGAGATCAGACAACTCGAAAAGGAGATCGAGCAAGCAGATACCACCAAACTCGCACCACCACTCAGCGAGACGGAGCTCATCCAACAATTAGTATGCCATGGAGCTCCGGACAGCTAGAAGTTGTAGCTAACTTGACTGCAGGTCCTGCAATTTTTACAACATGACGGCTACGTGGACACGGCACGAGCTTTCGCCCAAGAAATACAATCCGAAAAGCAATCTCTCTGTTTAGATCCCAATGAGGAGATACCCGGCATCGACATAAAAGATGACGAGGATGCCAACAATCGACAAAGTGAGTTGCTTTGCCCCCAGGGCCACACAGCGCAAATCCACGTCCTAACTGCTAGCAGGTATTCGTCGAGCCATCTTGGAGGGCGATATTGACAAAGCACTCAAGCATACCAAGGCATCTTACCCACAGGTCCTCGAAGAGAATGAGCAGGTCCATTTCCGCCTTCGGTGTCGCAAGTTCATCGAGATGATCCGACGAGAGGCCGAGACGAACCTCGTGGGCGCGGGTGGCCCTAAAGGTAACCACGCCACTGCCAACGTCTCCGGCCACAACGGTCACAGCCAGCCCCCAGCCGTCGACATGGAACTTGACGAGGACATGGAGGACCTGGACGGCGCGGCGGGCCAGCGGGATCTCACACAGGACGCGCTGCTTTATGGGCAGACGCTGCAGGCAGAGTACCTTGGCGACGAGCGGCGGGAGGTGCACGCAGCTCTCAACGAGATCTTCGGCCTGATGGCGTACCCGAATCCGCTTAAGGAGGCCAAGGTCGCACACCTGCTGGACCGCAAGGGACGGGTGGCTGTCGCGGAGGAGCTTAATTCTGCCATATTACGTGAGTCTCCCTTGCCCCTGCTATTTTCTATTTACTCCCGGTTTCCCAGACAAATGCCGGGAAGAGAAGACAAGAAAACAGCAAGAAGGAAAGTTTAAGGTTTTCAAGACTGACACACTGAGATTAGAATCCCTCGGCAAGTCATCCCGCGCGGCATTGGAAAACATGTACGCGCAAACCTCGGTGCTCCTAGACGACCTGGCGGAGACGGGTGGGTCCGGCGCATTCGTCACGCTGCAGAGCGTCATTGACGAGATCGAAACGCCGACACAAGATTTCTAGGGGAATGATGGTGACGATGGCGATGACGATGACGTTCGTCGTCTTGACCTGTTAAGGCTGCGCGCCCGCGACCGTGACCGCGACCGCGCCCACGTCATCGAACTCCTCCGCGCCCCAGCCAGGGCCTGGGCGGCCTCTCGAGCACCTCCAGCCTCTGCGTCGCCGTATTCTCCTGACTACGACAACATCCATGATGATAATACTGACGAGCAGCCATTGGAAAATCCTCAACCATAAGGCGATAGAAGGGGCGGTTCTACTGGTGATATTTCCGGGTGGACGCCCAACCCTGCTGCGCCTGTGTTCAGACCACGCTCGGTGTGACGGTGCTGCGGCGGCTTCGACGTTGTCGCTGACGGCCTTGACTGAGGTGGGCGGTAAAATTTTGGAACAACGAGCGACACAGTGATCTGCAAACCAACCCACAGTCGTCTGGTGCCCTCGACCTTTAACTCGGGGCTGTTTTTCTCCTATCTTCAGCATGGCAAGGTGAAGCCCTTCACCCGTGGAGTTGTAATGGGTTCTTTCATGGTCCGCATTACCCGATCTAGCAGGTCGATCACATTACCTTAAGAGATGGCCGCATATCTTCTCTGACAGCTTGAGCTTGGCAGACGATCCCGTTGATCTCTTCGTCTTTTCATTCTCTGTGTCACCGTGGCGTTGGAGTCACCCATTAGAGAGAGCTGTGCGCATCCACCAACATCTATCAACAAGCACCAACCAGCGATGGCTGCAGCGGCTGAAACAGCAGTAAATACATATGTTTTTCTATATCCAATCCCTGACCTCCTCATGAGAGAGATTGGCTGCGTGAATTATCACTGGGAATGGGCTGGATGATATGCAAGACGGATGCAAGCGATGAGAAGAGGAAGAAAGAGACAGACGACACATATGATGGATCAGAAGGCACGGCCAGATGGAGTGAAAGATTCATTTGATTGGTTGGCCGGTTGATTGTGAAGGAGTTTCTTGGGCTCTGGTAAAGGAGAAAGAGACAAAGAGCGCGGCATGGCGGCGTTTTTCTGGTCGTCTTTTGGTCTTTGGTCTTGGTCTGGTCGCTTAGGTAGGTATACCGGGAGGCGGTTCAATATCCTCGCCTCTCTCTCCCGTCAGAAGACTCCTCTCTGCTTCCTCCTACTCCCCCCCTCCCACCCCCCAAACCCATAAACCTTCTCCCCTTTTTCATTTAATGTGAGGGCGGCCCTCGACTCAACTTGAATTCGACTAGACTACACACAAAGCTCTCCTCTCCTGGCTTCCCGGATGGACGGACGGCCCTTTTATTCCCTCTACTACGCGGGCCTGAGGCTCTTCCACTTCCCGGTCGTCTTCATCCTCCTCGAGCTGTCGGTCAAGTGCTTGGCCGTGTTCCTCTGGATCCTCCTCTACCTGGGCTTCTTGTTTTTCCTGCTGTGGCTGGGCCTCGTCGCCCTTGTCGTCTTTGCGTACGCGTACGCTTACGGGCGGGGATGTACGCCTGGGCACATGTGTCTGTGGTGAACGGTCGGCGCGGCGCAGGTTCGGCCGATGATTGACGGGGTGTATGGGATGCGATGGGATGGGATGGGCGTTGAACAGTGTTGGCGGAGCGGCGGCAGGATGGGCTTTTTTACATGGGGCACAAGCAGCGGCTGGGTAAACCGAGGGGACGACGGATGAAGGGGACGCAGGGCTGGAGGGAGCAAATGGGTTCCAAAAGGTTTAGATGGTAGGCGGCTAATGTGCGACAGCACCAACGTCGATAGATAGAGAGGTGGGAGGGGAAAGAAGGGAACAAAAAACATGTATAAAAACAAACAAAATCAGGACTGGATGATATTCATTACAGCAGCAGATTGTGTTTGACATGCGCATCTCCAGCCCTACCGCCATTTATCGCATATCGGCTCCAATAATATTAGAGAAGGACTAATACCTTCATATCTACCTGCCTAACTATACCATCTTAATTAAATGTCTAGAGTGAGACAGCCTCAGGAAGCGTTCGGGCGCAGCAGGTGCGTCTGAATACGCAGACAAAGAGATCTCCTAGCTTGTCTCACCACGCATTATGGAGTATGCCTACGGACATCTGAATGCTCCAAGGTCTGGTTGGAGAGGTTGAGAGACGGGGTAGTGGCAACGTATAAACGACGGCTCTTTTGTTTTTAATCAACATTCATTTAATTTTGAGTTTGGGTATCTGGTTGTATGTATGTCTGTCTACGTATCTGTCCGTCTTTCGACGCCCTGGAGAGTGGTGTGAAAGGTGCTCGACACACCCAGCCAGCATGTACATCCGTACACGGCCACCTTCTGCCATGGTGCGATGACTGTGCGGGTATGAACGAGCACATGTCATGTTCCCGCTGAACCCCGTTAGGTTAGAGAGCAACCCCAACCATTCCAGTCGCTTGCTAAGATGGGTGCGCTCTTGCCATGCTGTGCTGGGTACGCCTTTTGAAATCTGCGGGGGCCAACAGTCGTGAGGGTGACGAGTTTTGTGAGTGGCGTTTATGTATATTTGCGTGTATGGGCTTATATTTCAGCACCAGAGCCAGGAAAAGCAGTAGTCTTCCGATAGCAAGAGGCGGCTCCTACGCTTTATCGGATTCAGGGGAGAAATGCGAGCATACGCGGATGACTTCAGGGCCCGTATGGCCAGGTGTGCTCTTCGGAGAGCTCCCAAGGGAATTCGAGCGGGGGTGTCTCATCTTCCCAGCCCAAGCCATCGGCGCCTTGGAATCGTCGCAACATCGCCATCGCCGCCGCTTCCATTGACATTCTAGAACGGGTGAAGGTCATCTCGTCCCACCTAGTGATCCAGCGAGACCCACCCGCCGTCGTCCAGGTCCCCCCAGTACGAGTCGAGTATCCTCTGCGCGTGGGCGACGAGCCGCGGGCACTTCAGCACGATGCGTCGGAGCGTGTCGTCGCCCCACGCCTCGCGATCGTGTCCTCCGCCTTCGCGTCCTCCATCAGAGGACGCCCGCGCGCCGTGCAGGATCAGGTAGATATAGCTGAAGACGGCGGCGTCGAAGAGCGTCGGGTGCGGCGCGCCGAAGAACCACCCGCTGCCGTCGCCGCCTGGCGGGCCGTCAGCCTCTTCCTCGGCACCGGGGTAGAGCAACGTCTCCAGGGCGTCGAGGGCGCGCCGGGCGTCGGCGTAAATGCGGTCCGGGTCGATGGTCGCGGTCCCGGCCAGGGCCCAGGAGAGCAGGTCGCCCACGTTCCCCGAGAGCTTCCACCCACGACCACCATCAGCCCCCACTGCAGTGGTGGTCGCCTCTGCGGACTTTGCAACCTCCTCCCTGGCGACGGCGCGCACGCGGCGCAGCAGGGCGTCGCGGACGAGCCCGGAGCGGGAGGACGGGTCGACGTACCAGCGGCGCAGGATGGGCTCGTTGGGGGGCGACAGGTACAGGGTGTAGAGCCAGGCGGTGCGCAGGGGCCCGTCGAGGAGGGACTGGTAGGCCTGGCGGCGGCGGGCCTGGGACTGCAGCTGGGGCGTGGGCGCCTGCTGGGTCAGGGTGGGTGGGGGCAGGGCACCGTGCTGGGCCGCGTATGCTTCTAGCCTCGAGGAGGGGATGGGCCGGGTAGCCCTGCCGTCGAGGCGGGCATATTTGTCGGTATTTCGGGGGTTGGTTGTTGTTGTTGTTGTTGTTATTGTCGTCGTCGTCGGCGGGGTGATGGTGGATAGTGCTGGGAGCAGGAAGGGGAGAGCGCCGGTTGGCGAGGCGTGATTTGTTGAGGGTCGGAGGTGGAACTTGACGCCGGCTATTCGGAGGAAGGTCTACCATGTAGTTTTGATCAGCTCGAAGTTACCAAAATGGTGTTGATATTTTGGTGGTGGTGCTCGGGGGCAGAGGGTGAGAGGGCAGGGGCAGGGATCGGAGTGACCGGCATGTGGAGCTCCAAGATAGCTAGCTATAGCTTGAATTGGCGGGACTATGAGGCTGAGAGGCTCAAGACTGACCTGCCACTTGAGACACGAGGGGTTGAAGCTCGGTGCGCCGCGTTCAGCGTCGTGGTGGGTGATGAAGACGTGGGTTGGCAGGTCGGAGGGGCCTGGCGAGCGGCAGGGCAGCTGGTTGGGGCCGTAGGTGACGAGGGGGACGGCATCGAACAGGCGCTGGAGGGGCGTGGGCACCGGTGGGACCCAGCTCCTGTTGCTGCTGGCGCCGCTGCCCGAGGCGGAGGGTGAGGTAGATGTTGTCATGACAGGAGCATTGGAATCGATGGCCTCAGGTACCCAGGTAGTCAGGCCACGGCCGCGGCAACGGAAGCGGCAGCGGCAGATTGCAAGACCTGGAGCGCTGAGCCTTGCTTTGTTGGTATGTCGGAGCGGGCTACGCGACGGACAAAGCTGTTCCGCCCGGGTCAAGGGCCGGGAAGGTCGAGGCTCAGACGGTCAGGCTCAACAAACAAAGGTCGGGCGCCAGAAGGTGGATCCTTGCTGCACGTGTGACGCAGCCCGGCAGCCCGATTGCGAGCAAGGCTAGTGGGCTGTACTGGTATCGGAAGGCTGGGTAATGGGAGGAGGGGTCGGTCGGCGGAGGGGTTAGGCAAGGCTGGTTGGTTGAGAAACTTTGCAGACAAGAGACAATGGTCATGCCTCCAGGCGCCGAGGCCAAGAGAAATTCCAAAAATCGGAATCGAAGGTTCGAACCTTCCAAGGTGTGTCTCGAAGGGGCCTAAGTCGGTGCCAATCGCTACCAATCGCTGCTCCTCCCCCACCTTGCTAGCAGACTTGATCGCGTTTGCAGCTCCCACGCCCCGGCCGCACGTGTGCTGCGAGCCGGCGACGGCGACTCGTGCATCTCCAGATCGTCGGCCCCCGTTTACGTCAGGCTGGCAGGTGTGCAGGCGGGAAGGGTGTCAGGCACTCTGGATGATGCCATTGCCAAGTGACTGACCGACTGGCTGGCTATATTGTGTGTATATGACACAGATAGAAGCGATCATCTGTCTGTCTATCCCTCTCCGTCCCCTCTTCCCCCTCAAGCGCCCAACATGTCCAATTTCGCCGAGCAATGACACGTTCTGTCGCTGGCGGTTGGTTGATCAGATCACGGGACGTTAATGTAGTGTAGAGACGGAAGAGAAAAATTAAATAGTCTTATTTATGCACTCGCAGGTGCAGATGTTCCATTGCCTTACCCATGCGGTTCCATGCAGAGCGGGACATGCAGGTTCTCGCAACCCAGGGGTCCAACTCGGTCCTACTGGGGCCCAATTGAACCCCGGCCCAGAGGGAATTTACACAGTAATTAACGCGAAGGAGAAAAATTCCAGAGGGACCCTGGACCACATCTCACGATGATGGAACTCTAGATGGCGGTGGGACGGCATTAGGCATGAGAGCATGAGCCCACGATCCCGAATATCCCCGGAGAGAACCCGGGATCCTGGTCGGGGGGCCGCTGCCATGTCGCGCATATCGGAACGGTGTCGCGTAGCTAGTTCACCTTGAAATTGCTCTCGTTCTTACTGCTCTCTAATGGTGAGATGTCCCACCGATGCCGCCTTTTCTCTATAGGCGCGGCTGTACTCCCTTTACCCTGCTATGACCTGCCATGCTCCAATGCTTTGTTTTCGCGACACGCCTTCCATACTCCCTTAATGTGCCTCTTGGCGAAATTCAATTCACATCGACAAAATCTCCCCGGAGCTACTCTCCTGTCACATGCAAGGTGCTCTGCAGTTCGCAATGTCGCGAAAGCAGCCTCGAAACTGCCCGGTGAAGCGAGCCCGCCTCGGACTTGACCTTTGACCCCCTTGTGCTTCCCTCCCGTCCATCCCCCTTCCCACCCCCCACCCCCGGGCCTCCAACCCGAATGCTCGGCGATATTGAACAACTCGAGATCATCCCGCTAGTTCGTTGGAGTAGGTTCACAACATAGTCTGCTGAGTAGTAGACAGAGTTAAATAGACTGGTTGAAACAAGGTTCGCGGTTTATCCAGATAGCCCAGAGCAGGGCCGGGGCTGATCAGCATGTGGCCTTTTCCCTTTTTCCGTTGTCCGTCCCTCGGGTCAACTAGCCGCGGCTGCGGGCGCTCTGATTGCCTGATTCGGGTGCGAGGCCATCGTCGATTCGATCCGGTTCGATGCGATGCCTGGCAGTAAGTAGCATAGGTTGCTAGCACTGGCAGTCTCCTCTCTTGACCGAGTCGGTGCTGGCAGGCTGCATGTAGACAGGCCTGCACTCCTGCAGTAGGGACCTACTACGTGCCTGCAGGCCCGGTCGATGAGCTAGATATGTCGTCTGGTGGTATTCCGTGCCTTGCCCTGCCACACCATCTGCACCCCGTCCTCCCTTGGCCGACCACCTACAACACGCAGTCTGCATTGTACAGGAGATACCACAGTAGAATATCTACGCGAGGGTGTATCGGGATGGGCTGATCGACCGCCACCACACAAACCTCCTCCCCACCGGCCAGCCTCAGCCGGCCGGCGTTTCAGCCCACATACAACACAGGCAGACAGGAGGGACATCTGAAGATGTTCCATACATGCAGCAGACTTTGGAGTGGACTCCGTGACAGGCTGCAAGTACGCAGCCAAGCAACATCGTCATGTCGAATGATCCGGACCAAAGACTGGGGTCGCGCGGCAAATCAGAATCTGGGGGTGACGATTGACGACTTACGACTGACGAGTTGACTGTGCCGAGTGGGTACCTCGGTACAAGACAAACGGTATGCCCCCAGGTCTCGGCCGTCCATCGGGAAACAGAAGGTACCTGCGAGTGTGGGGCCCCAGAGCTCTCGTGCTGCAGCTATTGCCGCTTGCAGAAGTGGCAGTCGGTGGCTCTGCGAGCCGTCCATCCGCCGTACCTTCTGATAGGGCCTGCCCGGGCAGGGCACGGAGGTACTTGGCGGGAAGGTACCGTCGGTACGTACCTCCCTCTACCGCTTGTACTTGCGAGAATTCGAGTGCACTCGACTCGAGTCAAATGCCCGAACCGGAACCTGAAGCTGATATCGAGGGTATGAGTGAGTGAGTGTGTGTGTGTGTGTGAGTGCATCCGTCACGAACTAGCGACTTGGCCTATCCGCGGCCGCCTGTCATGGATGGGCCTTTGTGCGAGGCAGTCCAGTCCGTCAGTCTGAGTGTCAGTGTGGCTGTCAGCATCAGCACGAAAGATCTTACGTAGGTAGATCCAAAAGGAAGGAAACGATGATGATTCTCGAGAAAATTCCAAACGAGGCTCCACCACACACTCTCTGTCTATCTCTCTTCGCGCTTTCGCCTTTTCCACACTCTCGCACTCACACGATCGGACCCAGACCAAGACCCAGAAACCAGGACAGGACAGCCAGCACCGGGAAGGTACAAGGCAGGGCAGGGCAGGGCAGGCAAGGCCAGGCCAGGCATCGTCACAACTCGGCATCGTCCGACCCCCACTTTGCCTCGGCGAAATACCGTATCACAGTCTCCCACCTACCGTCTTTCGCTCGAACCGTCAGAGCTGTATGAGACGAGGCGAGGCGAGGCGAGGCCTGAATCTGAACCTGAAGTGATCCTGGATTGGGAACTTCACTCTCCGACCTTTCTCCAATCTCGTCTCGCTCGGCCTGTCCCATATTCACTCGGTCGGTCGGTCAATCAACCAGTCAATCAATCCAAATATATCACCCCAGCCGCCAGCCCGCCTCGGCCCATTCGTCCACACACCTTCTACTCTTTTCTCTTTCTGCTCCCTCGCTTTGTTCCCTTCCCCCATCCTCCATTCTCCAATCCCCCATATTCCTCGAAACCCGCCTGGTCCACCCTGATCTGCCTCTGTCTTCTTCCTCTCTGCCATTCCGGAAAAACAAGACGAGCCTTCAAGGTTACCCTCCACTGCGTGTTATCGTCGGCGAACTGAGTGACGGCATACCTGCTTACTCGCATGCAAACGCACGCCTTTGCGCATACTCGAATAAGTCGCAGCCTTGTCTCCAAGCCTGCTGCTGCCTACCGCTGCCACCACCACACATCCTCTCCCCCAAGACCACTCGCACGACCAACTGATTCGGTCTCCGAGCGATAAGGACATTTCCTCGCATCCTTTCGTCCAACTTGCTCGGTGATTCATCATCATCACCCTCAGCAGCCCATAGCGATCACGACCGGCTTATCTCTATCTACCTCCCTATCGCACGCCTCCCAAGATAGCCGCCACCATCTAAACACTCTCCAAATTCAATACCGCCGCCGCCAAAAATGGACGCCCCACTATCCTCACCCACACAACGCACCCAGACTGCAGCCTCTCACTGGCCCCAGGCCGCGACAAAGGGCTATTCCGCCTCAGCCCCCGCCGTCGCCCCGCGCCAGCAGTCAAAGCAGGCCGCTGCCCCTCCCTCCACCGACGCTTTCCTCAAGGACTTCACCCTCGTCGCCGAGGCTGCAAAACGCGCTCAGGTCGCTGTCATGGTGAGGGACTTTGAGAACATCGGATTGTCATAGTAACCGAATCATTCGCCGAGCCAGAGCATGCTACTCCTCTGTTCTTACTTTCTTACACATCTCTCCTCATACAAGGGAACAAGTTTCATGCGGCGGAGGTGTGGGGGAGTTTACGGGATGGGATGACATTCGCATGATTTGGCTGGATTGTGGGAGAGGTCTTTGTTTCCTCCTTCCTAATTCATTTGGGCCGGGAAACTTCCATCCAACTTTTCGGGGACCTCGTCGGGCCACCCGATCCGGTCAGCCAAACCGGGGTCGCGAATTTCCCTCGCATCTGCACTCAGGGTCCTTTCGGCTCCACCACCATATGGCCACTCGCATACCAGGGCCAGGGGCCGTGGAGCGCAGACCATCTTTTTGACGCAGAGCCGCGGTGGGCGTGTGTGCCCCTGCAACACACTCGCGAGATCATCCTATCAGCCAGCCTAGCCGATCAAAAGGCGCTCTGTCGTTGTACCCGACGAAGCAGTCTTATTCTAGGGTCAAATCGGCACCACTGCTCATCTTGTGTCGGACACTCGGTATGTCATACTCCGGAGGGTTAGTGACTCCACGTCCGTGCACACAAGGTAGCAGCCAGAGGCAGGCCCGTACTTGAAACCAGCGGCATTGGAGAGGACAATCGTGATTTTCGATTAGAGTGTGTGGAAGAGACAAGATACATGGATCTGGGGCGGCTCAGACACACGGGGTATAGTACACGAGGGCGCATCGGGTCAGCAGCATTTACAACGACGACAACAACATTGAAGAAGGCGTACGGGAGTTGGTGGATTTTAGGGGCTTCCGGGAAAGAGGCAAGGCACTGCATCGATATCCCTCCTCAGTATGTTTGTTTAGTTTTCCCCCCGACAAGACACACGTTGCCATCACCACGGCGCCACCCCTCTGCGACCGTTCTTCCCGTGGCGACATGGGCGGTGATGCACTTGTGAAAGGGACTTGGTTCCTGCGATCTTGACACGGGACGATTTGCGATCTGGGCCAGGAGGGGAGGGATGTGGCGGACGGGCAAGGCTGGTTCTCGGCATGCCGTGTCTCGATGCGTCTCGTCTGCCAGGCTGCCTCCCAGCCCATGCCCAAGTGTATCCGCCACACATACACTTCAGCGCCCTTCCCCGTCACCCTCCGGCATTGTTCCCCATGGAGGACGCGACGGATGGACGGTGGTCGCGGCCCGTGGCGGATGGCCCCTCCTCCAGAGCAGAGAAAGATATCCTTATATTAGAGTTAAATGGAAAGCCGTCGGTGGTGAGAATCCACCCGACTCACTACCTCACTATTACCCTAACCGTCCTGCAATTTTTTTGCCGCCTGATTTTTATGGATTTCAGGCTGAAAGTTCATGTGATTTTGAGACGGGGACACCGTTCTGAATGCCACATCTGTGTGTCTTATATATGTGCTATACCCTTATCCCTTTCTTATCTCACATCCAGTTTCGGCCAGGCCATTGCGAGATCACTCCCTGCAAAGGACGACCTACCGCTACAAACATAAATGGTGGCGTGCCTGTGTCTCATTGCACCACATGACGTACGTACCCTGTAGGCATGTATACATGTGTTCACAGAGTGCGATATTTGAACTGGCAGGTACGTACATGCATTCGGGCTCAGTGGGTAAATACGCGAATGGAGCGCCCGTATATGGCGGGGGCATATATGTATACATATACAGATGCGTAACCTGTGAAACGCGTTCGCCGCTTCTTGGGTACCTGCCTCTCCCGCGTCCGTCGCACAGCGGGCGGGTTGAATGGCAGACCATGTGTTTCCTTGCTGCTTGGTCATACGCGCAGACACACACACACACACACACACACACATACATACACCCTGCGTCCCGTCTCTTCTCACTCAACCCCAGGCTTCGGACCGTTCATTTCAGGTTCGCAAATTCCGACGTCGCGCCCAAGCAGCCGCCTATACCCACCCGCCCACGACGCGACCACCACCACCACCACCACCCAGCCTCCTGCGCGCAGCCTCCCCCTTGACAGACGCGACAACTTCGCCCCTCACAGCCTGGCGAGCAAGCTCACGCCCCCATCGAGCGCGAGGGTGGCCCCGTTGACAAACGCGCCGGCCCGCCCGCACAGGAACAGGCACGCGCCGGCCGCATCCTGCGGGGTGCCGATGCGGCCGAGGGGGTTGGCCTCGGCGATGGCGTCGCCGGCCGAGGCGAGCACGGCGCGCATCATCTTGGACGGGAACGGCCCGCACGCGAGGGTGTTGACGGTGACGCCCCTCGGGCCCAGGGCCACCGCCAGCGTGCGGGTGAGGTGGTGCAGCCCGGCCTTGGAGGCGCTGTACGCATAATTCTCCATCGTGGGGACGCGGAGGGCATCGATGCTGCCGATGTTGATAATGCGCGAGGGCGAGGCCGAGCCCCCCTTCTTCTCCAGCAGCGGGATGAGCAGCTGCGTCAGGGTGAAGACGCGCTGCAGGTTGAGGGTCAGCAGCTTCGTCCAGGCGGCGTCCGGGTGCGTCTCGAGGGGCTCGCCCCACGCCGCGCCCGAGTTGTTGACCAGCACGTCGAGGCCGGCGGGCTCGCGCTTGGACAGCTCCGCGGCGAGGCTCTTGCAGGCGTCTAGGGACTGCAGGTCCGCGGGAAGGGAGGAGGCGCTGCCGCCTGAGGGCTTGCCTGGTTGTCTGGCGTGAGTGGGATGGTTGTTACAGGGGGGGGATGAACGGTGGTGATGTGATGTGCATACCTAGGGCCGTGAGCTCCTCGGCGGCCTGGTCGCATGCCTTGCCGTCCCGCGAGGAAATGTAGACCTTTGCCCCGTTGGCGACGAAGCCCTCGGAGATCATTCGGCCAATTCCTTTGGCTCCTCCTGTCACCAGGACGACCTTGCCCTGTGGTGGTGGTGGTGGTGTGTCAGCCAGGGGCGCGCTCTCTCACATGCCGAGCTCGGTCTCACTGACCTTGACATCAAACAAGCTGTTCACATCCATGATGTTCTGGTGTGACGGTGAAGACCGTGGTGGATTGGATTTCTTCAAACAGGAAAATATGTTGTATAAAGGTGTTCAGGTCAGTCTAAGGTTGGACATGTGTCCTGTCCTGTGCTGGTAGTTCCTCATCGTACGTGGGTGTCGTTGCTTGTCACCAAGTAGATAATCATCCGGCGTCTGAGCCGAGGTATCTTTTGTGGCCCACCATCCCTGTCGCAGCGGGCCTTCAGGGATACGGCCTCTATTTCCTTTTCCCGGATCACGGCCGTGATGCATTTCAATTCGCCCTGACAAGACGACTTATTTTGCTGTACTCACTGAGGATGTCACATATCAGAGGTGAATCAAGGGCATCATTTACTGTTTGGCAGTAAGGTAAGATGCAGGTTTAGATGTTGACGTCCGTCAAGGGCAGGGATGGCTGTTGCGGGAGGAGGCCCTGAATGACAAAGGTGGGTCCGAGCTGCCGCGTTCAGCAATGATTCATCGCCGATTTCTCCTCGACATCGCCGACCGTTTGCCAAACACTACCCAATAAAACCAATTGCCCCATATACCAGCACCGGCTCAGCAATTGGGATCCTCTTAATTGCATTCTGTGGCACGGTTGAGAAACTCACTAGCCGGCATCAAGTCATCTGGGATTGAACGTGAAGGCGCGACCAGACCATCACGAGACCGCCTCATGTTGGGGCACATCATTGTCTCTTCTTCGATCAAGACTAAAAGAGCATCGGGGCCATTTGTGCCTTGCTGCCTGAGTAGGTACCTGTGAGATTTTCGTCTGTCTCCTGTCTCTTTCCGCCATGTCTACCCCAAGCCTGCAGGTAAGCTATCGAGCCGTCTTCTTTTCTTCTTGGTACAATCCATTATCTGGCCTGCGTCATTCAAGCCGCCGCCAGCATCGTCTTTGGATCATATTTCTTTTCTCTCCAAGATGGCCGTCAAGGCCATTATGCCCGGCCATTCAGGCCCCCTGAGATTTCCCGCGGATTTTCTGGCTGATGACCTCCAGGACCATTTCAAAGACAAGTCCGTCCAGGAGCATGGTCCGTTATGGGACCAGCTGTGGCAGCAGCAAAGAACCAGCTGGGACCGGGGCGGGCCCAGCCTCGCTCTCCACGAGACCCTCACGACCTATCCTGAGCTCTTTGACGGCACGTATCCCGATCTTGGGCTGCTCAGCGATTTCGTTAGCCATGAAACTGGCCAGTCTTCTTCCTACGCGACCGCTCCAGCTATGGCACCGAGGAAGAAGGCACTGGTGCCCGCTTGCGGCAGGGGTTACGATGCTGTGCTCCTCGCCAAGGTATTCGGGTACGACGTCATCGGGCTGGAGATCTCGTCGTCTGCCCTGGACGCCGCCAGGCAATATTTGAATGGCGTCGACGAGATGCTACAGGCACATCAGACACAGCGGAAGCACTCCGTTGAAGACAACCCCGCCATGCGCTTTTGGGTCGAGAATAAGAGCCCATCTCCAGGACGCGTCCATTGGGTATCTGGAGACTTCTTCTCAGACGACTGGCTGGTCGATGCTGGCACTGAGCAATTTGATCTCATTTTCGATTACACTGTGAGGCTCTCCCAGTTTCTGAAAACACCTCCAACTCCATTTCGATTGCGTTGTCCGGGTCATTCATTAGGCTCCTTTGCCTCAATCTTGTGCTCAGGGATATGTCCATTTTCACAGTGTTGACCGATTCTCAGTTCTTCTGCGCAATTCCGCCCTCGTCCCGCCCGCAATGGGCCGCACGAATGCAGCAGCTTCTCGCTCAGCCCAGCGGCAGACTGGTCTGCCTGGAATTCCCCACCGGCAAGCATCCATCGACCGGTGGCCCTCCCCACAGCGCAGCCTTTTGGTTCTATCAGCTGCATCTTTCCAATCCTGGGAACGACCAGGTCATCACCTACGGCGAAAAGAAAGACTCCGCTTCGCAGGACCCTGGAAGAGATATCGATCAAGCACAGAAGGAATGGACCATAAACGCCACCGCCGGCACATCCACTGGTCCAGGACTCGCCATGATAGTCCGCTTCAAACCAAATGTAACCCACGAGTCTGGCCAGAGCTACCAAGGCTCGTTCGGTCGAGACTGGGTCTCTATCTGGGGTCATTCTCTAGGCAGTGGGCTGCTAAAACCGGGGACAACATCTGAGGGTTCCAAAGAGCAGGTGGAGAAGGATGGCTAGGAAGCCACTTCTGTCTTAGCACCCAGACTTCGTCACGCGTAGACCCGTTGTACGGGAATATACGTACAGGACACTTTTCTTCCACAGTCAAAGATGGAAGCCACGGCCGATAATACTCGTCCATTGGCGCCCCCGGACACGAAAGTGTGGTGGATCAGGATGATCGGGTAGTCCGGAATCAAATCCTTTCATCAACATTCTATCATTAGACAGCCTCTAGTGCGATTACTCGTTACCACAGAGCCTGTGGTGATTAGCGTCCAAGGACAGATTTATATGGGCGCGGTCAATCGCCTTGAGACATCCACCGCTATAAGCCATGGCACGGAAGCAGGACACAATCCCGTCGCCCGCCGGCCGAAACGTCTTCGTCCAGACACTCAGGACTGCGCCAACGAGCAATATTCTGCTGCCAATTACAAACGTCCTCTACATGAAATTGACAGTGGTCGTAGTCGGAGCCAACAAGCCCAGGACTATGAATCGGATAATATTTGTGACTATTCAGGTGACGAGGATCATGTGAAGACAGAGACAACCGGCAGCCGAAACGTGGAGAAGCATCAGAACAGCGGCATTCACGACAAAACCGGGACCACCTCTCAAGTATACGACCCAACTGGACTAGATCATCGAGCCTCGAAAAGGGCCCGGCTCGGCTCAGTATTCACTGAGCCTGCCAGATCTATTCTGTGCACGGCAGGTGAGAGCAGGGGTCGGGTCCTGAAGAGGGCACAGTTTGATGTGGACAACAGCACAATGCCAGTCTCTAGAGCGAACACATCAGACTCGGAGGCGATGTGTAGCCGATTTACGAGCACGGCCCAGCTCTACGAAGATGACACTGGCCATGCCGGCGAAGGATCTACACCTGGAAACTCAGCTGCAGGCAGCCTCCCGGGAAGCGGATGTAATGTGTCTGGTGCTGGTTGGCGCGGCCGCTTGTGGTGTCGTACACGCTTTCAGGGAGACCTTTGAAGTATACACGCCGTCATTTGAGGCCAGGGTGATTGTCAGTGAGGCTGTACGGCTGTATGGAGAATGTGTTATCAAGAAATGATGACGGAAGGCTTGTTTCCGACACACCATGGACTTTGGTGATTATTACTAACACGGGCCAAGTAGAAAGACAGTATACTGGTTGTGTTCGAATCGATACTCGTGTGAAAGCAACTGGAGTAGATACCATGCCAAACGATGGTATGGACCGAGAGGGTTTACGTATAGGCACGCTTCTGTGTCACGAAGCAAGAAGGCCCAGTGTCTAGGTGCGTCAAGATCACGCTACTTCCAACGGCAAGCATTTGTGTGTCACTAGAATTATTACATATCAATACTGCTAGGGCAGCGGAATGCTGAATGTAGAGGGCTCGTTATTTGTTACACATTGACTGCAGGTGGGCAGTGCCTGCACGTCGGAGCTGAATGAGAAGCCATATGCAGCTGACAACATTGCAGTGCTTAGGGTCGTGCCTGCCTGCTGACCTGGCTCATTTTCTCCCCTCATCAAGACTTCTCCCTTCACGAGCTCTTTCCGCACTCGCCTATTCGGTGTTCCAATCAACTTCTGAAAACTTTTCCCTTGACATATTCAGCGCTGCTCGAACCGAAACAACAAGACGGTGTCTTGTACCACTGTACATGCAGCGAGATTGTCAAAAGGTCAGAACTACAGAACATCCAGAGTACAACGCAGTATTGTATTACTGTGCCCGTCAAGACCTCCGGATGGGCCACCTTCGTCCCTCCAAGTGCCCCGCCCCGAGCCCTCCTCCCCCGGCCTCCTCTGCCGGATTTCTGCTTCAGTCAAGCAGGAACTAGAGCTCCATATTTTTAAGAGTCCTAGCTAGGGAGATTCTCTCCTCTACCCATCAATACAACTAATTCTTCTCAACTACTTATAGACTGAGTAGGTACCAACTCCCTTCTACAATTCTTGTTCGGATCACCTGCAATCATGTTGTCTCGCCTCCGTCTTCATCAGCCTATTGCGGCACCCCGCAATCTAAGCTCCGTATCGGCATCGCGCCATCAGCTGCTGCTGAAGATCTACAAGCCGTTTGCTGATCTTGGTAAGGGCAGCCCTGAGTGCATGGAGCTGGATAGGGATGGAAATCATTCTCGGGAACCCAACGCTAATCTGCCCATGGCTTTCTTCTTAGGCGCCGATCCTCTTTCAAAGCGTTGGACCAGAGAATATATCGCCAGCCGGCTCAACACAACACAACGAACAGACCTAAACCTTTCCCATAGCCGAAGCGCCGAGTAGATACGAGCTGGCGACCACTTCTGCGAGCCGTTTTGTTCTGGAATTAAGACGGCACCTTACGCTGTTGCACTAGAGCGGAATTACCAAAAGCCCAGAACTCGAGAATAACTCTGGTGGAACACAGTGCAGTCTTGTATAGCTGTGCCATCACAAGCAGAGGATGGATCCCCTATCTGCCATAGGCGTCGCCTCCGCAATTGTGGCCTTCGTGGATTTCTCATGGAATCTTATCACCGGGACTTGGGAGATCTATCACTCCCTGGACGGAGTCGCCACTGAAAACGCCCGCCTTGAAGATGTGACGGACGATCTGGAGTTGCTTACGCAGGCATTGGAGGCAGACTTCCCCGTCAAAATAAAGGCAGAGAAGAATATACAACGTCTTGCCAAAGACTGCAGGGAAGATGCGAAGACCCTCAAAGACTTGCTCGATGAAATGAAAGCGCCTGGGAGAAGACGGTTGTTTTGGAAAAGCTTGAACGCGAAGTGGAAAAACATTCTGAAAAAGGATGAAGTAGCCCGGCTGAAGTCCCAGCTTCAAGAAAGTCGCGCCGAAATTCAGCTGAATCTCACTGCTATACTAAGGTAATCCAGCACTTGAGTCGGCTCCATCATATAGTAGGACACTTTTGGAATGATACACTAATCATACCTCCCTGCTTAGGGAAGACCAATCAGCTATCGGTCTCCAAATCACGAGGATTGAACAAGATTGCAATTACTTGAAGACCGAACAATCAAGACAGCTCAAGAAGCTTCGAGTTGAATTGCTGGACTTGTTGGAGGAACTCGTCAAATCCAACCAACAGCCCACTCCGGCGCAGCTTGACATTTCTCGGCAGCTTCAAGAAATGCAGTCCTTGATCACCATCATACCAATGCAACACCGTGTTTTACGTCATCTCATACCTGATGAAATAGTCTCTCGTCGGGACCAGATTCTTGAGGCTGACCCCGACACCTGCCGCTGGGTTCTCGAGCCTGTGGAAGGGGACCAGGACTATCGGAAAGAGGTCCGCAGCCGTTTCACCAGCTGGCTGAGGACTGGCAACAACGTTCTCCATATCTCCGGCAACCCGGGAGCAGGCAAGTCCACCCTGATGAAATTTATCGGCGGAAACCCGAGGGCTCGGGAGGAATTGAGAGCATGGGCTGGCAACAGACAACTCATTTTCGGCCAGTTCTACTTCTGGGCTGCTGGCTCAGATTCACAGCGAAGACTCCCAGGCATGTTCAGATCGCTACTTTTCCAAGTCTTGAGTCAACACCCAGGCCTGATTGAGCACGTGTTCCCTCGCCAGTTCAAACAGATCATGACGTCTCGATTCCATTTCGATGCTTCGGTGGAGAAGTTTCAAGATTTCAGCAGCAAGCAAATAGAAGAGGCGTTTGATCTCCTTCTCAACAAGATAGACAAATCTGACCATAGGATTTGTTTCCTGATCGACGGCCTTGATGAGAGCGAAGGTGGGGATTTGGATCATGAGGTCTTGGCGGAGAGATTGAAGGCTTGGACAACTGGAGAGAATATCAAGCTCCTGGTCAGTTCTCGGCCGTGGCGTTCATTCCTGACAGTATTCACGGCCCATCCGACTCTGCACTTGCACGAGCTCAATCGCTCAGATATCAGGACCTACGCCATCCGCCAGTTGGAGCAGGACCGAGATGCTCGCCAGATCGGGGCTTACCTGATGAAGAAGACCATTGTAGATATCGTTGTGGAGCTCGTTGGCCAGGCGCAAGGCATTTTTCTCTGGGCACATCTCGTCATCGACACTGTGCGACAAGGTATCCGCCACCGATACTCTGCCGATCTGCTCAAAGCGAAATTGCGAGAGTATCCCTCCGACCTCGATGACTTGGACGACGCGTTGCGGGAGCCAATCGAGAAGAGTCCCATCGACAGGAAATTGTCCAACCGTATGCTTCTCCTTGCCGCCGCTGCACCAAAAGACTTCCCCTTATTTACCCTGTCATTTTCCTGGCTGCCTGAGGTTGACGAATCTGGACTACTGGACCCGAGCTTCCCACCATCGACAAAGTGTCGGCCATACTCGGAGCAAGATCTCGTAGAAAGGTTACAATGTGTTGCCGAGCGTGTTAAGGGACTGGCAAGAGGCTTGCTTGAGATTACGGAAGCGCCGAAAAGTCTATTTGTGCCACCGGAAGTCAGGTTCTGCCACCGGACAGCCCGGGACTACCTGGTCAACAACCCGAAGCGGTACGCGGTCTTGGAAGAGTCTTGGCCAGATTTTCACCAGTCAGATCCTTACGGACGCATCTATCTGGCATACCTGATCTACTCCAGAATCTCCAAAAGAAATATGGAGCTAGACTATTATCTGAACAGGTCATTCTGTCGGAGTTTCAGTCTCGACACTATCAGCAAGTTTGAAACTCCATTGCAGCCACTCCTCACTCCTATGTGGAGAGATGGTGATAGTGGGTCCGGTTCTCAAGACAACAGCCATAATGAGCCGGTATCGTTCTTGCAGTACGCAGCTTACTGCAGGCTGGACCCCTTTGTGCTCTCTGAGGTCGGCAAAATTCCCAGGGTCCACCCACGAACAGCAGGAGCGAACGTCCTCATCGCCTCCATGTACTTCGCTTTGAAGAGAAAAGACGAAAACTACGATTTGGCTTTAGGCTTGCTCCGAAGCTATGTGACCAAAGACAGCATGGCTGAAGACGAAATGGTTGTGGCTCACGTACAAGTGGATCATGGCTATTCGAAAGACCAGGAGATATCATTACCTGTGTGGGTTACTGCTTTGATCCTCGGTCTTGAGAATATTACGAGTGACTTATCTCAAGGACTACTCGGCGGGAAGGACAGATGCTGCGTCAACCATTCGCTTGTGAAGGTATGCCGTATACTGGTTGAACTCGGCATAGAGCTCGGCCAGAGTGTTTCAGTAACTGTAGTATTGCGAACAAGCCGCTCCGTTCAGGACAGCGGAGGGTATCCTCGTCATGTCGACTACACACAGAGAACCTTCAGTGCTGCCCAGCTTTTGGAGTGGGCGGAGCGAACCCCTTCCAATCTAAGAGTTGTGAATTTTAATGGCTATAAGGTCAAGGACACATTTCAGCCTCTAACTGACGATTGGGAAATGGGCTCATTAGAGAATTCCTTTGGTGGCAACACTGATAGATACTGGATTGATTCATGGCGATGGGATCCGTCAACTTCGTCTGTTGCCACAGAATACTGGTATGGGCGGTTCGACTGCAGGATTTTCTAGTCCTTTAATTAATCCCATGGGATATTTTACTGTCAACAACATGACGGCGCAATGAAATCTGCTTTGCACAACCATAGACCAAGCCTCGCTCCTAGACGATAAACATTTGGTCACTGAAATAGAGATAAGCACACATTGCCAGACGAAAGTATCACAATTCTATCACCTCTTAAAAAGGACCCATGCAGACGATGGTAATCCCCAATTTTGGGCATGCCTTGACCAGTGTAGACTGAACAACTGCTTCCCACTTCCCCTACCCCCCGCCCGCCCCAACAGGATAATCCCTCAGGCTTAAACTTCTACGTAGATTAATTCGTGATAGGACTACCGCTCTAAAGTCCTTATTCCCTAAGATATTCGCTTCAATGTAACCTCCTCCGGGATAACCTCCTCCGGGATAACCTCCTCCGGGATAACCTCCTCTGGGATAACCTCCTCTGGGATAACCTTCCCTGGGATAACCTTCCCTGGGATAACCTTCCCTGGGATAACCTTCCCTGGGATAACCTTCCCTGGGATAACCTCCCCTGGGATAGCGTCCTGTTGGGCAACCTCATCTGGTGTAAACTCTTCTGTAGTTATCTCCTTAAGGAATTCTTCTTTACAAAAGCTAGAGCTCGACGTCTTGTATCACCTTTAGTATATTAGCAGCAATAGAAGAGTAATCCCTCTCTCGATGTTTACGCATCCGATGCTATCCAGCAGGGAAAGCATGCTGTTGCTGGCTGTTCGAATCTTTTAACGAAGACGATTCACTGTCGCTGTCCCAGCTCGATGCTAATATAACCCACCCTGGCCGCAAGGCCGGTAGAGAGGGATGGAGTAGATGCCCGGGTCTCATGTAGAAGATTGAAAAGGACAAGAGCATCGGACTGCTCGAAGCCATGATCATCAAAACCATTGTCCGTCTGCGAACCGCTCGCCCCCAACCAAACCTTCCCACATATTTACGAGCGGTCCCTTTCCGCCTTTCCGGGCTGCGCTTCTCCTGCCCACGGACAACGGGGATTGAGCCACGACTCCTCTTCAAGCCAAGGCATCAACACAGCCGTTCTTCATGAGGAACGCTTACGAGGCGGGTGTGTGGGCAGCATCCTATAGCCTAGGGCCATCTCCCGCCTTGGGCACCCGCGCCAGGTGCCTGTACTCCTTCCTCCCTCGATGCGGACCGGTCGGCGGTGCCGAGGACAGAAGCGGGAGGTAAGCCGAATCACAGCACAGAGGGGGACCGGGAGAGATCCTGCGCGGGTTCCGGGCGCGGCGGGTACAGCTGATGCGGTATAGATGCCCGAGGGGGCTCTTGGCCGCCCGGTGTGAATAGCTGTCTGGCTCGAGTTGCTGTCTTTCCTGTGTCCCGTGTAACGTAACCACCTTCTGCACGTCCGGCCGGGCGTCTATGCATGGCCGCCCTGCGGCGCGACTTAGTGACTGGCTGACACCAGCTTGTATACGACGTGTAATTTTGTATGTATGTGTGTAAGCTGCAAGATGACTGCAGCTTATCACGGGCGCACGAACTGCTTTCCCGACGCGGCGACCTGGAATATGGGGTAATGGGCTAGACTTGTACATATTGGAACCAGACATGTCTCTGAAATTCTTAAAATCTCCCGTCCTTCGTCACGAACACAGACACGTGATTGCAGACGACTCCCATAGCAGTCGACAACCACGTGCAGCAGAGCACATAGACGCGAAGAAATAGCACTTCTTTCCCACGCGCGACTGCAGACGCGCATACTATTACCCTTTCGTCCAAGCCCCCTGCCACCTGTCAGACTGTTCCTGCACGGCGGCCTATCATGCAGCCAAGGGGAGCTCCTGCATGTTGGGGGTGGGCAGGAGTACATATGTATGTAGCCACCACCACCACCACCACCACACCATCATCAGCAGCAGCAGCCAGGAATCTGGCAAGTGAGATCTTGGTTTGCTGCCCCTCCACACCTTTGGGTACGGATGCTTGGTGCAGCAGCGGCGGCGATGCTCAAATGAGATCTGTCACGGCGAGATCCCGACCTTCCTAATAGAGCACATAGCTCCCCCATTCATCCCCCTTTCCTTTGGGCGCCAACGGTCTGCTGGGTGGCAGCGGGCCAGCCTGCGGTCAGCCTGCAGCTTGACCGTAGCTGCAGCATGCAGGGTGCTGCTGCTGCTGCTGAGCCTGAGTCTGAGCCCCCTTTCACCTGCACTGGCAGGAGGATATGATCGACGCTCATCGTTTCCTCTTCTCGCTCACTCTCAGCCCGCACAACGTCCACCCCGCCTCAAAAGGCCCAGCAGCATCCAGCTTCATCAGCTCCAGGTCCGAGAGCGCATTCCTTTTCTCCGGCGTCGAGTTGCACGGCGTGTGATCGACCCGCTTCGTATGCGCGGGAGGCGTGGGGCGCGATCTTGTCAACCGGGATGCCAGCCACACCACCCTGCTGCTCCCCTGGGGCATCTGCCCAGCCGTCTCCAAACCCCAACGTCAACGAGCACCCATTGGAGAGAAGAAGCGTTGACTCGAACCCTTCTTGCATGTGAGTGCTCGGGCTGAGCGCGAACTCTCGCTCCAAGGTGATACCTGACCGGCTGTCACGCCCCGGCCGTCTTCGAAGGAGGTTTCTGCCCGGCTCTCAAGAGCTGTGGCAGTCCCCTATTCTTTCACAGTGCTTTGGCTGCTCTGCCCAGGCAGAACATAGCTTGACCACGCGTTTCGATTTTCAACTTTTCCACTGAGATCTACCTGGGTGCCCACTGGGATAGACCACTTGCGAGTCGGGGATGGCGTCGAGCAAGGGCGAAACGCCGGGGGGCTGCGCGGGCGATTTCGGGGTCGGAGGATTGCAGATCATGGGCGATGCTCGTGATAGCATTGCTCTTAAGCCACATGGGGAGAGGAGCGTCTTTGGCGGACGGCCTCCCCCGGATTGGATGGGGGTGGCTTTGGGGTAAGAGGAACGGGCGAGGGGAGGTCTGGGTTTCATCAGGCACTCCGCTGCGGTTGTCAGTGAGATATATCCCGCGGTTTTTGCCCACTTGTAGAGGCACTAGAGGGTACTAGATATTTACTCGCTGCTACATTCCACATCTCCGCGCGGAACACCGAGGCTCGGGGAACAGGAAGATGCGATGCTCGTGTCCTGGATCCATGCGAAGAGAACGGCCAAGCAGGTGGCCTTGTCTAAGCTCGAGCCGTCGATCTTCTTTGCCTGTACAGACCAGACAGTGTAAGCTTCCAACAAGGGAACCAACTTGTTGAGATGGCCATGATTCGTCCGCACATCAGGATCTCGTCTCCGATACAACAGTACGATAAACAGGGGTCCTCTCAGGTTCTCCCCACGGCCTACGAATCCCACGTCGCAAGGCAAGCGTGGGGGAAGAGAGACAGAGCCCTTGCCTGTGTCCCAACTAATATGTGCCACTCGTTATTATGATGCGCCCAGGCCCCAGGGCCAGGCCTCGGAGATATTCCAACCAAGCAAAGCCGGCCCCACGTGCGGCGGAGACGGCCGCAGGCCTTTTTGACATGTGTCGAGGGTGTCTCAGAGGGGAGCAGCCTCCCCAGCCACTCATCCATCGAGAGGAGCAAGCGGCTCAGACAGGACACAGGCTTCCACATGCTAGCCCTCCCCCTCCCAGATGATAAACACACATGTATATGCACACGCACGCGCGCACGCACGCACATACGCAAGGGCTGCGTAGATGCAATATGCAACGGCACACGCAACTCCCTCCCTCGCGGGGAAAAACCCAAACCTTGCCCACAAGCTCCCGCTCCCACGTGAGCAGCAGCAGCAGCATAGTATGGCAGGATAAGAGCGGGGAGGCCTGGGTCTCTGCCCGACTTGAGCTTCCGCATTCGAGAAGGAGTAACAGGAGGAGGGAAAACCGGCGGCGGGATGGGAGGGGGGAGGCAGGTCCCCGGTTTGGTCCTCGCCGGCTAGGCATCTCGACAGCCGCGACTACGACGCTGCCCAAGGATGTTATGTCGTCAGTTGGTTGGGGAAGAGTATCATCGAGGTGGAGCAAAGCATGAGGGCATTGTTTTGTTGGAGGCAGGTAGGTGGACAAGACAACAGATCGATTAGAGGATGGTTGGATGGCAGAGCACGACAAAATTCGATCTGAGCAGTCACAAATGTCACTGTCGTATGGGCGTGTACCTTCCTAATACCAGTAGTAGACCCGGGCTTGTTTTTCGCAACGTTGCCTGGCACGAGGGATGACCCTGCGAGCCGTTGTAGGCTTGGGTGCTATAGGAGGCAATAGAGGGGACTGTTAGGGGTCTTTCTTCTTCATCCCATGTATCGAGGACCCAATGCAGGCTGAGTTTGACGCCTCGCCTATCTCGCAAGGTCGGATGGGGCCGCGGCACCGAGGAGATCGCAACGGCGCCGGGCACGGCAGATAGGCGCTGGTGTTCTCCGAGCATAATGACTTGGCTCGTGCCTGTCTGTCTTGTCTGCCTGTTCCTCCCATCCTCCGGAGCAGGCATAGGAGAGGGACCAAGCCCCAGCTCCTTTTCCTTGACGTCGCACCCTCGGTCCGAATCTGTAATGATCCCCCTTGTCCGCTGTGCCGCTTGGAAGACTGACCGGTGGACGTACAGAGTAATGAACGTCCCGTCCGCACTTGGAACCGCCCGCCTGTTCAGGGATAGACACACACACCGCCATAGATAGCGATATCCGCGGGATAATCCAGCGTGGTGCTGATCGCGGGACAGCAACGATGTATACTACCTCGGCTGGGCGGGCGATAGCCGAGGGATACACACAGACACACGGACACACACATACGCCAATCTGAGCAGCCCAAATACACGCGCAAGGGGGCAGCGCCGCGGCTAGGGCGTGAACGCCGACGGGGCCAAACAATCGCCCGAAACAGACCCTCGACTGCCAATAAGGTTTGGAGCTATCAAGCCACTCCACGGCTTTGGAGAAAGGGAGGGGGGAAGGGGCCTTGACGTTCGGCGGCAGCGCAGCATGTTGGTAGGGAGAAAAAGGCGGTTTGGGGGAATCAGAACCATGTGGCATGGGCAGAATCCTACGAACCCAAAACTGCGGGACCCGGTATAGGTGCTTGGTCGTGGCTATATCAGAGGGGATTTGGAGAGGGAAGAGCCGGGATCTTTGGGGCTAGGACTGGGGGCCGTGAGCCTGGGGGGCAAGTGTTGTCGTGGTGGTGGTGGAGTGGAGCTCGATTGATGAACCGTAGTCTAGAATGCAGCAAAGAACTTTGAGAGAAGAAAAAGCAAGTGTTCTCTGAGCTCACACTTTGCTGCTAACGTCTAGTGTTGCGTGGGTGAGGTAGCACTTTCATGCCTCTCCCCCGCCCGCCGTCCTTCCGGTCTCGAACCCTTGTTTCCACCCCTCGTCCGCTGGTGCCTTCAGGGACCCGAGAAGCGAAGGCCCGGCGCGGAGGCGGGGAAGGCGAGCTGCTTAGTCGGGGGGGACCGAAGGACCGGGGGATTTGTGCGCAGAGAATAGATCCGACGGGCTTTGTCCCCTGCTCGGCGTCGTTGTGCTAGAATAATATACCAATAGGGTGATCATGGGCTTTTCCCACCCCATGTCCTCAGGCAAGGGAGACGGGCCGAAGGGAACAAGACTCATCCGCGACCCATCCAGATGTCTGTTTTGCGTGTGCAAGGTGAGACAACAACAGCATTTGAGAACTGCTGGGTCGACGGTGAGGCCATCTCGACTAGCAAGGTGAGGATGCGCCTCGCTGCATTGAAGAGCCAGAAGCCCAGAAGCCCAGAAGCCCAGACAAGTCCACGCTCCGCTTGGTCACCGAGGTAGTAACCGTATAAGATTACTAACCTCGACCACCAGCGGGGATCCCAGCCGGAGAACAAGAACGAGCAGGAAGCTCCAAGGAAGCTGTAGGATGACATCAGACCTACCCCCCATCCACAGGAGAAAGGCACCCTGATGTGACGGACGGGTGGAAATCATGTGGCTTGGCTCCAGGCTCGTCTTGAGCACCGTTAGTTAGCCCGTGAGGATAATGATGGTGAAGACGGTAAATTTGATGCGTCCGGGAGCAAGAGCACTGTGTGTGATAAAGCATGAGCTCAAGATTCCGCCGCCCTATGCCCATGGCCACCCCACCTGCCCCACCCCTATTGCAATCTTCATGCGAAAGGGACTAGGAGCTAGCATGCGCCCGCGTGCTGGGCGGGCCACATGGGACGTTGAGCAGCCTGGGGCCGAGGTGGTGTAGTGAGGCTTGCTAGCGTCCAGGGGTGGTCAGTCGAGTTGGGCCAGGATGAATGTTGCAGACCCATAAAACAAACAACAACAAAGTTGAGATGCTGCATTGTGAGAATGCGCGTGGAGGCAGAACTCTCGAGTGAGGAAGAAGAACGATCTGCGCAGTGCCCAACTGGGCAGCTGGGTTGGGTGATCCCGCCTGGGGGTTCGAGACCCGGGCCGCCAGAGGAACGGGGGGAAGCAACCGAGCTAGCTGAGATGATCTTCACGGGGGGTGGACGACGGGGGGCTAGAGTTTGTTGTCGTCGTTGCCTGAGAGGTCGACAGACAGCCAGACAGCGTGCGCAGGCAAGCCATTTGGCAAAGCAAGCCTCTTTCATGTGCGCGCGTGCGTGCGTGTGCGGCGTGCGCGCGCAGCATCAGGCTTGCTGAACCTTGAAGCGGCGCGAGGACGTCCATCGTGTTTGGCTCGATCACTAACCCCTTGGCTCTGTGTGAGGTCTGGAGGTGTGCGAGTCTGTGTGAGTGCATAGAGACTGCTTCGCCCGTTGGTAAGTCGACTTGACGCCTGAGTGTTTAGCAGGGCCAGAACAAAAAAGAGAAGATCACCGCAACCCCACAGTCTGAGCACTCGTTCGGATGTGACCATCACTCAACCATGGTAGCTAGTGCGGTGTGTAATATCTCGGGTACAACATCCCTCCCCTCGGCACCCCTGGCGAAACCCGGGACCGCAGAGCACAATGCGGAGGAAGTGCGTGGGAAATGATCATCCACGGTCGGGGATTTTTACCCCCAGCCCCATGGCATTGCGACAGTAGAAATGAGCTAGCGCCAGCAACATAGGTAGGAAAGGCCGAGGGAGCGATATCCCGCCTTCAACAAAAAACTGCAACTCGAATACAGGGGTGGGCGGAGGGAGAGGCGGGGAGAGCAACAGACTTTCGAGGCTTGCCCTCCGCCGCCCGCGGTTTCTTGTTTCCGTCCGATCAAGTCCTCAAAGGTGACCACCCCCAAGAGCTTGGGCTTCAAAGCTCGTAAAGCTTGAACCGCTGTCGATGATTGCGTATGCTTGATTAGTTGGCTTCCCGAGAGTAAAAAAAAGGGAGCACGCGGTATCCTGGAAGGGGAAAGCGATCGAGGTGCAGTCGCTAGGGCTAAAGTTCAGGACCGTTGGGTTTGATATCTTTCGTCTTATTTCCAGATTCGGCATCGCTGTCGACACCACAACCGCGCAGCGCGTCGTGGTTTTCCCTGATGCGCCATGCTGGAGATGCCATGTGGACTCGCAATCATCAGCTCGTTTAATTAAGGTGTTTCAGGAGACATTTTTCATACCATGCATCTGCGTAGTAGTTGTGGCTGGTCCAGAGCTTCAGTGCTTGAAGCCGTAGGGCACGGGAATATGCCAATTCTAAGCGCTTTGAGATAGTCAAGTGTGCAGACTGAACCGCCGAGCGATTTCTGTGGCTGCAGGTCATGGAGTAGGGGCGGGAATGTTTGCGAGAGGGCGGCAGCATTCTGATTAGAAACTGGAATTTTGATATTGGGTAAACCGTCTATTGAGTGTCGCCTGTGAAAAAGTCGGAATCCCAGTATTGACAGCATGAACAACATGGTAGTCTCGCTGCAGTCCCGTGGTTGGGCAGTCCTCCGCGCGTCTTCTGTGGATGCACTTCCTCCGTAGCTTCATCTTGGTGGTGAGGCTGGCCCGCCCATATTAACAAGGCTGCGGCTTCCTGTCCGCCACGCTACAATTACCGAGGTCTGCCTCGCTCGCCCAGAACCAACCCGCCGCTTCGTGCACCGATCGCCTAGGAGCTGAGGGTCGTTCGATCGACAGGCTGGTATTTTTTTTTATCTTCCTCGCGTCGGGGAGCGCATCATCAACATGTCGTCGCACTTTGGGTCCCAGACCCATGAACTCCGTAAACACCAGTAGCTGTCCTTTTCAGATCTTGAGATAGATGATCACCTTTCTTTCCTGGGTTGGTCAAACCAGATCCTGACGCCCCAGCAATGCCTCTTTTTAAATCGTGCGCCGTTCGCCAGGTCGTCAAAGTGGTGGTTGGATACTACGTGTATCCTTCGAAACATAGATGCCAGGCAGAAAACAGACTCGGGTTTGGAGTGTCTGTGGAGACTGCGACAAAAATCGAAAATTGAAGGTTTCGGAGAAGGCGCCGCAGTGCTGCAACGTTTTTTCTTCGTCGGGTCTTTCTTGGTCCAGCGAACCCCTGTCCTCGCGCTCTCGTACTCCGGTAGCACAATCTGTGACATATCGCCGTGGCTCGGGAGTGGAGGGTGTGGAGCCGTGTTGGTCAAGGGATGTGCTCATAATATCACACATTTCTTGTCTCCCTTCCTCCTGTATCGCCTGTCCTCGGGCATGGTGTCGCGACGGCCCGGCGCCGCGCCGTTGGCCGGCCTGGAGGCGCCGCCGGACGAGTACGAGGCCGCATTTTGTCGCCTTATTATTCTTACAACGTCAAAGAATGCCTTCTCAACATTGATGCAGTTCTTCGCTGACGCCTCGACAAATTCGCACCCGAGCTCACGCGCCAGGGCGTGACCTTCTTGCGTGGATACCTCGCGCTCTGTCACTCGGTCACTCTTGTTGCCAACCAGCATAATGGGCACATTGACGGGGCCACCGGCAGCGGAAATCGGCGAGCCAGGATACGATGGCGAGCCCCCTGTGGACTCCTTGACTCGATAGATCTGGTGATGGAATCTTTTGATCCGCGAGAAGGACGACCGAGAGGAGATGCTGTACACCAGAACGAAGCCCTCGCCATCTCTAATCCATTGGTCCCGCAACGCAGTGTACTCTTCCTGGCCGGCTGTGTCGAGAACCTCAAGCATGCATGCTTGTCCGTCTATGACGACTTGTTTGCGGTACGAGTCCTCGATCGTGGGATCATACTAAAGTAGCAGAAGCGGTTGTTAGACTGATTGTTCATCGACCTTGGGAGCGTTGAGATGGCGATGACGGGGTCTACCGGGGCCAGGACACCCCGAGGTGGAGATTGACAATGGAAAGGTTGCATCAAGGAGTCCTGATGGTTGACGGCGAGACGGAGACGAAGAGCCCGTCGCAAGGGGAGATGCATGTTGCCGGCAGGGGCACGATTGAGAGGGGAGGACTCACAGTCTCTATGAAATGTTGTAGACATAGTTGAATGGTCAGGGCGGTCTTTCCTACACCACCATCGCCGAGCACCACGATCTTGTGCGGCGTTGTGAATCTTCCAGCCATTGTAGGGGTGTTCGTAGGGAGGGAAGCGCGCGAGGGCCTGACGTGGCCGTTTGGTCGTGCGAACCAGGGAGGCTCTCTGCAGGATTCGTCGGTGGTGTGTATGTGCGTGTGTGGGGAGAGAGAAAGTGTGAGGATGTGTGTGTGTGTGTGTGAGTGAGGAGCAGAGATGTTGGGCGACAAAGCAGGAGGTAGCTGCGAAGGAGGGGTTCGCGGTAGATTGAGCGAGGTGGAGATCAACGGCCGGGTCAGCTAGCAGGGCGGGCGTAGGTACCAGGTTGGAAGGGGTGTCGGGTGGCCAGGGGGGGATTGTTCTCGGAGAGACAAAGAGTGGCTTTTCCGTGGTCGCGCAGGTATTTGAGACAATGGGTCGGAGGCGATCCAGAGGGCTGGAGGTTGTTTTTGAACTTGTTGTATTGTCTGTCGCCGGGGTCGGGAGGTGATGGACCGGTTGGTGGAGGAGGGAGGAGTGGTGTGTGTGGTAGGAAGTTGAGTTGGGCAAGGCTTGCCTTAAGGAATTGATTTTGGGGGAGAAGGGGGGGAGGGGGGTGGACTGGACTGGACTGGGCCGGATTGGATTGGATTGGATTGGATTGATGCGAGGTGCGAGATGCAAGATGCAAGATGCGGGCAGTGCGGAAAAAGATCAGGCTGGGATGAAGGGAGCAGGAGCCCGCTTAATGGATTGCTTGAATGAGTGGTCGAGAGATTGAGAGATTGGGTGAGCGAGCGAGCGACGGATGAATTGATTAATGAACCGATCGATTGCTGCTTGATTGAAGTGGTTGACTGGTTGGTCGACCTGATGACCCAGATGACGGGTGGACGGACGGACTGAGGGGCTGAGTGACTGAGTGCTTGCCTTGCTCCGTCCAGAGGTGGCAGGGTAGGGACTGTCTGTGTGTGTGCCCGTACCGTGTGTAGCCCACGCAGGGTAATAAGCAATAATAAAGCGGTGCTCTGCTCTGCTCTGCTGCTGTGCTCTCTGCCTCTGCCACCCTGCTGCGCTGGTGCTGTGCCTGTTTAGTGGGAAGGAGTGTGGGAATGGTGGAGAACCTAGGAGGTGGGCGGGCGGGCAGGCCCAAGCTTTTGGAGGGGGGGGGTTGTCAGTCTGGGACTAGGATGCGAGAGACAAGAGGGCCTGAGAGGCAGGACCAGGGCACCAGAACTGCGGGTGGGAACTGATATGCCACCGGAATAACCTAGGGGAAATCGAAACGGATGTGGAATTAGAATTGGGAAGGGAAAAAAAGGGCCCAGGCCACTCGCGCGAGGCGCATAAGTACGGGTAGGCACTGGCAAGAGGTGAGGTACCTACATGCCTAGGTAGTCCAGTCTACCAACACTCCAGGGCTGTTGAGTACGGTAGGGTTGGGTGCTGCGGCAGACGGCAGAGAAGCAATTCCTCGTCCTGATCCCCACCCACATCCCACTGTCAGTGCCACCTGATTAACAGCTTGGCACCGAATCTCGCAGTGGCCTTGGTGAGGTGATGGTGCAAATTGCCCGTGCCATGTCTGCCTCGGAATTTCTCACTGAAATTCCGTCAACGAGAAGAAGCTATTTGAGGCAGACCTGCCTGACTGGCTGGCTGGCTGGCTGGCTGGCTTGCTTGCTTGGTTTGGGTCTCAATGTGGAGTGGAGTGGACTGGATGGCCTCTGGGAGGAGAAGCACCTGAGTAAACTACCCGGCCGCAGAGCCCATTGCCTCCTTACCTGCGGACTGTACTGTACGGCACGGTACCTAGGTAGCGCACGGCACGGCACGACCACCTCTTCAATCTGGCACTGGCCATGTCCCGTGGCCGTGGCCGACCACCTGCAATCCCTCCTGCTCTGATACCCGTTCGCCGGTGGGGCAGCAGACCACATGGTCTACCCCGTGCCGCCGTATGCACAACAGCAGGGCAGGGCAGGAGGTCAGGTCAGGTCAGGTTGTGAGGTTGTCCAAGTCAATCCCAATATTCAGCTTGATGAAAAGAGCCCGACCATGCAGCCAAGATGGGCTGAGAGGGAGCCGTCGATGTCCACCTCGACCCTTGCCATCGATCGTCTCCTGAATCGAGCTCGTCCTGCCTGGCCTGCTCGAAGACGACAGCCGGCACCCTGGGATATGGGCACGATGGGGCATGGGCACAGCATGGCATTGGCATGGGCGTCGACATGGGTGGGCATGGGCAGGGCATATGTGCAGTACAGTCAGTTCCCATCCCAATCCATCCCGGCATCAATCACAATCACAAGATGACAGCATTCAAACAACACTCCCCCGTCCAGCGACCCTGGCCGCCGAGCGCCTCCCGGAAGGGTAGGGGTAGAGCTCAGATTCTTTCGGCGGCCAGAATGGTATTGGCGGGAGCCAGCACGAGACCCACGCTGCTCAGGGATCCACAACCTTAGGCGAGCTGTTCCGTTTGATGAGCCCCAACTGGCCCCATGATGAGGTGGTCCCGCCCCGTCGGGACATGAGGTGCAAGTGGAGGCGGGAGCAAGGTGCGAGTTGACAGGTGGGCGGGCGGCCGGGCGTGCAGGCGAAGTGGGAGGGCCCTTGTCATGTCTTGTCTTGCTCTTGTCTCTTGCCGTGTCCGGGTGTTTCTATGTAGTGTTTGGCACAACCAGACTCGGGGATCGTTACTGTGTTCGGCCTGATGGGCATGGCATGGGGATGGGCAGTGCAAGGCTCGCTTGCAGGACCCGAGTGCTCTCCCAAAATTGCGACACCTGGCAGGGGAGAGGGCTGGCCAGGCCGTTGAAGCCTAATCATAAGCCCTGGCCCAAGCCCAAGCCCTCGTCTGGCTTGTTTGGGGATGGCATTGGCACCCGAGGAGAGGAGAGAGTGCCGCGTAGTCTCGGTCATTTTGGTCACAAAAGGGGTTGATGAGTGTGTAGTGCAGTGTACTGCGTGCTGTACAAACACGAAATGTGCCGTGCACGGTGCAGGAAAGCGAGATGTGTGGACGTGGGCACGGTGAGGCAGACGTTGACTGGCACCCAACAACGGGCGAGTCGAGCTAGGCAGCACAGTCTGATATTCGTCAAGAGGCACTCAAAACCGCGGGCGCCATCAAAAGCGTGGGCCATGCACCACTTTGCACTTGCACTTCATGACTGCACTGCATTGGCGGGGGGAACGGGAGCTGGGTCCCCAATCTGGCAGGGAGCAGGGATGGAGGCTGCTCGCTGGGGATGCTTGCCGCAGGGACTAAATGAAGATACAAAGTACTGCCGCAGTAAACAACACCACCACCACACGTTTTCTGGGCGTCTTGGAGTTCGGCACCTCACCTTTTCTCGAGATTTTGCCGAAGGACCGAGGGACTACATGGATGCCGACATCCATACCTGTTACGCACGCGCGCGCACACAGGTACAAACACATCCAATTCCAGTCAATATTAGTACTGCAAGATACGGCGATAGCTCCATCGCACATCCAGCAGAACACAGAAGGCAGGTCTGCCCAGGCAGCCAGGCTCGAAAGGGAAACGACAAAATTGCCTGGCAGAGGGAAGTAAGCTGCGGGCCGGGCAGAGGAAGGAAGGAAGGAAAAGCGCAAGGTGCCACCGCCAGCCCAAGCGAGAAGCTCAGGCCATGCTGCCCACGTGGGAATGGGGCTCTCCCTCGCATCGCGAAACATGGAAGAGACGGGGAGACAATGAGATAATCAAATCAGCCGGGTGGAATGACAGAATGAATCGAAGCCCACGAAGGGTGATCTGCTTTGATTGTCGTGTCTTGTCAGGACCGTTGGCTGGGCCTGGACACGAGGCGGTCACGACATCTCAATCTCCATCAATTTCTCGACCTCGTCCATCTCCGCCATCTCCTACTAAATTTTCTCCTCTCCTCTTTCAGGGCTACCATCGGCCGTTTAGCGACCGCCGCGGACGCCATCACGATCTATCAATACCAACACCCGATAATAATAACAATTGTAATACCGGGAACTGGCGCCATGTTCCGCCTTCCGCCCACCCGTACGGAGTAGCAGTCTACTGTGTACGCGGCACGGGTCAGTACGGGCCCAGCGTAGCATCGTCAACGTTGCTTTGACCTGGATACACCTTGATCACCGCCGCTGCACAGTCTCGGCCTTTTCCACACGCAGCATCGCATGCCCTCAATCAAGCATCTGTCGCTCCCTGTCCCTTCAGACCTCCTCCCTGTCGGCTACCTTCCCACCCCCCCCCAACTCTCCCTCCCCTTCCGTGAGCCTCCCCCAACCCGGATGCAGGGTGATTTGTACCCAGAACGCCAAGATGAACGTCGCCGCCGTCGTCGTCAACAACGAAGGTGCATCGCTTGCTGCTCTGGGTAGAGCCAACCGACGCTGTCGAGATGGCCATACTGCCTGCTAAAGTACTGCACACACCGGGGCTTAGGACAGGCACGCAAGGACCTAGGCCGATTGTCCCGAATCTATCACAACGTTTCCAATCGAGTGTTGGCTGCTAGATCTGATCAGGCGTGGCTGCCGTCGAAAAGCAAGGGGTGGTGTCAATCTCGGCAAAAGAACCATGCCTGCATGCCTCCCAACAAGAACAATGACAACCACCGCATCGCCGGCACCCTGCGGTCCAGCCTGTCGCACTTCTCATTCCATCCAGCCTCGACGGTGTTCTCGGCCCTGGCTTTCAAAATCTCGACTCATCGGCCCGGTCTCGACCTTTCTCACACAGCCGGTCGACACGCACAGCCACCACGTTGGCACGGAGGTAACATGCCAACGCCCAAGAACATCCGGTTCGAGGTTTGAACACACGCAGCGGCGCCATGTCACGTGGGAAGCACCCTCCACGTCGCCAAACCTCGAGCCGAGACAGGGGCCAGGGGCCAGGGGCCTCGGAGATTAGCATGCGAGAAGGACGAGGCAGAGATTGCCAAAGAAGACGAAACGGACTCCTTCTGGAAGACGCCCATTTACCTGAGCCTGGCCGGACTGCCGTGGCCAAATGTGACACGTCCTTCCTTCGAACGGCTGCCGGCGACTCGTCCAAAAGCATCGACCGAGCGGTTAAGCCCGCTACGAGGCAGGAGGGTGTGGAAAAGCAAGCGACGCATTACGCAATCCACTCCTACTGTCACTACTTCCTCTTCGACAGACTAGCCCGCGGACGACCGACCATTGCGGTCTATGTTGTTGCAAACCTCGGTCATATGCTTTCAGCGTGATGAATTTCACATGCCCATAAGTGACAACAGACGCGCAGGGCGGCTGAGGCCGGATACTCAAGACACCCACTTTGTTTGGGCAAGCCTGGTGCGAGTGCTCAAGACCGGCCGGATACCCCCTATGAGATCCTGACCGAGAACCCACGTTCGAGCACCTCGGAGCTAAACGTACTTGTGTGCGTGGACGGCCTGTATGGATGGACGGCCGGCCTCCTCCTCATCAGGGGTTTTCCTCTCTCGGGTGGCTGCTTCTGGGCCGGCCGTCACACACGTCGTTGTCTTCCACCGATCTCCCGTGTGCGAACCAAGCACAGAAATCTTGATCCTCAGGCCGGCTTGCTGGCCTTGCCCATCCCTACTCCGAAGGACTCTGATGGACTCAACCCGGGTACTGCATGCTATATCGCAGACACTGCCGTGCAAGGCAAGGTGGTCAATAGATTGACGACGAATTGCCTCCGTGGGTGATGGGCGCGTGGGGGTGGCTTCCGGGCGCATAATGGCCATGCGATATGCCAGTATGGTCCAGGAAGTACGACGCATGCACTGCTTCTGATGCCGGAGGTGGGCAGATTCGAGATTTTCTCCACCCTCACAATATCTCTCTTACACCGAGACACATTCTTTTGTGTATGCGCGCGTGTGTGTAGCTGCCTGCCTATCTTTCACCCATTTCGCTGTCACCCCATGTTCCAAGAAGGGTCATCCTGCTTATCAGACGTCAACATTGCTCGGCGGAAAATTCCCTGTCATCGAGTCAGTCAGTGCCGGCGCGGGCACCCGTCAAAAAGTCTCACCCGTGTGTAAGCGTGCCACCAGCAAGCATGCGAGACAGGCAGCGGTGGCCATCGATCAGTGGGATTTTATTATATGAGGCTCCCCCTCTAGGCGGTCTGCTGATGTGCTGCCGCCCACCCGAGAGATTGTGCGTTGTTGTGTGCGTGTAATGGATGCGGCTTGGCTTTTTGTTCAGGATTATCTCCTGTCAACTGCCCATCGGTTAGTCCCGCGAGTGCAGGTGGACGGTGGCGCAAGTGCGCAGTGAGGACGATCTGTGCAGTGGACAGTAGGGTGCTGTCGCCGGAGATGTCACCGAGTCCGGCTGAATCGTCGTTGGACGGCGTTTGGGCGGTGCTGTTTTGATGTAGTACAAGGCCCTATCAACGACAGGCGGGCAGAAAGTCCTGTCCCACTGCGAGGCTCCAAAGGACCCCTGAGACGTCACACTGCTCCACGAGTCCTAAAGTCCTACTTCCAGAGGCATGTGGACAGCGAGAGCAAACTGCTGTTTTCCCAGTCCTTTCCTTGGGCCGCACGAACTTGTCCATCCCAACCCGGAACGGGCATCCAAGTTTCCCGAGCCGCTGGGGTCGTTGATATTTGGTGTACAAGTCATTTCCCAGGATGGCCGTAGGAAGTTCTTCAGATAGACCTGGGTCCAGAACACCCGGATTTCTGGACCACATTGGGCGGGGACGCCGGCGCGGGACCACTTTGTGTGGCTAGCTGTGCATCGCATCACTGCCGCAACGGGGGGCATTTGATGACTCGATACCAAAAATAGTGATCATTAAATCTTCCGATGTCATTTCGACACCGCTTCCCAGCCGGTGTTGTGGCTGCCGCTCGCTTGTGGTCCTTCCAAAAGGCGGGAAGGCGCCAAGGAAGGTCTGTTCTCATCGAGGAACATGCCGATGGAGGATGGGAGTTTACAGGCGTTTCCTGATGGATGTGGTGTGTCCCGTTGGAAGACAACACGGACGCTAGCAGTCCTTTCTTCTATCTTGGCCATGATGCTTGCGTAAATACTACAACTTATACCTGAGGGTGTAGAAATTGCTCGTGTCACGCTTGGCTGCCCTACAAACCACCGCCCATCCCCCCAAACCCACCCATCCACACACAAACCGTTCTAGGTGTGTTGCTGATATATGGTGGTGGATGGGTGAGTGTACGGGGATTTGACGACTTCATCCGAGATCACAATCCTATAATGTTCCATTTCAGGTATTCGTGCCGCAAACGTTCCGATGCCTGAACTGCTCTCTCATTCCCATATCAAATGGTCTTTGCTGTGGACCTGACAAGTTTGCAGAAAAGCCTTTGCTGGCCATATTCAACCACCTGCGCCTGTCTTACAGAATGCGACTAATAATTCCTCGCAATACAATCGCTTTTTCAAGCTGATGCAGTCATATTCTGACGCTATCTCGCGTCAGGCGGCGTGATGATACCTATCTACTTCGATGCCTAGGACGAGCGTGTTCGAGTAGGCTGCGAACAGCAACTTCAGAAGCAGAATTTGAACGGATATCTGGAAGAGAGAAGACAATGAAAATGAGCTCCCCCTCCTCATAGAACATCGCGTAATCTTCTCGAAACCTCAACGAAGCCACCCTCATCCGCCCCAACCCAAAGATCAACCCACCCCTTCGCAGCCTCATACCTCTCACTCCCAACCTCCCAGTCCTCCTCCCCGTCCCGCTCCACATACACCGTCCGCAGCCCCAGCCTCCTCGCAGCATCGAGGTCGTTCAGGTGCGCGGCAACCATGGCGACCTCCCCAGGCCCGACCCCGAGCCTCTCGGCCGCGCCGAGGTACACGCCCGGGTCGGGCTTGTACACGCCAAAGTCCTCGGCTGAAAACAGATTCCCGAACCCCAGCCCGCCGAACGCGTCCAGGTCCGCCAGCAGGGCGCGGTTCCCATTCGATAGCGTGGCGGTGGCGAGGCCGAGGCCGCCGTCGCCGCCACTGCCGAGCGCCCGCAGCCCGGCCGCCGAGTCGGGCCACGGCGTCAGCCGGTGCCACACGAGGCTCAGCTCCCGCACGCCCGCGGCATCCAGCGCGCCGGACAGCCCGTACTTGCGCAACAGCTCTACCAGGCTGTCGTGGTGGTGCGCGTCGACGTCCTTCCACGGGTCGGTCCCGGGCCGGAAACCGAGCGTGAAGCGCTTGTAGCCGTCGCGCCACTCCTGCGCGAGGGCGGCGACGTCGGCGTCGGTCAGGGCGCGGGCGCGGGCTTCTGCCTCCGCCCTCTCTGCCGCCTCGTCCTCGGTGGAGGGGGGCGATGCCGAAGAGTACGGCCGCTTGTTGATGGGCCTGAGGGCCGCGGATAGGGCGGCCTCGACGGGGCGGCGCCAGTCTACTACTGTGCCGAAGACGTCAAACGTTAGGGCTTTTATGCCCTTTAGGGCTTGTAGGCCGTGGTCTGGCATTTTTGTGGTGGGTTTTGTGTTAGCATTCCTTTTGGCTAACGTATAGGGCGGCGACGATAGTTACCCGATACTGGCTCCGACTGCCGAGGCTATACTGTACAAGAATGTGTTTGGAGTTAGCGGGGCCCTCCTATAAAGTCTCCTCCACTAGGTTGTATTACGTCAACTATCGTGATGCTAAGACTTCTGGGACTTCTTGATTGGCTTTGAAGTAAATTCTTAGAAATCAGAACAGCCAGATCGTAGTGACTACCTAGTTAGGAACAAAATGCCTCTGAGCTGCCGTGTTATTGGGAGCAGGAAAGAATCATTAATGCACCTTATTTACACCCTGCCTGCCTCCTCCCTCTATAACATGTGGTAGATATCAGTTTCCCAGTGGGGAGTCTCAAAGCAGAACGACATATTGCTACAACGCGTTCCAGCTTAGTTTTGCGGCGTCCAGCCGCCGGTCAAACCAGTCGTCCACGTCCGCAACCCCATCCGCACCCACTGCCCACGTGCCAGACTCGACGAGCGATGCCCAATGGGCCAGTATCTCGGCAAGGCGAGGCGGCCGCCTATGCCCCCAGGGACAACGGCCCGTGAAGTCCCCCGCGTCCGAGACCTCGGCGACGACGTAGAGGCCGGCGCGGCGGCCCACGGTGAACTTGCCAAAGCCCCAGGGCCTGTCAAAGTCCTGGTACCGGCGCGGGACGCTGTCGGCCACGGGCCGGGCCGCGGGAAGGACGAGGCTCGCCCACTCGTCCCCGTCCGGATCTCCTGCGCCGGTGGGGTGGGAGCGCCGGGGCGCGTGCTGGCTCTCGGACGCGTACAGCTCGGCGAGGCTGTCGGTGGAGAACGCCGTGATCCCCGGGGCGACAAATGTGAAACCGGGCCGTGGGGCTCGCGAGAGGAACTCGGCTGCAAAAGTGCTCATGCGGAAGGCCGTCCTGGTCTCTGGGTCCAGCTGGAGGGGGTCGCGTCTCTGGGCGGGCTGTGGAAGTCTCTGCTCGATGCTGTTGAGGAGGCGGTCCCATGACGAGAGAGCATCGGTCAGGTCGTTGTCGGTCCAAGGCCGCACGTCAATGATGCGCTGTGCGGCATCCCAAAAGTATTTCCCAGAGTTCCACTTGTCGATGGATTGCTGCAAGGCGAAGTCGAGGGCGATCCATTCCCCGTCGGCAGGGAACGGCCAGGGCGCCCAGTGCCAGACCACCCGGCAGCTCTGGAGGTTGAGAAATAAGCCGCCATCCGTAGGCTCGCCGGTGTTCTGGCCGTAGAGTAGGATGATCTCGGGCCGTTCATAGACGGCAAAGGTGGGACTCCAAAAGCCCAACGGATCGGGCTGGAGCATGTGCGGCGTCAGCGCGCCTGGACCTCGCCCTGGCGGCGAAAGGGTCGTCTCTATGGACGAGAAGAAGCGGTAGATGGGCAGCTCCTCAAGGCCGTCTATGTTTGCGAATTCGGGGGCAGCCTCCAGAAACCGGTTCACCAGCGTCCGCTCCGTGACGGCGGTCGGGTCGTGCTCGGTGGCTCGTCGTAACAGTGCATTGTGCATATCTGCACAACGTTCCGGGACAAAGGCCATGGCTGGTCGATGTCGATACAAGCATGCTGCTACATCTGCCGATAACGAGTGACTTGCTTAAAGGACGGGCTTGCTGACCTTGTATCTGGGTTGCACGGGAGTTGTGACTTGGTCACGGCTCGGAAATTTGGACAATGCACTAATATAGCAAGTGTGCGGAGATAATCCGGCACCGTGCACGGCGTGTGGTCTGGCATTTTGGTGATGGGGTTGCTGCTATCATTCCTTCTAATCATGTGTAGATTAGGATGAAATTTGTGATATGCTATCTTAAATTTTAAATGACCAGGTTATGCTATACACGAATATCTTTAAAGTCAATGTGGCATTTACGACATCGCCCTCTAGGCCGTACTAACGTTAACTATTACATTTACTCAGACTTCAGGGACTTTTTTCTTAGCCTTCAAGCGAGATCCTAGGAATTTTAACATCTGAATGGTATGATTTACCTAATCTGCCAAAGAATCGCTTGTGAACTGCCGTGTTGTAGTAGTAGGTCTAAGAGAAGAGAAAAGCTATTGGGCTAAAGGAGGGAGGGGGTCAGCCTTTCTTGGACCACGATTAGTCTCGGACACTTGAATATGGCCCTTAGACATCTATAAGTCCCCCATAATCCGCTATGAATCATGAATGCCCGCCGTCCGATCGCATTAAATTCTTAACCAGCCTCAACCTCAAAATAAGACCACCAATGTCGTGGTCCTCCTCTAAGATGGCGAGTGAACCGTCGTCCCTTAGGGACATCATCTTCCCGCGCAGGGCACCCTCGAGGAAGGCATGGCGGTCCACTATCACCTTATCCAGCTCGACCCCGTCCGGGTTGGCAACAACGCCGTATTGGACAAGAACATCCTCAGCCGGGTCCAGGCCGGCTTTCTTGCGCATCCTCTGCACGCGGTTGACAATGTCTCGCGCCAGACCCTCGTCGAGAAGCTCCGGGTGCGGTGCCGTGTCGAGCAGGATGACCACGTCGCCCGAAAACGCGGCTTCGTATTTAGGAGCAACACCCTTGCTTTCGCCCGTGGTATGCGAGGAACAAGAGGAGGCCTTGGGCGCATCTGCCCCGAGGACGCGGACGATGGACAGGTCCGCACCCTCGAGCTCAATGCCCTCGATGGTGATCCTTCCCTCCCTCTGGAACAGCCGCAGTTGCTTCTGTGATAGCCCTGGCAGGGCCCTCCGGATCACCTGGACGTCCTTTTTGAGCTTCTTCCCTAGCGTTGGCCAGTCCACGCGCGCCTGGAGCTGGATGTTGTAGCGCGCCTCGTCGCTTGATAGCACCAGGTCCCGGACGTTCAACTCCTCCTTGATGTATGACTGCAGTGACTCCACATCGGAAAGGTGCTCTTTGCCTGCAATTACCACCAGAGAGAGTAGCGGCGTCTTGAGGGGTGTGCCGGCTCGTTCCCTGGCGGTTCTGCCCAGCTGGATGATGTTTTGCATGGTTCCCACCTTCCTCTCGATGGTCTCGTCGAAGAGCGAGTCCTGTATGACAGGGTACGGAAGGAAATGCACGCTTCTGGGGTCCTGGGACCCGGATAAGAGTTGGGTCAGGTAAGGTTTGAGCAATCCGCAGATGTGCTCAGTGATGAAAGGTGTGAATGGCGCCAGTGCCCTGACCAGAGTGAATAGAACATGGCAGAGAGTATTGAGTGCTTGTTGCGTGTCATCGACCTCAAGCCCGGCGGCTCCTTTCGGTCTCTTTCTGTTGAAACGGATGTACCAGTTGGTCAAGTTGTCGACTAGTTGAAGCAAACGCGGTACGACGGTGTATAGGCGGTAGCCTTGGGAAATCAGTCAGAGATGATAAAGCCACGGCATATCCAAGGGGAGAAGTTAGGAGCTGGCCAATACTCACACCGCATTTCCTCTTCAATGAAGCGCAACATGCTCTGGACATCTGCAAGAATCCATCGGTCCATGATGTTGCTCATGCTGGTGGCGGCCGGGAGTGGCTCTGCCAAGAAGCTCTGGCCGGTGGCCTTCTTGTACAATATGGCTTGTTCGTGAAAGAACCTGTAGCTGTTCCACAGAGGGAGCAGGACCTTGGAGACAACCTCCCTCACGCCGGATTCCTTGAATCGCAGTGGTTCAGCCCGAGCTACTGGAGAATTGATGAGATACAACCTTAGGGCATCGGAGCCATAAGAATGAATGATTTTGCTTGGGTCTGGGTAGTTCTTCAGGCTTTTGGACATTTTCTTGCCGTCTTCTGCCAGGACTAGCCCGTTCACGATGACGTTGCGAAACGGGAGACGCTTGAATAAGTGATGCCCGAGGACAGTCAGTGTATAGAACCAGCCACGGGTCTGATCGAGTCCCTCGGCAATGAAGTGTGCCGGGAAGAGACCCGTCTCGAAGGTATCGGCGTTTTTGAATGGGTAGTGGTTGGAGGCGTAAGGCATACATCCCGACTCGAACCTGTTAACAGTTACCACCATTAGCAAGTTCTGTCGGAAATATACTAGTAGAATGTCACATACCAGCAGTCAAAAACTTCATCAACCCTTCGGAGCGTGCCCTTCCCTTGCCGAGAAGGAATCGTAATGTAGTCAACCTTGTCCTTGTGTAGATCTCGTAGCGGGCCGGTGAACCCACTGAGCTCCCTCAGCTCCACGACGCTTCCCACGCAGACAACCTCCTCGAAGTCCTCACTGACCCAGAGCGGCAGCGGTGTCCCCCAGTAGCGGTTCCTGGAGACGTTCCAGTCATGCGCCCCCAGAATCCAGTTCCCAAACCGCTTCTCCTTTACAGAAGATGGAACCCACGTGGTCGAGTCCAATTCTTGAAGTATCTCCGGTACCGAGTCTGCCACCCTGATGAACCATGAGGAGACAGCCCGCCGGATAAGCTGCGTGTCGGAGCGCCAGCAGAACTTATCCACGTGGGTGACATGCGATTCGACCAAGAGGCGCCCTGTCGCCCTGAGGTCTCTCAGGATCGCCTTGTCTGCCGCCTTCACATGCTGACCCGCATATTCCGGGACTTCTGATGTGAATTCGCCCTTCTCGTTGACCGGGCACGGCGGCAGGCGCCGAGGGGAGATGAAGCCAGCTGCCCTCGCCGCGTCATAGTCCTCCTGGCCGAAGGCCGGGGCTTGGTGGACAAGGCCCGTCCCCTCACCCGCTTCCACGTAGTCGGCACCAATGACTTGAAAACAGTCGGAGAAGTCGTTGGAAAAGTATGGGAATAACGGTAGGTATTTCCAGCCGATCATGTCTCTTCCATGCATCTTGCTGTGGACACTGAACTTCGCCCTCTTGGGATCTTTGTATAGAGCGGCAATCCCACTTTCCAGGAGTATGTATTTCCGTCCGGAAAGCTCGTCCAAAATTTCAACATATTCTAACTCGGGGTGAGCCGCGATAAAGAGGTTAGATGGGAGTGTCCACGGGGTGGTTGTGTGAATAACCAGAGATGTTCCCTCAAAGTCTGGCTGGCTGACAATGGGGAAAGAAACTAATACAGCTGGATCCTGGGTCATCTTCTCATTCTGCTTGGCTTCGATCTGGCTTAAGGGAGTGCACAGCGCCGTTGAGTAAGGCATGATCTGATAGGCTCGATATACCTGGTCCTTGTCGAAGAGCTGCTTGAATGCCCACCAGCAGGATTCCATGAAAGTTACATCCATTGTCTTACGAAGCATAAGATGTTAGCAGTCGAGTTCCACCATATGGCTGAAGATTCCTGTTAGATTTGACATACCTTGTAATCGTTGTCGAAGTCTACCCATCTACCCAGACGCTCAATGGTCTGCCTCCACTCTGTGGCGTATGTCATGACAATGGCCCTGCACTCATCATTGTATTTCTCAAGGCCTATCTTGGAGACTGCATCTCTTCCCGACATTCCTAGCTTCTTGTCAATTTCATACTCGATGGGCACGCCGTGAGTATCCCACCCAAAGCGGCGAACGACGTGGAACCCTTTCATCGACCAGTATCGAGGGATGATATCCTTGATCGTGGACGTGAGTAAATGTCCGTAATGGGGAAGACCTGGTGAAGCATCAGATAAGTTCGTTCCGAGGACCAGGAGGATAACTTGTACCAGTCGCTGAGCAGTGACAGTTAGTAAGGCGAACAAAGCTTGAGGCAAGACTGAATATATGTGGGTAGACGTACCAAAAGGCGGGCCATCGTAGAAAGTGAACCGCGCACAACCTTCTGTGAGGCGCAACTGAGTTTTGAATGCATCGATTTCCTTCCAGAAACGGAGGACCTCCTCCTCAGCATTGGGGAAGTTGATGTTCATTCTGACTAGGCAGTACTTGTCTTTCTCCGCGTTGGAAAGTGTACTCGTCTCGTGTCCTAACTCTAGGACGACAGATTTGACTCTCTAAATCAAGTCGTTCAACCCACCCTATTGACAGCCCTCATTGAGACCTCAAGATCGGTGAGTCACCGCAACAAGGTATCCTCAAGAGTCATATTCGTCGGGAAGCTGAAAGGATCTTGGCTCTTGATGCACGACGTGGTGTGCTAGCAAAGCAATACTGCGGCACAGCCTTGAGGGTTTAACCCTCTTCGGTACCGGACCAAAGCCCCTCCCAGACGAAAAGCAGGTAGCACACAGGAGCAGGTCGGCGCAACGAACTTACCCCTGGAATTTCCAGGGGCATCTGAGCTAACCATGTTCAAAAGACATTGACAAGCGAACAGTATGCTCGATGCTCCGCACGTCATGACGGGTCGAAACAGGTCGGATGCGCGTCAGTTCATTTCCGGGTCTTTTACCGGTACCAAGTCAACGCCTCCCACCTAGGTAAATGTTTTCTAGTCTATGGGCATGAGTAACGAACAGACGTCCTCCTCTCACACTCTGTTTCGTTTCCGCTCCAGTCTCCGTCGACCTTGCTAGGGATCTAAACGCGACATCGGCAGATATAGCCGTGTGAAGCTCATACAGCGAGGTCAGGACTGAGAAGGCCTCGCAAACAAGACACTGAGGCCATCAGTAATCACCTCTTTTACTCATCAGCAGGACGCGGCAGAAAGACCTACGGTTTCATCCTGTTGGCTTTTCCGTCCAAGATCAAAGACGGACTCCGGACCGGTCCCCATAAGCCCCGATCCACATCGCCGCCTTGGCTTCAACGCCAAGCACCGCGTTCGAATCCACTCCGACTCCATCAGCCTCCACCTCGCCCGGGCCCCCGCGCCGCAAGCCCTCTCACACGCGAGGCCGGGGACACTCGGGCACGATGACGGACCGCAACACCACCCACTTCCACGGATGGCACTACGCGGCAGACCACGTCACCGGCCCAGTGCCTTTCCTGAACCCCACCAAGCGACTTCTCCCGCTGCAAAAGACCCAACATCCGGGCGGGGACGAACAGGTCGCACCGCAGCCCTTCACAGCCGGCGGCGATGAGGACGGAGAGGCAGCCGAGCCACAGAAGCAGCCCTCCTCCACGCGAGTCCCAGCACGAGCAACTACCGCCACCCCCGGCGGCATCTACCACATCTGGCGCTCCCGTGACAACCGCAAAGGCCGCCACACGCTCGCACTAACCCCCTCGGCAAAGGCCTCGGCGGGGTTCTCGGGAGTGCACCAGCCCCGACCCCTCAGAACCACCACAACCATCGGGGCCACCCTGCGAGGCATCTCTCGTATGTTCCTGCGCTACCCGGTCTGGGACGTCTCGTACGACGTCGCGACGATATTCACCCTCGGCTCGGTGGTCTGGGTGCTCAACGGCTTCCTCGTGCTTCTTCCGGCCGTGGACCCGGCGGGCTCGTGGCCGGGAGAGAGCGAGTGGGGCGGGGGTGTATCTGCTTGTGTGGGCGCAACCGTCTTCGAGGCCGGCAGCGTGCTGCTGATGCTCGAGGCCGTCAACGAGAACCGGTCGGACTGCTTCGGGTGGGCGCTCGAGGAGGCGCTGGGCGGCGGCCACGGCGGTGTCGATGGCGATGGTGACGAGGGGCCGCTCGTGCTGCTGCGCAGGGAAGAGCAGGTGTAGGCATCACCACCGCGACAAGAGGGGTTTCTTGGCGGGGAAAGGCGTCGATCGTGGCGCCGGCGTTGGTCATGACGAGGTGGGCAGCACCGCGGCGGCGAGGAGATGGACGTGGTGGCCGTCCTCGAAAGAGCTGAGGACGCACTACCTGCGCGACATTGGCTTCCTGGCATGCCTGTCGCAGATGATCGGGGCTACTATCTTCTGGATCTCGGGCTTCACGGGTCTGCCACAGGTTCTGGGCGTGCTAAGCGTGCCTGCTGAGAACGGCATCTTTTGGCTGCCACAGGTTAGTATTATCACTGCTAGATGAACAACCCGCACCTTCAGTTGGGGTCATGGAAGATGGCACAGGATGAACATATTCAGCCTGCCATCACCAACTACTCCAATTCATCTCATTACCCGCCAGCCAACAAGTCCACCCACTAACACAAGCATCCCTCAGGTCGTTGGCGGCACAGGCTTCATAGTATCCTCATGGCTCTTCATGCTCGAGACACAGCCAAACTGGCACACGCCGTCCCCCAAGACACTGGGGTGGCACATCGGGCTCTGGAACCTGATCGGCGCACTGGGCTTCACCCTCTGCGGCGCGCTGGGCTTCGCGAGCGGCTCGTCACAGGCCTACGAGACGGCCTCGCTGTGGTCCACCTTCATCGGGTCGTGGGCGTTCCTGGTACGTACTTTCGCGCAGATGCCTACCTCCCCGCTCAAGCCCCATTCCCGTCGTCATTGCCATCATCTCGGAAGATATACCCGCATGTGGGGATGGGCAGCTGGCCTACATGTTCGCTCAGCCCCAGGAACCAGAGAGGGTCGAAGCGGAGCAGGCCCTACCAGCCCTGTCCCATGGGCAGATGGGCATGGGCAGGTTGGCGGACTGCGGACTGTGTGGCCCGAGGCCCTTGCGGGCGATCCGTCGCGAGGCAGGGCTCGAACAAGGCCCATCAACCGAAATTCGAATGCTGCGACGGGCGTGCCGAAACCTTACTGACAGATATTCTCACCTCGAAACAGGTTGGTTCCATCATACAGTGGTACGAATCTCTCGACAAGTACCCCGTCGCCGTGGTCGACAGGAAGGCAATGTTGGGGCTGGGGTCATCTTCGTCTGAGGTTTTGGACAAGACGATATAAGGGCAGGGCTGTTCATAACACCCGGGAATTGGAAACCCACCACGAACGCAATGCTTGCCATCTTCCGCCGCGCCCAATGGTGCTCATCTGATGAACGATGTGGGTGCCCAATTCGATCCACCATGCAGTCGCCATGCAGTCGTAGTCCCTTTAGCAAGACAATAGCCCGGTCCATTATGCCGAGTACTACGAGGCCCCCCGTCCACCCCCAAGAGTGCAGGGCGGGCGCTCATGCGGCGTCTTCTAAAACATCACATCACGTTGACAGTGGCCCTTCATAAAAAAAAAGCAACTCGCAAGAACCGGCGCTCGTGATCGATCATGATGAGCTCGCATCCGCCCCGCCATCATATCTCGCTTGTGCTCCTGGCGTATGGCCAACATTGTTAACTTGGAAGGCTGCGGCACAGCCCATGTCCAATCACGCGGGCTGAAATTGGGCGACTGGGTGTGGAGAACGTGATTTCCAAGGCATGCGGGCAGATTGAGACGCCAGACGCAATATGACCAGACGTTGTGTTGCAGAAGTGCAGCTTGTCTCGCTCGTGGTCACCTCCTCCGGGCCCACAAACCGTGATCCCTTTGAGCCTCCACGAGACCAACAGAAAAGCTGCCGAATCTTTGCACCCCGTAGCCAATCCCCCGTTTGGTGATCATGCAGGAGGCAGCCACATCCGGTGCGCAGTTCAGTGATCAAGCGAGCGAGCCAGGCCTGCATATGTGGTGGACCTTGGATGCAGAGTGCACATTTCGCACAGATTGCCTGTAACGTGAGGCGGCGCGCGAGTCCACCTGCGACTCGCAGATAGACCAGTCTTCTCAGCCTATATGCCGCTCTCTGTATACATCCAGCCTGTCTATAGGGGCCATCTACCGCGGCAGTGTAAAGTTGCTAACGTGCAGTTAATCCGAAACAGGCGACACGTCCCGTCATCAGCCTCTCTGCTCACCGGTGATCCTCCCTCCCTGCTGCGCTAGACAGACAAGCGTCTCTCCCCTCTTTTCCAATTGAATATCTCTTACGTATCCCGGCGGCCCGAGCATGCTATTCCGAATTCTCGAAATGAGCCGACCCCGCGGCGCTGGAACCCCAAATGCGACGTCTGACCCGAAGGTAATCGGGAAGATGCATATACGCATAGCCAGACTTGATGCCGAGGTTCTGCGCATACGGCTGGCGCGTGTGCGCGCGCCAGCGCGTGGGAAATGCGTATTCGATACGAACACAGTCGTCCGTGCTTGTATCGTTTGTCATAAAAATAGTGTCTCGACCATCTGGCATTCAAATTGCCGAAGTATAACCAGGCCACGAGACTTCCCGGGCAGTAGCATCAGTCCATCCACGAGTCGAATGTTTGTCGAGCACCAACTCTCATGGTCGTAGAGCAGCTTGACAGCAGCAGCCAGCTGAAACCTGCCCGATGCGTAGGATCCTCGCCAGAGAAGGCCTGAGGTTTACGCCAGGAACGCCAGGAAGATAGTATACCCAGCTCACCTGACCACTGGCCGAGGCAGAGGGCCTTCCACGAGCGTCCAGTAATCTAATTAGCCCTCGCGCCCTCGCGCCCAGTCCTCTTGACAACGCGTGCGTTGCATTAGCGACCATACATGTGCCATCCGTGCGCGGTGCTGGATTTGGGTTTCTTTGGGGGTTACCGTTGAGGTGGATAGGCGCTACACGCACGGAGAATAAAAGTAGTAAACTGCGTTCGTTCTGCGACCTTGCACGGCTCTCAGCCCGAGGTTGCATGGGATGCGACGTTGCGTAGGCGTAACTGCAGCCATGAAACACGGTCTTCTCCGATCGGTCGACTCACGAGCGAGATTGCCGTCTTCCGCCTGCCGATGCCCGGGGCAGGTGGGCGGGGACGCGCTATTGACGGGATATGAGCAGTATGGGTGTGATGAGGCAGTCGAAGCCATCACGGCTCCCTCACAATGAGACGCTGCTAGTCTTCAGATTTCACCCACCCATCCAAGACGTGGCAGATGAATCAGCTCCCAACAGGAGCGGGATCGCTCCTTGTCCCGTCTGGTAGGGTGACCACTAGTCTCTGGCAGCCCAAAATCCCGCAGCCCGTTTGAAGTGAAGCGATCTGCGTGACGTATGCTGTGACTTGGAAATGGCACGCTAGGCTGGTTGAGCTTCCCTGGATGCAAAGTTCCTCTGACGAGTCCTGGAGACCTCAGAAGCAGACAACAACCTCGCCACCACAAGGTGTTTGTTCACAAAGCCAGCCCCGTGATCGCGTCCAATACCCGCCGGTACATCGGATACCCCAGCGAAGTGACCTCCAGCCCACCGAGCTCACAAACACGAATCTGGATTTCGTTTCACACTTGTGATACCCAACAGGCGCTTGCCTCTGTTCATGGCGATCTGTGCAATTTGCCCCCGGGGCGAAATGAGGTGCGTGCCTTGCACCACACCCGACCAGGAAACGAGGGACGGTAGATACAGATCCACACTCATCAACCAGGGCCTGAAGGTTGGACGGTACCCACAGCCAGCGCGAGCGAGCAGGTGGCATCCGATCGGTGAGATCTGGCCGTGGGTTCCGCAGGGACGCAGCCGCGACGCGATGGACACCAGTGGGCTCGAGCATCCAGGTGTGCGTGAGGGAGCGAACCGGCATGGTAGCCCGGAGCTCCATAGCGGGATTAATGCCCGCCGCGTGCCGTGAGAGCCTGAGTGCAGGGCAATTACATGAGGCAAGGGTGGCAGGGCTGGCTGGCTCGTGCTGACAACTCGTTTCGCTGAGATTGACAACCGGAATTGAGCGCCAGCGTGCCTGAGTGCTCAGGTCGAAATAACGTCGGCGTATCCGGCAGATAGTGAGGCGATAGTGAGGCCCCTCGTTTGCGGGTATCACCAGTGCGGAACAATGCTGCATTCGCCGCACATGTGCATGTACTCTGCACACATGTGTGCTGGTGTGCTAGAAGTGTTTTGAGATCGACCGGCTAGGGTCGTAATGTGACAATATGAAAAGCACCCAGCACTTATGCAATGCCCCATTACCGCTTTGGAGCTTGCCGATCCGCAGAGCTCAGGCTGTTACAGTATCCCTCGACCGCTCGGACATGTGGATTTGGGTATCCATGGCGTCGGGCGTTCCCTACTAACGCACGCGCGCACGTACTGAAGTATTGTGTAGTGAGGCTTTCCAACGCTGTGGATGAGGCGCAACATCGGCGTGCACTAGCCCAGGCGCTACTCGGCCGGATATTGGACTCTGAGCCGCGAGCCGTTGAATAAGATCCTCCAATATCCTCCCACATGGTTTATCGTTGGATGGGTTGGTGCGCGGGGGACGGGCCGGCAGCCAATTAATCGTTCCTTAGCGTTGGGACGAGATGGACGCGACTTTATCTCTATTGCGGCCTGATGGGTGTGATGATGATGTTATTGTTGTAATCGCCTGTCTGTCCATGTACAAGGGACTTGATAATTGTAGCCAAGGCCGTTGTAGTCCTTCTCGAGGGGAGTAATGGCGACTTGTTGATATTTCAAGCCCGGGAGAGCAACGCCGCAATCCGAACATCGATTGATTGGTGATTTGCATGCTCCGTGCAGTTGTGCGGCGGGCCTGAGGACACAGTCAACTTCCTTGACTTTGTCCTTGCAAAGACGAAGGCTATTCACGACCTCTCGACCGTGACGCCCCGCTTTCGCACAGAATACTTGGTACATCATCAAGGCCATAGCGACACTGCCGGACGACAAGCCGATGGCGCCACCTGAACTGCAAAAAAAACAGACGTTCCCGAAGCGTCCTTCGCTTGGAAGAACTCGCGTCCTGCAGCTACTTACCGCGGCGCCATGGCTTGATCCGCCCCGCTCAACCCAGGCAGTTGGGTGGTGTGGGCTGTCTGTGGGGCTCTTCAGCTGCAGGATTCACCAACATCCGCCAAGCCAGGGTCGGGCTTGCATCCGAACGGACGCCATTGCGATTCAGAGCAGAGGCATTGCGCTCGAAGTGGCCTTTTATGTGGACAATGGTAGGCTTGAACGGCGATACTCGGAGAAAGGAACGAAGTGGCTTGCGCTTGGTCGGCTGGGCTGGCCCGGCCCCACGCACGCCCGCACTTGCGCCGTCTGTCAATTCGAGGAGGAGCACCTATAGCTTGAAGCTTGCTGGACGCCATGACAGCTTGTTTCTTGTCGAGGGACGGCGAAATTTACCACGGTGACCAATCTGGTATAGTAGCTCAAGGCGATCGCTCATTAATTGAGGTTCGAGCGGGGCTGAAAGTTAACGGCCCACAGCCATGGATGTCGTCCCAGTGGTTGCTGATCAGCGGCGCGATTCGATGACATGCGCGTGCCAAGAGACGCCTGGCTTGGGCCCGCTTGCAGCTTGTCGCATAGCGAACAGATGGGATTCCTCGCCGAAATCTCTCGACTTTGCTGCAGCCTGTCCATGTCAGTAAGGGCTCGTATCTATGCGTGTCGTGACGGTATCCGGGGAAGCACTGAGCGTTAGCATCGGGCGCGTAAAGCTTAGACGGCTTGTAAAAGCCCTAACGATCTAACGACACCCCTCCACAGCTGCCTGCGTCCGACGGACGTGGCGTCGATAATCAATATTGATTGAACGGAGGAAAGAACAAATTCTGCACATGAGACAAATTTTGCCGCGCAGGCTGGCTAAATGCTCCGAGTGCGATCAACTGCCTTGCGGTCGACGTACTCGCCATGCCGCTACCTCGTGAGAACCTGGCCGCAAGCGCCTAAGGAGGTAGTGTCCGAAAACACTTTCTTCACATACAGCTATTTTCTCTCCTCATCCGCCTCTTGTGTCCAGTCATTATCTCGTGGGAGACACATGCGAAGGCGAAAAGATCGCCCTGGGAGGACGGCAGGGGCCCAGGGTAATCATGTATGGCCGGGACTGCAATTAGGAGAGGCGAGCCGTCGATTGACGACCCCGGGAAGTCGGCGAGCTTGGCCCTTTGATCCTTGCCCAAGTCCTCGTTGAAGACACCAGTGTACTAGACCGTCTATTGAAGTCATTGCTGCAGGTTAGCTGCCTCGTTGGGCGTCCTGAGGTGGTGCTATAGAGAGTGTTCCCAAACGAATCCCCGAATGAGGTATCATGGTCACGTAGAATCCCCCGTGACCCCCACATTTGGTGAGCCGCTCGTAGCTCTGCTCCCTTGAGACGAAGTGTTATCATCAAGGCGAGTCTCGATGACGGTCAGATGAATCGTCTTGAATAACGAGACCAGTGATTGCCCGCCCAGCGACGTCTCTCAAGCCAAAACCAGGTGGATATTGAATATCGTCCGTGCCCATCTGGCCAAATCGACACTTTTCTCCTTGACGACTGTAGCTTATGAGAAGGGCATTGGATGGCGGCGCGCTCGGGCACTCGACTAGAGCCAGCTTGCGGTAAGTAGGGATGGGTACATTTGTCTGTGGGTACTGGAGCTTTCGGAGCACTGCCTGTGGACAGCGGGCGTGCACCTATCAGGAAAGCATGTCGGCAGCGCGCGAGAGCGGCATCCATCCGCCTGGGTGGCCCTTGTGCCTGAGACGATCCGTGCACACGTGACAGCGATGACCATGTCACCAAGGCTAAAACAGTAGTTGTTGGAATCAGCCGCGGTGGGGGCCTCTTTTTTTTTTTGGATAGTGCAAGGCAGAGTGCAAGTCATTGATTCAATTGCGATGGCGACGCGGCGTCACCATACGCGTCAGATGCCCTATCGGTCTCTGCAGGATGGTGGATCGGGGACCGGAGTTCGCAACTTGATATGGCCAAGCTTGTATACTGCCGGAGTGAGTATGTGTATGTGACGACGCAGTGTGCGACGAGGTGAGGTAGTTCCATGTCACGCCGTGCTGTTGTGGGAGCGGCAGTCTCTAAGCTGAGGCTGAGATTCGACTCGACGGGTTTCAAATTGACACATGCTGAAGGAGGGCAGTCGGGCACGAGTCTCCGAGGAGGGGCATGACCTGATGATTGACCACCGCAGCCGCCGAGGTTGGTGATCAATGGGGATCTGGGAAATTGGGCGCGTCTGATGCAACAATCCCTGCAGACAGACAAGAGGCACGTAGCCAGATAGCAGAGGGCCAGGCCAGAGGACTCGAGTTGAGCCAGACAGACCGGAGCTGCGACCGGTGGGCACATGCACGTTGACTGTTGCAGGAAGCCAGCCATCCCTGGCCAGCGTTACATTCCGTCTCGACCAACGCTATGCTTGCATGCTGCAGCATGAGTTGCTCTGCTGAAGAACGGGACACCAATCGAGGCCGAGAAGGTGGTCGTACCAGGCTCGACGGACCGCCGCAGAAGAGAGGACGGGGTCTGTCATTTTGGTGGTGTTTTTTTTTTTGGTCCTTCCTTTTCTTTTTGTTGTTTTTGCTGGTTTGGTTTCGTTCTTGGTAGACGCAGCCAGTCGGGACAATACGAGACTAGACGAGCAGAGTGTCTGGGTGCCATCCAATTAATCAGAGAGGAGCTCGGGTCGGACACGGTAGGTCTCTCGTCGAGGAACACAACAAGGAGCGGTGGCCTGGCGGTGGTCGAATACGAATGCACGGCATTGTTGGATTCTGTTGCTGAAGATGTGGGAAATTGCAAGGTGATGGCAGTCAAGGGCAGTGCAGCACCTGGCATTGGGCGCCTTCGCCTTGCCGTGTCAAGCTCAAGAAGGAAATGAAGGGTCCCTTTTCCGTGCTGGTCCATCATCGTGCCCCTCCTGCCCCCGGCTGCTAGCGGGCCCCTGGACCTTCTGTTCTGGAGGCTTGTGGGCGCTGCGCGTTCCCCAAAGAGGAGGAGGCAGTTGGAATCGAGCGTTCCATCCTGCCTTCCTGGTCTCCTCCAATCCGGCCCAGGCCGTTTGGGGAGGTGCCACTGCCACATCGCGCCCGTGCGTGCCCGGTTCTGCCTGGTTCATGTTGTGTGCTCCGTACCTGGGTACACGAGGCTAATGCAATGCACGAGGAACCTGGAAAGAACGTTCCTTTCCGTGCCCATCCCACCCCACCCCACTGCACCTGCAGGCTGCAGCTGCAGCAGCAGCGGCCAGTGGGCACCTGCCATGCCTAGACAATCCCTAGTATCCATGTGCACACCTTCGCATCGTCGGAGGCTTCTTCCACATATCCAGACAGTCTTGTGCCGCCCAGCAAGGCCTTGACGTAGCAATCTGGAATCTCCCGGGTCAAGAAGGCACGCAGGTAGACACGACTGTGGTCCCCAGCCTGTTGCTGTCGATTGAACCGAGGCAGCCGAGCCGGGAACGGCCCGTTTTGGCTGGTCTGGATTCTGGATCTCTCTGTGTGCAGTGAGCGGCCTGTGTTGCTGGAGATTGCAGTTGTACCCGCGACGCCTCGTTTCGCACCGTCAGGTACAAGCCGCCCTGCGTACCAAGATTGGCCCATCCACTAGATTGTGCCTTGCACGGTACCTAGGTACTCTGGTACCCGTCAACAGACTAGACTCAGTTTTCTCTGTGTGGTTTATTCTTCTGAAGCCTCCCTCCTTGGCCGGCCACAAGTCACCGATGTGACAGCTGCCCCTAATCTAGCCCCTTTTCTTGGGCTTCCTCGTACCAAACTGGGTACCCAGTAGATGCCAGACAAACAGCCAGCCAGACCGGATCTCAGAAGATTCCTCACACAGCCTATGTGGCTTCTATGCAGCTCCCAGGCCGAGGCTGGGCCGTCCATCCACTCGCCTGCGGCAATCGATCTCTCCCATTTACTTGCATATGCGTGCGCCGCAGTGCAGTGCAGCCCACTGGCTGCATTGGGCGCAGAGCAGAACGAGCAGGCACTGCATGACACGGACGACGCGACACAACAGGAAAAGACGAGCAACGGTTCGTCACGGCCAATGTCACCTCCATCCAATGCATTTCCAAGCCCTGGCCTGCCCTGCCTGTGCCCATGCCCTGCTGCCCAATTAATTCGACGTCTGTCCCCACGTATCGGCGAGCATCGGGTTTTCCCCTCCTTTTAACAAGCTTGATCTCGGCTTGTGCCAGCCAGCCAGGGCTAAATAATAATCGAGCAGGGGCGACGACATGGCGTATGATGGGTCCCAGGCTTGTGCACCCTGCCTTACACCTCACACCTTACAGCCAGACAGTCAGACACCCTGCACCTTGCACCTTGCACCTTGCACCCTTGTGCCTGTGCCTGGGCCTGTGCTCGTCGCACCCCAGTCCAAGCCAAGGACGATACCCTGCATCTTCCATTCTGCTACAGAACCGTACCTTGACGCTACGACGGTACCCACTCTCTCAATCTTAAACCTCGTGGTCTTTCCATCCACCGATGCTGATCATCCATCTCTTGGGTTTGGCCTCGCTCGATCGTCCGTGGGCCTGGTCGACTAGAGTCTTGTTGTTCTCCCACGATTTCTTCCTTTCTTCTCCTCCATATACCGGCCCCCCGTCCTCCCCGCTCTCCGTGGCCCCCGAGTCTTCATCGCCGTCGACCACCGACCACCGACCGCCGGCATTTGCACCTCCATCGTCGTCCCTGTGTGGCCTTGTGATCGGACGACCTTAATAAACAGGTCGAGGGGCATCGCTCTGACTCTGTTCGTCTCAACTGTCCGCCCAGCCAAAGGCAGTCCGCCCACGGCCTCGACCTCGACTCGGCTACATCCGTCCCGTCTGCTGTGCAAGTGTCTGTGCCTGTGCTCGTATTTCTATTCTACAACTACATGCCATTCAACGTCACTCCACGCCTCGCATCTCCAATCCCAAGCCGGCTTTGTTGGTACTTGGATTCTTTTCCCAGTCTAGAGTAAGTGGTTTCCCCTGCTTGCAGTCTCACCATGTCCTTCACTGTGGACAATCGGGAGTGGTCCCTCAAGACCTGGGAGGGGACCGGGCGGTCAACGCTATCGATTCCCATTCCCGGCAGGTCCGTGAATATTGTCAAGGAGGAGCATGTCGTGATCAGCCTGGTTCCGTGATGCTGATCTGGCTCGGCAGACGCAATCGACATTTGATGGGCTGCTGCAGTGCCAGCTTATAGGGGCTTTTCTATATCACATTTGCATCGCACTGGCATATCTTGGTCACGATCCCATTCCGTCTCCCAATCTCGAAGCTTTGCACTGTTTGGGAAGGCCGTATCGCCTGTCAAACACACAGGCTAAGCCGGATACGAGTCCAATCGCAGGTACTTTCAACGATCTCGCCTATTTCCCCTGACGAAGCAATTGTTGCGCAACCTGCTCCCGCTGCCACACCACATTCTCAAACTGTCAACCAGGCGGTAACTTAACGCATGACTCGAATTTGATCTTCCGTTCCGCAGCTCATGCCTGTGAGGCCTCGGAGAGATTTCAAGGTTGGCCGACTTTCGTTTCCAATATACCCCGGCCCAGACTTTGGCTCATAACCCGATCCGCTATAATCAGGGGATAGCAAGGGGCTCTGCGTGGCCGATGAGAACCCGAGCTAATTTTGTCGAGCAACCCCAGACACAAAGTTGATATGCCAACCCTTCGGGCGCGCAATCTTCTCCATTCTTTTTCTCTGACAAATAATTCATCTGATTGACTTTCGAGCGCAACTGCAAAGACCCTGGCGCCGTGCCATTGGTTTCCACCCTTTGGTACGTCGGTTTCGGTCTCCACCCGCCTCCTTTGGATTCTAATCCCCATTTCATTTATTGAATGACTGGCATTGCGTGACTCTTGTTTGCTGGCAGCCCTACTGACCGACCAACAGGACGACACTATAGGACGCGACTGCGACTGTATGCGGCGTCATTCGAAGTAGCCTCCGCGCTACGTATCTCGACAGGGGTTCCCCCTTTTGGACCTGGTTTCCTGGCCTCTATCAACTAGATAGTAGAGGGGGTACGACGCATATCCAGGTCAAACCTGATCTACAACATATCTCCTTTTTCTGTTTAATCTCTATTTCACAAGAACCCCCCACCAACATGGCCATGTGGGAAACCGAAGACGAGAGGAGCGGGCCAGCTAGGCCAGTCCTGTCTACTGCCGTGGACGCACAACGACCGCGGAGCTCGAGGACGCCGTCGCGTGGCTCAAAACGATCCTCACGCCGCTCAGTGACTCCCCCAGGGAAGATTTCTTCGTCACCGCCACCATTGCCTGGAAGCGACAAGACCGACAAGAGTGACCGGGTCTCAAAGGACATCGCCACAGACAACAATATCAGCATCCTGGATCCGCGGAGATTCACACCCACTCTGCATGCTAACCTGGTTTCTGAAATATTGAATCTGCGGAGAGACCAGGAAGAGAAGCTCAAACTTATTGAGAGCCTAGAGTCCACGCTGCAAACGACGCGCGATGAGGAGGATTCAATCCAAACGACACTCGTCAGCACGGCCAAGGAGAACAGATCACTGAAGCGCCAACTGGCCCTGCTTGAGGGCGGCACATCGTCAGCATTGGGCGAGCTCGCCCGCGAACGAGACGAGGCAGTCGAGGCAGCTGCAGAATCAAGAAAGAGGCTAGAAGCAGCACAGAAAAAGCTGAAGACGCAAGAGGACGACTCGGGAAGGACGCATGATCAGTGGGCCAAGGAAAAAGATGACTGGGATGAAGAAAGACGAAAAATGGAGCGGAAGCTCCATGTCGCCGAGACACGGCTGAAGACCATCCTGGAAGAGGTGGCAGCATTCCACGATGCTCAAGCGAATACTGAGGAAGAGAGTGGTGGCGAGGACAAGGGCAAGGACAAGGATAGCGATGCTGGCAGCGTTCGCTCGATGAGCATCCGGGAAAGCCTGAGGTTCTCCCTGATGAACAAGGCGAACGGTTACTCCCTCGCCGACGAGCTCGACTTCGACGATGATTCAGACTACCAGACGGACCCGAACGGCCGAGACAGCGTCATGTCAGCTCGCAAGCACGCACGGAATGACAGCCGTGCCAGTATCTTATCCAAGAGCCATCGTCGTCATCGCAGCAGCGAGAGCTTCATCAGGCCCGGCAGCGTGGCGCGTGGGAAATTCCAGTCGCAGATGCAGGCCGAAGGGAATTTCGCGAATGACATAATCCAGGAGATCGAGGAACCGCCATCACCTGCACACGCAAAACCAAAGGTCAGCTACACAGACACAGGGGTGCAGTACTCACCACCGCCGTCGCCGAAGCTGCAGCCAGGTAAACCTTCCATACCGGAGCCGAGTGGGGTGACAGCACTGGCAGCGCGATGGGAGAAGCACCATGAGGCAGAGGCCACTGAAGCGAATCAAAGGAGGAAGCGTGTCGCAGCTGCTGCTCGGCCAATGTCGATCCAAGCCGCGGCGCCCCAGAGCCTAATGGTCTCTACCTCTGCGCAGACCGTGGACGTTCCTCTGAGTCCTCCCAAAACGCCCAAGATTGAGTCGCTGGAGCCGACGCAAACGCCAAAGCCTAAGCCAGCAGACATGGTTTCCGCTGCTACCCAAACGGATACTACCGTCCCGCCTCCTCTGCTTCGGCCAGCGACACCTCCCGTTCCAGCTATTCCTAGTATCGCCATACATCCTCCCAAGAGTCGGCCCTCGACGCCCAAGAAGTCGCTTTTGCCGCAGCTCTTCAAGGACTTCGGTTGCCAGGTGTCCATTTCGAGTGTGCCGATGAGCTCTAGTGGTGTACAGACTGAAGAAATCCGAATTGATCAGCGACTAGACAGGCTTCCTGCTCACCTACACCCCTCAGCTATCAATTCAAGGCCGACATCCCCAGCACAGGGGACTGAGATCCCGAACGACCCAGACCGCCACTTTACCCCAGTTCCTGGCAATCTACCGCCTCGTAACCCTAGGAGGCTCACAAACCAGAGAAGCATTGGCGAACTTGCGACTTCGGCTCGCATGTCAATAGAATCCGAGACGAAAGATGCATATCCGGGAAACAATGACGATGGCCCAGTGTCTCAGAAAGCGGGAGTGCGGAGACCTCATCGGATCAGCAGTTTGTTTGCCGGCTTCGATGCTGTCAGTTCAGCGGATGAGGCTGATGACTTCGCTGACGCCGACATGAGCGACACCGAGTACAGGACCGCTCTTTCGGCTCCTCGGCCAGTCAAGACGCCCGAACCTGGTCGAAGCACCCCGGGATCCGTGCCGTCATCGCCGGAAGAGGTGGCACCGAAGAAATCTGCCCATAAAATTTCTGCTCGTCAGACCGGTAAGAACGAGATCCCGGCATCTCCCAGGCTTGCAGACAGCCCCGAAGGCTTTGGGCCAGCCAGGAAGGGTTCAAAGGGTCACATCCGCGGCTCGGGCATGGGCGGAAAGTCTGGAGGAATGCGAAAGGCCGCCATGATCCAGAATGGCATCACGACGCATCAGGAAGACGCCAAGGACCCACCGTTCCCCATTCCGACAAGAGCCAGTTCTCGCAAGCCTCTCAATGGCAGCGCGCCCAGCGACGGCAACCGAAGCCCTACAAGAAATGAGCCCTGGAAGAAGAATCGTATGCCACTCCATCGTGCCAACAGCCTCCGTAAGAGCAGGTCGGGTGCTGCTGGGCACAGTAAGAGCAGGGGCCGGAGGCAGAACAGCAGGTCACCCCCCTACACTCCTGACCTGGCCCATGACCCAAGCATCCCCCCTCTGCCACGCAATCAGCTCACCACGCCCAAAAACGATCGTGGTAGGGCCAGGGGTCACAGTCACCATCCTTCCACGAACACTGCGACGACAGAAGCAACCGGCTTCCAGTCCAACGCCAGCACGCAGCCGGCTGCGACCACGGTTGTAGACGCCATCGCTCAGACAATGGTTGGCGAGTGGATGTTCAAGTACGTTCGCCGGAGGAAGTCCTTTGGCGTGGCGAACGACAATGTCGGCAAGGATGACTCGAGCAATGACAGGCACAAACGCTGGGTGTGGTTAGCCCCATATGAGCGAGCGATCCTCTGGAGCAGCAAGCAGCCTTCTAGCGGCAGCGCACTGCTCGGCAAGTCCGGTCGTAAACGTAGGTCGCTGGCTCTTACCCATTAGAATTCACCTCGCTGACAGTGCTCCAGTCACCATCCAGTCCGTGCTTGACGTGAAGGACGATAACCCGCCACCAAAGGGCCATACCGCTGTCTTCAACCGCTCGATCCTCATCCTAACCCCCCAACGAGCATTGAAGTTCACCGCAGTGAACGCCGAACGTCACTACTTGTGGCTGACTTCGCTGTCCTTCCTCGCTCACTCTCAGCAGCAAGTACCTGATTTACCAGCACCACCAGCGCCAGCTCCGGCCAAAACACCAGACTTTGATATCCCCCCAAGTAAGGCTAAATCCCGAAGACCACGCATCCGCGACTCCATCCGCCTTGCCAAGGGCCACAATACCAACATCGCAGCCAACAACGCTGCCGCGGCCCATCCCAGTGGAGGCTTAGGAGGAGTGATGACATCCCAGCTGACAAACGGAGGTCACCAACCGGCGCCCATGCCCAGTATTCCAGATGTCCCTTCGAGCCTCATCCCAGGATATAGGTCCCCACCCCCGCCAGCAGCCAGCGAGAGCGTCGCCTCTGGATGCTCGAACCCGTCAAACCCGTCGAACCAAACCAACCCGGGCCAGCACAGCCGGGACTGGTCCGGCGATGCCGCAGAACCACCGTTCATCCCCCGCTTCCAAGATCGGGACCGTCCGCAGGTTGGCGGCGGTGCCGTGATCCACGGACGCAAGAGGAGTAATACCGGCGGCCACGTGCCTCCACCACTTTCATTTCGCGGCTTCTCCGGGCCCACCAGCTACCACGCGCCGACCAACAGCCAATCGACGGGCACGGGCTCCTCGGAGGTGTACTCAAATCCTAGCAACAACAGCCACAGCACGCCGTACTCGGGTCCGGCGTCGGCGGGGCTCAGCAGCCAGGGCTGGGGTGGGATGAGTGTCGTCAGTGGGCGGACCAGCGAGGCGTCCAACAGGACCAGCGGGGCCAACTTCTTCGACGCGATCGGCACGGTGAGGATGGAGGCGTTCATCAGCCCGCTGGCTTTCAGCCAATTCGGCCCCGAGGGTGACAACGGCGGCGGCGGTATCAGCGGCGGCAACTTCCCAGACCCCCTTGAGGATTCGAGGTACCGGGCGAGGAGAAGATCCAAGGAGATCCGTCGGCGGAGGAGCAGGAGTCGTCAGAGGGACAGCTATTCCTCGCGCGGTGCGAGGAGTGACTACTACAGCGGGAGCAGGACGGCGGGTGAGGAGGAGTACATGAGGGACGACCCTTTTAAGGGGTTCTGATCAGCCCTTACAGCCGTACCTCGCTCCCCCACCCCCTCGAGCCCTCCTCTCAGGTCGCGTCTCGTTGCGCGCATTATTCATGATGATCTTACGCGTCGATCTCATCCTCTTCTTTGTTCCCTGCATTTTATTTATAACCTCACATTCATCTTAGCCGCCAGATCTTGCAGTCTGGTTGTGGCTGCTGTTTAGCGTATTTTCTTGACGCACCTATTTTCCGTCGCATATGCGCGCAACTCGCGGGATACCCCAGTCGTTTCTGCTTTGTTATTGGTACATATATATTGCTTCTTCTTGTGTCATATTTCTAATGAGTGCGCTTACCTTGGTTCATTTGTGTTTGGGTCGGCCTATCATGCGCCGTCGATTCTTGACTATAATTGTGTTGTTATACCCGTGTGGGTCTGGCGTCGTCACCTGAGTATTCTTACGATCTCAGGGCGGGCCGCAGGCTGGTGGACTGGAGCCTGCGAGGTTACTGAATTAGGAGACCGGTCCAGGGGATGGATGGTGAAAAGGCTCCGGAAGGATAGCGAGAAGGAAGGGAAGAGGGGGGACAGGAATTGGGAGAACTGAAATTGTACCACAGAGCAAGGAAAAGCTTTAGGTGGGAGGACAGGACCACAACAACGACAGTGGCTGCAGACAGGCACGGACTGTGGGTGAGGCGTATCTACCGGGATGATTGGTTCTCATGGTTCGCTCTCCATGGCTTCTGATCCAGCTGGCGTATATCATGGTGTAATTTGGATGGCATGAGCTCGGTGCTCGTTATGTATACTCTTCGCTTCTGCTGTATATTCTAGGGAAAAGGATCACTCCAAGGGAGTGAGCCACACTGCCGGAAGAGACGAAGGGACGCACAGCTAGCTCGATCAAATCGACACTGTCATGGTATTTCAGTGCTTGGTATCCATGAAACTTTGGTTCGCCTTGATGAACCAAGATGGTAGACTCATGCGTCTGGATTTTACCCGTAAGTCGGTAAAGAGTGCAAGGTTCATGCATGATGTGTTTGCGTGCTCAGCAGCTGTCGAGGTGGGCTGCGGTCGAAAGTCTGCCGAGGCCGGCCCGAGAATTCTGACCCTGCATGCAGCTCGAAAAAGCCCCACCACCGTCATCCTGGAGCTTCAGGTTTGACTACAAGGCTACTCACGCACCTGTACTCAAGCGGCGAAAACACAATTCTTCCCACCGCGCCCATATCACTACCGACCGAAGCACCTCCTACAAGCTCCACGACTACCAGCCGCGTCCACCACCACTACACAGCCACCGCAATCATGGACGGCGGCGGCGCCGCCGAGACGGTCGAGCAGATGCAGGCCCGGCACCGCAAGGAGGCCAAGGACCTGCAGGGGCGGGTGACGAGCAAGAAGAAGAACGCGACCAAGAAGACCCGCAAGGGGGTCAACGACGAGTGCGCCGAGATGGAGAGGCAGATGAAGCAGAGGCAGGCGGAGGAGCTGGAGGGCCTGGCTGGCGGAGGGAAAGACGGCGGCGACACACAAGAAGACGACGACGACGTGCAGGGGCAGGACGGACGAGGAGATACGACACAGGGAGAGCTGGCTGCCAAGATGCGGGCCATGGGCGTGAACGAACTCGCTGCGAAACCGCCTCAGCAACCGTCGAAACCACCAGACGAAGGCAGCGACGGGGCAGCAGTAGGAGGTGGTGGAGCAGGGCCAGGCAAGAAGCGCAACCGGCAGAAGGAGCGCCTCGCGCGGCGCGCCGCAGAGCAGGAAGCAGCGGCCGAGGCGGCGGAGCAGGAGGCGGCGGGGATGACGGACCACCGGGGCCAGGAGCGCGAGCGCATGGAGGCCGAGTTCTCGCGGCACGGGCTGGAGGAGCACGAGATCCGGCCGGACGGGCACTGCCTGTTCTCTGCGGTGGCGGACCAGCTTGGTCAGGCTGGGGTGCCTCTGATGCCTTCTGGGGCGGACGGGGAGGCAGGAGATGGGAAGGAGCCTGGGTACAAGACTGTGCGGCGGGCTGCGGCTGGGTATATCGAGGCGCGGGGGGACGAGTTTGCTGGATTCCTGGAGGAAGACCTGGGTTCGTATGTGCGCAAAATTAGGGATACTGCTGAGTGGGGCGGGCAGCTTGAGTTGCTTGCGCTGGCGAGTGTGTACGGGGTTGAGGTGTGTGTTGTGCAGGATGGACGGACCGAGGTCATTCAACCGAGTGGTGGTGGGGAGCAGGGTGGCGAGGACAGGAAGAAGGTATGGCTTGCATACTACCGGCATGGGTATGGGCTGGGAGAGCACTACAACTCGCTGAGGAAGAAGGCATAGCTGGGACGAAGAGCGAGAGGACTAATGACGCGCTATGCGAGGATGGTATGGTGTTCGTGGACCTGGATGGATATCTATCATGAGCATCACCGCGCCTAGTGGCTGGCGCACCGGGACGGACGGACGGACTAGGGAGACCTGCAACAGATGGACTGGGGGCCCTACTTGCCTGGCTTGCCTCCCTGAGAACCTTGCTGCCCACACGAACAACTTTGGTCCCATGTTATAAACAGCCCCAACCCAGCTGCTATTGCGTATGTGGTAAAGAACCACCGTGGTTGAATTGGTAGTGTCTAAGAAACCTTTCGAGGGGCCTGGCTATCTCAGTATACTACAGGAGCTCCCGGTTCAACTCCGGGCGTACGCCACATTTTTTGCCCTTTTATTTTCTACTTTTGCTCAATCTTTTCGGTATGCCCGCATGCATGGTCAATCTTGAGGGTCTGTCTCTGACCTCCACATCCACCATGGCTTTCTCTTTGGCCCTCGTTGATGTTGTTTGCAACCATTTACTCCTCTTCCTCCCTCTATCATCATGTGCCACTGATTTTACATGCCTTGCAAGCGCCTTCTTGTACACCACCTCCTCGCTTGCAAGTGTAAAAGCGTTCCGCATATACCTCGCTTCTTCGCTCCGCTCCATGACATAATTCTCGACAACAGACAGATAGGTATCCTGCGGCACGGCGGATTGGCCGATGTACGATGCACTGCAGGAGGAATTTCCCAGAGCTGGACAAGCTGATCCTGATAGAATTTGAATACTTGCGTCGTTTGCCCGAGTCTATGAGTTGGTCTATTATCATATTCTCTATTAAGTTCCACACAGAGAGTTGAATCAGCCATGTGTCTTTTGGGTGATTTTGCTTTCTGACTACACACTCGAATTGTATGCTGGCCTGTGGACTGGGCTTGTTTGTAGTTGTCTCTGGCCACAATTGAATTTAAAATGAGGCTAAGTGGAAGCAGATCCCGCTGCTGGGTCGGAACAAGAAGGACAACCGCGAGGATGAGGCACTGGCCGGATAAATCAAAACGGATGCGCGCAATTCATTGCCATGATGGAATGAATATTCCTAAGAGTTGACCTTCGAGGATCATATATGGGCGTTGTTAAACCACGGTAGGAACCTCTGCCGCCAGTCACTGAGTGCTTTTCACTGGGCACCGTTGACAAAATATTGACCCATGGCCATTCACAGGCTACAAACACTCCTGTCCAAAGTATTTAAACCCTCGTTAAAATAAACCCACTCTTCCTAACTCTTCCTATCGACGACAACACAACTTAAGTGGACCAAGCCAACGCCCACCCTAGCTGTTGCCTAGCTGCTCCCTGGACTACCTGGTAAGAGAACTCATCTCTCACATTTCGTCTAAGTCTTCTTATTGACCCTTGGCCCTCAGCCAGACCTTGGACGACAGACTCTATTGGCCACTGTCAACAATACCACCACACCGGCCAAGATGTCCGATATTGACAGCGACACGGTCTCAGTGCCTATTGAGGAGCAACAGACACTCGATCTCGTGCACCAACTTCTCCGATCATTTCAAAATGGTCGAAGCGGCATGGTCTTCGCTTGCGGGGGAAAAGTGCCCATCCCCGTTGCCAACACCACAGCTCAACAAACTCCAATGAATATGAGCTCAGCACCGATCTGCCCACCCGTCATTCTCCGCTGGGACCCCGGCTCGACATCTATCCCTGCCGCGGAGTGTAAGCTCGAGTTCCCTCTGGACCACTCTGTCAACACAACGGTGAACAACATGAAGCAGTTGCTTCGGGACATGCAGCCTGCCACCTATGGATACCAAGGTCAGGATGTCCTAGACGAGTCATACCGCAAGGCCTCCAAGCTTGACCCTTCTCACTTTGCGTGCACCTTCAGTCCCCACGAGCTAGGCATCATCGACGAGGTTGCGCGGATCCTTCTGCCTGGATTCGAGGATAAGACCAAACCGAAAAAATACGCGTACACGCTTTGCGAGCCACAGATCCAGCCTGTTAGCGTGATGCGATCTGAGCTGTACAAGCTCAATGTGTACGCTGGGCCGTCCGGTCACTTCAAGGCCCACGTCGATACGCCTCGGTCGACCGAACAGATCGGATCCCTCGTCGTTTGCCTTCCATGTGTCCACCAAGGCGGTCAGTTGGAGGTGCGCCACGAGGGTCGGACCATGACGTTTGATTGGAGCATGCCTGAGACTGCCAGACCTGAGATCCAGTGGGCTGCCTTCTACAGCGACTGCGAACACGAGGTCATGGAGGTCACCTCCGGCCACCGGATCACCTTGACATACAACCTCTACGCGAGCTCAATCACCGGCTCTCCACAGGTCGGCAATGGCCTCCTGGATTCGACTCAGCTCCAGTCCCATGGCATCCTTCACTCGCTTTTCCTCCAGGAGAACTTCATGCCCGACGGCGGCTATCTGGGCGTCCATACTTCTCACGCATACCCGCACACAAGCAAGTCGTCACGACTCCCTTCCACACTCAAGGGTGCTGACATGGTCGCATGGGAGACGTTCCGCTCCCTTGGCTGCGGTGTGAGGCTTCGACCCGTCGGCGAGCTGTCGGAGTTTGACCACTACGGACACAAGTATGACGAACCATGCCCTGCGGCGGACTTCACCGATACGTCGTCTGAAGGCGATCGCAGCCACACCGACAACGAAGAGCTGATGTATCCTCCCAGCGAACCGGAAGACAAAGAGGCTGACTCAGACGACGTGGACTCGGACGAAGTGAACTCGGGCGACGTAGACTCTTCCAAGGGAAGTGATGACGACCAGCCCATGGCTGAGAGTGGACCTCTGGCGAGCGGGTCTGACACGAACGCCGTGCACGCCTCGCAGCAAGATGAAGGTGACCAGCCCATGGCTGAGCAGCCGGGACCTCCAGCGAGCGGATCAGATCACTTGGTGACAGACTCGGTCGACACGCAAGCCGCACAGGTAGGTTACGGTGATCAACCCATGGTCGAAGTACCCAAGCCCTCGCCAATCGGGCCTGAACGCTGGATGATCGACGCGGATGAGGTGGAGGCTCTCCAGCAGGAGCTCAAGGAGTACCAGTCTCTGCCCAACAACGACTTTCAAGGGCTCGAGCCCGCAGGCCGTCTCATTCCAAGACGCAAGATAGACGAAAAGGACGAGGAGGTCGCCGAAGCCGAGTTCGAGAAGATCGGACTGGAGGGCGGGTGCCGGGTCCTTGGCAACGGCCTATCGTTCCACATCGATCGCAATCTCATCGAGGACGATGTGGAAATGGGAGCACTGTTGGATCGTTGGATTGATCGAAAGGCATCGAGACAGGAACGCACCGCGAAGCAGCCGGGTCGCGTGCTTTACGAGGAGGTTGCGTGGCTCAACCACTGCGGGATTCACAAGGAGCCACAGATCTCCTATGGAATTGTAAGTTGTACCCGATAAGGCCTCTCCCTTTTGTATTGGTCTCTTACTGATTGTTTGGCTGCTCCCCCCTTTATAGTACGGCAACGAAGCCGAGACTGCCATTATGTACTCAACTTGTGGTATAGTGGCGGAGGTTCCTCCGTACACCACGCGCAAGGCACTGCTGCGAAAGGAGTAGTCTAGACGATCGGAACTGGAAGCCGGCACAGGCCAAGTTTTCTTCACGCTGTGGCCTACGCTGCCTCGAAGACGATCTGCTACGACATTGCAGGTGTTGCAGATAAGAGTGAGGACCTTTTCAGGGCTGGGTCTAGAGCTGCTTATTGAGGTCGACGATGCTAGCTTCCAACTAGCTGGGTGAAATTATCACTGCGCTCGGACTTGACTTGAGAGACGAAAAATACATTGGTATAGCATGAGACGCATAATAGAGCGTATATAGATCTGCTTCCTCATACCGTCTTTTCCGGGCTCGTGAGATACTGTGATATCATACGCATGATCCAGCGAATCAGTGCCACCAAGGTCAGGTGGGCTTACGAAAGCTTGCTGATGTCCAGAATATTCTTGAGCAGTCACTCTGGCACTCACCTGGAAGCCTAGTCTAAGACACGTATGTTTCGTTGTCATAATATCACTGCCCCACGAGATGGCTACCTTCGAGGGCTTGGAGAAACGTGTCGGTTGCTCCTGTAAGGAACGGCTCAGACAGCATTCAGTTTCGGGAAACGGAGCCACTTCCAGCTTTTATGTGCACTTTTCTACGGGTCTGACTCTTCAGCCGCTCCCCAAGGCCCCCTCAGCCGAGAGGTGATCTTGCTTCAGTTCAAGATCACCCCTCAAACATTATCTCACCCACGTGTAACAGGCTGCTGGCTAGAAGTAGTACACTCGCTTCGGTCTCAATGCTGACTGCATGCAGATCTTTTCGGCTCAGTGTGACTTGCTGCAGCTCGCACATCTGCGAGCAGCAATGAGAAGATTTGGGATGCTGACTTTAATATACCTTGCAGGAAGCCATGCCGCTCCTAATGCGTTAGTCTGCTTCGTGACTGGTCGATATGTCGTTTGTGCTAGTAGTATGCTGTGGAACCCAATATTCGGACTATATTACTCAAACAGACATGAAAGTATTCAAGCTACCTGAGTTGACGGTATTAAAAGGCTGGAGTGCCCATGGCCCCTGGGTCGAGATCTTTCGCCCAGCTTTTCTGTTATCGTTGTGTCGAGCCTGATCAGGCACAAGCACTCCGCAGCTCTGAAGATGTTTTCCAATCGTGTCATGGTGATTGGTGCCGGACTTCTCGGGTACACCGCAGGCCTGGGTGTCCCGAGGATGGAGACTGACTTCTTTGGAGCTGAGCATATCCAGCCGCGATTCTCTCCATTTCAGCCTCATCAAGTTGACTTTATGAGGAGGGATGGCAGTTGCGGGTCTGGGAGGCATCCATGTAAGTGTTCTGCACGGCGGACGAGACTCCCTCGACTCGCACTAGACTACTTACCAACGCTCGCGAGCCAGGCTCCGATATCAACTCGACACTATGCTGTGCAAATACAGAATACTGCATGATCAACGAAAATACACTTGAAGCACGGTGTTGTGATTTAGGCTCGACTTGTGGATCTTCATGCGGCCAGGACGAATACTATTCTGCCATCACAACCACGCAAACGGCTAGTGGCACTGTAACCACGGGAATAGCAGGTGTCTGCATCGGGCGACCGTGCTTGAGTACCAATTACTTGTGCCCTGCATCCATGGGTGGCAACTGCTGTGCTTTCGGCCAAGAATGCGCCAGCTCAGGGCAGTGCTTGGATTACGGGACGGCGGCGACCATGTCTATATGCACAAGCGGCCTTTTCAATTGTGGAATAGCCACCCAAGGAAACAGGTGCTGCCCAACGGGTGCTGCTTGTACATCTGCTTTCTCATCAGGATATTATTGCTTGAGTTCCGTCCCAGCAGCGCTCGCAGCCACACCGACAACCACATCGGCGACAGCTAATCCCTCGGATGGGAAATGACAGTGTTGCACTCAAAGTCGGCCTTGGGGTTGGAATCCCGGGAGGAATCATCACGGCCGCTGTCATCGTCTTTGCGTGGCGAATCCGCCGGGCAAAGAAGCAACGGAATCAGGAGTCCGAGACCGATCAAAAGCAAGACTACAGGAAACCGGAGCTGGCTGCTGATTCAAAAGTCGTCCCTGTTGAGCTAGACACCTGCGTCCCAGAGTTGCCGGCCCAAATTCTAGCGGCTGAGTTACCGGAAGAAGGCATCGTGGCTGAATTACCGGAAGGAGCTCCGTCGCAAATGCCAGCGCAGTCGCCTGAGCCCAGACGTTCGTGATCCGCACCAGCACGAGGGTCAGAAAACAAGCCGACGGACGATCAAGCCCCTGCAAACCTAATGTCCAACACATCAAGGCGAGGCACTACCTTCCCTATGCAATATTCTCAGGATTCGGGTAATGCATATGTGACACTGATTGGAGATGGATATGTTGTGATCCAACATAGACAAAGTAAAACACCGGATCCCGTCCGCTCTCCCATAGTTAGGCCTGTGACCGCTGAACCGCTAGGCAAGTCGTCGTCGCCGTCTGGGCCCTCCTTCCCGGTGTCTACGACTACCCGATGTGAAAAGTAATCCGTCCCATCTCTATTGCAACTGGGATTCGGGGAATTTTATAGGCCTATGTCTCATAAATGGGCCCGCACGGCGGTGTGAAGGCGTCTCGCCAGTTCTGAATCTTTTGGTCTGTAGTGCAGTCGGTGTGGCTGGTGGCTCTCTGAAACTGGGCCCGCTCCTGTTCCCGTCTGGCAGAGTCGGCTTTGATGTCAACCAGCATGGCAGTGGTAAGTGCTCTGTAGGCTGTGATGAAGTAGCCCTGGACGAGGCGGCCGGTTTCCTTGTCACCACATGTCCCCGGCCTCTGTGAGACGTCATTACCGAGATATAGAGGAAGCTCTTCTGCCAAAACCCCGCCGTCGATGCCATCGCCCGGGATGAAGAACTCGTTTTGCCGTGTCAATCGTCCGCCAATGACCATGGCCACGTGCGAGGGCTTCGGATCCGTGGTCAGCCAGCTTGATTTATCACTGTCTGGTGGAGATGGTGGCGGTTGACAGCTCTGAGGCAGCATATTCATGGCTGGGTTGGTTTGAGTAGGACGAGGATATCGGGAGGTTAAGCCTGGATAATTCGTCTTTATACAGCCGACGCCCTTTGAAATCTTCGTCGTTGTCGCTGTCACAAGTACTAGTAGCATCCACTGGTCTGGTTCTGTGTGGATGAATGACTGGATATATAGCAAGGGTCAAATCGTCCTATGATGTTCAACTGTGCCCGCTGTGCCACGCAGAGGCGGATCGTATCTTATATACATGCTCTCAAATTGGCCCCGTACGACACCCACATGGATGATGGGTGACTGTTTCGACTCACTAGAAACCCAACGCGCGGTCGCACCCACATCACATCTGTTTCACATGGTGGTCAATTGAACAAAGACCGCTTGCGCCGCTGCACAGGAGAACAAGCTGCTCCTGTTCGTGGCCATCATCTTGGGCCGGGCCATGGAAGGTCACACCGACACGACCCACAACAAGGCCTCTTTAGTACCAACAGTCTTGGGTCTCATTTCGAGGTTTGGAACGTACATGACCCGCAAGCACGCAGGCCGACCCGCCGAAAGATGAAGCCGACTCCGTCTGAAAAATCTGACGACCCCTGGGTCAAGGAAAATGTCCAGTTCTCCATGCGCACAACAGCGGATAATCGATCTTGCACAACGACAAGTTACGCGTTAAAGTCCCTCCTTACCACTGTAATAATGAGGCAGGTCTCCAATGATACCACGAATCCGCATCGCGAGGCAGCTTTCAGACTTTTGGAAACACAGCAACTACATAGCCACCGCGTGGGCCGTTTCGACCTGCTTCACGGCTTACTGACCTCTCGCTTAATTCTTGTTCCTCCTCCTCAGGTGTCACTTTACTAATTCAAATACCGACTACGCAATGTGTTTCTGACGCCAAAAAAGAAAAAAAAAAAAAACCATTCAGAGCTTCTCCAGGCAGACATGGCCTTGAGGATCGTCCTAATTATGATGCAAGTCTTTTTCCAGAACTAACAAATCTATCACATGGCTCGTCGCCTAAACGGATAAGAACAACACAGCTCCGTGAAGGTATTTATGATAGCTGGACACGGATATCAAGTTAGCAACCATAATTAATGCTAACCAAGAACATCTATTATTATAGAAAGGAAATACATAAATCTCCTAGTATTTATAATAAAGTGGGCTTTTATATGCTCAAAATTCCGGCTCTTGTCCCCTGCAACTGTATTCATTTGATTTGTCCTGCTTCCCTTGACCTGCTTCCAGTGCTGAAGCTCACTGCAAGCTTCTTGTGAGAAGTCCTTGGCCGTTCTTGAAGGCGAAACATTTTCCTCGTAAGCATTGTAACGTCCTGCTATTTCTACATACTGAACCTTCTTCCTTGATTTTGATTCCATGTGAGCGTTGATCATTCCCATTCCGCGCATTGCGCACCCACAAGTCTGCTACCTAGATATGGCTCTAAGCCCAACCTGATGGTATGCATGTGCATCTGTGTGACCATCCACTATCCCATTTTTGAAATTCTTACTGGCCCCCTAATGGCCCCCGTGATGCAGCCCTGCGATGCAACAACGTATTGCTGCCTTGCTGTAAGATCAACGTGCTGAAATCCCGCATAGTTTGTGCAGGCGTGTGGACTGAGTTCGACCTCCCACAGTCCACTTGACTGACTCCAATCCCCTCTTCCCTCCTTCTTCTACTACCCCTTGTCCTTCCTGTGGGCATTCATCTGTTCATTCATCGAAATCTCATGCTTCGGACTACTTGAGATTCCATTTGACTGCAGCTCGAACCTGGCCTTGGCTGTTTCACAACACTTAATATGTCGGGCCTTGAAGGAATCGCAGCCTTGGGCTTGGCATGTAGCATTTTCCAGGTCATCAGCTTCGGTCGCGAGACGCTGGGTCAAGTCAAAGGTGTATATCGTGATGGCACCCTCGACAAATCACTCATGCACAAGATCAACGCAATACAAGACGTGGTGTCCAATATCATTGACGTCAATATCCCCCAACCAGGTAAGCAGGAACGAAGAGTTGTCGACGTTACAAAGAAATGTGTAGGTGTTGCAAGAGGTATGGAGTCCGATTGCGCCCCCAAGTAGTTTGAATCCTCCCTAACAGATAATTGCAGACTTATAAGAAGAGATTGCCTTCCTTTTTGGTCACCATGGGCAGGCCAGCCTCCGTGAGACACTGAGGATAGCAGTCAAGGCAAATTGGCGTAAGCGTCGTCTCGAGAGAATGGAAAAGGATTTGGCCGAATCTGAGCAGTTGATGCAAACCACTTTGCTCGCCTGGATTTTGTGAGTGCTCTCTACACTTCAGACCACGTTGTCACAATGGGCAGGAAACCCGAATAATACGATGCAAGCCACGGTGTGTGAGTCATGGCCCAGCTCGAAACAAATGTCTGTCATGACTAGATTTGTTTTTTTTCTGCCTTGGGAATCCTGGTGGGTTGTAGCACGGGACCTGTTCTGGGACATCCCTTGCTCCATACTTGCATCACAACACTACTGACTATGCGTCTCTATAGTAAATCCCTGAATACAGCAAGCATAAACATTGAGTCTCTCGGACATGAGCTGCTGCAGTTCATCATTAGGTATGAGCAGGGGTACAGAGCAGCCTCTGACCTCGTGTCAAAAGAAGCCCTGCAGGTGCGAGAGGTCATCGTGAGACAGTCTGCAAAGACTGAGGAGGTCCTTCGGGCCCATTTCACACAGACTTCAGCAGAATTTGAACAGAAATTCGAGAGACATATCGAGCAGGCCAGCAGAGAACGGCTGCGAGAGAGACTACTCAAGAGTCTCAAATACCCCGGCATGAACGAGCTCACCAATCAGGTTGAGAATGCCCATGCGCGCACATTTCGTCGGCTGTTCGCAGATGCGGACGACTTCAGCTACAGCGACGACGAAGAACCCTGCAGTGGATCCGAGGAGCTGGACGAACGAGATGCATGCAGCGAAGACACTGACTATTCCACGGACAGTAAGCACAAAGAGAAGCCGCCCGAAATGGTCTGGGACAGCTTTACCGACTGGCTACAGTCAAATCTCAGCATCTACTGGATCATGGGGAAGCCAGGGTCAGGGAAATCGACACTCGCCAAGTTTGTCTTGTCTGAGCCTCGCACCAGAATCGCGCTGGAAAAGTGGCACCCCGGTGCGATTATAGCGAGCCATTTTTTCTGGCGCCCAGGAAGTCTACTGCAGCGAAGCATCAAAGGCATGCTCTGCTCACTTGTCCACCAACTGGTACTCTCCATTCCCGAAGCCTTGGAGTGCGCCGCGGAAAATGTAGCCGGACTAGATGAATGTGGCCCAGAGGACAACCACCAGAAACTCCTGGAAATTTTGGAGAAAATCAGGTTACCAAATGTCAAGATCATCGCCTCGAGCCGAAATGAACCAGTCTTGGAAAAACGGTTCAGACACGAGCCACAGCTTCGTGTGCAGGACCTGACGGCTGGAGACCTACGTATCTACGCCAGAGATGTACTATCCCATGAGATCCAAGAGCTTTTCCGCGAGGAGTTGGTCGAAAGGTCTGAGGGGGTATTCCTATGGATGATTCTGGCGGTTCAGAGCATCAACCGAGGCTTGAACAACGTAGAGACTCACACAGACCTTCGCAGGAGGGTGAGGAACTTACCCAAGGGCTTGAACGACTTGTACAAGGACATGTGGGAAAGGATGAACGAAGACGGTGATCTTTACCGAGAGAGCGCCGCTCTATACTTCAAGCTCGCCATAGCTGCTCACGGCGAACAGCTCCAGTGCCTCAGACATGGGTGGAGTGCTCTCGAGATGATGCTTGCTTCATTCGCCAAGACTCACTACGCGTTTTCAAAAAGTCCCGTCATTTCAGCAAGCCAGCTACTGAAAGAGTGCGAAGAATTCCATCGAAGGGTCGGGATCCGTTGCGCAGGGTTCCTCTGCTTGGACAGTAGCTCAGGGAGTACCTTTTTGAAAGAAGACCTGGCAGATACGCAAAGGGAGCTTATTGAATATGCAGATGAAGGGGTCTTTCGGGTCTTTCGGTTCATCCATCGGAGTACGCACGACTTCCTGGTCGACACTGTTGAGGGGCAAAATATTCTGAGACATGACGGGACATCCTTTGAGGACATCAGCATACGTATCATCAGCAGCCGTTTGAGGACTGTCGAACTCCTTGGTCTGATGCTGAAAAAGCTAATCAAAAAACCGCAGGTGGCGTCTCTACAACCCTTCGCAAATGCTGGAAGATTACCTTCCCGATCTGTCCAGCATTGCAGATGCCAGAGACAGCACTGCGAGGGAGCTTACTTCGCTTTGCTATGAGCTGTACAGCTCATCAGGTTTCCCGGTTGTCCACGAGGACGCATGTACTACACGCATCGCCGGCTTCTTCGGAGCCGTTGCAAGTTACCCCGGTCTGAATCGGTTTGCTACTTCCATCGTTCAAGAGCAGCTCAGTGGAAGTGATATCAGGTCAGCAGTCTTGTTATCCGTGGCATCCGCTCGTTGCAGTTGGGATTGCAACTGGACCGATCCGGCTCATCCTCAAGCAACCTTTCCTCTCGAACTGGTGCGAAAGTTGCTGAGCCTACCCAAGGTCGATGTCAACCTGAACTGCCCTCTGATCGGAGTATCGAATCGGAGAAAGCGTATTCTGGCAGTTGAAGAGATAGGTCCGCTTGATCATATCAAGGTATCACCGTTCGCTAGGCTCCTGGGATCTGGCCTGCTAAGACTAGATTGGAGACAGGCTCAATCGAACCGGCACCAGCACAACACGACGCAATTCTTACGACTTGTCTCTGATTTCGCCCTCCACGGAGCGGACTTTCGCAGTACCCTGTTTTTGGCCTTCCGTATTGACTACTTGACAAGAGCCCGCCCCAAAGGACAAGAGGTCTTGCCCGGATTCTTTCAGATCCCTGAACTGAAGGGTCCTGAGTGGAGCTATTTTCACCACAATAACGACAGTCCGCTGGGCGTTGTAGCCCTCCATGCAGCAACGGTAATTGAAAGAATGCTAGCCAGCTTGCCCATGACAGGCTTGAGCCGCACCGACTGCAGCGCTCGGGAGGATGGGGAAAGTTCCATCGAGAATGAAGATAGGTTCGCGGATCTTGAAAAGGCGACATCATCATTTCTGCCCCAGGGGTCTCAAGAGTACAGCTGTGGATCGAACGATCGCGTAATTGGTTTCCTCCAACCGGGTGGGAACTTTGCTGACATGCCATATCGACAAGTCAGTGATCAGGACTCTGCCCGGCTCATGGAGATGATATGGGCATGCATTTTCAAGGACGGATTGCGTAGGAATGACCTGGAAATCGGTCGTGGAGAAATCGTCGCGAGGAGCCCATTCTCCAGTATCGGCTTCAAGGACTATTTGAGGGACATGAGATGTTTTGACGAGCTTGCTGCTCACAAGCTACAATTGGAATACAAACACGGTACAGTCAAACCACCGACCGCACACACATTCAAATTCTGGCAGTGGCTGATGACAGGTCACAAATTTCAGACATATGTATGCTTTCCGGCCGCTGAGGGGAAGATTATAGGAGCCCCTGAGTGCAGCATGAAGATATGCTTATTGCTGATTATCTGCGCATGTGCAGAAGGCACGTCACACAAGAATTTAACACCGGACGATCCTCCTCCGTGGGCAACGCGCGGCTTGTATTGCTTGTGCTTCATCACATTCTTATTTTGTCACAAAGTAGTGGTGAGATGAATCGAGAAGGTTTCAGGACTGGTTTCCAATTTACTGGAATTATACAATCAATATTCTCAAGCAGCCGCAGCCTGAGCCTTCCTCCTAACCAACCTAACCCATCTCCTTCGCCTCCACTCCCCGCGTCTCCCCTCACCCTCCTCGCCCTCCTCCCAGCTAAGGTTCTTCCTCCTAAGCAAGTTAGCCCCCTCACTCCCATCCTGCTGCTCCTCCCGCACGCCAGACGCCCCCTCGCTCTCGTCATACATGTCATAGACCCACCGCTCCCCCTCGGTCTCGACCTCGACGCCCGTGATGATGCGCTCCTCGACCCACTCGCGAGACCACAGGTCCAGCGCCCACTTCTTCTCGCTCCACTCCCAGCCCTCGGGCGCGCGGACGTCCTCGAAGAAGCGCGTCCCCGAAGGCCGCTCGCCGGTGATTCGCGCCTGCGAGAGCGGGTCGTAGGGCGACGGGGAGAACACCCAGGGATCCCACTCGCCCGACCCGCCCGCGGCGTCCAGGTGCTGCAGCTCGAAGATCTCGACCTCGCGGGTCTCGGGGGCACTGTCGAGGATGATGTCGCGCGCGACAAAGGCCTCGAGGGCCGTCTGCGCCCGCTCGCCCTGCCGGTCCGCCTCGCCGCCGGGTGCGAAGTAGGCCCGCTGCTGGTCCTGCAGTGCCTTTGCCACGGCCGGGTGGGACGATACGACGACGGCCCAGCCGCCGCAGAGGGCGATGGCGCGCCAGGGCAGGAGGTGTGATGCGATGGTCATGAAGAGGGTGACGGCGAAGAGGCCGACGAAGAGGGCGGAGCTGAGGGCCTCGTCGCTGAAGTTTGTCTTGGGCACGAGCCCCGTGACGATCTGGTCGTGGCCGCGCGAGAAGTCCTCCATGCTGTTCTGCAGGTCGCGCATATTCTTGAAGAAGTCGCGACTGAGCTCCTTGACCGGCTTGACCGTCCTGGCCGGGGCGCGCGGCGGGCCGTGCGGGCTGTAGCCCAGCTCCCTGACCTCGGGCGGGTGCCTGGCCATGAAGGAGGGGATGAAGACGCCGACGAGCAGCAGGGCCATGGGGAGGACGGTGAGCAGGTAGGGGTCGAGGCACACGAGGGTGTAGACGGCGAGGAAGGAGAGGGTGTGGCTCGGGCGGCGCCAGGAGAGCAGCTTGATGGCGCGCGACTGGAACTTGAAGACGACGCCGATGCGGGCGTTGAAGCGGCGGAAGTTGTTGGACATAGTGGGCAGGGTGAAGGGCGGGCGTGAGGCCTCATAGCTGCTGAAGGAGTCGGTGGGGATGGGTGTGTTCTGGGTCTCTCCGCCGGGAGCGAGGTCGGTCGGCATCATCGAGGAGAGGAGTCTGCTCATGTCTGGTTAGAGGGACGGCACGGAAGGCTGGTGACGATGATGGTAATGCCACCATGACCTTACTTTTCTAGCATCTTGTCTTGCATATTGGCTGAAGCCGAGAGCGCAGACAGACCGCGCCATCTGCGCCCCTTGGTCTTCTCCTTCTTCACCTGCTCTGGCGAGGAGATGTTCTGCGCATCGGCATCGGTGTGAGTGCTCCCGGTGGCGTCATCGTCGGTCTGGACGGCGTTGAAGAGGAGGTCGTCGGTAAAGTTGTCCATCTTGGCCCACCCCGGTTCTCCGGATTCAGAATGCTATTGTTGGCCGGGATCTCATTCTGAGTCAGGGTGTGCCGGATTTGCGCTCGGATGCGCGAGCGCAGTTGATGCAATGCGATAGGTTGTATCTACTAGGTAGGCGCTGGTGGTTGATGTGTGAGGAGGTGAGACGCGTGTTCAGACCCGCTGCGGGCAGCTGACGACTGAGCTTGATCAGTGCAGTGCAGTGCAGTCCGGCATGTGACGCAGCCCACCTACCCGCTGCGCCTGTGCAATGCAACACAAGCAGGCTGAGCTGGTGGAGGGGACGAACGACCGCGGGCCGCTCCCGCCTGGTGGCGTCTTGCCTGATGAGCGAGCGCGGGGTGAACTAGGTGAGTACTTTTCAGTACCGTTTAGGTGCAGGCGAACCACCTACAGTGAGCTGGACGGATGCATGATACATCCGGTTTACTTGTAAGCCTCAGATCCAATGGCACGGCCGCCCACTCAGCCCTTGGACTGCGCAAGATCGGATGTCGATACTTTCGAAACCGACGGCAATGTGAACCCCGCGGTTAAGGTTCACACGGCTTGTGAGACCCTTGCCATGTCGTCATGCTGGCCTTGACTGCGGGGGTGATATCGTGAGAGTGTCAGATTGCAGTGACTGAACGGTGGGCGGACGAGAACTCCACAAGCAGCAGGCCGGACCAAGCTGCTACCAGCACGTAGACCGGGCGCGGACAGCTGCAGAGTTGCCAAAATATGTCGAGGCAGATGAAGGATGGCAGGCTGACCCGTCAGCATTATCGGTCCACGAGATTGGCAATTTCCATGCCAGAGCGCCGGAATGCCAGAATGCCAGCAGCACAGGCTGCGATAGCCCATGTTTCAAGGAAAAACAAAGCCCGCCTCTAATGTTATTAGCCCCCTTTTGATCTCCCAATCTGGGGAAGAAGACCCTCCGAGCAGGCCAAGCCATTTCGGTGATCCCCTGACCCAATTGCCACCGAGATTTCTTATGGACCACATGCATCAAAAAACTGCTAACCAAGAGTGCGCGGCACACATGTCTGCGAACCCGCGAACAGAACTTTAACCGCCCATTGCCATTCGTATCAACACAGCCCTAAATTGCGCGTGGCCATTGAACGATGTGACGTGACGCCGGCGTAATAATGGGAGAGTGAGCGCCTTTTCCATTTTCAAGCCAACCAATGATCCACGGCCAGCGTCTGTCTCTCCCGTTCGTGTCCGGGGATTAGGCACTGGGAATGCCGTTCGCGGTGGGCGAGGATCTGCTCCCGATCTTTGGTGGCAGGGTGGCAGGACGCTGTCTGTTGGAAGTAGGAAAAAAGGGTCCTGACTCTTCTGGAAGAATTGGTTGGCCGTGGATGTCCGGCACGATCCAGGTTGATGGATGAACGGGCTCGCAATGCGTCTCCACTACTGGTCGCAACTTGCAGGCCTTGTTGCCCCGAAGATGCCCAACAAGGGCCCCGTCGTGTCGTCGTGCCCGCGTGTTGTTGGCGGTATATACCAGCCCTCTTATACACACGGCAACCATGCCAAAACACACCAAAACAGAGACGCGGTCCTGCCAGTGGCGGCGAGCGGCGGCCCGTTTCAGATGCCGCTGTTTATGCCCCAGAGCAGTGGAAGATAAGCCGCGCCGGACCCGGACTGTATGTTGCTCTGATATAGACAATGTGTTGTCATAGTCCCTGTTCTGTCCTTGGGCGTCGTCGAGGCTCGGACGTGTCTTGTTGTTGCAGCGTGTGTTGCGTGCAGCAGTGTGTTGACTTTGGGCATCTGATTGCTACTGGATCGGATCCCGCTCAGATGAGGGTGGGGGCCAGTGACACCCATGCCCCCTGCCCGTCAGACACTCTGATGCTGCTCATCATCAAAGTTCATAGTTTGGTCTCTGGCCTGCCACATGTCTTCGCGACTTCTCAGGTTGTTCCCTGGTGCTGCAGGCCATCGAGGATTGGGTTGATTTCTGAATGCCCCGGTTGATGAAATGATGTCTTTCGTATTAGGTCTCGCTCGCAATATCTACTAATTAATACCTGATAGCATACTAGGTAGGGACCTACAGAAAAGCCTTGACTAATCAATGCGCATGCTCGTGCTCGGGCGCGTGCTCGAGTGCCCCTGCGTCAGTCCGTCCGTTCTGTCCGCCCGTATGCAGGAACAAAGAACGACTGTCGGTCCCTCGGAAGATGAGTCGTCAAGGCATGGCAGGTGCAGGCGCGGGAACGGAGTACGGAGTACATACGCACTGCAAATTCGGGCGAGGCTGACACTGAAGGAGCATGAAGTGCTTGATTGATTGGGCAGGATGCTGGTTGCTGTGTGCACCCAATCTGTTCATCCTGTGCCATAGGACCCATCAACACACCACAACAAGCGTGTTGGAGTGGCTGGAGCATGGTCAAAGTGGCCGCATAACGGGTCCAGTTTCTGAGGGAACAGTCAAGGTCCAAGGTTTTGGGTTTGGTATCTATTAGTTGCCTGCTGGCAGTCCAATGATGGCTCATTCTCTCTTGCTACGGCTGCCTTTCAAGCCTCTCTGCCCACCTAGGTAGGTACCTACAGTAGCTAGGTAGGCAGGTGGAGGCAGGTGGGGTGGGGAGCAGTTGGTCGGGCAATTTTCTGGTGTTGGACTGGCATATTGGGAAGGTCTGAGGTACCAAGGTACTAAGGCATGTACCTTCCCCAGCTGGACCACCTGGAGCCTCCTACTGCTGCTGTAGGTACAGTGCTTTGGTTATCAGATGGATGCGTGCAGTGAAGAGCAGTGAAGAGCAGTGAAATATGACCTTTCGCCATGCCTTCCCTTCTTATATGTGGGCTATAATGTGCATCACTGTTAGGTTCTTCACAGCCAACAGCAGCTCACGACCAGAGCTCAGTGCCTCACGCCAAGAAGTACCTAGTGTGCCTGACACCCGTCCGTCTGGTGTACCACGGTCTACGCTTTACAGTCTACCAGCAACAGGCTAATCAACCGAAGCAGCAGGCCGCCTGCCCTTTCATTCATTCATTCACCTTACCCTTCCCCAACGTCCAATCTCACCTGTGCCTTCCTTGCCTTGCCGTTCTGTGTGTGCGTGCGTGTGTGCCCAGCCTGACCTATCTCACCTCCCTCCTGCCCGCATTCCCACAACTGGCAAAGGCACAGACACCCGACACTGACGTGCAACCAACGTCGACTGTCAAATCTCCCTCTCTCCAACCAACCACACCAACCGAACCCGTTCAATTGTCCTGCTCCTCATTATTCCTCTGCGTGAATGCACAATCCGGCCTCTTTTTCCTGCTTCTCCTCCTCATCGACGCATACACGGGACACGGAACAAGGAACGCGGACGGGATGTGGTAGCGCTGCCCTCACACTCAGATCCTCATCGGACTGAGTCCGCTTTTCGCGACCAGGGACGAGGGAAGGGAAAATATCGCCTCCTTCCCCATCCAAGCCCACACTTCCCTGCCGGGGTCGCATCGTTACGAGCATAGCGCTTCAATTGACCGCCGCCCACCTGTCGTTTGAAGCAGCTCAACTCCATCGTGGCAGCGTGGCCCCCGCCCACTTCTGTGCAGCGCAGCTCTCTCTGCGCCCGTCGCCCGACCGCCTCCATTCGCCTCGCTTCGACTCGACTGTCTCGATACAGTAGCGAGGACTTGCCCCCTCAATCTCCATCCCCATGAGACGGGAGCACAAGGTTCCTGCTGGTCCGCGACCAGCAACCGCCAACCAGTCTCCAACGCGGTATGTGGTTGAATGAAGCCAGCCTCCTCCCTCTGCTCGCATGCACACACATCCACGCACTCAATCCACTCTCCCAGCCCACCCTGCCCTGTGCCCTGCGCCTGCACCGCACCTGCAGTTGTACGGTGTGTTTTGTTCGCTGTCAACTGTCGGTTGCTACAGCAGACTACAGCGCCGGCAGCTCACTGCACAAGCCACCGTCCACCCGCTCGCCACCCGGTTGACATGCAGCGATGACATGACACGACCCTTTTCCGCCCCTTCACCATGGCACCTGTCACTGACAAGCTTGCCCTTTCTTGTTTCAGGAGCAGGCAACCCAGCAGAGAAGTCCCCAGTCCCACCAAACGCCTCCACTCGAAACGCTCCTCCATCAGCGGCGCTCCAATGCTCAGCGCTTCCTCCCAAAACAACCACTCTCTGTTTTCCTTTGGCCGCAATGGTACCGCTCCCAGTCCTGCTCCGCTAGAACAGGATCCCTCAGCCGCCCACCACGACTTCCTGCCCCAGGTCAGCTTCGATGATCTCCAGAGCAGCCTAGAATCCGCTTCGGGCGACTTCACGTTGACCCAGTTTCCCTCCCCCACCGGCGAGGGTAGCATCCTGGAGTCCCAGGGACTGGCGGCGGCAACCAGCGTACGGGACGAGTCCAACGTCTCACACCACGGGACCATGACGCGCATTGCCAGCACCCAAACCAGCAGCCCCCGGCCCCGGCCCAGGCCCAGACGCATACGACGCGGTCACGCACAGGCTCCATCCTCAGGAGGCCCAGCGTGTCTAACCGGCAGACCAGCATCTCCTCGACCGCGTCCAACATGTCTACCGCCAGCGAAAACACCAGGGCTGGGGGCACTATCCGCCCGCGGCGCCAAAGCCAATATCCCCCAGTCTCAAATAGTCACATTCCAAAACACCAACCGAGAAAATCAATCGGCCCCGGCGTGTTTGACTCATCCGACTCGAACAACGGGCCCTCTGTGCGTCGAGTCCCTAGCCAGACGACAAATGTGGACCGGAATGGGCTGGACTCTTCGCGGTCATCAGTAGACGGGGCAAATCATTATGTCGATACGTCTCGCAATATGACCGCATCGAGAGCCGCAAAGCTCAAGACAATCTCGCAGCCCCCGCCGCCTCGGTCGGGTCACACGAATGCGTCCACAGAGACCAACACCTTGTCGGTCGATCAGCACAGAGCCTCAACGGGATTCCCGAGCTCCCCCAGGGGTAACAAAGCGGGATCCAGCACTCCAGGGTCGGGATCAAGGCGGATGTCGATAATGCCGGGCCAACAGCCACATGGCCTCCATGCGTCTGGACTCGGTGCGAGAACCGTGAGCCCCACTGATGCGCAACGAATGAAAAGACTGTCCATCATGCCCAATTCCGCTAACAGCTCCATGATCTTGGAGCCCCTGCCTCCTCCCCCGTTGACCGAGCCCCGGCCGTCTTCACGATCGCCCTCGATGCTTCCGCGGAAGACAGCGACCCCTTCCTCGCAAAGAACGACCCCCGATCCCAACAGAAAGTCATACAGCTCCGGCATGTCTGTCGGGTCAACAACGAGCTATAATACTGTGAGGACGTCAACAGGCTCACTGCAGCCTCGCGCTCCTCCGAATGGGGGCTCTCGTCTACCGGCTCCCAAGTCGGTGAACAACCTCCCGCCTCCCAGCCAAGATGAGCCTGAGGACGTTCCTCCAGTACCTGCAATCCCGAAAGCATACGAATCGCCGAAGGACTCGCCTGCCGAGCTACACTTCTTGGACAAGAAAAAGTCCAACCTCACACTTGATGCGAGTAGTATTCGCAGCACGTCAACAGGAAGTCTTTCTGGTGCGCCGGTCCACGAAGCAACGCCGGTGCAGCGCAAGCCGAGTGCTCGGAGGATGGCCCCAAGAACAAATCCAGAGCCAGAGAAGAAAGCCCAACCTGTGCAACCTGCGCAACCTGCGCAGCCCGCACAGCCCGTACAGCCCAGGAAGAACTTCAAATCGATGAACCTGCCACCACTTACCGTGGGACCGTTGAGCACCCCGACTGTCAACAAGATAGCCAAGTTACAGAATGACCAGCAAGGTCAGGCTCCAAGGAACATCAGCTCCCCGCCGGCGCGGCAGACGGCAAAGACGCCAACCACGCCAATGACGGCCTCGAGGAGCACTTTCTTCTCCAAGAATCGGGCGGACAAGGAACTCTCCCACTTCCGCAGCAGCAGTTCTGTTCATCAAGGCCGGATAGAGAGCCCGCTGGTCCCCGACACCAGTAGCTCGGAATCCATCAGCGGCAGTATGATGAAACCCTCAGTCTCTCCTTACCTTTCCTCGTCCGTCCCCAAAGATGGGGCATTCGAACAAGCATACTTCAAGAGGTCCCAGACCGGCACTGAAATCCGCGACGCAGAAGAAGCCCCAAGCAACCCTCCCATTGCCCAGTCAAAACCATCTGGGCCTCGAGCTCAAAGACAGCCATCCAAGTCTATATCGAAACCCCCGATCAAGGCGACCCCGAAGTCGCCCACACAACAGTCCAGTCCTGAGGAGCCGGCCACTCCGTCGTCGATGACGTCTTTGCGGAGGAAGCTGAGCTTATCTTGGAAGCGCAGCAATTCTAAGGCGGCTACTCATGCACAAGAGAAGTCGGCCGACAACGCAAAGCATGACGCGATGCCTCCCCCTCGACTTCCGATCTCTGCCACAACGGGGAATATGACGCACAAATCCGGGAGTCCAGGCATATCATCGAAGCCGAGCTCGTCTTATCTCGATTCTAAGAGGCGGAAGAGCTCTGGGTCGAGCCTCAACACTGTGATGGCTCACGAAAGGAAGCGGAGCGATGCTACGCAGGCCACGACGGTCAGGACAGTCAAAAACACTGCTGACGGTGCAGGGAACCGCCCAGCGGTGTCGCATTCCTCGTCGGTCATGCACAAGTTTCTCCGATCTAAGCCATCGACGGCATCAGTACGACATGCGGATGTCTGGACCGCCGATCTGGATAAGGATGACCTGATAGCAGAGGAGGAAATGAAGAAGCTGGGCAGTCGACGTAAGGAAACAGAGCTTGCCGCAAAGACCTTGGACGCTCTGCGTAAACGTGCTACGCCGAAGGAGCGCGTCAGCCCCCAAGACGCTATTCGAATAGCGATGTTGAACATTTACGAACGAGGCGAGATCATCGATTACAACGACATCTACTTCTGCGGCACACAGAATGCGCAGAAGGTTATTGGAGACCTCAACTCAGATGTGCCAAACTTTGGCTATGATGATGAACGTGGGGACTACAGCATCGTCACAGGAGATCACCTGTCCTACCGCTACGAGATAATCGATATTCTTGGAAAGGGAAGCTTTGGTCAGGTCGTGAGGTGCATTGACCACAAGACTGGTGCTCTTGTTGCCGTCAAAATCATTAGGAACAAGAAGCGGTTCCACCAGCAAGCTCTCGTCGAAGTCAACATTCTACAAAAGCTTCGCGAATGGGCAAGTATTCCTTGAGCTGCTTGTGGACTCATCTGCTAACATTTCTCCTAGGACCCACAAAATAAGCACAGTATGGTCAACTTCACACACAGCTTCTATTTCCGTGGGCATCTTTGCATTTCTACGGAGCTTTTGGATATGAATCTTTACGAATTCATCAAGGCGAACGCGTTCCGCGGTTTCTCCTTGAAGATGATCAGACGTTTTACGAAGCAGATGCTCAGCTCTCTGAATCTGCTGAAACAGCACAAGGTCATTCACTGTGATCTCAAGCCTGAAAATATCCTCCTACGCCATCCCATGCACACAGAGATCAAGGTTATCGACTTCGGGTCGAGTTGCTTCGAGAACGAGAAGGTTTACACATATATCCAGTCCCGGTTCTATCGATCGCCTGAGGTTATTTTGGGCATGTCTTACGGAATGCCTATCGATATGTGGAGTCTTGGCTGTATCTTGGCTGAGCTCCTGACTGGTGTTCCGATCTTCCCGGGCGAGAACGAGCAGGAGCAACTGGCTTGCATTATGGAGGTGTTTGGTCCACCAGAGAAGCACCTCATCGAGAAGAGCACACGCAAGAAGCTTTTCTTTGACTCGATGGGCAAGCCTCGTCTGACAGTCTCGTCCAAGGGCCGAAGAAGACGGCCCTCATCGAAGACATTGCAGCAGGTGCTGAAATGTGACGACGAAGCGTTCCTCGATTTCCTCGCCAGATGTCTAAGGTGGGACCCAGACCGACGAATGAAGCCTGACGAGGCTATCCGCCACGAATTTATCACCGGCCAGAAGACCTCTGTACCCGTCGCACGAGTTATGAACCGCGAACAGTCTCCGATCAAGCGTCACAACACGATTTCTACCCCACGCCCACTCCCAGAACCTCCAGCGGCAGCCACATCCATGAGGGTTTCCTCGAGCATACGCCCCAAGGATGCGACGAGCATCCTTGGCTCGCCTGCAAAACCAGGCGCGGGCACCGTGCCAGGCTCTAGGAGAACGTCAGGTGCGGTTGGTGTTCCTCCCAAGCGGACCAGCACTGGCACGACTGGTTCCAATGGTGGACCCCTGGGCAGCAATCTTCCCCGCGCTGCGGGCCGGACGGTTAGTGCTAAGCAGGATCTTGCGAGCGCAGGGGCTACAGCCGCGATGAGTCGGAGAGCTGGGGTTTGAAAGTGCCCCTGAGGAGATACTGGAGCACGCTTGGGAAGGGCTGGTGTTGAAGCCGTTTCGAATTACTTGAGAATACTGTCCCGTTAGACGAGCGCAACTTTCGGGAAAAAACGCTTTTGCTGGGGCTTAAGGCTTGGCCTGTTTTCTATATGCTGTGGTTGGAAGTACTGGCATGGGTTTAAAGGAAGCACAGGCGTTCAACTCCGAGCAAAAGGGCTTCAAGCACTTGAATTAGAAGCTGCTGGATTATTGTTCACGTTTGTCCCATGTTGGAGAGAAACGATGTAGGAGGGGTTCCTGGGTTGGCACTCCTCCACCTTTTCGTTGTTTATATGGCATACTCACACTATGCACCACACCACCACCACCCTTCTTCACCTCAACCTCCTGTTGTTGAGGGGCGCTATATCTGGGGAGATGAAGGGAACTCAGAAGGCGGACCAGGGCGGACCAGTGCAGGGTCAAGTTGAGCGCGGCTGGTCGCAAGTGAAGAGGGACGGGAACGGAACTTAGGGAGCCAGGCATCATACACTTATGGTGGAATTCATGTTGAGCGAGCGGAACAGGAAGAGAGAGAGAGAAAGCATTGCAAACACATACTTGAAAGATAATGATACCACTTCTTTGTAGCCTCACTTCTCGCATATGGCCTCTCTTCTTTTCTTTTCTTTTGTTCCTATTATTTATACTACCGTTCGCTTATTACCTACCTATTTCACTTTAACGAAACCCTTTTCTTTTCTCTGTGCTTTTTGTTCAGTTTCTCTCTTGTTGGGTTTTGGATTTCGTCCCTTGGTCATGCATTCCTCGAGCGGGACCAGCCAGGTTTGTGGGTGGAGGGAGGAATGGAGCGCTGGGGTTTGAGACCAGCCCTCTCCTCTGGCATCCCTATCCTCTTCATCCGGTGACTAGGTGCTTCCTTTGTATATGCGGTCGGTTTCTTGTGTCCTTACTTCGGGGGAAGGCGCGAGATGGAACATGCCAGCCAGTCAAATGTGTATAGACAGACGGACGGTTTGAGGGGAAAACGGAAAGGGAAGGAGTAAAAACGCATAACCGGGGCGGGTGGATTGTGTACGACGTGACAGGTGAGAGAGAGAGGTGTGGACCAGAGCTTGAGCATCCTCTTGGTTGAGTAGGGCCGGCTATCTGGCTATGTCGCGGTAATACAGTGTTCGATAGACCTGACGGCGCCGTTGCATGGGCGGGCCCACATGACGGGACCAGAAAATGGTTTCTTATCATGAGAATATGATAATTGGGGGACTACAAACCCGTCTCGTTCCTACGCCCAGGCGCTCTCCCTCTGTCCGTGGCTGGTGTCCAGAGCGACGAGTCGGTCTAAGGAGCCCCGTGTGTGTGTGGCTGTCTATCTATGTTGTCGGGGTGCTGTGGAGTATGGTTCCCATACGACATATACGAAGGAGGAGCGCAGGGGAGAGGCAAGGGGAAAGCCAATGCTCTTCGGGACATCAAATTCTTGCCTGTGTATCTTCTTATGAATTACCTGCCACGGTATCATGATATAGGGCTTGAGTAAAGAGAATCTGAAAGGGGACGAATTTATCCAGTGGCACCCACTGCCCATCCACCAACTCAGTGTTGCCGTCAATGATGACTATACCTGTATGACAGTATAGAATCAAACGCATATGAGGGTTGGAGATAAGCAAGATGCCGCCGACTCTGCCTATGCACCGAGGAAGATGAGACGGTAGGTGATTCCAAGGGTTGAACACATAGGCAGCGAATATGCCCAGGGAACTAGCCAGCGGCGACGGCAGACAGCTGGCGAACACAAACCGGTGAGCTTACTCACACTATCTGGAAGGCCGGCGAGGTCGTATGAACTGGCCGTTCCCACTGTCCGACCTCCCAGGAACAACATCTCCGGCAATACTGTCTGCCAGTCCCGCCTGCATACCCATCCCCGGGCTGCGCAGAGCTCATGACACCCCAGCCGTGACCGGCGACCAATCCAGCTTCGCCTCATGACACCTCACATAGGCGCAGCGAAGGGGTAAGGCATCAAGGAAAGAAGGGGGTGTACTGAGGCCAAAGACTGTCCTTCCTGTCTGCCTGACTGACCGATAGCCAGCAGTTTAGCTCGACAGCTTGCCGGCGAGTTTTGGCCCCATTCCTACCCAGAAGAAGCAGGAGGAAAAGAAGCAGACGTATGATATTGCTCACCTTCCTGCCTGCCTGCGGTCAAGAACGGCAGGCGACAGGTGAAAGGGAAGGGATACATCGGCGGCCAGGCGCGGATACAAAGCGGGCCCCCATCTGGGCGGCCGGCCATGTACACCACCACGACGGGACAAGTACCTGCCTCTTCCCTCCACCCAACCCTCCTCCTCCTAGCCGGCCGCGGGTCTCGCCCACCCCTCAGCCATTCCTCGTTCGACTCGAGCAGCACCAGTTCAAGCCACAGTCTGGGGATGGCGAGCGTGGGGTCTTTGGCGAGCCAGGTCAATCCCAGAACCTTGAATCCTTCCTGCCGCTGCCGCTGCCGCATCGTATTTTTTTTTTTTTTGGTGTCGATGTTTGTGTGTGTGCCTTGCCTTGCCTGCCCTGCCTCGCTCTGCCATGCGATGCCAGTGGGGGTCCGGGATGAATCCTTTCGCCGGCACAGACGCTGTGCGACACGATTGTGGCCGATCAGGCGGAAACATCAGTATCGTGACGGGTGGCCCAGCCAGCACTGTCAGTTTCTCGTCTTGGTCACAGTTCTGTTACACAAAGCACGACTATCCCTCAGCAGTGGCCGGCCCGACTCAGCATTGAACATGAATGTGGCCTGGAGCGGCTCGCATCCCGCCTCGGTGAGCGGAGTCTGGGCACATCAACACCATGCCCCCTCAATCTCGTTGCCACCACGGGCAGAGAATGCCTGAGCTGTTTCCCTCCGCCTCAGGCTCCAGAATTAAAGTCAAGACCGGTGGCAACCGCTTGATTGGCCATTCCGGCAATTGTGGTGAAGCGTGTCCGTGCAGGCGGCCCGGCAGCTTGCTGGGACGAGGCCCCAACTAGGGCCGGTCCAACACATATGCACACCCTCTTCTTTTGAGAACAAGTGGCAACGCGTACAGAGGGGAGATGGTGTCAATTGAGATCATCCAGGCCGACCAGGTTCGGGCACGGCCCGCTGCGCCTTAGATTATTGCCTTGTAGCACGCTGTCATCTGTCCTTGTTGTTTATCTGTTTGCCTGGAGGTCGCTTCCGCTGGCCGGCCTGAGAATGGGCGTGCTCTGGGGACTGGAAGCGGGTTGCACACCCCTACTCGAGTCAGCAAGTCCCCAAATAATCCTTGGTCAGCAGGTAGCAAAAAAAAAAAGATAAAGCGTCCACTCTTCGAGTAATATTACCATTAAAGGACACGACAGGCGCGAAAAGCACGCCTTGCGCGCCATGCAAGGACGTGCAGACAGATGAAGCAGAGTGTGGCAACAGGCCGTCGTCGATCCGGCCCGAAGGCCCCAAGAAACCAAGAAGGATGGTCGAGTCACTCGACGACTTCCCGAAATAGGAAGCGAGAGTCGGCCACGGTCAATCCTCATCGTAAACTCGCAATTCAGGAGTGCAGAGGTACCCACAAGCGCGTGATACGCATGTCGTCGAAACCCAGGTTCTAGGCTGCCTTGATCGGCAAGGCATACTCGCGGCTGTGGCCTGCTGTCTGTCTTAAATGAAGTGATGCCCCCCCCTTGTCGTTTTGGTTAGCTGTCCCCCCCTGCATTAAAATTTGGCTATGAACGTGAAATATGCATTAAGATTCTTATGAATACCCTTATTAATGTTACTTAATATACTTAATTTAGTAAAAGAAAGGTTATTATAATAAGTAGTTATTACTTATTAAGCATAAAATTGTAAATATTGTAATTTTATTTATGCTTAAACCTATTGTTGTTAAATAAGTAGCTATAAGTTGAATTTTAATATAATAGGGTAATGATTTAATAATATTAAAGGAGAGTTATAATTATAAATATTATAGCGCTAAGCATGCCTTTATTATTATTATTAAATGCCGTTAAATTAAAGCAATGGGTTTTAAAAGTATATAATGTTTTTTAGCATAATAGGCTCTTTAAGCATTGCTAATGCCCTTTTATTACTATATAAAAGCTTAAAGATCTTTTCCTTAATAAGCTAAATATATACCTTAATAAAATATAATGCTTTCTTGCTAAAATATATTAAATTAATTGCTTAATAAAGATTATTATAAGGGCCTTTAAGATATATAATTAAATTAATAAGTAAGTATATATATTAACTTAGTAATATAATAAAAACTTTTAAAGTTATTATTTTTTTAAAATCTTTAAGTTATAATATACTGCTAAAATATTTATCTTTTACAATAAATTAAAACTTAATAAGTATAATAATATAAAAAGAATAAGCTAAGTATTATTAAGATATATTCCTTAAATTAAAAGTCTTTTTAAGCAAGGCGCTTATTTTTATTTATTATTAATAATTATAATTAGCAATCTTTTTAATGTTATAATATATAAGGGGTATATAATAAAGGAGTTCTTCTTAATATAGCTTTTTAAAAAGGTTTTTCCTTAAATAAATGCTTATTTAAGCTTTTAATTAATCTTTATAATAAATAATGCTTTATAGCATTATAATTATGCTATTTATATAGCTATTAAGATAAGGGGTATTTAGCTAATATATTTATTATTATATTCTCTTAATTTTAATCTAATTAAGGCGTATTTTAAGGATTTAAAAAGGCATATTTATTATTAGTATTAATATAAGATAAATAATTATAATAGCAATAAAAAATTTATAGGTTTTTTATACTTAAGTGCTTTAAAGGTTGATTGGCGTATAAAGATAATTAAGGAATATTTCCGCTATATATATATATTAAAGAAGAAATTTAAGGGTAGTAATAGCAATAAAGAGTAATAAAAATGCTATATAGTTAAAAGAAAGGTAAAAGAAGTAATGTTAATAAGAAGGAAAAAGTATTATAATAAGGTTATTTATAATAAGTTTTTTAATAATAAGGAAATTAATAAAAAAAGAATATTATTAAAGTAATTAAAAAGGGATAGCTAATAATTTATTATAAGAAATATACTTAATTTTCTTAATTAACTCTTTAAATACTTAAATAAATATTCTTTTTTTATATATAATTACTTTATTAACTTTTTTACTAATTATATTACTTTTTTTTTTATAAATAATATTAATTAAATGCTTAAAATTTATTAAAAAATACCTTAAATTTACTTTTTAATATTAATGCATTATTAGTTAATATTAAGGGGCTTCTTACCTACTGGAAATTATAATTTTCATTTTATATTAGCGTTAATAGCGGCAGCAAGCCCTTCTCTTCCTTATTACTCTTAAAAAACTTAAAAAAGTTCTTTCTTTCCTTTAAGTATGGCTTTATAAGCTTTTTAATTAATTTAATACCATTTAAGCCCTTTTTATTAAATTAAATATTCTTTTTTAAGTATAAGGCTTAAAGATTAATGCCTTTATACTTTATAACCTTTTGCAACTTTATTAATTACCTCCTTTTTATTAATATATAAAAATGCTTTCATAAGGTTTTAAATATAAAGTTTTTATTAAGAGCCTTTTAATTACTAAGTACTTATAATAGCGATAATAAAAATATAAGTAGTTAATAATAACGTATAGGGCTGCTTAAGCAAGAAGCTATTAGCGCTGGTAGTATTGGCAGCCCTTTAAAGCCCCTTAATGGGTATGCTAATAAAGGCATTAATAGCGCTAATAGCGGCATTGCTAAGTACTCATACTTAAAGCTAAGGGTATAAAGATTAATTAATGGGTTAACCATTATATTAATGCCGCTTTCCCTTTACTTATTGCTTTTCTTAAGCTTTTTTCGCTTATATATAAGGCTAATATTATTATTATTAAGTTCCTTATTACTTTTATTAGCTTTAATAACATTTATTTACTTAATAAAAAGCTTTTTTAAAGGCTCTTAAATGGTAGCCTTGTTATTAATTATTGCTTATGCCTATATATTTAAATTAGCATTAATAATGTTTATATATATGTTATCCTTTTTAATATAATATTATTGCTATAAAGAGTTTCATTTATTATAATGATAATAATTAGCCTTATAATAAGGACCTTTAAAGCATTGCTATATTTACATTAGCTTTTTATAAGCCTTAAAGATAAGTAATTAATTGCTATTTATTATAATTATTATATAAGTAGTAATTAACCCTTCTTAAAGGCCTTGAGATAATGGTAACTTTCTTATTAAAGGGATACTTTTTAAGCATTTAGCTATTAATAAATTATTTACTAAGCTAGGCATTAATCTTACTAATAAAAAAAGCTTAAAGATCTTAATACTTAGTTACCTTAGCATTGCAATACTATAAAGCGTTATTTATGCTATTAAAAATATTACTTTATAAGTATATATAATTATAAAATAATAAAAACCCTTGCTTAATAAAAGCATTTTTATAATCTTATTATTAAAAAGTTCTTTCTTAACATGCCTTTTAATTTTCTTTATCATACTTAATTAAATTAAGAATGTTTTTATTTATAGCTAATAACTTACCTTAAATAAAACTTATAATAGCTTAATTATTATATCTTTTATATTAATAAGCTTAGCCTTAACTTAATCCTTTATTTTAAAGAAAAGCTTGCTAAGCAATAAATTAATATTAAAAGCCTTATACTTATTATTATTAAACTTAAAGCTTTATTATTTTATTAATGGCATTAAAAAAGCCTTTATGCCAATAATTTTTATATATAATGTTAAAAATGCTTTCTTTAGTAACTTCCTTAATAAGGAATGGCTTTTTAGCTTCTTAATATTGCTATTCTTAGCATTGCTAGCTAATGGCAGTAATTTAAATATATTTAATATCTTTTAGCTAGCATAAGTATTTTTAGCTTTATTTAAGCTGCTTAAAGCGTTATTCTTATTAGGGATGACTTTAAGGGTAACTTTCTTAGCATTCTTAGCAATATGCTAGGTAATATATTAGGTAGCTATTTGCTTATCTTAAGAAGGCTTTAATTAAGCTATTAGCTTTTATTTTATAATAATAATAGCCTTTACCTTTATTATTAACTTCTTTATATATAATAATGTTATTAATTAATTAATATATGCTTTATTAATAAAGTAGATAATTTAATGTTATAAATGGGTATATAGTTGCAATGGCTAGGCTTTTGCTTTTTAAGAGCCATTAAAATAAGTTACTTACTAATTTAAGTAAGCTATAATTACCTTAGGTTAGGGCTAATAAAGCATGTGCTTCTTAATATAATAGGCTTAAATTAATTTTATTATTCTTAATTATTTTAAAGATATATGCAAAATGGGGTTATAATAACCTTTCTTTTGCTAAATTAGGTATATAGTGATGTTAATAAGGGTATTTATAAGAATCTTGGTATGTATTTCGCGTTTATAGCTAAATTTTGATGCGGGGGGGGATAGCTAACCAAAACGACAGGGGGGGGGCATCACTTCGTTTAAGACAGACAGTGGCTCCGGAAAAAGACAAGCGCCGACAACGAACCCCAGTTTGTGACAGGGGCTGGGCTGGGCTGGGCTGCATGTACCGTTCGGTGTACATGGCAGTTCAAAGACATGTCTTTTTCATTTTGGGGGCGAGATCTTGCCCTGACGAATGTCTCTGATGGACCATACCCATGGGTAGGTGGGTCCATTGCGATTAGGCATGCGATATCATGCTCCTTTTGTTCCCTTGTCTGCCTTGTATAGGGCTAAGACAACCGCTTAGCCGCGCTGTGTCACATTGGCCTTGCCTGGGTGGAAAGCGGTACCCAGTCTTGCGCTTGTGTGATGCTTGACGAGATGGACGGAGTCCCAACTTGTCGGGAACCGACGCCCTGGATGTCAGGTTACACTTGTGTAACACTTTGACAGTCTGTCACCTTCGAACAGCTCCAGTATCGGGAACACTTTTCTCCAGGCAGCTTGAGAAACGGGGTACGTTGTCAGCGGTACGTGGCCAGCTGAGAGGTTCACATTTCCAGCACATTACAACACCGGTTAGGGTTTAGAAGGGAGAGAAACAGGCAGAGCCCGAGTGTGCTAACGATAGTCACGCTGTGTGGGCTCCTACTTGTACGACGTCGACGAGTATTGGCATCTGATTGTGGCCATAACCTTCTGACTGGCACACCCGCTCAGTCGATTCAACATGGTGGGATTCTGGTCTTTTCGGACACGAGGCATACGCCGTGGCTTAATCTTGGTGCCTTGCAATGCCAGGCCAAGGGAATACAGGACAGCATTACAGATTGTCGTGGAGCGTGCAATCCTGTCCAACGGCACACGAGAACTGTAAGCCTACGAAGGCGACGGCGCACGGCATAGCCAGTTCCCGTATCTAGTAGACCGCGCTCCGAGGAAGGGAGTGAAGCTGGGGCGAGGATGTATGGCATTGAAGGGAGCTGGGGCGAGTGCGTCGCTGTCGACATCTTGGCTGGTAGTCAAAGTTGTGTAGCAGGATAGAGAGCATGCGAGGCGGACATTTTCCATGGTCTTAAGTCGGGGTGTACGATGCAGGTCATGCTGGCAGTGATGCATGATAGCATGAATCTGGCTGCCGTACGATCACTTCAGCACATACAGGGTGGGCGGACTGCGGCCCATCCCCCACAAAGAAGCGGGAGAACACGGCCGGGTCCAGGTACGTGGGCGTGCTAGACCTGAGGCCGGGCGGCCGCCGTGGCACTAAGAGATCCGTCGGGCTGAGCTCGAGACGTTGAAGCTGCTCTTTCATCTGATGATTGGCTGAGCTCGAGGGTCCTTTGAAGGAACGATGGTGGAGCAGGCGTTGGCCTCATCGGCTATGGTGTGATGCTGGATTGTGGCATAATTAGAGCACGATGTAGGGACCTCTCTACCTTGAAGAGGCGAAGACACAACGGCGATGACTCTCGTGGGGGCCAAGTTTCAGGCAATAGTATGAGGGAAGCCTGCCTGCTCCCCGGCTCAACGCCGTGGTGTCGAGAGGCGAAGGATCGCGATGGAAAGCGTGGCAAATTCCCTGACGCAGAACAGATCGCTGATAAGCTTTGCTGGCCAGAGATGAGTCGATTTGGGGGCTGGACCTCTGGTCAACTGCTCCGGGTCTCCTATGATCTACCGGAGGATGAGCACACCCAGAGAGGCGAGCGTGACGGAAGGGGTCGAGCGCTGTGGCTAGGTGGCCGGGAATCTCGGCCCGTGCGTGCCATAGAAAATCCAGGCCGTCGAAACAATCTGAGAAGATCGCTTGATCATTCCATTGGGGACCTGCTCGAACGAAGAGAAGATGTGAGCAGAGTGGGGGCCGGCGCAAATCACAGCGAGGAGCATCGTGTGGGGATTGCGGTGCTGGCTGAGCCTGGGCCAATGCCCCTGGCGCGGAGGAGTTGGGGGGCTTTGTTTCAGTGTTTCAGCTTCAACATGAGAGAACAATGGAAACTGGCACTCTTTCTCGAGTGTTGACCTCTTGGTATGCCGGTAGAGCAGATGCAGTCAGTCCACCCAAGTGGGTCGTGTTACGGAGGAGAGGCGCAGACGGACAGAGGTGGCTGACGAAACGGAGCCATGAGGACCATCAATGGTGCCTCTTCAGGAAAGGTATGGTAATTGAGCACGGCAAGCGACCATGTGATGTGTCATCGTCGCGACAACCAGGTTGAAAGGCGCACGTGGGGTCTCTCGTGGGAGAGTTGGCCAAGAGCTTCAACCGTTGTCGTTTCTAAACACGGCATCGCTAATCGGACGGAGTGCTAGGGTCCCCGATCTGTCACGGGCTTGCGTGAGCAGGGCAAGAGACTGCCGGATCTTCGGGCGTCTGCCTGGATGCCTGGCAGCGGGAGGGAGAGTCGAGCCTTGGTATCCAGGTCATATGAACTGTGCTGTGGGTGGGAGGAAGGAAGTAGAATATCGATGATGAGATCATAAGCTGCTCCGAATACTAAGATAAAGCGCGATCGACGGCGACCCCGGGTGAGTTCGTAAAGTGGGAAGCCTGATATTGGCAGACCGTTGTGCGGTGAAGAGAAGGGGTAGCCAACCAGCCAGGGCCCCAGAGCGACGGTGAGATAAGCGCAATGATTTGACTGGTTGCGCATAGCATTTGGGTGTTGGTGTTGGTCGTAGCACAGCCACTGCGAGCAAGCCGCAGGAGAACAACCAGCTACCGCAGTACACACAGTAGCTCGGGACAGGGGATATATGTGCCGGTAAGGCAAGCGATTGGGCCGTGTCCGAAGCAAGATGCAAATCCCCCGCAAATTGCGCTGCGCGGGCCATTTGACTGCACAGCATCTGGGCTCGAGTGGATGGTTGAAGGAGCGAGATCAAGTCTCGAGATCCCGAATCCATGGGATTATCTTGGTCCGGTGGAACCCTGAATCGGAGCTGAATGTCGCGGAGACCGCCCGGGCGGGTAAAACGCCTTCCGTGACAAGAACCGGGAGGCAGCTCCGGTGGGTCCGCGGCACCTGGTTTCGGTGAGGATTTCTGATGGATTACGGGAGACCTCAGTATCCCTTGCTCTTGCTTGCCCTTCCCTTAGAAGGCACACGGCCGATATGTAGGCAATGGATCACGGAACCAAGCACAACCGATCCTGCCACACTGCAACTGGTGCTGCCAGAGCCGTCACCAAAAGGCGGTGGCGATTTAGGGCTGACATAAATGGTCAGTTGCGCTGCACTGTAGGAGTCGAGCTGCATGCCGAGGCCCAGTGCCTTGCAGCACGGGCGCAGGTGGGCTACCACTGCATGCGAGGAACTTGAAGAGGCCTCGCTCGATGCGTCTTTGAATTTTTTTTTTCAGCTTGTTTCAGGTTATTGTCCATATTGACGCTCTGCACGGAACCCACAACCCATCCCGTATGTGTGTCGACAACATGGACTAGCCTCATCAAAGGTCGAGGTCCGCTGCAGGAGGTTGCCCGCTCCGGCAGTAGTGATGCAGGTCAGACTCATCGTGACCCATTGTCAATACATCGAGGCGAGGCCTGCATGGTGCAACGTCGGCTACGCTGTTAAGTACGATCCGGCCAGGGATGCTTGGCGCCGGAGGTTGTGGGCGCTCTCAGCACGTTGGCATTGCCGATGCATGTAATCCTCGTCATCGGCCCTTCTCCTTTGAAATAGCATGACAGTGTCCTGGCCGCAGACATCCAAGACACTGCTTCCTGGATGCTGCGGGATGTCGCATTCGTAGTCGTGTCGCTATCGCAGTCGCAGCCGCAGCCGCCGTGGCAGCCGCCGCACTGCTTGGAGCCCTTGATCGCAAGGCAACAGTGTTACCTCAGCCGTCCGTCGAGTCATCCAAGCGTTTGCGGAGGTTTGCGGTACAAGCCGTGAGCATGGAGTTAGGTTGTTAAGACACTATGGCCGAGGCTTTGCTTTGACCCCGAAATATTGATCGCGTGGCCAACGCAGTGTCGTGCAGTCTTGCGGGGACGTGAGGTCGACGACGACCGGACGGAGTTAAGTCGAGATAGTTGGCCACTGCCGGTCCGACCCGATGTCTCAACACTGCAGTACTAATCCACGGCAGCAAAAGAGCTTGCTTGGCACTGGTGACACATTTTCGCCACTCCGCTACGGGGCCAAAGCTCGGTCAGCCGATGGAGGATCGCGATTCGGTTCAACTCGTCGTCCGGTTCCCTGGGGCGGTCATATGAGTAATGGCGAGCGTGTAACGTAATCCGTCCAGATGTGTCAAGGCAGGGCAATTGCTTGCTGACGGCGAGGGTTGAAGTGGCGGGATTTGGAATGGCAATTGACGCATACGGGCTCGACGACGTGTGTTATGGTGAGCAGCAAGGCGCGCGGGTCGAGGTGGAGGTTCTGAGTGCAGTGTTTGCAGTCATCACTCAGAGGCCAAGGTGAGAGATTCTCTCACCTTCCCGCTGCCCGCTTTACTCATCAAGGTCAACGCTCGAAAGTGGGGGGAAGGAAGGCGTGCAGGCACCAAGGCAGGCACACGAGGGCAGGCAGCCAGCATGATAGCGTCATTTCTTGCTTCTCTCTGCCCGCTCCTTCCCTTCTTTGTCTTGTCTTGGATCACTTGGGATGCCATTTTGGGATGTTTCGTCAGCTTCACCTCTGGTTTCCATAAGGGTCCATCTCAAAAGGTAGAGTGCCTTTGTCATGGTCATGGTCATCATCATCACCACCACCACCAGCCACTACCAGTACCACTACCACCATCATGACCACCGCCGCCGTCGCCGCCGACCTCTGCATCCTGGACCCAGCCACGCACGGGCTGCAGCAGTCATCCTCCGCTTAGTCGGCGAGGAGTCGACAACACTCGTGTCGACCAAAAACGCCAAGCTAGACCGTCTGGGGAAGCAATCGTGAGTCGAGCTGGGTTGCATCGCTTCAACAATCCTAGACCCAGCAAGTTCCCATCCGTTTCCGTATGACAGCCAATGCAACGGCTCACATGCCATGTACTGGGCAAGGATCTGGCCATCTCAAATCAATCTCCATTCTCCATTCTCCATTCTGCAATCCACCGTCCAGAAACCCACACAACCCACAACGTCACCTACAGCCCATCATTATTACATGCAGAGCCGTCGATGTGGCCCTTGCAGCTCTGTCTGACTGACCCCGGACGCTGGAGACGCACAGGGCGTGTGCCACCTGCTTTGGCCTGTCTGAGACCACGGTTACCCAGCTCTCTGGCTCAGCCTTATGCAGTCATGCTGCCCTCCTGCAAGAGACTCCCAAGGATTCGAGAATACACGTTTGCGCAGACGACTGTATCTGCCATAGCACCACCGTGCCAGCGTGCCGCCGTACTACCGTATACGCACGCTGCTCGATCCTTCTCCTGATCACATTGCGTCATCTCACCAATCTGAGTCGCTCCCCTACCCATCGACCGACCTCGTTGTTCGCTTCTTCTGAACCTGCCATGCGATCCGCGATGCAGCCTGCAGCTCACACCACCACTAATCCATACCTCTCCAGGTACGCAGGCAGGGCTCACCCCGACTCCCCCCCTCGCATTAGCTTCCCTGGCAACGGCCCATCTGGCTGGTCCAGGTGAGCGAGCTCGCCAATCGATCTGCCTCTTGACCAGATCGTGACCCAGTTGGGGTGGGAGTCCAACAATAGGCTACCTATCCTCACTGCATCTTTCGGTAGCATGTGCATACCATTTTTGCTCCCGCTCCTCGACATTGGGCAAAAAAAAAAAAAAATGGTGCAGCGCCTCTTCGTCTGGGTCGCCGAGGCACTCAGAGTGCGACTGAGACATGTCAACAATGGTGGTTATGGACCAGGGTGGGTAGATGATGCCGTTTCGGGCCTGCGAAGTGACAGGAATGAAACAAACAAACAAACAACCAAATAGACGGCTGCTCGAGTTGTCAGTACTGCATTACGGCAATGTGCGTGGACCCCAGAGAAAGTCCCTTGCATTGGCCTTCCTGCACCACCTTCTCTCGTTTCCAGCCACACCGAACCCTCGTTGTAAGCACAAAGTCTTGGCTTCCTCCTCGTCCGACCAAAGCCATACCTCAGCCACGACTCCCGCCAAAAAAATGTGAGCATCTCCCAGACTTGGCTTGAAGGAACAGACATGCCCACATATTCGAAGCCACACCAAGTACTCCATAACGGGCCGAAAGAGGCAGGGGCCTCACGAACTGCCTCCGTCACGCTCCGGGACTAAGCACCGGTCTGTGAGGCTTCCAATGGCCTCAGTACGTCCGCACCGAGTCTGCTATTTCGGCCGCTTCCCTTGGGGCCAGCCCTG